GGGTACGTGCGTGCGTGTGTGTGTGAGTAGTGCCAGACAAAATGTGTGAGCGTGTGTGAGAGATGGAGGCTGTGAGCGCGGGCGTGTCCGCCACAGCTGCCTCCTCACAGGGCAAGCCCCGGCAGAGGCGTAAGTTGCAAATGGCAAACAGTCTGGGAAGCAAGACAGAGCTGGATATTAACTCCGTGGCATCGTCTATTCCTCCTGGGAGAAATAGCAAAAGGGGAGTGTTGCCGCAAGTTGGGATTGGGCTATGCTTCACAGCAGGCCACCAAGGTGCTGTATCTAAGACACTCGACGCCTTTTTTTTGCCTTATCACTTCGTACATCTGCCCCTTTCTCTCCTGCAGACTTGGCGCATGGACAGACTGACGATGGCGGCTCTCTCGCCGCCAAGCGAGGAAGCCTCGTCGGCTCCGGGTGCCGTGCCGTGCCTGTTGTGCTGCTGCGGCGTCTTTTTTTTTTGGCTTTAACCGGGCTTTGGTCGCCACTCCCATCTGCGTAAACATGGGTTTCCTTTTCCGGTGCCTTGTTGGGCCCCTATTCGTCGCTTCCTCCAAACCGGCTCAGCCATCTTGCTCGTGAAACATGTCATGACTCGGCGAAACACACATGTCTGGATATGAAGCCACGGCAAGCATCGAGCCTGGGGGAAGGATATTAATAGATGCTCCTGTCCGGATCAAGCAGCCTGGCGGCTCACCTTTTGTAACCAACTGGTTTTCGTTGCTTTTCCCCGTAGTCACACACCTACGTATCTGTAACGAGACAACCAGTCAAGTTGCCCGTCTGTGGCTCCTGCTTGCTTTTGCCTTTTTGTGCATGTGAACAGCAACAAGCCAAAAATCTGCGTTGATCGATATTGACGCCCAGCAACCAAGATTGCGAGCCAGCTGGGCTGGGCGGCCATCGCTGTCACGACTCGTGCCTCTTTGTTTTCTCCTCCCCCTTTTGATTCGTTTTCTCACCTGGTATTCCTTTTTTCTCCTACTTCACTTCACATCCATCGTGGAAAGAGAAGAAAAAACTCGGGCTTGGCAGCTACTGCAGGCTACTATCGATCGCACCCGCACATACATGCGTGCATGCATGCTGCCGTCATTCACCAGCGCCTGTCCTCGTGAGCTCTGCGGCCGGCCAATCACGGCCACGGGTCAACACGACGTCGTCAGCCATACACATACTAGGGCTTGGACACACGACGACGACTTCTTTTCTTTGCCTCGAGCGGTGACGGGAGAGAAATGGCTTCACTGCGTTGGCTTCGACGAGCGAGCAACTCGCACTCTCTCCGCCTCCTCCTCGACTTCATCTACTTCTCCTGACCACCTTTTCCCCCTGGGAAGCTTCACAGCCAGCCTTTCCCTCCAGCCTTTCCCCCCTCCGTGCTCTCCGTGTCATCCTTGCGTGCCTAGGCAGTATGCATGTCGCACGCTACCGGGCCTCTGTGGCGCATCTCGTGAGCCCTTCGTCCAAGAAGCAGCTTTCCCTTGCTACCTTCTGCCAAGGACTTAAGCCCTGACTGCCCACCAACTAGTTGCCAAGGTAGGCGCGCTATACATACAGGTGTATTGTCGGAGCGGGTGCAGGCCTTGCTCTCCTCCCCCCTTGGCCCCCTCGGATGACCCGGACAGCGGCAGTTCAGCAAGACGCTGTGCTCCCATCTTCTCCAGAGCCTCCTGTCACATGAGCAAGCGCCCGGCCTCAACGGCAGCCCTGCAGCAGTCCCCTCCTTTTTCTTCCTTCGTCCCTTCCTGGGGGAGGGGGGGGGTGGGAGTTTGTTGCGCCCGACATCCCGCTCCCTCCTCCTGGGCAGCGAGGTGGTGGGACAAGGGAACTGGGTGTGTGCCGTGCGAAGATGCGTGCGAGGACGAAGGGGGGTGGGAGTGGAAGTGAACCTGGCTCCTATTCGCTCGCAAAGCTGCACAATGCAGCCGTACAAAGTGCGAATACACGGATATGAGATGCGAGTCTCGGAGTGTTTCTCGACCTGCATGGAGTAGCGGGACGACCAAGCATACGAGCCCGCACATATTCGGCAGGGCAATCTCACTTACACGCGCACACACACGCGCGCATGCTGTCCATGTATAGGGTAACAATCTGCCCTGGAATCGAACAAAAAAGCGACCTTGCCTCCCCAAGTATCCTCCCAGAGAGCCCCCCACCCCCTCAATCGTGGTGCTGGCCGGGCAAACAGACAGGGTGGTGGCGCGGATCTACCCTTAGAAAGAGGGGGGGGGGGGCGTTTCCCGCAAGCTGGAATGCACGTATGTACAGTATATGCTTTGTACCACGGCATGTAACTGTACATGGAAGAAGAATCCCCACGGCTGCCCGTGGACAACTCCAGATCCGCATCGCTGGCTCTCGTACCCACAAACCTCCCACTTGTTTCCTTTGGTGCGGGCGGCAGCGCGTGAAACTTCAAACCGCCGCCGCCGCAGGGCCAAGGAGAGCGCTGCTGAAATCAGCCAGCCAGCCAACCCCGATGCCGCCGCATTCGTTCCCGTCGGCCATCGTAGGCATCGCGTCCTTCATCAGTCAGTCAGTCCCCCGCGGCTGCCCGCCTGCACCGATATCCATCTTCTTCGTCTGTCGGCAGCCTAGGGCGCCCGGCTCCTCGGGTGTTTCGCGACATGAAGCAGAGACCATCGTCCAAGGTGGGCCACCGAGGGTAAATCAGGGCCTTTTCCCGCAATGTCCATCCCGTCCATGCGCTACCCAGACAGGACTGACGCTACGCCCTGGCCAAGCTGCCGTCAAGCAGTCGACAAGCCATGTCGACACCGTGCCACTGTCGTGAGTCGCCGCCAACACCATCGAACCCGGCGTAGCCTCGTCAGTCCGACTTGAGCCCCCCACGCGCCGGGCCTATCCCTTGCAGGGCCTGTCGGCCCTTTCCATGGAAACCTCGGCCCTCAGCGCTCCGTCTCGGCTTGCGGGCCCGACTCAGCACCCCGGCCGCCGCTTCATCTCATGCAGACCCCGTAGGACGTGGTGTGCCTTGTTCCAAGTCACTAGTGTCACGATAGTCCTGAGCATGCAAAGCCAGTCAAGGCATTCATCAACGTAGCATCTGAGCCGTACCGACCGTTGTCCGCGGCCATCGGCAGCTTTGCGTGGCATCGACTCTTATCAATAGTATCTTGACCAAGTCGGTTGCGCCCCTGCCGATAAACAAGGCCAAATCCAATCCCGCATAAAGGCCTTTTACGGAAGCCGTCGTATCTCGACACTGCCATTGGCCGTGCTGAGCAACGCGTGGATCACGAGGTCGCCTCGGCCGGCAAATCACGGGGCCCGGCCGACCACCACTATTCCCAGCAGCACTTGGTCTGGCCTGGAAGCGGTACAGTCACCGTCACGTCTTCATATCGCAGTTGCTGCCCATCGCCGACGCAGCCGGCTCTGTTGCCAGCCGACCCCAGGATGCTGCACAGGGCGCCGAGAAGAGGGACATGCAGCACCACGATCCTCGGGACCGTAGCCTGCGCACCTAGAAGACCGGGGTCAGCGGCTATACGTGGTGACCGCTCTTTCTAACCATCACTTCGCCCTCGTAAAGGGCCGTGCATCTCGGGTTTCTCGTCACAGTGCGTTCCACGCCGGCCTTTCTGGTCTCCCGTGGAGCTTAGCCACGACAGGCCCGGCCTGGTCTTTGCCACAGTGACCAACACCATGTCGTGAGTGACAGACAGACAGACATGGGCAGGCTAGGTAGTCATTGCCGTCTCGATACGACAGTCCTGGAGGGGGGGACTGGGCGGGTCATGAGGCCGTCCGAGGCGCCCGTTCATGGATTGGCCTGCCGGCGCGCGCGTCATCCGTTTCCCGAACTGATCGAGAAATCCTTCTTCGAGTCCTTTTTAAATCTGCCGCTGAGACATTCAGGCTTCAAGGCTCTTGGCGGCCGAACTGCATCGCGTCCGGCCTATTGGCACAGCTTTCCACGGGCACCCAAGTATCTGTCAGAAAAGAAATCCGTCGTGGATTTCCATTCCTGTCCTCGAGTAGATTTTGATCGTCGTCGCGCTTGGAAATGGTGGGCTAAGAATGGAAGATGACTCAAATTGCCGCGCCATACGAGACTTTGGTCGTCGAAAGGCCCGATTTCGTCACGGACAAGGCTCGGAAACGCCGCGACAACATCGCAAAGACGACTCTCGAGCCCTCGGGCGCTGCGAAAAAGAGTCCAGATTCTTCCCTTGTCGCTACTGGTTGGCAGTGATTTCAGCCAACAAGGCGGCGCAGTCGACCTGGAACTCGAACGTCCCTTGAAACATACGGCTGGTTGGCATCACCGGGGCCGTCCTGGAAAGACCTGACTCGAACTGCCCGGTACATCTACCCCTCACGGCATCTTTCGTGGTGAGATGGAGAGGCGGCCGCGGGCGTCGGCGTATAGCGTGACATCGTTTGTGTTCCTGGTCCCGTGGCAGTAGTTAGGTGCAGCATTGCCACCACGTCTTTGTGTCCAGTCGAGCCCAGAACTCTGGCCCGGGCCGTGGATACGCCGACAGCGAGCCGGCAGCCTGTACCCGAAACCGTTTCGAGGTTCGCGATGGCGTTTCGACGGGAAGCTCGAGGATTCATCTCCACTTCATGTCGCGATGGTCGTCATTGGGGACTTGGACAGGGTGCACATACTGGCATGGGGGAGAGCACGTGACTGGAGTCATTGTTATCACGTGACACAACACGAGCGACTTCTGCATACATGGTCGAACCGTCAGAAAATGGAGGCGAAAGGGTAGGCTTGAATGGAACTGTGTGCGGCGATCCAGGCCTTGAGTCCGTCTCGTCAATACTTAGCTTTGCTACTGCAGAGGCAGCGTAGGGAAAAGAAACTGTCTTCGCTGGTTGCCAACCATAGGCCCTCAGTAATCGATATCGATAAGCAAGCGCGCCAGAAACTATGATTCGCCTGCTAAACGTTCACTGCATCCATTTCTCAACACCAGCTTTGCGTCAATGAGCGACCAAGGCGACACAACAACATGACGAGTCTGAAGAGATCGCAGGCGGCCGATCCGCTGGCCGCCAACATTTCCAGCAAGGTATATGTTCGATCAACGCGCAGCGGCAAGGTGCAGAAAATCGTGCGGGAAGTCTACCTCAGGACCGACATCCCCTGTTCATCAAAGATCTGCAGGGCCTGCCTCGAAGGAGCCCCCAGAAATGCCGCCGGACAAGGTATGCTGTAGTGTTCGATTCTTCAGAACCGCTTGCGAGACTGACAACTTTATGACCAGTCCTGCCTTTTGTCCTTTCGGACAAGCCTGCGGGCACCAGGGCATTCCCCGAGGGGCATTACCTGGTCCCCGACACCAACGCGCTGCTGAATGCCATGGACCTGTTTGAGCAGAGCTCATCCTTATACGACGTCGTCATTCTGCAGACGGTCCTGGAAGAGCTTCGCAACCGGTCGCTTCCTCTCTACAACCGTCTGATGGGGCTGACCAGGAGCGAGGACAAGCGCTTCTATGTCTTCTACAACGACTTCCGCCTGGAGACGTACGTGAACCGCGAGCCAAATGAAAGCGTCAACGACCGTAACGACCGCGCCATTCGGCTTGCTGTCAGGTGGTACGGCGAGCATCTGGCTCGGACGAGAGCAAAAAAAGTCCCGGCCATCGTGATGCTTAGCGACGACCAAGACAATGTGCGCAAGGCCCGCGAACAGGGGCTCAAGGCCTCATTGCTTGCCGACTACGTGAGAGGCCTCGAGGATGGCGAAAAGCTGCTCGACATGGTTGCCGAGTCTCAAAGCCGAGGCGGCGGCTTCAACAAGGCCTCGCAGATGTTATACCCCGAATACTACACTCTGTCAAGGATGATGACGGGAGTCAAAGCTGGCTTGATGCACCAAGGGATCTTCAACGTGTCTCCCTACAACTACCTAGAAGGCTCCATCAAGGTCCCTGCGTTCCCCAAACCTCTGCTAGTCCTAGGTCGGGAGAGCATCAACCGTGCCGTCGATGGCGATGTCGTTGTCGTGGAGCTTCTCCCGCAAGACAAATGGAAAGAGCCCTCGACCAAGATCATCGAGGAGGAAACCATCACGCGCAACGAGAATGCAGATGCCGAAGGGCGCGAGGATTTCGTCTCCGACAAGGAGCGCAAGGCTCTTCAGGAGGAGGTCAAGAGAACGCAAAAGTCTCAGTCAGAAAGTCAGCCACAGCCGACGGCCAAGGTGGTCGGCGTCATCAAGCGAAACTGGCGCCAGTACGTGGGTCATATCGACCCGTCCTCGGCCAGCAAGTCGTCATCCCAGGGGCGGAGGCAGGACAACGTCTTCCTCGTCCCCATGGACAAGAAGATCCCCAAGATCCGACTCCGAACCCGCCAAGTCTCGGAGCTACTGGGCAAGCGGCTACTCGTCACGATGGATGCCTGGGAGCGAGACTCGAGGCACCCGGTGGGGCATCTGGTGCGATCGCTCGGCGAGCTCGAGACAAAGGCCGCCGAGACAGAGGCACTGCTGCTCGAGTGGGACGTTCAGTATCGGCCATTCCCGAAGACGGTCCTGGACTGTCTCCCCAAGGAGGGGCATGACTGGCGGGTGCCTGAGAGTATAGATGACCCGGGATGGAGAGATCGGGAGGATTTGAGAGGGCTGCTCATCTGCAGCATTGATCCTCCGGGATGCCAGGACATCGATGATGCGCTCCACGCCCGGAAGCTCCCGAATGGCAACTTTGAGGTGGGAGTGCACATTGCCGACGTCTCCAACTTTGTCAAGCCGGCCACGGCCATGGACAACGAGGCCAGCGTCCGCGGCACCACCGTGTACCTGGTCGATAAGCGCATCGACATGCTCCCGATGCTTCTCGGCACCGACCTGTGCTCTCTCAAGCCATATGTCGAGCGGTTTGCCTTTTCCGTCATTTGGGAAGTCGACGGCAACGCGAACATTGTCGGTGCGCGCTTCACCAAGTCCGTCATCAAGTCCCGTGAGGCTTTCAGCTACCAACAGGCCCAGCTCCGGATCGACGACAAGTCGCAGCAGGATGAGCTGACCGAGGGGATGCGCACGCTCCTGATGCTGTCCAAGAATCTCAAGAAGAAGCGCATGGAGGCGGGCGCGCTGAGCCTGTCGTCGCCCGAGGTCAAGGTGCAGATGGAATCGGAGACGTCGGACCCCATCGACGTCAAGACCAAGGAGCTCCTCGACACCAACTCGCTGGTCGAGGAGTTTATGCTGCTGGCCAACGTCAGCGTCGCCGCCAAGATCCACGAGGCCTTTCCGCAGACGGCCATTCTGCGGCGTCACGCGGCGCCGCCCAAGACCAACTTTGACGAACTCTCGAACCAGCTGCGCGTCAAGAAGGGCCTGGAGCTGCGCAGCGACACGAGCAAGGCGCTCGCCGACTCGCTTGACCGGTGCGTCGAGGCGGGCGAGCCCTTCTTCAACACGCTCGTGCGCATCATGGCGACGCGGTGCATGATGAGCGCCGAGTACTTTTGCTCGGGCACGCAGGCGTACCCCGAGTTCCGGCACTACGGCCTTGCCTCGGACATTTACACGCACTTTACGTCGCCCATCCGGCGCTACGCCGACCTGCTCGTCCACCGGCAGCTCGCGGCCGCCATTGGCTACGAGGCGGTGCACCCGTCGGTCCGCAGCCGCGGGCGCCTCGAGGCCGTGTGCAAGAACATCAACGTGCGCCACCGCAACGCCCAGATGGCCGGCCGCGCCAGCATCGCCTACTACGTCGGCCAGGCGCTCCGCGGCAAGGCGGCCGCCGACGAGGACGCCTTTGTCATCAAGGTCTTCAGCAACGGCTTCGTCGCCCTCGTGCCGCGCTTCGGCATCGAGGGCCTCATCCGCCTGCGCGACCTGGCCGAGCCCGAACCCGAGAGCGACTTCGACGCCGACTCGTACACGCTCGTGACCCGCGGCAGCCGCGCCGTCCGCGTCGAGCTGTTCCAAAAGGTCAAGGTCAGGGTGCGCGATGAGAAGGACGACAAGACGGGCAAGAGGGGTGTCAAGATGGAGTTGATTAGTGCCTGAGCTGCCCGGAGACGTGGTATAGTTCCTGGCTCTTGGGGCTGCAGAAGTTGAGGGAAAGGGAGAGAGCATTGCGGAGCCATGTCACATTTTATACATATGGGTGGCCGACGAGTAGTAAAAAGGACAAGACGGTCTACAAAGTCAGGAATGTGGATCTCATTTCGACGCAATGTATTTTCGTTCAGGTTGCATCCAAAGAGGAGAAGCCATTGAATACATTTGCCTCGTTTCCGACCAGCCTTGCAACGCCGAGCCCTTGATGTGGACAAGCAGGAGACGATAGGGAAAAAAAAACCAAGACAGCAGCAATCCTTCCACCAGTCGCTCGCCCCCGAGACATGCTATTGCTCCATGGCATCGCCGCCAGCGTCCACGGCCGCGTCGTCGCCCCACAGGCCCTCGAGCTTGAACTCGGCGGCCCACTCGGTGACAATCTCCTTTTGATCCGGCATGGCGGCATCCTCGCGGGCACTCGAGTTGGCAGGCGCGCCGGGCGCCGGGTCGGCAGCGGCGGGGGGCTCGACCCAGCCTTGGATGCGGCCGTCTCGCCAGTCGGTGACGACAGCCATGGCGGCGGCGGCGAGGTTGGGGACGCCGCCGCGGCCGAGGCGGCCGCGCTTGCGGGCGACCTGGACGAGGAAGTCGGTGGTGACGTCGCCGTGGTCGGGGAGGAGCGGGGGGATGTCGTAGACGTCGGTGAGCTTCTGCATGAGGTCGGGGGAGAGGGACAGGCGGCGGATGAGGAGGCTGACGGCGGGGATGGGGTCGTCGATTTGCTTGGGGGGCACGGCGTTGAGCAGGACGAGGTGGGCGTGGGCCTCGGCGGCGTTCTTGAGGGAGACGAGGCCGCCCGAGTGGGCCGACGACGACGAGGGGAAAACGACGCCGGGCGAGTCGAGCAGGGTGAGCTTGCTGTCAATCTTGACGGCGCGGATGCTCGTCGTGACACCGGCCTCGGCGCCGGCGGGACAGGCCTTGGACGAGCCGCCGGCCTTGCCGCCCATGCGCGAGAGGAGGGCGTTGATGACGGAGCTCTTGCCGACATTGGGGTATCCGATGACGCCGACAGAGATGGCGCGCTTGAGCTGGCGGGTGGCAGCGAAGCTCTTGAGGGCCCTGAAGAGCGTGGCCGACGTGCTTTGCACCGTTAGGTCGCCGTGATTGAAGGCGCGGGCGCCCGAGGCGGCGCCCGAGGCCCGCAGCGGCAGCGTGGGGAAGTAGCGGCGCAGGTAGACGAGCCAGTTGCGCAGCACATTTGCCGGCACCAGGTCGATCTTGTTGAGGACGAGGATAAGGCGCTTGCCACCCGAGGCCGCGGCCATGATGCTGCGTTCCACCTCCCGGGAGCGCGTGCCCTCCGGGTCGCGCGCGTCGAGCACGTAGAGGACCACGTCGGCCTGCTCCACCACTTGCTTGGAGACCTTGTCGTACGACTTGCGCGAGGACTGGCCGATGGAAACATCGACGGCGCCAAAGTCGCTGCCCTGGTCGCTGTCGCTGTCATCTTGGTCCATGCCGTCACTGTCGGCGAGTTCGCGATCGTACTGGGCCGCGGCGGCCTTGGCGCTGGCCAGCAGCGCGGCCATGGGATTCGACTCGTCCACATCGCCGTCATCCATATCGTCGTCGTCGTCGTCGTCGTCGTCGTCGCGCACGCCATCCACCTCGACGCCGGGCATCTGCTGCTCGTCGTCCTGCTCAGCGCCCGTCTTGGCCGCCTTTGCCAGCTCCTTTTTCCGCAGCGCCTCGGCCGCCTTCTTCATGCGGCGCTGCTCGGCCTCCTCGAGCAGCCTCTCCTTGTAGGGGAACAGGTTCGGGATGCCGGGGTCCTTTTTCAGCTTGGACCGCCATTCGGGGTTTTTGCGGGCGAGCTTGCGCTGCTTGCGCTGCTTTGCGGCCGACGCCTTTTCGACCTTGTGGCGGAGACGGGAGGTGCCGCGCTTCGACTTTGGTTCTGGTTAGTGTTGTTTGCGGTTAGCGAGAGACTCCAAGTTCAAGGAGTGCAGCCCACTCACTCTTCGGCTTGTTGACGGTGCCCGCCATTGTGTGATTGCAGGTCAATTCAAAGGACAATAGAGCCTTTGGTCGTTGACTGCTGCTCAAGCGCTGGAGGGTGGATGGATGGATGGAGGTTATGGCAGAAAAAAAATTGGGTGGGATGCAGATTCTGCCAGACTCTTCGCATTCACCGCCTTTGCATCCCCGCACCCCCACGTCTCTAACCGAAAGACACCAGTGCAAGGTACGTACCTAGAGGTTGTATTGCTGCCCCTGAATCGCCAGCAGCGAGAGACAACTTTCTGTATCACTCGCTCCTATTCTCTTTGCAAATCATCTTAAATGAATCTACTTGTCCTCTAGGACGTGAAAGCCATTTGTATTAGTCTCTTACCGCAATGCCACCGTCACCGGCTCGTCATGGCCTGCAACAGACACTCGATGCCGCCACGGCACGATACGTGCAGCGGAACCCAAAATCCAAGGCCCTCCACGACGAAGCCGCAAAGTCTCTACCGGGAGGAGGCACCAGATCCGTCCTCTACACTGATCCGTTCCCCTTGAGCCTGAGGTCTGGCCATGGACACGCGGTCACGACGGAAGACGGGCACAAGTAAGCCCAATGCTGTCCGCGACTCACCGCTTCCTCGGCAGCTCAACTGAGAGCAGCCTCGTCGATCTCCTGGGAGACTTCACGGCCGGCCTCTACGGACACTCTCACCCTGTAATTCAGGGTGTCGCGAGGCACATCTTTGAAGACGTGGGCCTGCACATGGGCGGGACCGTGGCCCAGGAGCAGTTGTTGGCCAGCGCCGTCTGCCAACGCTTTGGGCTTGAGCTCGTCAGGTTCACCAGCTCGGGTACCGAGGCCAACCTGCAGGCCTTAGCCGCGGCTCGCCACTTTACCAAGAAGCGCAAGATTGTCGTTTTCGCCAACGGCTATCACGGCAGTGTGCTGGGCTTCGCCGGTGGGCAGGCGGCTGCTAACAATGTCGACGTTGATGACTGGATTGTTGCCGAGTACAACCATCTGGAAAGCGCGGCCAAGGCGATTCGGAGCCCGGGCGTCGCCGCCGTGCTCATGGAAGGCATGCAATCCGCCGGCGGCTGCGTCTGCGGGACCCCCGAGTTCCTGGCCTGCGTCGAGCAGACGGCGTCCGAGGTTCGTTTTGCGGGGCCATGGATGGAGTCTCGAGGAGCGGCGGGTGCTGACTGGCAAAGGATAGGTCGGCGTGCTCTTCATCCTCGACGAGGTCGCGACGTCGCGGCTTTCCGCGGGTGGACTGGCAGGCATCCACGAGCTGAAGCCCGACCTTAAGAGCCTGGGCAAGTGGCTGGGCGGCGGCGTGGCCTTTGGGGCCTTTGGCGGCCGGGCAGACGTCATGGCCGCCTTTGACGCTCGCCTCGCCCCGGATGCCCTGCCGCACTCGGGCACCTTCAACAACAACACGCTGGCCATGCACCTGGGCCACGCGGGGCTCACGCGCATCTACACGCCCCGCGCGGCCGACGACTTCACGGCAAGGGGAGACGGGCTCCGGGCCAGGCTCGACGCGGCGACCGAGGGCACCAGGATGCACTGGACGGGCCGCGGCACGCTGATGAGCGCCCACTTTGCCGCCGACGGCGACGAGGCAAGGAAGCTGTGCGACCTCTTGTGGTTTGAAATGCTCGAGGCCGGCTTCTGGATTGCGAGGCGTGGGCTTGTTGCCTTGATCCTGGGGACGCCGCAGGATGCGCTCGACAGGTTCGTCGAGTGCGTCGGGGACTTTGTGTCGAGGAACGAGGGCCTCATCGCGCTTAGTTGAGAACAGTCAGCTAGCCATGGCCAGGGTTCGCCAACGACAATGGCAGAGCTAAGCATGCTGATGTGTGTGCTGTGAGTGTGAAGGTAGAGATTAGAGAAGACAAGACGGCGGCTGGTGGAAGGGCTTAACTTAAAGTGGAGACCTAGCAACAGCCTCGTGCAAGGCGGGCTTTTCATTGGCCAGTCAGCCAGCCCTTCGTCGCTGCCTCTCACTCATCTCGTAGTTTTTGTTCCGACTCTCCTCCTCCCTCCTCCCTCGTCCATCTCCTCCCTCCTCCCTCCTCCCTCCTCCCTCCCCTCTCTCCTCCCTCTCCTCTCTCCTCCATCTCCTCTCTCCGGGCCATTTCTACACGAACCAAGGCACTCGGAGAAGCCACACCGCCCACTCTCCGAAAGCGACTGAGACCCGAAAATGGACTACCAGAACCGCGCAGGCTCCAAGTTTGGCGGCGGCGGCGTCGCCTCGCACTCGGCCACAAACGCCGACCGCCGCGAGCGCCTGCGCAAGCTCGCCCTCGAGACCATCGACCTCGACAAGGACCCCTACTTCTTCAAGAACCACGTCGGCTCCTTCGAGTGCCGCCTGTGCCTCACCGTCCACCAAAACGACGGCTCCTACCTCGCCCACACCCAGGGCAAGAAGCACCAGACCAACCTCGCCCGCCGCGCCGCCCGCGAGCAAAAGGAGGGCCGCCACGGCCAGCACGGCCACCACGGCGCCTCGGGCCCCATCGATCCCGCCACCGGCCTGCCCGTCGCCTTTGGCGCCTCGGCCCCGCGCCGCAACCTCATCAAGATCGGCCGCCCGGGCTACAAAATCACAAAGATCCGCGACCCCGTCTCCCGCCAGCAGGGCCTGCTCTTCCAGCTGCAGTACCCGGACGCCGCCCCCGACGTCTCCCCCAACTGGCAGGTCACGAACGCCTTCACCCAGCACGTCGAGGAGCCCGACAAGAACTTCCAGTATCTGCTCGTCGCCGCCGAGCCCTACGAGACGGTCGGCTTCAAGATCCCCGCCCGCGAGCTCGACAAGCGCGGCGACCGCCAGTTTTGCTTCTGGGACCTGGACTCCAAGGAGTTTTGGATCCAGGTCATGTTCATGACGGAGCGCGAGGAGCGCTTCAACGCTGCTCCGGGCTTGACCGGCAGGAACTGAGGGGCCCGAGCTGGGCGGCGGACGCGCGCCCGCAGCAGCCAGCCAGCCCACACCGTGGATCGCGACGCTGAGACTCCATTATTTGTTCGTCATGGACGACCATTTGGTGCCATGTGTCGTTTCTCCACTCAACGACCGGCACACATCGACATCGACCCGCGACCTGGGCGTGCAGCTCGACTGGGAACCAAGTCCTTCGAGTAAGGGAGCAGCTCGCTGTAGATACATATATCACTAACCGTCATCAGTTACATCGGGCTTGGCATGGGAGACCTGGAAGGCATGGCGTCTTGAATTCGCAGGGATCGGAAAGGGGGGGTTTGGGATGACCAACTGGGCCATTCATTGCCATTCATCAAGGTAATGATAGCCCTCGACACCACGCTATTGGACCGGTGGCCTAATTACGAGCAGCTACATCGCTGCCAAACGTCAAGTCACGCTGCGCTCCACCGAGGAGCCTTGCGGAAACAGAGCTGTCGTTGCAAGCTCGAGCTAGTGACCGAGAGCTCGAGAAATGGAACCGGAACCACGATTGATGGGAGCGCATTGTGCACCCCTACGTCCTTGTTTCTTTGGTGCATGTCCTTGATGCACGTTGCCAATCTTCTAGCCGACTCTCCGAGTAGACGACCCATCATTCCGACCCCAAGCTCCTAGTCCATGTTCCTCCGGCGTCTTCCCTTATTACCGAAAGTTGTTATCGAATCGCTTGAAGGTGTAGCCGATAAAAGGCAGGCTCATCTCGGGCGACTCTTCCACCTGGCCACGGTTTTGCTGCAGAGCCTGGGCCTTGAGGACCGTGGCGTTGTCCGTCTGGTCGATTTCGTCCGTGGGGAAGTACGTTGTGTCAATGTTGGAGGTGAGCCGGGGCTCAAAGGGCGCGCGGATGCGACGCAGGCTGTCAAACTCGACGCCGCGGAAGAAGGCGTGGCTCTTGATCTCGTGCGCTCCACCGCGTCCCAGGCGGTTCTCTGTGTTACAGACCATGCTGGACGGAGGTGAGCGCCATTTCGGCCGTCAATCATTAGAGGGTTACGCACCTTCGAATCAGATTCTCTGCCTCGGCCCCCAGGGTAATGTCGTCGGGAAAGTACAGCGTCTGTCTCCAGTTGACGATTTTGCGGTAGGTGTCATGGCTGTCCTCGGCGCAAAACGGCGGCCAGCCGACGAGGCACTCAAACATGATGGTGCCCAGTGACCACCAGTCGCAGTCAAACGAGTAGCCGTGGCCCGTAAAGATCTCGGGGGCGATGTAGTCGGGCGTGCCGACCGTCGAGTACGCCATCAGTCGTCGTGACCGTCGCCAATCGTTGATTTGCGACCGGTTGCTGACGGTCAGGTTGATCTGGTCAATGGCAACCGAGTTGCGGTCGCGGGGGCGGTTTGAACGCCCCTGGAGCAGCTGCTGGTAGTAGTTATTGTCGTGCAGCCGGTGGAAGCCGGTGGAGAGGCCAAAATCCGTCAGCTTGACGTGTCCCCCGCGATCAAGCAGGATGTTGTCGGGTTTGATGTCACTGTCGACGGTCAGAAAGTGGCCTCATGGCACACAGCGACTCCTGCCAGACGGGCCATACCGGTGAATAAAGCCCAGCTTGTGGACCGCTTCGATGGCCAAGACGATTTCGGCAATGTAGAATCGCGTAATGTCCTCGGAGAAGATTTCGTACTTGATGAGCATGGTCATGAGATCTCCTCCGGGCAAGAACTCCATGAGCATATATAGGAAGTAGGTGTCTTGGAAGGTGGTGTAGAGCTTGACAACCCAAGGGCTGTCCGACTCGGCTAGGATGTCGCGCTCAGAGCGGACATGGGCGAGCTGGTCCTTTTTGAACATTTCCGTCTTGATGAGCGACTTCATGGCGTAGACCTTGCCGTCTCCCTTTTTCTGCACCAGCTTGACCTCTCCGAAGGCGCCCTTTCCGATGATCTTGACGGTGTTGTAGTTTTCGGGCTTGTCCTTTGTCCGAAGGAAGCGCAGATACTGGCCCTCTTTGCGGCCAGCCGTGGACCATAGCTGCTCCCTCCGGGCCGCACTCTGACCCGGATCTTGAAGCTTCTGCTCCAGCTCGCTTTGTCTGCAGAGGGAACGTGGTCAGCTCCGCCAAAGGCAAGCAGGGGGCGGGGACGACGCCTACCTTTGGTTCCGCTCGCGAGCACGCTTGACGCTGTCCTTGAAAAAGTCGGTGGCCAGCTGGGAGCACTTCTTCTGGTTGCTGTGGGAGTTTGGTCCATATCGATCGGGGTTCCTCTCGGGGGCCTGCTGAAAGTCGTGGGTAGCAGCCGAGGAGCTCTGGGAGGGCATCGGGGGTGCGTTCATGTAGCCATAGGGGGCCGGGGGCTGGCCGGGAGCACCGGCGGTCCTGGGGCGCTGGCCGGGAGAAGGGCCCCGGGCACCATAGCCGGCACTTCGAGTAGCGCCGCCGCCGAGGTTCTGATGGGAGAATTGATGGGCAAGGCCGACGTTGGGGTCATTGGTGCCGGGCGTGTTGGATCGAGCCTGATAGACGCCGTTTTGGGCGTGGGCGTAGTCGTTGCTAACGGCCTGGGGAGCGGCGGGATACTGGGCAGAGTAGGCGGCGGGGCCCGGGGCAAAGTAGCCTGGCGGGGCGTAGCCGGCGGCGTAGGCCTGGTGCTGGGACGGCAAAGGGCCCGGGGGCGGCTGCTGCTGGGGTGGCGGCTGCTGCTGCTGCTGGGGGTGATGTTGCTGCTGCTGTTGCTGCTGCTGGGCCGCGGCGTTTGGAGGGAAGACGGGCTGGGGAAAGGTCGAGGGAGTGGTCGGGTAGGCTCGGTCGTTCAGGGGCAGGCGGTCGTTGTTGCCAAAGTTGAGGTGAAGGCGATTGTTGCTGCCGTCCATCTTTGACCAGAGCGGCGGCAATGCCAGGCTGTGACAAGGCTGAGGCGAGGTGGTGAAGGGGCGACGAGGGCAACGACGGTTGGTAGGGGGAGGAGGAGGAGGAGGAGGAGACAAGGATGTGCTGGCGACGCTACCTCTAGGGGAGGTCGAGGGGCAAATCGAGTGCTGTAGGTGATGATTGAGTTAGGGCCGCAAAGGGGGGGAGAGGAGGAGGAACAGGGATGTAGGTGCTGGACATACAGTGCGGGAGGGGCAGTGAGACACTGGGAAGCCAAACGAAACGAAAACGCGGAATTGACGGTCGATCCGTCACGTCAGTCAATGCAATGGTCTGGCTTGTAGTCGTCGTCGAATTCCGCGAGGTGAATGAAGCCCGGCTGACAATGGACGGGCCGCCTGGCCTTGTTGGATTTCCTCGACTGCCTCTCTCTCGAGCATCAAATTATCACGGGCCCAGAGGGTGGCGGGGTGAGGTCAAGGCGGTGGTGAAAGCACGTGCCCGGCAATACAAAGTACATACTTGAGCAGCTACCTTCCCTACCTTAGGTACTGTAATTACCTGCCTTACCTAAGTTATCCAGTCTCCAGAATGAAATCCCAAGATGACGGCCTCCGACTTCAACAACTGCTTCAGCCGCCCGGGCACCCCTCCCTTGACTCAACTCGGGCCAACAATCCCAAGACATTCGAGCGAGTAATCCATTATGCAAGCCAGCTCACCAACCTGCTTCTCCGCCTCTCCCCCCCTCCTCTCCCAGCTGCCGGAGACGATGCAGGCTTGGCTCTCGGCCCGCATTGCTTTTGCACCCCCGAGTTGAATGCAGGCGAGCACGTCGGATGGGAGACATTCTCTTGAATTGATCGCCTGCACACTGATTCTCAACAGCTTGGTTGCGCACATGGGACTCGTGGTTTCCAAAAGCACGCGTCACTGGAGTTGCCAGTCCACCACTCCATCGTATCGCTCGAGCTGTTCGAGGACGACCTCGATGCTGCTGCTTTGCCCACGCCCAGCGGGAATAGCCCCCTCCACTCTTCACCACCTATTAGATTAGACCTCGTGGTGAGCTGTCAAGCCTTGACTCCCGTACGGCAAACAAAGGCGTCTGCGGCTGGACCCTTGTCCAACCGGACCCTTGTCCAACCGGAACGAGGTATCTCCATTCCGTGCCGCTTGAACATTTTCTTATCTTATCGCAACATCGCGCGCATCTGATGCGCCTCTTTTTTTCTCGTCGCCCAGCTTTGTCGTTTTTCTCTCGCTCGAGTGCTTGATATCCACATTCAACCGTGGACCAAACCCGCGGCATCGGTGCTATCCTCTGCTCCGTAGCCTCAAATGGCCGACTCCAACCCCGATCCCAAGCCGGCCAGCTCCGCCGCTTCCAAATCTCCTCCTGCAGCGGCAGCAGCTCCTAAACCTCCCAAACCTCCTGCTGCTCCCGCCGGCAACCCGGCCCTGCGCATGCTCGGCCTGCCCAACCTCCCGCGCAAGCTCCCCTCGCGCAACTGGCTCATCTTCTGGGCCGTCACCGGCACCTTGACCTCGGCCATTGTCTACGACCGCCGCGAGAAGCGCCGCGCCACCGCCCGCTGGCGCCGCGCCGTCGAGCCCCTGTCGCGGGAGCTCGTCGCCGCCCCCAACCAGCTACCGCGCAAGCTAACCGTCTACCTCGAGGCGCCCCCCGGCGACGGCCTGCGCGTCGCTCAGGACCACTTCATCGAGTATGTCAAGCCCGTCCTGGCCGCCTCGGGTCTCGACTGGGAGTTTGTCCAGGGCCGCCAGCAGGGCGATGTCCGCGCCGCCGTCGCCGAAAAGGTCCGCAGGGCGAGGATGGCCGACGAGAGGCCGGGTCAGGAGCTGCCCAAGACGGACGATGCGCTGGTCGAGGACCTGAGGAAAAAGATGGGGGTGCCACAATACGAGGGGGTCAAGGGCGACATTGTCATCGGGCGCCATACGTGGAAAGAGTATATCCGGGGCCTTCATGAGGGCTGGCTAGGGCCTCTTGATCCTCCTCCACCACCGCCGCAGCCCGAAGCAGTGGTCGAGGCAGAAGCGCCGACAACAGAGGCTTCGATGGCGGATGCGGCAACCGATAAGGAAGAGGGCGACAAGGAGGACAAAAAGGAAGACAAAAAGGAGGAAAAGACCTCGCGGCCACCCCAGCCCCCGCCGCACAACACGCCCGACGACTACTCCTCGGCCAGCCTGCCCGCCCACATCCCCGCCGAATTCTCCCCCTCGGCGCCGATCCCCTTCCCCCACCGCCTCGGCTTCACGCAGACGTTTGTGCGCCTCGGCCGCTTCTTCAACCGCCGCTCGCTCGCCGACCACGTCGGCCGCGACGTCGCCGCCGTGTGCCTGGCCGCCGGGCGCGAGTGGCGCGAGGCCGCCGACGGCCAGCACGAGCAGCAGCTCGCCCTCGCCCACGAGGAGGCCGACTGGCCCAAGAGGGTCTGGAAGGATGGCGACGGCGACGGCGACGAGCAGGCCGACGACGCCGCCGTCGCGGAGCAACCAAAGGAAAAAATCTGGACGGCGCCCGTGGTGCTCGACGGGCGTATAGCGCAGCGCATGAGGCGCTTCGAGATGACGCCCGAGGACCAGGCGCGGGCAGCTGCCATTGTCGTGCCCGAGGACGAGGTCGAGGGCTGGGTCAAGGGGAGCTTAAGGGGGCTGTGGCGATGGGGCGCGAGGGCGTTTGAGAGCAAGCCCCGGGGGCCCAATGTCGGGAACCTCGACGACGATTGAGAGGGCAGAAGTAGCCGCCATGAGGGGAGGGGGGATACAGGCCCTGTACTATCATCATACCACTCTTCTCGCCTCTCTCTCGTTTCCCTCTCCCCCCGGCGAAAGGGGAGAGGGGGAGAGAGCTTTGTATAAAGAACAACTCACCAATGGCCGGCTCGATGTCAAGAGGTGGAAGGCAGCGCGGGAAGCCGGAGATCAAGGGCGGACAAGATGTCGCCGCCCATATTACAAGCCACTCTTACATATCGCGGCAACATTGCCACTTCTTCTTCTCTTCTCCTTACCAAGGTATGTGTAGTTCACCAGACAGATGGAGAGGGTCGCATCGTGTATGCCTCGTCCGATTGTATCCCCCATCAATCACTCTCGTCGGAGCCATAGTCGACCAACGCCGACAGCGCCTTCTTCTCCTTGGCCCGCTCGCCAGCCGTCCCGCCGCCCTTGACGGGGCCATTCCCCGCCGGCGGCGAACCCCCCTCGGCCGGACCGCCCCTTGTCCGCTCTCCCGGGCCCTCATCGCCGCCGGCACTGACCCTGCGCCTCAACCCCCTGATATCCCTCTCCCGCGCACTCCTCTTCCTCTTCCTCCCCACTCCCCACTCCCCCGCCTCCTCGTCCACCTCGACGCCCTCGGTTCCCGCCCGCTGCAGCGGCGGCCGCCCATCGCCGCCCTCGCCCTCCTCGTCGCCACCCCGCTGCCGCTGCCGAAACGCCCGCAGCCCCTCCTCCGTCTCCCGCCTCACCCTCTCCTCGTCGCGCCGCATGCGCTCCCTGACCTCGTCCAGAAACCCGGCCTCGTCGTCGTCGAGCGCCCGGAACTGGTTCTTGAGTTTGTTCTTTTCCTCAAAGGCCGCCTGCTTGGCCGCTGTTTTTGTTTTTTGCCCGCGCACGTTAGCTGGATTCGGCCGTGGTGCTTTGAACATGCTCTCCCGAAACAGGGGAGGCTGAAGGACAGAGTGAGAAGGGGGAGAAGGACGAGAGCAGACAAACCCTTGTTAGCTTGCAGAATGTCGTAAAGAGACTGCTCCCCCCCAGTGGCAGCCTTGAGCCGAGCCTCTTCGCGGCGCTTGCGCTCGGCCTCGAGTTCCTGCTGGACGGCCTCCCACTCCGGGTTCTTCTTGGCTCCCGACGCCGCCGCCGCTGCCGCCGCTAGAGGTGGCGATTGCCGCTGCTGCTGGCTCGAGGCGTCGCCGCCGGAACCTATCGTTCCCCCGGACACGAAGCGACTGGTCATGGCTCCTTCTTCTACTCCTCCCCTACCACCCCCTCACGCGCTCTCTCTTCCCTTGACACCGCCGGCTCGGCTTGTGGCTTTGTATGCTCGCTCCAGACGCCGTTTGCTGCGCGGCTCATGAGATGCTTGGCGCGCTGTCGTGAGCGATGAGATGTGCGTGCTTCCGCTTCTGATGGCTGATGCACAGGCGCCGAGCCGCCGGGAGGACAAAGTGCCCGAACAGAGTGGAATTCAGATGAGCTGCCCGCCAAGAAGCCTCAGGTTGCAGGATGGGTGGTCTGCGGAACACCAATGGATTCAATATCGGTACGGGTAATGGGTGAAATATTCTTGAGTTTGAGGCTCGAGTGAGTGCGAGATTGCATGCGTCAAGTAAGTTACTTCCCCAAGTGCCTCATACCAAACGACGGCTTCCCGAATATCAGCCGACAACCGCCTCCTTCAGCTTCATCACAGCAACGACCAGCATGCAAACATGACAAGGTCGACGAGACAATCTGTTTAATTCGTTTCGCCGGCGTTGAATCAGCGCGCAGTAGGATGCTCAGACTTTGTGCTCCCAATTCTCGAGCCCATCGCAATCCAACCGTCTGTTCGACCTCTCCCTCACTATTGCCTATTTTCCTTTGCCCTTCGTCCCATCCACCATTCTCATTCTGTAGCGTCTGTAGCGGCGCGCCCATCCATCAACCAGTCCGTCCTCCATGGGAAAAACAAATGCCAACGCCGCAAGCACAAAAAGGAGCAGTGCCATCAGTCTGCCAGTACCGTCCGTCACCTCGACCAAGGAAAGAAAGAGAGGCCTAGGAAAAAAAGAAGAGCTTCACGAAGAAATGAACGCCATTAAGTCCCGACGCACAACCCCGCCAGTTCGAAAACCCCGCGCGTCTCTACTGATGCCCGCCCATGAAGAAAAACGTTTTAACACAGGTCAAGAAAACAGCCTCCAAAGTGCGGTGTCGTTTGCCAGAGCGTTGCCGATGGAGTAGCGTCGCCCGTCGAACCATTTTTGGAGGCAGAATGCAAATCCCATGCAATTGAGGAGAACAACCAAGGCCGTACGCATGTGCGCACGACTCGCCCGAATCACCGTTTTATCCGCTCGACGCGATGCATGAAAAACCCGTTTCGTAAAATCTCATATTTGTCTCATGGGAAACTCCCGAGTCTCTTCCAGTCGACTGGCGCACCGCAACGTGCGCTGTTCCAGGCTTTTTTTGAGGGGAGAAAAGAATCTATCTCTCGTCTCCGTCGAATGACCGTCGCAATAAGAGCATTCTGAGTGGCGACATGGCCGTTCGAATGCGATGGACTGTGCGCGAGACAGGCCCGTCTCAATCCGCACCTCATTTTTCTCAACACAAATGAAAGCCAAACACGCCAGATCGTTTCAGGTGTTGCCCCACAAGGCGGCCAAATCATCGTCGCCGTGAGTCGTGCCTGAGGTAGAGGTGTCGGTTACTGCCGTGGCGGTGCCTCGACAACCGTGACCTGCTGATTGCGGCGAACATGCCAACAAGATCCAGGGGAAGCGCAACGCTTCGGCATTGGGATACGGACCTGCGGCGGTCAGACACGCGAGTCGAGTGCCCGAGACGAAAATGTCGTTTTTAGAATCTATCAGGACAACCGATCCGGGAAGCTGAAAAACCAAGACGCCTGAAAATGACCATTAAGAGCCTATATCGAGGGTGTCGTCGCTGCGCCGTGTGAAATCTCTCCCCAGCCCGCACAGGCCTCAGAGGGCCGCTCGTGCGCTGAAAGCAGGGTCTGAGGCGACGGGCACAATCGACTTCTCGCCTTAAAAAAATGTACCGAAAATGGTCGCATGAACAATTTGTCGTGCCGAGGGGTATCTGAAGAGAAGACGTCGTTGATGGGGAAATGAAGAAAAAATTCGTATCCATTATGCGGACGCCACGACTCTTTCGCTTTTTTTGAAAGATGCAAGGGGGTGGGTGGAAGCGCTGTGGCTCCGTCGTCAACCGTCGCCACTGGAGAAAGGCACCAATGATGGTCGTCAACCCACGACCGGCTGGCCGTAGCCGTGGGACATGAAGTAAGGGGTCTGCTTCATCGGAGCGACACAACTGGGGCAGCTGCATTCAGCCATGCCGTGCTCCCAGGCGCCAGAGTTATACGGGTATTGCCCGTGATGATAGGGTGTCTGGTGGTTTGGGTAAAATGCATTGTGGCCCGAGTGCTGGGGGTATCTGTTGGCGTACTGCGCAGTGGCCTGCGCAAACCACTCGTTGTAGCGTGCGTTGCTCGACGTCGCGGACATGACGTATTCCGGCGTGCCGTAGCCAGAGTCTGGGGGCGTCAGCGGAGCACTCCAAGGGTTGTGCCCCCAGGACCCCTCACGAGACCGGTAGCCTTGCTGCGCCTTCATGGCCTGATAACGCTCGTACTCGGCAACTTGCTCCTGGACATAGCGCGAGTGAGGCGACTGGCGGTGATTGTGGTAGCGTGCAATCTCCGTGTCGATTGCTGGTACCAGCGACACCAGCCTTTCACGGCTAGCCTGGGCGGCCAGGCGCTTCTTCATCTGCTGCCACTCACGCCAGTTGTCGAGCCAGGCCTGGTAGTCCTTGCTAAGGTCAAGGTTGACATAGAGCCGCCAGCTCATAGCCTGGACCCAGTCGAACTCGAGAGCATTAAGTTCCGAGACGGCGATTCCGCTGACCTCGGACCAGGAGCGGTTCTGAAACGTATTGTCGTCGAGAAACTTGCTACCCAAGAGAAGCGAGACGGTAAGATATCGCCAGACTTGGCCTTCGGATGCCTTGAAAGGGCCCTGCTCCTTCATGGCGTTGATTCTCTTGGCGAGGTAGTTCATACCCAAGAGGATCGTAGTGCTGGGGAGCCGGGTCGAGGTAAGGATCTGGGACACAAATTTGCGGAACGGCGTCGTAACGGTGGCCTCGGGGGTCACCACTCGGGTCGCCATCTCAGCAACATATTCGGCCATCGTGTTGACCTCATAGTCGAGGACGGCGCACACGCCTCCGGGCATGATGACTCAGATGTGAGGCGTCCGACAAAGACCGGATTGATCTTGGTCGGAGTGTAGAGCTGAAGACGTGAGACACAGGAGTGCGGATGGTCCAGAGGAAGTTGACGCTGCTGTGTTGGGGCAAAAAGAAATGCAAACGAGGCGCGAAGAGAACAGGCAAAACTTTTATTTGCGTTGTCCAGCCATTTAACGCCTGAACTATATTGTCGTATTGAGTGACAATGTAGGCGAGTGGCGCAGAGTTCTGCCTGAAGTATGTTGCGAGGTGCCGGCCAGTACGGATATGTTGTGGGGAGTCTGTGTCCCGGGTCGTGTGATCGTGGATGTGTTAAATGGTCGTTGGGGATGTGACACGGCTGCGAGGCGCGGGAGGGAAAGCAGGGAATCAAGGCGCTCTGCAATTATGGTCAGCCGGGTTTCCTGCCAGACTGCAAGACGCTTCAGCGTGCTCTGTTGATGTCGCAACACGAGGCCGCGGCACACAACAGTGTTCGAAAAGGGGATGCTTGCTGAGAATCGCAGAGCCCGCACCGAGGCAAACCTGGACAGCGGGATGCGCTCAGAAAGCGCTCAGGTCGAGCTTGAGAGTTGTCTTTGGGCGTATTCGATCTGGTCGTACAGGTTCGGCACTTGTTTGCGCCTCTTGACGCGGCGCGATAAACTGTTGCCGTGGATTGGAAGGCGAGGGACGGTGCTCAAGACCGGGTTGCCAAAATAAGGACAGACCGGAACATGTAGACCAGACAAACCGACTAGGGAAGACAAAACGTCGCAATGCTAGCTTACCTGTAAGAGAAGGCCGTCGACGAAGGGAAGTGAACCCCGAAGAGGTGGAATGCCGACCAGTGGACGAAGCGATAACCGACGACGACCACTTCCACCTCAGTCGACCCTGAGGGAACACGTGCGCGAGACCTGAATCCGATGGTCGACGAACGGTGACGAGTTCGTGACGGGGGTTGTCGAAGGCTTCGGCGGATTCGGTTTTCCGTGGCGGAGTGAAGAGAATGGGGGAGGGCGAAGGAGAGAGAGCGAGGAGAGGAGGGTTGAAGAAGAAAGAGAGAAGAGAGAGTGTGTGTGTGGTAGGTGGTAGGTCAGGATGGGGGTGTGGTATGGGGCGTCAAATGGGGATTAGGAGGATGGGACGGCGAGGATGATGAAGGCTACGGGCGGCACAGCCGGCTGTATCAGTGGGTGGACGGGCAGGAGGAAGGGCAGAGATCGGGGACTGTAGGCCATACATTACAGTACAGTGGATAGGTTGGGTAGGTAAGTACAGTAAGTACCGGCAACTTTTTTTTTCGTTCTAGTCTGGTTGCTTGGCCCCGTCCACTGTTGCCGTGTCACCTTTAGGTTCTGTTTGTGTGGGCGCAACAGATGACGCCCCGGGTACCTCCCTTGCCGGGCGACGGTCGGCTGGGGCACAGGTACCCCCCCTGTACTGCGTACTCGGTACTCCGTTCCGCCTCCTCGTAAGATACCTGTACTCGGTACATGCCTGTTGTGCTGCGAATGGGGGAGGAGCCAGGGGCTCCATCAAAGCTGAGCAGTACGGCGGGCTGATTGACTGCGGCAGGGTCGCAACACATTACCTCAGGCTTTCCTGCCTCCTCTGGCCGCCCCTTGCCCCCCACCTGGGCAAGTGGCACACGTAGGTACATGTATGTACAGGTACGAGGTGGAGGCTCCCGGCCGCGGGTGTTGGGCACTGGCAACGGGGACGGGGATGGGTACTGGGGACTCGCCGTGTCTCTGTGTGCCTCTGTTAGGATTGCTAGGGGTGCGTCAGCGGCCCTCGAGGCACGGAGAATGGAAGCTGGCAGCCCCAGGCTACGGGGGAGGGGGACAGGGGTTGATGGAGTCGCCACCGACTGGCGCAGCGACTGGCTGGCCATCCAGTCGTCCATCAGGCTCTCTCTGGCTTTGGGCATCAGGCAGAGAAAGCTTCGGGCGGCGCGTGACTTGCCGCAGTGTCTGACTGTACAGTACAGCAGCGGCTATACTTCGTACCGCATCCTCTATGAGCGCATGTACCGTACTGTACATGCCTTCTCCTTTCTTCTTCTTCCTCCTCCTCCACCTCTGTCGCGTCCGAGGAACCGAAACGCTGGCCCCCCCCACCCTCGATTTGCATGCGTGGCGAGCTGGCGCACAAGACCGCTTGCTCTCCATGTGGCAGTCCGTGCGTGTGTGAGAGTGAGTGAGGAGAGTGCATACTTGGCGCTGGCTTGAGGCTGACTGAGCCAGCGGAGGGAGACTCAGGGCCAGAGACCCGGGGCAGAGACTCTTGGCCAAGACTCGTGGGCTGAGAGGCTCAGGGCGGAGAGTGCATCGCAGCTTGGCATGTGCCAACCTGAGGTGTCTTGCTCAATTGTGCAAGGCCTTCGACGACACGAGTCACCCGGAGGAGATGGCGCGGAGAGAGAGTACTGCATGTACTGTACAAGATGCGGTACGTGTGCTTGGACAAGCCCAGCCCACACAAACAAACACAGCCAAGGGCCATCCCCACAGCCCTGTGGTTTGATTGGACACAGTCATCCGCCACCCACAACAGCCCCCAAGCATCTGTGTCTTTGCTGGCCATCACAGTGTTGTTGTACGCAGGTGCCCTTGCTTGACTGAGATGTCAAACTCCACTACAGGGTATCTTCACTCTGTCTTGGCGGGAAATATCTGTCAAGCGAGAGGGGGGGATTTTTACAGCCTCATTTCACCCGAAATTATAGAGATGGCTAGCTTCAACCGACCGACTAGTGCGAGGCATGGGCAGCGTCACACACTGCAATTTTAGTTCCTCGGCAGCCTGTTGAAGGAAGAGAAGTATGTATGTACAGAGTACTGTAGTTTGGGTAATCCCCGTCCCGCTTCGGCGCAGTAGTGATACTCTGGCGTTATCGGTGGGTATGGCATCGGCCATAGTCTTTTATTGAACCTTGTGGGCTGTGCTTGCACTGCTGACGCTCTCTTCGCTGCTCCTGCATCCGTCTCCCCTGTTTCTGACGACGGCGTACCACCCAGGACGGCCGCTAGTAGCCTGATGTGACGCAAATGAAGGCCCTAGAGGCGTGGCTCTCCAGTTTATTTAGGGGGGTTTGGGGGGGCATCACGCATCAGCGGGCCGGCAGGACAGTACATGTACAGTATGCAAGTACCTGATGAGTGCACGTGTGGGTTAGTCGTGAGGTGGGTAATTTCTAAACCGGCCCCCCCAACACACGCGCACTCGGCCTTGCCCCTCTAAGCGGGTCTCAAGGTCTGACGGGTCCTGCGAGGCTTCCGCCAGTCATTCGTCAGCCTTTTTTTCTTTTCTTTTTGTTTTCCTCACCATGGCCATACATCCATCCATCCTTCTCGAAGCACCGACCCAGAAAAGGCGGAGGAGAAGAAAATCCTGCGAGTCACACCCGAGCGGAGACGTGCATGCAGCGCTACGCCAACCACCCAAACGATGGCCATTGCCTCGCCCTTTCGCCTCAGCAGCAAAGCCACGAGACGTCTGCCTCCAGGACACGTCGCTGGCTGATCGCTCGGCCTGTCTGCCGTCACGGACCTCGGTCCCGCGGCAAGGCTGGCTGACTGTCCGTGTGCGTACTATTCTGTGATTCGTGCTATACTGTACTCTGTAAAGTGCGGGAAAAAAAACTTGGCACCAAGACAGCTGCGTCCATGACGATGACTGGACCCATGCCCCGTCATCAAATGTATAAAGTGCGCTGCCTATGTATCCGCTATTTTTGCACACGTACCTTGCCGCCCGCTCTGGCGACAAATATACCGTCTGACTGCCTTCGGCAAACACGGAGTACTTGTTATTACACCGCAGACGTCAGAATGATGCTCTGCCTTGCAGACAGGGAAACTTTGTTCCAATGACTGAGCAGACAAACGCCAAGGCTTTGGTTTCTTCTGGCGGTGGCGAAAACGCCGACCATCGGTTTAGAATTCTGGCTGCACCAGGGGGGCCCGCCCGCGGGAATCGATGCATCATCGACTGAAAGCACAGAACAAAAAGGAATCCTCGACCAAGCCTGGCGTTTCACCTGTGGGTATCGTGCATGGAATTTATGAGCACTGTGCTATGGGCACCCACAGCCCCGTGTAGCACAGTGTGGGTTTGCCTACACGCCAGTGCCTTCATTCTCGACGGGGCAAGCAGATCCGCTGCCCGGCCACCTGGTGAGGAAGAAGGAAAGAAAGAAATGCACGGAAAATGCGGAGAGGGGAATCAAAATGCCTCAGGTCCACCACACCCGCTTGCTGCAAGATCACGTAGCGTGACTGGCCCCTCTCTCGGTTCTGCTCCTGGGTTGCGCCGGCTTGGCCCTCTTTGGAAGCCGGGTGAGGATTGCGGACGAAAATATTGGGATTTCCATTACGCGCAGAAAAAAGGACGGATGCACGGCCAGCCGTCGAATTATCGTGACCAAGATAGACACGCCCGTCATACGTATTCTAACCAGAAGCCGGAGAAGCTAAGTTAATGGAGGAACGGCGACCAGCTGACTAGTTCTCGACCCGGCAGTACGCCGAGCGAGCCCTTGCTTTTTTTCCTTTTTTCGGAAGACTAGGCTCGGACAATCCCCTGTCGTAGTCTTTTTTTTTCTTCCTCGCCTGCGTCTCCTCAGGGGTGAGCGAGGGGAAGGGATCTCCAAATGACCCAGCCGTCCAGGAAATCGCTGCTTCTTGTAGCCGCCCATGTTTTAATATAGCAATAGCACGGGATGCTTGCTTTAATATAGAAACCTCGTGCGTGTCTGGCCCATCCATATCCCTGTGCGGTACTTTGTGTGTTGAAATCACGCGTCGAGATTTAATATGGCCGGAGATACCTGCCTACCCCGAGCAGTGTGTGTGCTGGTTCAGAATGCGTCACAGTACCGGTATTCGGCTCGAAGGGGCCTCCATCGTTCGTCGTGAGTTGGTACTGTACAGAGTGATGCCGGGGTGGGGAAGAAAGGGCCGTCTTCACCAAGCTGCGAGATGGATGCAAGGCGGCAGCAGTCGGGGCGCGTGACACACGGGGCCGGATCATGGTTCTGGTTCTTCACGGCTTGCCGTGTCACCGACTGACCGGTCCAGGGCCAAGCCATGTACATACATACTGTACTTGTACTGTATCTCTCGGCAGCCATATCTCCCAGCACACATACATGTACTTGGTAATGCGCACGGCATGCGGACTGTACGGATGAGGTGCGCGTACTGTAATCTTCCAGGTCGAGGAGGGGCGATTGTAAAGCCCGAATTCTCCCTTGGCACCAATGAGCATCGTTTCATTTCATGACGGTGGTTCTCTGCACAATTTTACATACGATACGCCCACCTTGCTCCGTACATACGTATTGGCCTGGCCGATGGGATCCACGATTCTATCCTTGATACGGACGGATACGGGGCTCGATGTCCGGGTCATTGCTTTTGGGAATCTGGGTTTCTTGGTTTCTTGGATTGTGACTTCACGGCGCTCAGGGTGCTTGTTGGGCGTGACAAATGCTCCCTCGGCCCAAAAATACACGGTAATGGACATGGCGTGGCCTTCTGTTGGACCCGTCGGGAAAATTCACCAGCCCATGATGGCTGGGCAAGGCTCGCCGTAGCGATGGGAGGCATGCTTAATAAGGCTATATGGTCCCCGTCGCCCGAGCGGGGCTGAAGGGACGTGTAGAGGTTGGCCGTGCCTTGTATCCGGTACATGCACGCGGTAATGCATGCGGTACCAGCATTGAGAAAAATAAAGGCAATTAAGGGTCATCGTACTGTACGAGGATGGATGGAGGAATAAACAGCAGGGAAAAAGGGGGTGACGTGGCCCATGTGGAGCATGTTGAGAGGTTGGCTCCGACATGTCCTAGGACAGGGCCTTGAGAAACCCGACGAGACATAAAAAAAAAGTCGAATTTCAGGGTCCTCGAATTCCCATGGGCATATCTTTGGATATGATTTGGGGAAAGACGAGAGACAGCCCCCCGTGGCGTGTTTCACCAGCGCCACGCTCACAATGCCACTGCTCCCTCGTCGACTTGGCGAGACCCAGAGCCAGTCAGTCAGTCAGAGTGCATTGGGAGAAGGTGCATGGGGAGAGAGAGAGTGCATGGGGAGAGAATGCATGGGCAGTGCATGGGGAAGGGGTCATGGATGCATGTCATCCGTCGTCCTCTGACCGTCTCTGTCGCTCCCTCGGGCCTCGTCCCGACAGATGAACCCTCTCCGGTCCATGACTGTGTGCGTGCAGGAAAAGAGGACGACAACTCACCGCAACATGCGCTCTGTTCGCTGCGTGCCACATCTGCAGGAGGATAACTTACCTACCAATACGAAGGCGGGGGTCAGGGGGGCCCTCGGCGGAGCACGGAGCAACACCACCGGTGCGTGGCCTTGACCGCTTACCCTACAGCGGACATGCTTTGCCCATCTTTGCTGCCAACCCGGGCGCATCCTACCGTTTTTTCCCTACTCCGTAATATCGCAAGTCGTCTCTCGCCACCCGTGACGTGTCGTCATGTCGATGCCGTCGAGCCAACCGCCGGGCCATAGCAACGCCGCCGTGAATCACCTGCGGAACGAGAGACCGACCCCTGGAACCTGTTGTATACCGCGGCCGCGACTGGTCAACTTTGCAGCCGACCGACCGTCGTCATACCTCATCGCCCCCGCGAAGCAGGTCGGCGGGGGAGCAAACGGCCACATGGACCTCCCTCGCCTCCCATTGGGCGCTGTCGAGCTGGTTCGATGGATGGATCGAGGCAACTGCGAGACGCTCAATCGGGCTGCGCCAAAGACAGCGGATGACCACTCACTCCCCCTTTTTTCCCTCGCTTGTTTCTTCTCCTGTTTCTTCCGTCGCTGTTTCTTCTTCCCCTCTTCGTCCACCCTCCTCCCTCTCTGCCTGCCTGCCTGCCGAAGGCTGGGGTGTCTCGTCCCGATGCCAACCGACTGCCCCCCCTGGGTCAATCTCATCCGGTATCTGACAGCCAGCAAGATGATGGCGTTGGCATGGCGGCAATGCATTGCCGTACCCAGCCATACCTTACCCCCTTCCAGTCGGCCGGTGAGACACGGCGTATTTCTCTCGACAGGCCAGAGACAGCACGTTGACTCTCTACTTGATCATGTCAGGACTGGCTTGGTTGAAGCGTCAAATCATACCGTTGCTAAATGACTTAGTTGTGCTACAATGCGATCGGACGCGTGCTCTCCCGAATACCCGGAACCCTCCCATCCAGGAACGGCGGCGAATAAAAGTGAGACCTATCCAACCTGGCCCTCGCTGCCCTGGCAAGGCCAAGTTTGCCTCGCTCCAGCCTCGGCGCCAGTCCGTCGATGGCGTCGAGGGTGAAGCTGTCCATGTCAAAAGGGTCTTCGCGAATCATGCGCCTGCTGCGCAGCGTCTCGACTATCTGCGCCTCCTCGGCCGTCAGATGCTTTTGCACGTCTTCGAGCCCCCCTACATCTGTCGCATCGCCTTTTCCGGACTCGAGGCCCAGAGCCCTGAGCTTCTCGAATAGCGCGTCCTTTTGCTCGGGGGGGACGTATGTAAAGGCCCTGAAGCAGAACTCAAGAATCCTGGACATTTCCGACTGTGTCGTTTTCCCCGTCCCGTCGGCATCAACAGAGCCTTGGATAACTGATACAGGCCAGTTAGCCAGGGCCACAACGGCGTGATGCTATGGTGAGATGGAGGCTCCAAGGCTTACTCGGCTGAAGAAGGTCAAAGGCTCTCTGGAAACCCTCCTCATCTACATCTTGAATCACTGGCTCCTCCTGGGAGCGAATTTGCTTCGTGGCGCTGCTGACCGCCAAGAAGAAGCGGGTGTAGCTCTCGACCGTCTTCTTGGAATGCCACGAGCCCGCCGTCTGCTCGTCGCAGTCGCCCCTGAGTGACGCCGCAATCGTGACTGCCGCTGACAGGCCCCCCGTTATGGCCAGATGGACGCCCGACGAGAACAACGGGTCGATAAAACAGCCGGCGTCTCCGCAGATGCGTGCATGCGGCAAGTGGTAGCTAGATGAGGTGTAGGACCAGTCCGAGGCCGACTTGATATCCGTAGCTAGCCTGGCCCCTGAGAGGAGTTTCTTGGTCCTGGGCGCCAGCTCGAGGGACTGCCTGTAGAAGTCCAGAGTCGACGGATGTCCAAGTTCGCGCTTCTTGTCAGTCGCCATCTGCTGGTCCTGCACGATGCCAACGGAGCGAGTGCCATCGTGCAGCGGCATAAACCAGCACCAGCCGCTCGCATCTGCATTCCTCAGTCAATCACGCACGGGAAACTGGCATACAAGTGACGAAACCCACCTGCCAATGCCTCAAAGTATGGCGCGCCTTCCATGTGCGTCCCGCGGCCGTATACATTGTCGCTCTCCCAGTAGGCCCAGTTGGCGACGTTCTTGAAGTTCCGGTTAAACCTCCTACTCCTGAGATATTTGGTGCTTAGGATGCCGTGTCGTCCACTGGCATCTACGAGGTACTTGAAAAATATGGTTCCGGCAGTGCCATCTCTGCGGATCCAAGTAGCAGCCACGGGTCGGCCGCGGTTCAAGGCCTCGTTGCTCTCCTCTGAGCTCGGGCTCGGTTTGTCGGTGCCTGGCTCAAACTGAATCGTATCGACCTTGGTCTCGTCAAGGATGTGTGCGCCGCAAGCCCCGGCGTGCCGGAAGAGCAGCTCATCGGACTCGGACCGGACCAGGTTCCAGGCGTATCCATCAGGGCCGCCAGCCGCAATAAAGTCGGTATCTAGGCAGACATGAGCTGATCAGCCACGGCTCCTGACGATGGACGGGGGACTTACAGGCATCTGGCTGAGACTGGTTGAGCCGGAAAGCTGCACCAATCTGGCCGTCGGTCAACTTTGATATTCCGCAACCCAGCAAACAAGAGGAGACTACCTTCTTGTAGAATCCGTGAGCATTGAAGGCGTCGTCAAAGTCTATAAACTTCAAGAAGTGGCGTAGCGAGGGAAGCGTGCTTTCTCCGATGTGATATCTGTTACGGTCGAATAAGCCCACCAGAAGACATACAGGACTGCTTGCTTGATTATCCTACTGACCTCGGGAACTTGTCCGCCTCGAGAAGGACCGTCTCAATCCCCTCGCGCGCCAAGCAAGCAGCCGCAAATGAACCCGCAGGGCCTCCCCCGATGACCAGCACTGTACAGTTCTGCGGAACGGCCATGTTAGCTGGGATGGGTGGGTTGAGTGCGGAGATTGATAAAGGGGATATTCAGATGGCCAAATTTGACGGATGTAGGCTGAGAATGAGCCGAATAGGGTTGTTCAGAGGTGAGAGAAGAGGCATGGCCCAGCACTTACAGTCTCGGAGTCTCGATTCTTCTATGGAGGGGCATCCTCTTAACATCGGAGTCTCGATGCTTCTACAGAGGGGGATCTTCTCTACCGTTGAGACAGCAGAATCGAGCCGAGGGGTGGATTCTGTCGTCCCGACGGTAAAGAGGGTTGCAGTATTGCAACATGTCTTGTCCCGCACTCGCTTCACTTGCATGTCGCCAGTCACGGGACGTGCGGCTGATCCTCCAAGCGCGTCATGCATACAAAATCGAGGACGTCTCGTTGCTAGCCTACTTGATGCAAGGCCATGTCTCCGGGCTTGGCCTTCGAAATGCGTATGCGTACGGACCTATAGTACATGAGAGGCTGCTTGCTGTGCCGTGTGTGCTGTTGGCCGGGCCGGGACGGGAAGGTAGCATAGGATACCGCATGGCATGGCCACCGACCAGCCACTAGAACGGTAGAGCATGTTGTATTTAACTTGTATGGTAGAAAGAGAATGAAGTAGCGGGACCGGCTTCTCCCTGGAGTCCCTTCATTAACATGCCGTTTCAAGTCAGCTTCCCCTGAGCACGGGAACAAACACCCGCAGTACGTGAATACCGCGGTCCCAGAACTCAAGAAGCTACCAAAACACGTCCACGAGCAATCGAGAGCCCTGTTGAGAGGCTTGCTGTTGTCCTCATCCGAGGCCGGCCCCAGACCTAGATCAACGGGCAGTAGCAGTTGGGCTGTTTAATCTCCCAAGTTGCTATTATCACAGCCTTCCCCTCCCCTCACCTGACCAATACAATCCTTCTAACAGTGCTTAACCGATCTAACTACCCGGGATCAAAATTCTCGGCCCTGAAACTTCATTCTGTCGCTCCCACCCAGCCGGCGGCTCAGGACCCCTAACCTCCACCATCTGCGGCATTCCCGGCCCGTCATGCGTTTGAGACACTATGCCCGGCGTCGCTTCCGGGCTGTCTGCGCCAAGCTCCTGCGGTGGCTTCGACTGCACCCAAACTGGCGAGGGGCTCCTGTGTGAAGATAGCCTGCATGAATCGTGCGGGTCCTGGCTGTAGCAGCTGTTGTGTAGATTCGGCCTGCCGGGGGACTGAGGTGGAAACATATGAGAAGCTCCGCCGCCTGTCTGGTTGACTACAGGCATGCTTTCCGGCTTGGCCGGTTGTTGACGTCGAAACAACAACCACATGCCAACTGCTAGCAGGGCAACAACTGCTGCGCCGATGCTAATGCCTGCTATGGCACCTGCGGAGAGGCTAGAAGAGGTTGATGGGTTGGCCGCCGTGGTAGAGGTCGGTCGGGGAGTTGCTGAAGATGCCGAAGTTGTTGGCAGCACCAGCGCTTCAGTGCTGCTTGGAACCGCCGAGTTGAGGCCATATGGCTGCACATTGGCATATGCTTCGCATTGGGCATTGGGTGCGGCCAGAGGGCAGTCCTTTGCAAGGCAGATTGAGTATAGTTGACCGTCTTGCGGTGGCGCGCACCGGGTATTATATCTCGCATTCATAAAGGTGGAAAGCGTCTCGGCATCGGGGTCTGAGAAGCCATAGTACTTGCTGGCGGCAATAAGCTGGTCGATGAAGTATCCGATGTGGGTATGGTTTAGGTCCATGTATTTATGTACGTAGGCTGGAGTAAGAGGAGTGAAGCTATTTTCTAGGAAATGTTTTGCAAGGCTGCAGCCGTAGATCTTCCCAAAGGCAAAATACCAACGAGAAAACAGTTTCCTGGAGTAGAGAATGAATGATGAGCAACTATACCGCGTCAGAGGTGTATGTGACTGACTCTTGATTTGTTCCCTTTTTTATTTCTGCCGTCTCGGTAGAGCTATTCAAGAAGGCGATTAGCGGCGCAGTACCGCCTCCGTCGAGCCAGTCGACGCCGACAGCTTGGCCATTGAAGTTTGTGATTGCCTCTGTCCAGTGTCGTCAATTGGAATGGTCAGCGAGCAAAGGTATCGGGACCTGCCAGGCTGCCATACTTGATCCGTTGAACCACGGCCGGAGGTATACATCATGACCATTAAACCGCCCGTGATTGAATATTCCGGTACTTTTAGTCTTGTCGTCGGTAAGTCGGAGTGCACCGCCGCCAGCGTAGGCGTAAGCAACGATGCCCTGCATCAGACGCAGCTGCGTCGTGCTGTTACTCGCACCATAGCGTTGAGCGGCGTAGTAGTCACAGATGGACTGGTTGCTTGGTCGATCGGCGAAGACCTCTCTCCACGAGAGGGAAAGGAGTAAAGGGACGGCGTAGTTCCATGGCATGCTGGGCATGATTCTGAGGCGGCACTTGGCAGCTTGGGTATCAAGAGGGTGTCGTCAGCGGCACAAGACCAAAATCGCGGGGGATTCTATCATTCTAGTATTATAGACGCAAGGGGACGCGGGCAAACAGGGGGCGATGCACCGAGGAAGCTTTCAAAAGGCTCATGCCGCGCTAAAGCAGCCCCGGTAAGGAAAAAGAAACGAAGAGAGAGACCCCCATGTCTATTTCCCTTTTGCTGTCTCTCGCCGAGGCTACGGCAGGCAGCATGCAGCCAAAGGAAAAACCGCTGATAATTAACCACCTCACTCTCTCGGACAGACGAAGCAAACTCGGCCACTTTTCGACTTTTCAGAGGGAAATTGTCGACAAGACTGTCTATAAATGCGGTCCCGATGAGATCCCGTTTCCTAGACGTGGCCGCAAGGAAGCTGAGAACCCGGCAGCTGGCCGGACGAATATACTCAGGATGCCCAACATTTATCGGTTACCCGATAACAATTGCGGGCACCAATCATGGATATCTGTTGAGAAGCAAGACATGTGCGGCAATTGCAGCGCACCTTTCGGAGCGCGTTCCACTTTGGTCTGCGTGGTAACTGTTAATAAGGATGTGCATCACGGACGAAGCTGGAAGCATGGAAGAATGATCAACCTGATTGTACAAATCCATTCCAGTGGCTTCTTCGACGCCATCTTCGATCTGCTATTTCCAACAGAAATAGTCGACCTTGAGTCGCCCTAGTGGGATGCCCTGGAAATTATCCTCGACAGAAAACGACTTAATACTGTAGGTTCGACTAGAAATCTAGACCAGTCTAGACCTCCAACTTGGTGCGTTCTTGGTATACGGGGTGTTGTTCCTTCTCCTCGACCCCTTGGGCAGTTGGAGGGAAGATTTTTTCTCTCTTTTGTTTTCTCGAGCACGAGCTTGCACGACGCCTTGTTTCTTTTTCCTCGGCTGACGAGGCGCATGACCGCGTCCTGTTTCAGGCGTCTGCACTTATTTAGATGTGTAGGACGGACCAGGCAGGCAACTAGGCCACGCCAAGTTAAACCAGGATTCACGAACCGGCTTCTCAAAACGTAGAGATAAGTGGCCATCGTCGAAACGGAAGCGAGGTAGGAGGGCAGCAGAGTCCCGTATTCGCCTACTATTCGCTCGGTCGCTAAAACGGTGTAAACTGACAATGCTCCCACTGGAGTCCCCCGTTCCGCATCCAACTCCTCGAACAGGAAAACGTCCAGGCCCTCAACGGGACCCGATATGACTATGACTACCTCCTATCGCTCTTGCCAGCGACAGACCGCGTAGAGTCTGGGTAACTTGGCCACCCCGGCCTGTTAATCACTCCGGCGCCCCGGGGCACCGGGACTCGGCCGACATGACGATCCACTTCCGGCCGGCCGGCCGCGGGGATGATACTAACGTCGGAGGCGACAGCATTCTTCTGTCTTTGTATAGCCAGACGTACGTTGTGGATGGTATACTCTACCACAATCAACAGCTTGAGACCTGCGTTGCCTCGGGATACTTTGTTCTGAACATCTGGCTCACTCTGGCAGCCGTCCCAAGGTCTGACGAGATTGAGTGTGTGTGTGTGTGTATTTTCCGTCCAGAGACTTTAGTCGCTCAGGTCTCCTATCGGAGCACAGGACGTGCTGAGCTGATCTAACTATTCCCGACCGCTATCTGACAAGATCAACCAGTTTCCCTTGTAAAGGCCTCATGGTCTCACATAACGACACCTGTCCACGGGCAGTTGTCTCTGCTGTAGACGCCACTAAAGTACATCGCAAGATGTCAGTACAAGTGTCCCGGCTGATCCTCCCGCAACAGCCGTCCAGTCAGCTCATCCAGCATTTCGACGGCTCAAGGCGCTTTTCGTTCGTGGCCCTCACCCGTCAGCGGGATTTTGGGCAGGTGTGGTCAACCCTTGGTTTTCACCGGTCATAATTCTCTCATCCCTCTGCCAAAGCTACCAGAGCTTTATATCCATCCTCAATCGCCTGAGGAAAGGAAACCGGCCGAGGGGTGGCGGCAGGGAAAAACCCTTCGAAGGAATCAGAGGCTGTCGAGCAGCTTGCCTTCAGGGAGAAAAACCTCCGCGACCGGCCACCGTTGTTTAGAAGAGCTTGTCTTCCAATACCCTTGGCTCCTTGGTTCCGGAGGAAGCCATGGGGTCCGAGTGGACGTTGTGTCGGGACCAGCTTTGCAGAGGAAGATGAGCTCTCCAAAGTCTTCCTCTGTGCTGTTAAGGCCCCGATGGGGTCTCACAGCAAAAGCGTGGTCGGGTGGCCTGCAAACCCTGCCCCGCGTAACAAGCCGCTAACAGCTCCGCGGGGTGAAGAATTTTTACAGGGAGAGTTGTCTGACGAGATTGAGCGCCGGGTACCGGTGGGTACCGGGTAGCCAGGATGTGGCCGCCGGTGTCGAGATGACAGATTTCATCACGAGATGCAGCACGTGACACTGGCTACGGCACTGCGACGTGGCTCTTTGACTCGGAGCCGCATTTGCAACTTGGCCAGACAAGAGACCCCTTCCTTCATCTCGACGACACCGCCCGTCTCTGTCTGACCCCGTCTCTCTCGCTCTCTCTGGCTCTCCACGACTGCGCCTTCTTCCCCCCCCACAAGCGTTGCACCTCACGCTCGACGCTCGACGCTCGACGCTCCCCCGTCCCCGGCCTCGACCCCAGCCTGCACCATCACCGGACCGTCTTCGCAATGGCAGACCAAGCCGAGAGCCTCATTGAAGTGCCGCGCGAGTTTGTCAAGGAAGGCGTCCAGTTTATGCACAAGTGCCAGAAGCGTGAGTGCGCCCAGCTAGCGGACTGCAGCCATGGGCTGGGTGCTGACGGCGATTCGACCATGTCGCGACAGCCGACAAGAAGGAGTTTCTCAAGATCTCGCAGGCCATTGCCATTGGCTTTCTCACCATGGGCACCGTCGGCTACATCGTCAAGCTGAGTATGCGAATGCCCGTCCCCTTGCCGTCGCGCGTCACACCGTTGCTGACGCACCTGCGTCTCCCTCAAAGTCCACATCCCCATCAACAACATCCTAGTCGGAGCCGCCTAGAGGATACCAGTTCGAGAATCGGAGGCGTTGAAGGACGAGAGCGAGGACATGGGATCGGCATTCCATCTACGACGGGGGCGAGGGCCAAGTATGCACATCATTGACAGCATCGGGAGTTTTCACGGGCAACGCGGGCAAAACCAAGCTTGGCACACTTGGGACACGTAAGCTTGGCAAAGGCAGGCCGTTGGCCATCGGCCGCATCGAATGGAGGCTAGACAAGGGCCAGAGATGTAACGTCTAGACATGGGAGACGGGGACCAGCGTGTGTAATGCGCATGGACTAATGTACCAACACAAACCAGCAGCACATGCTTGACAAGGCTGTGCACTTTCTCCAAGCGTTTGAATGCGCCCCATGAGCTCGGTGATTTGAAAACAGGGGACGACATCGCCCGTTTGGCCTCTGCGATGGCGGCAGTTGGAGACAGGGAGAAGCAGAGACGTGGAGCCGGCTCTCGGTTGAGCATGATGGCCGGGTTCCAAGGAAACTACATCACGCGGAGAGACAACGAGTGCGGCAGAGGAGTGTGTGAGAAACAGGGCTATCATGATTACAGACTCGATGCTGCGCCGTGTCCAATGGCCCCGATTCCCCCAGCGCCAGAAGAACAAGATGGTCCTATCCCGAGCCGGATCAACCAACCGTACGGATATCCTGCGGATTACGTCGTGACCAGGTGCACGTCCGAGACGGCCTCTGCCCTCCCTCGAGCCGTCATTCGCAAGCCCTAGTCCGTCTCCTCCTCGACCGTACGCTTGGTCGTCAGCGCCGTCAGCGGGTCGACGGCGAGGGAGAGGGTGTCGCCGGCGAGCCTAAAGGCCGTGTCGACGCCGGCCTGGGCCAGGTCGACGGCATCTACGCCCGCGGGGTTAGCAGGTCGACGAGAAACGACACTCGGGAGATGGGATAGGACTCTGATGCAAGGAGGAGAGAGAGAGAGATGCTGAGGAGGGAGGCATACCACGAGGCTCGACGGGCGCGGCGGAGACGACCGAGGCGGCGGCGGCGACGAAGGCGACGATGCCCGTGGTCTTCTTCATGGTGACGGCTACGTTTGTTTACGATGAGAGAATGAAGGGTTTTGGTGGTGGACGCTGGTGTATGGACGAGCAACGCCGTGGGGGGGAACGAGTGGTGGGTGCGTCGACTGCTTGATCGTGTATAGGCAAGGACGATAGCGAGTGTGAGTGCGAGGTTTCCGGATGGAGAGAAAAGCGAGGGCGAGGGCGCGATATATACAGCGCCCCGGCATAGACTCCAAGAGAGAGAGAGTGTGTGTGCGTTTCGAGGACCGAGGCGCAAGCACACCAAGCCCTCTCCTCTCCCTCTCCCTCTCCTCTCCCAACCCCGAACACGGGACGCGGCGCACACACGACCATGATCGCACAGTCAGTCGTCGCCGCCCCTGAAACAACCGACCGACCGACCATGGAGCTCCCGTCCTCGCCAGCACCCCTCCCTCCCCTCCCCCAAGCCGCGGCGCTGCATGTACATCACAGTGCCATCAAGACGGACCACGGAATGGCCTTGGAATTAGGAAAAAATACGAGCAACGTCCGCCTTCCGTTTCGCACCCCCCCCTTCCGGGGACAAGCAAAGGTCGGTGCGCCGCGCCGGTTCGTTTCGGCCGGCTCCGCTCGTCTCCACCTCCGCCCCCCCCCCCAACCTCCGTGACGGATCGGCAGGACAAACACTCTCTCTCCGAAGGAGCTCTGATTAACCACAGAGAAGAGGCAGAGGCCGTGACGGGCTGGTTGGTCGGCTGGCTGAGATGGCATGGGCCCGCCCGTCCGTGCCCCAACAGTGGCATCCCGAGCTTCACTGTGCACAGCATGTCGCCCCCTCAGCTGGGCAGTCCTTCATTTCCCCTGGCCGGAAGCTTCTCCCTCTATTGCTCCCCATTACATCATCGTATAACATCCCTCAACGGTTTCCCAGTCTCATCGTCAATCCCCCTGATGATTGCGCCTCCTCGTCCCCGCAGTCCACTGTCCGAGGGGGCCTTGGCGAGCTTCTCAAAGAGCCGGGCAGTGGCGTCAGTGCCGTCATGGATATCAGGGGCAAGAAACACGGCCCGCCAAAGATAGCCGAGCTCGTAGGCTTGATGAGGATAATTGCTTTCAGCCTTCCTAAAGTGAGCCATCTCCGTCTCGTCCACGGCCACTCCCCGGCCCCTGATACTCCGAACAGAGAAAAACCCTCTCGGTTGGCGAGCGAGCGAGCGAGAGCCACGATGCGTCACCGCCCCTCTGGTTTCCCTTCTCCCGCATTACACGCCCAAAACGCCTTCAACCACGCCCGTCCGTCCAGGTCCAGGGCTCGTCACTGGACCTCAACCGAGGTAAACGGTCAGTTTCCCGTCGCCACCCCCTCAGCCCATGGAATACGGCACAATGGCCTTGTCGATAATGGGATCGCGTCGCGCCATTTTCTCCTTCTCGGTGCCCCACCGCGACTTCCACTCCCTGTCCTGTCGCAGAGCCTCGTCAAACGCCTGCCGGCACTCGGGCGGCAGCAGCTCCTTGACCTCGTCCGACACAGACCCGAGCCCGTGAAAGGCCCCGAGCAGGTCCGCCGCGTCAGGCCTGTCCACTGCCGTCACCGCCGCGCCCGCCGGCGGGCTCTCGAAGTGCGTGTCCGTCACTAGCAGATTTCTCGAGATCCTCGCCGGCACCGGAGGGAACTTGCTGCCGCTGCTGCCGTCCTCTTCGTCCGCGCCAGGTGCCACCTGCTCTACCCGAGCCAGAGTCGGCTGCATAATGGCCGGGTACTGCATCATGTTGGTGTGAATGTCGTAGACGCCCGAGTTGTTCAGCTTGCGGATCGCGTTGATGCCCGAGTTGAAGATGCTGCCGATCCAGAGTCATCTTGGTCAGCCGATCCGTCCACTCAGGGGAAAAGGTCCACCCCTGGGCAAAGACGGCAACTCACCTGGCCTCGCGCGCATGCTCCAGCATCCAGTTGGTGTCGTTGACATTGACCTTGCGCTTCTTGTACTCGGGCTTGCCACTGGGCACGGGCACTGCGGGCACGCTTGTGTGGTAGACGGCGCTGGCCCCGTGCCAGGCCACGTACTGGTTCTTGTTGTAGGGCTCGCCCGGCACGAAGCGGTCGTCCGGGTCGGCGAGGTCGCCCTCGACGGCGCCGTCGGCCCTGGCCTGAGCCACGTTGTAGTCGTCGACGATGCGCTTGCCGCCGACGATGATCCTGGCGCCAAACTCGCGAAAGACTGAGCGCGCCGTCACGACTCCTATCGAGCGGCCCTTGTACGAGTGCGGGATGATCTCCCGCTCAATCATGTCTCGCTTCTCGTCCTCGTCGACAATGATCTTGTATAGCTTCCGGTGCTTGGTGAAGAAGAGGTAGCTGTCCCTGAAGCCCACGCACCGGGCGGGCTCCGTCGACAGCATATAGAGCCGGTTGCCGCGCCCCAGCACCGTAAAGGTTCGGCACCGGTACTCGCGCCCGCCCGCCAGGTTGCCCAGATTGTCCACCTTGGCCTCGCCCTCGGCGTCTTGGGCGAGGACGCACTCGTCGTCGACAATATCGGCCACGGTGCCATCGGCGTCCACCACCTGCTCGGCCTTGGGTACCGCGGGGCCTCCCTTGCGGCCGCCGCGGCCGCGCCACCCTCCGCGGCCTCTGCGGCGAGGCGTGTCGTCCGTCACCGTCACCATGGGGTCCCAGTCTGGCGGCTTGTTCTTCGGCGGCCGGCCCAGCCGCTTTCTTCGGATGACGGGCTGTGGCGGTGGAGTGGGTTCCTTGGCCGACTCCTCGTCCTTGCCCGTCGCATCGTCGTCGCCGTCATCGTCGCCTTTGACATCTTGATGCTCGCCGTCATCGTCTTCTTCGTCGTCGTCCTGCGCGGGGCCCTCCTCGGGCTCGGATGCATTGTCTGCGGTGCCTGCGTCGGGCATGGGCTCATCCTCGACGTCGACGAAGCCCCGGGGGGTGTTTTCTGCAGATGGGAAGAAGCAAACATTAGACTTGAGCTCTATTGGCGGCCGCCGCGGTCATACAGCTCGAAGCGAGACGGAGACTGCGGCCAGCGAGTCTGATGAGCAAGGAGGAGCAAGGCATGTCTTGGGCCCGAGGCCAAACCGCAACTCGAAGGACAAGGCGGTGAAGGGACGAGGCGTCATGGCATGCTGCAAGCGGGAGGCAGTCGCAGGAAAGGGTCAAATCGCAAACGTACCCAGCGCGGCCGCTGCCTTTTTTGCGGCAGCGCGGCCAGATCGTCGACCCGGCATGTCGTCGAGTTGATGATTCTCGCCCGCCCACAAGCCTCGTCTGCGGTTCGTCTATTGCTGGATCAGGACGTGGCCTTGTTTTCGAGCTCTTCCAAAATCCAGTCCGTCAACAATCCCATCGCAGGGCCACAGACAGAGCCGCGCTCACGATGGCATTTGGCTGTGGCTGGGACGCGACGGGAGGCCCGCAATTCGTTTGTTCCTACGCTGCCTATGATTGGTCTGCTGACTGTGACTCCTTGGCCTCATTTGGGTGTGGATATCAAGATGACACTGTAAATTTCGCACTGTACGCATTATCCTATTGTCACATTTTCGACTTCTAACCAACTCGTCCATCATCATCTCCACGAACAACCGTCTCATACACTTTGAATGCCTCCCTCTGCATTCCCTTCTATGGAGTTCGAAGCCGCCGCCATAACCCCAGTACATGCTCGTCGTTTCTCAACGCCCAAGCGACGAGTCTGCCCCTTCTAGTCCATGCATTCGCGCGTTCTCGGCCCATGATGCAACTCACGCCTCCTCTCGAGTTGGCCGGCCGTCCGGACGTTCCTTGTACCCTCTATACCTATGGCATCTGCGCACATACACATGTTATTTACTCATAGCGTGTCCCATCCACCGTTGTTAATCTCCGCCTCGAGCTTGCGGCTTATCAGGCTCGGCACCCCGTGATTCAACACCGTGTTTCGCACCATGGAGTCGTATCTCTTCTGGTTGAGGAACAGCTGCCGCCCGTGCCGCAGCTGAGGGTCGGTCTCGCCGTACTTGTCAATGTATGGCGCCGCCGTAAACGACCCCGACTGCCGAAACAGATAGACGGTAGAGCACTTGCGGATGTTGAGGAAAACGCCAATGTTCCGCTGGCATCTGTGTACATCTCCGTTAACCCCCGTGCGGCCAGCTCGTTAGGCCGACTCACCTGCGCATGTGCTGCTGCGCTCCGCCGATCCTGTTCGCCTCGCCGCTCACAAGATCAGGCTTCTGGCAACACGTGCTTTGGCTGCAAAACACCTCGCCGCAGAAGAGACAAATCACCGGGTCCGTCAGGTCCTTGCCCGTCGTCGGACATCGCCGTCTCGTCGCCTCCTCAATCAGGGTGTCGTACGTCTTCGGCAACCCGATGAGCTCAAAGATGCCCGGGTGGCTGACGAGGGCCGTTGGCGACATATCCCCCGATCTCTCGGCCCAGAGCGCTTGGTGCTGGACCCATCCAGCAACGAGAGGGCGCGTCGTGTCCGGCCAGCCGCAGGCAGCCGAGTTGCTCGTCAGCGACGCGCACATTTCGTCGAAGCTCGGCACGCGAAGGGCCTCAGTTAGGCGGTCCAGCTCGTCTGCGTCCGGGGTGGGCGAAACGCGGCTGTTAAAGTCCACACCGTACTTGACGTACAGAAACACGAGCGTCTTTCGCAGGAACGTCAACGCGTACTTCTTGACAAATGTGTACCAACCCTCGAGCGTATCGACTCCCGGCTGCTGGAAACCCAGGTCTCCCACCTCTCCCCCATCGGCGCCGTCCCTGGCATCGTGCGCGATGAAGCCGTACTCGGTCACAACGAGGGCGAAGTCGGCAAAGTTGTTCATGGCCATGTCTTGAGTCTTTCGGTATTTGAGCCCCTCCACCCACATCTGGAGGGGTATGTTTTCGTTCATGTGGTGGATGACCTTGACCAGCTCCGCCAAGTAGCATAATCTGACCAGGTGCGAAATCTCCACCTTTTGAGCGGCGGCGAGGCCATAGGCACATTCCACAAGAAACACAAAGGGGTCCATGGTCAGTATCGCCGGGAACATGTCCACGGGCTGGGCCGACTCGGGCTGTTGTGAGGGAAAGTACCGCGCCATGAAGAGCTGGCAGTGTTGCCGCTCGCAGTCTTTGCGGAACTCAGCCTCGATCGGGTTGTCGGTGACAGGCTGGCGGGCCCCGACCGACATGTATGACGAAGCCGTCTCCGAGAGAACCCGCAGATGCATGAGAACTTGTTCGGGAATCTTGTCCAGCAGAGTCATGCCCGGCTGCGCCTCTACTCCCCGCTGCTGGAGCTCTACCGAGGATATCGTGAAACCCACCACCTGCACAAGCGCGTCGCTCGAGTGCAGCTCGTCTCCGTAGTCAGCCTTGTCATCGTCGACGTGCCTCGTCAACAGTCCGTTGACCTGGACCGTGTCTCTGAGGCGCCGATAGGCGGCCACGAGATCTCCCAGTATCTCGCTGTTGGGAGGGCTGACACCTCGAGGATAACCGGATCCCAGTGCGCCGCCAATCGAAAAGGCCGAGTTGACGGGCGTTCCTAGAGCCGATGTGTGTGACTCGGGAGCAATTCGAGTCCAGATGGACCCGTCCGAGATGGGCAGATTCCTCAGATTTTCCACGAGGCTCCCCGGCATGCTGGGCGTGTAGATCTCTGGCAGGCCAGGCCCTTCGACATCCCGAGCCTTGCTACCCCCGACGCAGTACACAGAAGCCATCTGCTTCTCGAGGAATTCGGAAAAGGAGCCCTGAGGCTGGAGGTAGCCAGGGTACGACTCCTCCAGGCCCTTCCAGACAATGGGCAGGAAGGCATTGCCTAGAGCCTTGCAGAGTGGGCAGACAAACTCGTTGCGCTTCGTGTCTTCGGGATGATGCCGCGCTATCTGGTGCGTATGCCTCCGGTTTGTCGCCTCGTAGTACACCTCGAAACAACGAAAGTGCATCATGTGTCCGCAGCCGCTCGCCACTGGCCCAGGCCTCGCGAGATTTCCCGTGTAACCTTTCCCGATCGTCTGTCGTTCCGCCAGAAACACATCCCCCTGGAAATTGAGTTTCTCGACCATCTTCCGATTCTCGCGAGCGATACCAAACGGCCGAATGTCCTCCGCCGACCGGTCGAGGCTGCATGGAGTCTGAGAGGCTTCCCGCACATGGTCAGGATCCTGGAAGTTGGTCTGGCGAAGTATGCGGCTTTCGTTCACAAGTGCAAACGTGCCGTAGAGGCGTCGATCATCGGCCTCCTCCTGACACAGGATGCAGGTCCCAGTCGGGTATTTCCAGCTGTGCTTGCGGTCTTCTGTCTGCTGTGCGTCATCCTCGTCTTCAAGATCGGACCCCCAGTCAATGGCGCCTTGATTCTCCAGGAAGCTCTTCTGTTGCTGCTGGAACTGTGCCATGACCTTTGCTTGACGGCTCAAGGCTGCCTTCTTCCTCCGCTCGCGCTCTTCCTCCACCGAGTTATTTGCGGGAGACGCCGTGTTGATCCGGTCGACAGCAATTCCCAGGTGCGCAAACGAGGCCTCGAATGCCTGCGGCCGCTTCTGCTTGAGGCGCTTCAGGACGAGAGCCAGCTTGGGGTGGACAGACTTGAACTCGTCCTTGGTAGACATCAGGTTCAGAAGCGACACAATCGTCTTCGAGTTGCTCGCTGTTGGCATAAAGTTGCTTCGACCCAGTTTGGTGAGTGCGATTTCAACAAACGAGCCCGACGCGGCTGCGGCTGCTCCGGCCTCGTCTGTCTTGTCCTCGAGGATCGCGATGAGAATAAGATGCAAGACCACCTGCAGAAAGGTTTCCAGTCTGGTAAACGGCACGCTCGGTGTGAACCTGTTGGCCACGAGCGGATACAGGAGAGAGTAGTAGACGATCTGCGCAAACATGCCGGTGCCGGTGAAGTCTCCGAGGTTCTCGAACAAGCCCGACGGAATAGGCCGGTGCTTTGGCTCATACACAATCTCCTCAACCATCTTCCCAGTCTTCTTCGCCATCTTCTTGCGATAGGCCATTTCCGACTCCTCTCGCTGGTTCTTGTTATAGTGCGCAATGTACGGATCAATGTCTTCGATGAATTCATGGCGCAGTTCAAACGTGCCCACATCTGAGACGCCCTCGGGCGGCTTGAAAGTGGCCATCTCATCCAGGACGTGATGGAAATCTTCCTGTTCCTGGTACTTTTCGGGGAGCTTGTTGCAAATTTCGTTGAAGGACAGAGGCTTGAAGCACAGAACGTGAGTAATGTCCCGGCGCATGGCAAGAATCCGCGAGTTTGGTTGGTCCTCGGGCGCAATGAGAGAGGTGCGGTCGCTGAGAAGGACGATGAGCAGGTGAATCATGTCCTCGACGACGTCGAGGTGCTGGGTATCATCCTGGGCTTCCGACTTGAGCTCAAAGAGCCCCTTCACCCAGCCATCCATGCCGAATCGGTCGATGATGGACGCCAGCACCCGGCTGGGGCTGCACACGACCATGGCGGTCTGCAGGAGAAAGATGTCTCGGTGGTGAGAGACATCTCTCTGCCCGACGCCCCGGTAGGTGCTGGCCTGATGTCGCAGGCTGATGCCGTTTCGAACCCACATGTTGGCCTTGATCTGGGCAAGCCAGGCACAGACCCGGAGTGGAAAGTCAAAGGCCGCCATAAGGTAGTCCTCCGGGTCGCAGTCTCTTCTAAGGACTTGTGGCCGCCCCATCAACCTTGGCTTTGACTTGAGCTCCTGAGAAGTAAAGCTCATGAGGGTCTTCAAGTTCGACGCGGGTAGCGAGCGCCCGCACTCGATGAGCCACGAAAGGGTATAGTGCAGAGCGTGGTGAAAGCTGATGGAGTCCTTCTCCACGACGAACTTAACGACGTAGTACTCGGCTCCATTGTCATCGAACTCGAAGTCGCTCAGCTTTTTGTACTTGACCTCGTCTTTGATCTCGGCCTGCTTGAATCTGTGGCGTTCGGCTCCGATGGAGTTCAGAATCACAGTTTTTGCGGTGAATCGAATGGCTCGCTGCAGGTAGTGGACTTCGTCGGGCGGGCAGTCTCGGAAAGCCTCTGCGAGGTTGCGAGCCTGCAGGTTGATTTGCCGCGTCACCAACGAGGCCGTGATCCAAGAGTCGGCCTCGTACTCCACGTGCTCGGTTACAGCCCGCACGTTGGGGCCTATGCACTGATGAAGCTTAACCAGATCCAAAAACTGCATCAAGTACCGAGGCTCGCATCGCACTCGTTCCTGGACGTGCACGGAGCCGAACAGATACTTGAGGTCTTGATAAAAGTGGTACATTCGTCGATTCGTAACCGACCCGCTCTCGACCGCCAGGACGGCGTCGGGAGAGACATCCCAGGGGTGGCCGACTTGCCGGGTCGTCAGGAAGGTGTAGAGAATGGCCAGCAGGCTACTCAAGAAATTGCCTCGCTCGACAACCTCGGCCGTTATGGAGGGGGTAGTCAACATCTGAAGAGACAGGTTGATGATGGAGTGGTCTGGCTCTCGATCACCGACGAGATACAGCTGGGCTAGGATGGTGTACAGGCTTGCGAAACGGAGAGCCAGAACCCGCTTGAACTCTGGCATCTGCACTACCGTGGAGATGTACAGGGAACGGAGGTCGTTTCGGACCTTTTTCCACATCCTCAGGTCGAAAAGAAGCAGCCAGTCGAGGCGGACGCGCTGAAAGACGTCTTCTGCCGGGGGCACATTCTCGCGCTGCGTATAGACGGCCGGAGTCTCGATCCAGTATCTGCCGGGCCTTGGGGTGACCTGTTCGGTCTTGCCAGGCGTCTTGGGGATTTCTACGTTTGCCTTGGCGTAGATTGCCGGCGCGATGAGTGGCTCTGCCGTGTCCGAGTCTGAGGGTGTGCCGTCTCGGTCTCGGATTGCTGCGGCCCGAGCCTGCGCCGGCGGAGGCGGCGGAGGCGGGGGATATCCTGCCATGGTCGCTTCGTCCTCTTCCAAGGCTTGGTCTGGTTGAGTCCAGTTCATTCCAAGGTCGGCCACGTCTCCCCTAGCATCGACCATCATGACGTCTTCATCCTCGTCTTCGTCGCGGCCCGCGGTGGAGCTCGTGGTGGAGCGGTTTTCATCGTCGCCCTCGTCCATGTCGGCGTCATCGGCGTCATCGTCGTCGTCGTCGTCAGCTTCGTCGTCGTCTTCGTCGTCTTCGTCGTCATCGTCGTCGTCGTCTCCGAAGGCAACCTCCAGGTCAGCCCTGTTCCCGGCGGCCGCCTGCAGAGCCAGGATGAAGCGCGCGTTCACGCCGTGCAGCCTGGTTCTCAAGTCGACGGCTTGTTCGTCCTCCTCCTCATCGTCAATCAAGCCCCGAGTGTGGATCGCAGGACTCCCCTGCTGCCACGGCCGCATGACTTGCTCGCACACTGTCTGCCTCAAAATGTGGTTGTCATGTCCGACGGTGCAGCCGGAAATGTCGCTCAGCCACTCCACGAGGGTACCGCACATCTGTTCACGAAATGTATCCCTGGCCGCCCGGATGGTGACGGTGACTCGTATGGCCTCCATGATCTTGGCCATGTGAAGCAGCTTGTCGATGTCGGGAAGGTAGGTGAGAATGCTGCGCCCAATGGCGTCGGTCTCCCAGGCGTCGCGGGCGGCGTGGCGAAGGGATTTTCGGCAGGCTCGCGCGACCTGATCCTGGACTTCTTGGACGGTGTGTTTCTCGTCGTTCCAAAGGATCAGGGCAAAGTCGCCGCACGGCTCGGCTTCATAGCCATAGTACTTGGACGACAGCCGGGAAGCCTCTTCGTCTTTGAGAATCGAGGCCTTTGACTTTGCCTGCCGGAGCTGTTCGGGCGAGCAGGAAATGACGTCGCAAATGTAGTCGAAGACTCTCCCGATGGTCATTTGCAGATTAGCCACGAGATCGTCGGGCAAGCCGGCCGTCTCCTTGCCCTTGCCCTTGTTGGCACCCTTGTGCATGTTGGAGTGGATAGTGCAGAGCAAAGGCGTCCTCCAGGCTTCATCGTCGCCGCAGTCGCAGCAACCACTATTGCCGACCGATATTTGAATGCGAACCATGTGGCCGGTGTGGTCGGTCGAGTCGAAGCACCTACTGCATAGGCAGCAAGTCTCATCGGTGCCACAGGTCCTGCACATGTAGGAAGCCTCGCCGGGCTTGAAGATGTGGCCACACCGCTTGCCGCGAGCCGCCTCTGAGTACTCGGCGCCCTCGACAGCACCCTGCGCGTCGCTCAGCCTCAGGGTGTCGGAAAGCTTGCCCGTGGGGAAGAGAAGCCGCATGTATTCATCCTTGCCGCCGGCCAGGGACCAAAACAAGCTTCTGAGGAGCTCGCTCGAGGCTTCTTCCGTGTAGCGGTAATTGAATCTGGCTGGCAGGTCCGCCAACATCTGGCGGAGCTGCTGCTCCTGTGTCGACAGTGGGGCCTCCATTCTCAGGCTCGCATGATGAATCCGATGACCATCTAGAAACAGCTCGGCGGTCGGCGGCGCGGGGGGTGGCGAGCAGGGCGGGCAGATCGCAAAGCCTACGTCCGGCAAGCTTCAAGGCACCGGAGCGAGGAAAGAGGCGCAGTGGACGACGGGAGGGCGGCAGGCGGCGAAACGGCACAGAGAAACTGCAGACAGGGAAAAAAGAGTAGGCGCTGAGTGTTTTGGTCGTGAGGTTGGCTCAGACTGGAGGGTGGCAGGTCGAGGTTTGCTGCAGGCGAGGTTTGGGGAGTGTGAGGAGTGAGGTTTGGGGAGGTTTGGCGCCCCTCGGTTCCACCGACGTCAGCAGCAGCAGCACCCGCAGAACACTTGGGTGCCCCGTGCTTTTTTGCCGCCCGCGCACCCGCCGCTGAGGGCCAAAGCCAGATTATTCAGACAGTCATCGGATTAGAAAATCTAGCTGCTCAAGATACAGCTGAAATCGAAGGCGGCAGCAGTTTCTTTCTTTGATGGCACGTGTCGCCGCGTATGCCGGTTCTACAAAGCACTCCCCTCTCGGCTTCCACCCAGCTTGGAAGAGATGAAAGTGTCTAAAACGCCGATTCCCATTCGTCTAGGTATAGCTTGAACACTCCTTTACAGACATTGAGAGTCATTCGCCTTGCCTCTCAAACAGGCCAGCGGCAAGTGCTTCGTAGGCCGTCCTTTTACTCGTCGTCTTCCTCGGCATTCTCGACGTATTTGCTTCGGATGTCCTTCCATTGACGCTGATTTCCAGAGTTAATAATTGCGCGGCTCAAGTAACTTGTCTCTATGCAGCACGTACGCCTCGGTTCAAGTTGTCCCAGACCCTGTTCATACTGGAGTTGAAGCCCCTGCGACACACGTTAGCCTCCTTTGCGCGCCTCGTCTCAAGGGTCACCGTACATCTCGAAGGCGAAGCCGGCGCCAAAGACAGCCGCCAGCATGGTGTAGTTCTTCCTGAAGAGGGCGCTGCAGTGTCGCCTGTTAACATCCGGCTCGTGGATGGGTCGTCGATGTCGGCCGAGACTTGCCTGTAGATTTGGCTGCCGAGGGACTGGGGAAGCGGGATTAGCTTGTGGTCGTGCTTGGGACGGCGGGGGCGGGCCTGGACGAGTCGGGAGCCTACCATGATGGCGGTTTGGCGCGATTGAGCACCTGCAGAGCGGGTTCGGAGAGGTTCTAGTCACAGCGCTGGCTGGGTGACTGTGCTGTGTCGGTTTTGGGAGGGTTGCAAGGCTCGACGAGGCCGCCACGGACAGTCACGGATGACTAAGATGTCTGCTTTCAAATGGCTCTGATTGGCTGTCCTGCGCCTCGGCTACAGTAATTACTGCATGGTCAGGATCTGGTCAGAGCAGGCAGGCAGGCAGGCAGGCAGGCAGAGTGACAGGGCTTGCCGTCAATTCGCACTTGATTTGTTTCTGCAGCCAGATTTTCCATCGCGGCCGCTGTCTTTCAGATGCAGCCCTCTTTACGGCTCATGGCAAGCTCTAACTAAGCTTGAGCACCGTCACCGCAAGCAGGTTGACTTGCGCCTGGAGCCTGTGGCCGCGCCTTCGAAGCATCGAGCCTGCAACTGGCGGCCAGATTCGTCACGCGGTCCTCTCCAGCCCCTGCGCTCGGGGCCATTCCTCCCTCTTGAATAAATCTCGTCGCCCTGTCCTGAGCAACGCGTGCTGGCATCGCCTTCGAGCTTTAACTTGACGGCCGCCACTTGCACGCTGTCGGCATTGTCCATGAGCTGAGTGAGCCTGGTGACGCGCATAAACATTTAACTTATATCCCTGCTTACACACGCAGGCAGCCGGGGGTGCGTGCGCACGGCACACATTCATCCCATACCTGTGAGGAATATCCCTAGACATCCAACCTGTAACTGGACCGCTACGCACCGCCACGCACCGCCACGCACTTCAAGCTTGACCTGGATAAGCCTCCGGGGGTCGAGCACGGGGAAAACGCCGAGACTGGAGCTTGCTCCTCGCTCTGCAAAGGAAAAGGGCGGGCGGGGTCTGGGCTTCTACTCCCATGGGGACTGCTTCTATAAGTAGTAACTCGTTTGAGAGCGGGGTCGGGTGGTCTCCTAAGTACGTCTTTCTAGACTGGGCACCTAGAAATTCGGAGACAGGGAAGGTCGTGGGTTCGAATCCTACACCCCTCGCCACCGCCTAGGATAGGGTCCGTAGGGAAGGTTCCCGTAGGGCATTACCTAATCTTAAGCGGTATATATTACACTTTCGCGCGGAGGGCTTCGCTATATATAGGAAGGTAAGGGTAACTTAAGGTTATTTTTCTGCTCCTTTAGTAGAGTTTTCCCCCTTAAGTAGTATATTAGGACGAGGGCTAGGGGTAACCTTAGTAGGGAAATCGGAAGTCACGGGCTCGGAAGTTAGGTATAGCGCTAGAGGGAAAGGCTAGAAGGGTACGAGCTTTAGGACAGAATATGACCTTCTTATATAGTGTACGGGTAAGTCAGCCCACCTAAAGTCCGGCACACCCCAACACCGGCACTCTCCACAACACCATCGCGTCGTTAAATACATTACATTGCAACCGCGTTTTCTCGTGCATCTCTTGCCCTATAATTATAAAATAAATACTATTTACATCAGCGATGCCTCGGCTTTCTAAGTATACCAAAAACCAGCTCTAAGAAGCACTCAAAGCTATTAAAAACGGGATACCTTAGCTTTATGCTAGTCGAAAGTAGGGTATTCTAAGAGGGACCCTCTACACACGTCTTAAAGGGGCTCTGCCTATTAAGGAGGCAAAAGAGGTATATTAGAGGCTTAGCCGAGAGCAGGAAAAACACCTTGCCGACTAGGTTCTTGCCTAGGCCGCCCTTAGGCTACCTCCAACGCATTATTAGGTCAAGGAATTTACCGGCCGCATCGTTAAGGCCGGCGGCGATACCCGTCCGCTTAGGAAGCAGTAGATTTTGGGCTTTTTAGCCCGGAACCTAGAGATTAGTACTATTAAAGGTAGATCTCTCGATTCTGCTCGCGTTAACGGCGCCTCTATAGCCCGTATCGAGGAATAGTTCTAATTGCTTAAGCTGCCGGCTATATAGGCAATCCTACCGGAGTCCCGCTTTAATATAGACGAAACGGGCATCCTCGAGGGCCTCGGCTCTAATAGTCTAGTACTAGGGAGCTTAGAGAAGCGAGAGACTCTTAAAAAGCGGCTAGGATCGTATTATTAGACTATAATAGTCGAATGCGTCTCTACTATAGGCCAGGCCTTAACTCCCCTTATAATTTTTAAGGGTTAAGACCTTTAATACTAATAGTTCCCTAACGAACTTAATTTTCTATGAGATTAGGACTTTATTGCCTCCCTAAAGGGCTAGATAAGTAATACTATCGCTATTTAGTAGCTAAAGTAGGTTTTTATCCCTTAAATAAGGCACTATAAGTAGGGCAACACTCTTCTTATTATTAACGGCTATAGGAGTTATTAGACTAATAATTTTATATACGAATACTTCTAGAATAGTATATATCTCCTTTTCCTACTATTATACTCCTTATATATCTTTTAACTACTTAATATCTCGGTTTTCTCGCCTATTAAGGCCGTATACCGACGTTAACTCGAGAAAATCGTATCTTTCGACGATATAGCGCTAATTAGCAAGGCTACCTTCCTTCGTATCTACTACGAAGCCCGGCAGGCTAGCCTAACCGAAAAGAATATTAAGGGAGGTTAGCGCGGGTCTAGTTTATGGCCAATTAATATAGTAAAGCCCTTATTAAGCCGCTTCGTCTTGCCGTAGCCGTTAACGCCGTTAACGCTATTAAAAAGGAAGAATATTAGCTCCTTAGCTAATAACGATGCCCTTAAAACGCCTAAACGATCGTAAGAAGTTCGCCGCCTTGTTATAGGGCTAGAAAATCGCGGTTAAGTTAACCGTATAATCCGACTACTCTTTAGCAAAGTTAGCCGCGCCCTTAATAATCAAAATTAGCAGCTTATAGCTGCCTAGCTTCGAATATAATAGCTTAAGCATTAATTGCATCGTCTACGGCCTCGAAAATAGAAAAAGGTTCTATAGGATCCTAATAGCCGGTTCGTACGGATTAATCAAGTTATTAAGACGAGGCAGCGGCTCGAGCGCATCCTCGAGCCGGCTACTATTGCCGCAGCCAATCAAGGCGCAGATTTTAAAGCTCTATGTGGTAGCTGGCAGCTTGAATAGCTAGAAAACACTATAATTGACTATCGTAACGTTGAAATGCGGCTTCAATTACTGTTGGAATGTGCCTGCCTTGGTGTTGTGGAGAGTGCCGGTGTTGGGGTGTGCCGGACTTTAGGTGGGCTGACTTAAATGCCCCCCTAGGTTAGTGCTCGGGGAATATTGATGTATATAGCGAGGGCTCCGGTCTGTTATGGCCCTAGAGGCTGCATATGGACAAATAAACTTGATCAACAACAGCTCGTTTAAGAAGGAGAAGTTACGGGGTATCAAGCTTGAGCTGCAAGGGCCGCGCGGACAATAGGACTTGGTGCCCGCCAAGTCTATACGGAGCATGCATTCGTCACTTTGCACGCCGTGCCAGGCGCTTACACAGGGGCATGGGCCGTGTTTTGCCTGAAGCAGAGGCTTTCTAGTGTGAAAGCGTCTGCTAGCAGAAGACACGCGTTGATTCAAGTTACTGGTGCTTCATTAGCAGCAGAATGACATCGATAGCCAGCTGCTTCCACGTTCGGGATGGATGAGTGCGATTATCGTCCTGGTTTGCGAGCGCCGGTGTGCTGCAAGTTGCCATCAACGGCCATGTGGACTAGTTGGATGCCGCTTCAAGGCGGCATGTACAAGTTTCCGGAAGAGAGTGCGTTAGAACGTTTCCGGTGCTGATGAGTGGGAGCCGCTCGAGATGGGCACGGCCACATGCTGGAGGGGAGACGCGCTGCCGGCGCCGTGCCATGTTTGACGCTAACAGCAGGTACATAATTAGTTACAGTAGGCCTGCTTCGGGATTGAATGTCAAAAGTTGCGGCAATTGCTCGATTTGGCCTTTTTACTAACGGAGAAACTAGACCCGATCGGACGGGCGGGGGTCGCATTAAGTGCAAATAGCCGTGCGATACCTTCAGAGTACATGCGAAAAGGGGGGCAGCAGAGCACCGTACCTGCAGCATCACGGGAACACAAACACCCGCAATCAGGTACGGACGGTACTGTTACTGAATCTCAACGCCTAAAGGCACGATTCGTGCGCCAGGGAAGCCCCAAAGGCAGTCGAATGTTGCCATGTGCGCCGTCCACATACATATGCAGACATGTACAGTACTAACACACAGGCCCCTCCTATTCCTGCAAGGCATGTAGGTACTGCACATGCTACAAGGCTGTGTAGGGGGCCGAGCCGCGCTAGGTTTTAAGCCCAGTGAACCCACCAGGCCCATCCATTATCATCATACTTACTATTTATATTTGCCTGCCGAGTCTAATCGTCCAAGGGGGTCTGTCTTCATAAAGAAAGGCGCTCGTCGTTGCCGCATCCCTAGACCCTAGCGCCCATGGCGTTACGTATGTCCTGACTTGTCCCCTCTCCCTTTCGTCTCCCGCCGCGTCGCCGCCGGTGCCCGACTCCCGCCACGCGTTGCCTCTCCAACGCCGGCGCTCATGTTCTCTCCGACCATGAGACGCACTTCGGCCTTGACAACCATCGGAGTCCTCCTTGTCCTCCTTGTCCTCCTCGCCGTTCATCTGCAGTCCCTCGGCGACTTTGCGCGCCCTCAGCTCGGCGTCGAGCCCTGGAAACCTGTCCTCAACCTGTCCCTGCCCGTGGCGGCTCAGACGTCGGCGGCCCATCTCCTGGCGCGTCCCCCAACAGCAGATTCGGGCAAAATCCCCCGGATATTTCATCAGAGCTGGAAGTCGTCGGAGCTGCCTTCAAAGTTTGAAACATGGAGCACTCTCTGCCGCCAGCGCCACAAGGACTGGGAATGGGTCCTCTGGACCGATGAGGATAACCTTCGACTCGTCCAGACCTACTTCCCCTCGCTCGAGGCAGCCTACCGAGACCTGCCCGGCGAAATCTACCGCGCAGACCTCGCCAGATACCTCTACATGTACATTTACGGCGGGTGTGTGTCCTCTGTCGCTCCCTGCCTGCCCAGACATGCCCTCTCGGGGAAGCGGGACGATGCGCTAACTGGACATGCAGCGTCTATGCGGACCTCGACACCGAATGCCTCCGACCGACCGAAGATCTTCAAGACGACTACGATGCCTTCTTCGACGGCCAAGGCTCGACGCCCATGACAGACACGGCCTTGTTCGGTCGGATGGGCAATGACCCCAAGTTTGAGCATTCCATCCCAAACGCATGGATGGCGTCGACCCCGGGCCATCCCTTCTTCCTCGCATTCGTCCAGTTCTTCAACGACAAGGTCAACGAATTGAAACAGAAGAGGAAGAAGCTGCCCGAGGCAGAGCATGTGACGGGGCCCGCCGCCCTGTACGCCGCAATCAACCGATACGAGAAAGATAAGGCGCGCTCCGGAAGCCGCCTCAACGACGAGGTCGCCAAGATGGTGCGCGAGGGGCCCTTTGCCCCCCTTCCCGACCGAGCGCACCGAGTGCTGCTGCTGCCGAGCCACTACATCTACCCGTATAGCTGGGGCTCGGACGGCTCCAAAGTGCGCAAAAAGTGCTGGGTGCTGAGCAAAGCGTTTAACGCTGAGACTTGTAAAGAGGCGCTTGAGGTGGAGCGCAAGAAGAGCATATCAATCACGTACTGGAGCCATACCCATACCCCGTCCGGCCATAACAAGGGCAACATGAAGCACCTTGAGGCGGACTCCTGACCCGATGCCTGCTAGACCGTTGGGGGCTGCCGAAAGCTTACGTGCATGCCGCTTCGGATCTGCTAGTGTACATTATCTCTGGCCCGCCGCTGGTGGAGGCCAAGCCACCCCGTATGTATCCTCAGCGTACTGTAACTACCTAACGTGGACATGGAGAGGAGAGGCGTACATGTCGGTTGCACTGCTGCCTCGAGATGTGATGGAAGGCAGACACGACTCGAGACGTTGCCAGATAATGCCATCAGTGCCACTGCCGGTGACTCCGTCGACTAAGCTCGGAGACTTTTCGCCTAGGCATGGCTCTACTCTGGCGTGATGGGGAACAGTCGAGGTGCGCCAGTGTTGGTCGCGAGTATGGCTACTTTGCCTGGTCCCAAAAATAGGAGGCCAGTCGCATGTTTCTTGACGTCGCAGCGGGTGCAGGCTCGGTGGCACGTAAAGGGACGTCTCCTGTGCAATCGTGCGCTTTCAGGGCTTACTCAAGGATCAACAGTGACATACGCCCCTAGGCCACAGATGAGAGGGCATCACGGGTAGAAAGCAAGGGAGAAGGAGGGGTTCTCCCCCCACCCGCCCGATGCCGCAAAAGCGTGCGGGTGCTGCATCCACTCACTGTAAACTTACATATTCGCACACCTCCAAAGCCGCCGGGGCACCCAACCTCGCATTTACTGCGACAACATTTTGTCCACTCCCTTCGCCGCCAGACGACGCCCTTCCTTCAACACGCATCGCAGCCGCCGCCCGCCACTCCTCGGTGCAGGGGCCCTTGGGCTCGTTCTGCCCCTCCATTCATCCCCCCTCCCCCTCCATCCGCCATGGCCTCCAACTCCGGCATCGTGAAAGACGACAACAGCGGTGAGCGCCACATTCCCGAGTCGCTCCGCGCCGATGGAAGCACCCGCAAGGCCATCAAGATCCGTCCCGGCTACCGTCCGCCCGAGGACGTCGAGGTGTACAAGAACCGCACCGCCGAGTCGTTTCGAGAGCGCGGCAGTAAGATGGGCATTCCCGGCGCGGCCGGCCTGCAGGACGAGCAGGGCTCCTTGGCAAGCAATAAGAACGCGAAGCGACGGGAGGCGCGCAAAAGGGCAAAGGCTGCGGCCGACGGTGATGGCGACGGCGCTCCCACGGAACAGGGCAAGCCAGATGCCCAGCCGCCCAAGACGGAAGAGATCGACCCGCACGTTGAGCGGGAGAAGAAAGCGCGCAATCTCAGGAAGAAGCTGAAACAGGCCAAAGATCTTCAAAGCAAGAAGGAGGGCGGCGAGACGCTGCTGCCGGAGCAGATTGCAAAGGTCATCAAGATCAACGAACTTATCCGCGAATTGAACGCTCTGGGTCTCGACGACGACCAGGAACAACCCAAGGCTGTGTCGGACGGGGCACGAGCCAACGGCGGGGGCGACTCCAAGGCCTGAGCCCGTTTACGCCGGAGGATGCATCGAGGTCGACGGTGCAAGAGCCGAGCTTGGAGACACGGCCTGCTCGATCACATTCGAAGAGGAGCGAGCATCTCGTACGGTTGCCGCCCTGCTAAAACTGGCCCGTTGTCAGGCGGGAGTTCCTTGACTCCAATCGCAGAGCTGACTTGCCTTCGAGGTTAATTGTGAAGTCTTGCCGCGACTGCGCAGTGGTCGATCCGAGATCCGAGCAAGAGATGTTTTGGAAATGGTGGGAGACTGTGCACGGCGCAACGAGCATTATACGGAGTTGGAGAGCTACTGGATCGACCTTGCACACGGCGGGGGTGAGTAATGAACATACAAGCCACCGGATAGAGGCCGTTCAGAGGATGTGGCCTTGTCTACAAACGATATAGAAGGGAGGCCAGCTAGGATACAGCATCTGAAGAGGCGAGCGAGCTACAAGAGAACATGGTACCCGTGCCACGCCCCACTTTATTTGGAATTCGCAAGCTCCCACCTCCTAAAGTTGGTGCTCACCACCAGTATCCCCACACCACCGGAATACCCAGAATTTCGACTCCCCGACTTCAGCATCCCTATATCTTAACCAATTCACGATCTCGTCGATAGCCGAAATGGAAGCACGTGTACAAAACGCTCTTCGATATATTGAAAATTTTCCAGTATCTTGCGCGAGCGGTCTAGCCAGCGCGACGCTCCTACCGTGGGGCCAAACTGGACTTCTCGCTTCTTAAAGCGTCACGGCTACTTCAAAAAGCGCCAAAAAAGGCTTCAAGCAGAGCGCCAAGTCTCCGAGAATCTTACACGAGTTAACCAGTATTTCCAGCATCTTCGGCAGGTTATCCAAGACAATGGTATACCTCCTGAGGATATCTGGAATATGGACGAGACTGGTTTTCGCATCGGGGTTGGAAAAGACCAGCTGATTGTGACAAAACGGAGGAGAGCTCATTATTTTGGCATTCCTGAGAATAGGGAATCCGCTACTGCGATCGAAGCTATCTCGGCGAATGGGGAGGTTGTTCCGGCTTTTTTGATACTCGCTGGCCAGATGCACATGGCTTCATGGTATCAAATACCTGAGCTAGATCCTGACACAGTTATTCGACCCACGCCTACTGGTTACTCAAACGACGTGATTAGTCTGGAGTGGCTCCAGCATTTTGACAAGCACTCGGAAAAAAGCTCAAGAAGCTCGAAGCGACTTCTAATTCTTGATGGTCATGGCTCTCACCATACCAGGCAGTTCATTGAATACTGCGACAACCACAATATTATTCCCTTCGGCATGCCGCCTAATCTCACGCATGCACTTCAGCCTTTGGACGTTGTCGTTTTCCAGCCCCTAAAGCACTATCACGCCAAGGCTTTAGATGTCATGGTTCGAGATGGCCTCGTCAACATAACCAAGCTTGAGTTTCTCTCCTGCATTCAACAAGTACGATTGCATGCTTTCAAGGAGAGTACTATACGCTCCGCATTTCGCAAGACAGGAATCTTCCCATTCAATCCACAAGTAGTACTTCAATGTTTGGAAGCTCGTCAAGCCACGACACCCACACCTCCTCCCAATTCAGGACCACACTCCTCACCTTTCGAGACACCATTGACTCTACGACAAATAAACAAGGTAGCGGACAAATTAGATCTCGTCCTTGAAGACGATAAAGCCTGGATCCCGACTTTCTCACGATCTCAGTCGATTTATTCGAGGATCGCTATCTCTGGCGACTGAGCTCGTGCAGACTAAAGGGACTTGGGACGAACCAAAATGGCGGAGCGGATCCAAAAACAACGTAAGGCTATGAAGAATATACAGTTACAATCAGGAGGAGTATTGTCAGTGGCCCAAGGACGGAAATGGTGCAACAAAGGGAGATGATCAGATTGCTAAAGCAAGGAAGGTAGTAGAAGACGCGGAGAAAAGGCGCATAACGCACGCAAGCGATGGTTTGAGGAAGCAGCAAAAGGCACGCCAATGGAGGGGTTCAGGAAGGTTAGAACGAGTGGAAGTACGCGATTCTGAGCGTGGTACGCGGTGGTTGAAGCGATTCTAGGTCGGGGAGTCGAAATTCTGGGTATTCCGGTGGTGTGGGGATACTGGTGGTGAGCACCAACTTTAGGAGGTGGGAGCTTGCGAATTCCAAATAAAGTGGGGCGTGGCACGGGTAGATAATCAAACCGCGGCATCATGGCAAAACATGGCGAATCCCTGGGTGTGTAGGGTAGGCTGAAATGAAGCTGGCAAGGCCGGCCGGCCTTTTGCCGGGCGCCGTGGCGCTTGGACCGCTGAGGTACTTTGTCCTGGGTGTTACCAAAGCGGCCACAGGCTCCAGCTCGTGAGGTAAGCTCCCCGTCTGCCGCGCAGCATCTAGATACCTTACCACCACAGGTGAACAACTCTCGGCCGGCCGGTCCCCTTCCTCAGTCTCCTGCACCGACGCGCATTCTGTCCTCGTATACCATTCTGATCGATCAGCATAGTCAGACCAGCACACGACACACCGCGACCATGACGGCCGAGGAGGAGCGCCAAACCGCCCTTGATTCCTACCGAGCGAAGCTCATCGAGTCGCGCGAGTGGGAGGCCAAGCTCAAGAATCTCCGGTTAGAGATCAAAGACCTGCAGAAGGAGTTTGACAAGACCGAGGATAACATCAAGGCGCTTCAGAGCGTGGGTCAAATCATCGGCGAAGTCTTGAAGCAGTTGGACGAGGAGAGATGTGCGCACGACAGCCCCCATCGTCCTTGCCAGGCGGGCTCTCTCCCCATACCCCGTGGATGCTGACACCTCGTTGCAGTCATTGTAAAGGCGTCGTCCGGACCTCGATATGTAGTCGGTTGCCGATCCAAGGTGGACAGGGCCAAGCTGAAGCAGGGCACTCGTGTGGCTCTCGACATGACGACGCTCACCATTATGCGCATGCTGCCGCGCGAGGTCGATCCGCTGGTATACAACATGTCGCTCGAGGACCCGGGGCAGGTCAGCTTCGCGGGAATCGGCGGCCTCAACGACCAGATCCGGGAGCTCAGGGAAGTCATTGAGCTCCCCCTCAAGAACCCCGAGCTCTTCATGCGAGTGGGCATAAAGCCGCCCAAGGGCGTCTTGCTCTACGGCCCCCCCGGAACAGGCAAGACGCTCCTGGCGCGAGCGGTGGCCAGCAGCCTGGAGACAAACTTCCTCAAAGGTGAGAGGATGGCAGTGAAGCCGTGCCGGCGGGCAAGCAGCCTGGCTAATGTGGCATAGTGGTCTCTTCGGCCATCGTGGATAAGTACATTGGCGAGTCGGCGCGTCTGATTCGGGAGATGTTTGGCTATGCCAAGGAGCATGAGCCTTGCATCATCTTCATGGACGAGATTGACGCCATTGGCGGACGGCGGTTTTCCGAGGGCACCAGCGCGGACCGAGAGATTCAGCGCACCCTGATGGAGCTTCTCAATCAACTCGACGGCTTCGACTACTTGGGCAAAACGAAGATTATCATGGCGACGAACAGACCCGACACGCTGGACCCTGCGCTTCTCCGAGCCGGCCGTCTGGACCGCAAGCTCGAGATTCCGCTGCCGAATGAGGTTGGACGACTGGAAATCCTCAAGATTCATGCGCACAGCGTGGTGATTGACGGAGACTTGGACTTTGAGAGCGTCGTCAAGATGAGCGATGGGCTGAATGGGGCCGACTTGAGGAACGTGGTGACGGAAGCGTAAGTGCCCACGCCCCCTTGTAACAGCATGGAGCCGCAGTTGACACGCGAGCAGGGGCCTGTTTGCAATCAAGGACTACCGCGACTCGATCAACCAGGACGACTTCAACAAAGCCGTACGCAAGGTGGCTGAGGCGAAGAAGCTGGAGGGCAAGCTGGAGTATCAAAAGCTGTGACGCCGTTGAGCGGGATATGGGGAGAAGCAGCAGCATCGATACACAGCGACCATGGGAGACTGTATAATACTTGGTTTCGGGTCAGCCTGAGGAGACGGCCGGGGAATAGAACGGTATTGAGAACGCCAAGGTACCGAGCTACGCCCAGTTCCGAGGATGGGCTCGGATGCGTCGCGCATGTCGTGAAGCAGGACCGGGCAGGGACTCGAAGGCAATGTCTGCAAGGCATTTTTTGCACGTGGCATTGGGATTGGGCGAGGGCGGCGACACAGGCAGGCGAGGCTGAACGGTGAGGCTGAACGGTGAGGCTCCGCTCCGTGGAGGCATCGGCATCGGCTACGGTGGGCCATATCCATATCACGTTGCCAAAACTCGTATGTCATCTGCACGAGAACTGCATGATGGTCCGAGGAATGGTAGCGCGGCTGGCTGATGCGGTGAAATTCGAGAAGCCTTGGCTCGTATATGTACAGACAGTACAATGGAACGAGAGGCGCACATGAGTGGTGCATTGACGCGAAGCCAAGGCCGAGAGTGGACAGGGGAAAGGAATCCGAGGACTGTGCTATTCTTGGAAAGCGGAAAAAAAAAGGCAATCATTGAGGCTGTGTGGGAAAAAAAGGCTACTGGCGTGAGCGGGTATTACTGAGCGTGAAACGGAGACGGGGGAATTGGGGCTGTTGGGCACATTTACTTGACCCGACTTCTCTCCTCGGATACCTACGCGTGGGTGATGGGAGTGGTGGCTTTTTTTTTAACAGGCGAATATTTTAGCGCGCAGTACAGTACGAAGAAGCACCCGATGGACGTGGCAACTGGGGGAGCGAGAGGTGGTTCAAGGATAAAAAGAGGGTTGTGGTTATTATGGTTGAGGGAGGGAGGGATGGATGGATCCCTTCTCCGTGATGTAGCCAGGGGAGGATGAATCAGGAATACGAGTATTAATGACGTCGCGCAGAAAGGGCGTGTTGATCTCTTTCTCGTACTCTGTACGGAGTACACACTGTCGTAGTTACAGTACTGTGCCTCCTTACGAATACTGTACTTGGCATGTACATAGGTAGGCTACTATACTTACATGGCCGAGGAAAGCGTCGAGTGCTGTAAGTCAGTCCGGTCAGTCCTGTACAACGTGTTGCACGCGGTAACACGGGTGCAACCGACGAAAAGACGCGAGCCAGTCTGGCGTCACGGCGCTTGGAAGCTTCCATCAGCCCGTCAAGGTTCCCGGCCGGGAGGATTTTGCCATCCATGATGCACAAGCATATGCTGTTTATGCGGCGAGGCCGTGGTTGGACCGCGAGCCTCTAGGTATTTCAGGGGTAAAAGCCGACAACCAAAGTCAATGCTCAATGCCGGCGGCTCAGCCTCGCCGTCGTTTGCGAGTGTGTGCTGCCGCCTCCACACGACGATGACATGTTGTGATTGCTGGTACTCCGTGCCGTAGGTAGGTAAGTAGGTAGGTAGGTATGTATACAGTAGTACAGTGAAGGTCACCCGTTGCCATGACAAAAGGCGTCGTCCTCCACTCGCCCCTCTTCTCGTCTTCCGTTCCAATATGCATAGTTGCATACTCTGTCTGACCTGTTGTGCTCCAGCTGAAGGCGAGTTTGTTGATGCGCAAACCATCATGACTGCAGGGTGTCAATGCATCCACATCCCCGGGGGCCCTTGATTGCAGATCCAAGTTGGACACAAGCATTTTTCAAGCCTCGAGCTGTACGACGGAAATCATCCGCCAACAATCAACCATGCTCTGCCATATCTGCCAACAGAACCCCGCCTTGGCCCCTGAATGGACGAAACAAACTGGACGCCGACATCCTGACACAGCCGCCGCCGCCGCCGCCGCCGCCGCCGCCGCACACCATCCAGCTTTTGCCATTGACTTTTGCGACTTTTTCGGGGGCCGGGGGTATTAAGGCGTCCATCGACTGACTGTCTCTGGCTGATGCTCTCCTGAACACTGGTTACAGTACTGTACCTACCTATGTAGTCCGTAAACTCGGGGCAACTTGTACCCAAGACAAGTCTGCAAACTCAAAAACACACAAACCATTGCTTTACCAACACGTGTATTCGCATTGCGCTGTAGATCCTCTCTCCTCTGTCGCCCATTCACTGGCCCCGCCGCCGCAAATCCTGACGCCCGTCCGACCTTTCTTGGCCCCTTGGCTCCCCGCTGATATAGGCCCTTCTCCCCCTCTCCCCCTCTCCAGCAGGGGCGCCGGTGCTGCACTCCCTCGGGTGGCCTGAAGTGCTGGGGTACCGACCCAAGCGAGTACGGCCTACCGGTTGGGACCCGGGCGGTGCATGCGAGCTGAGGGTACCCCGTACTTTAGCTGGGAGACGCTGCATGTCTGTCCAAAGTACCCAGTACATACACTAACAACAAGCAAGCTGCACCTCCCCTCAGCCCCCTTCCCCTCCATGATAATAAAGCTGCCTCTTCCCTCTCACCCTCTCTCGACTTTTGCTCCCCTCGCCCTTCCACTTCCGCCCTCCCCATTCCCATCTACCTCCGTCGCATCTCTCGCTTTCCCTTCTCCCTACCAGGCCAGCCTCGACCTAATCCCTCCTAGTAAATACTTCTGCATCGTCTGAGGCCAAGGCATCGTCACCATGTGGTAAGTCGAGCTCTCCCATCCGACTTGCCCCCTCCTCCGTCACCGCCTCCACCCCGGCCTGTGGGTAGGTAGATTGGTTGAGCGCCGGGCAGAGTGCTTTGCCCCCCGAGAAACACCGTGTCTGGCAATGGAGGAAAGAGTTGTGTCTTTCTTTGGCTGACAATCACCCGTCTTCGCAGTGGCATTTTCGGATACATCAACTACTTGGTGGAGAAGGACCGCAAGTTTATCCTCGACACTCTGATCAACGGTGGGTTTCCCGACCCCGTATGCCAAGACCACGTGTCTGACGCCGCGCGTCAAAGGCCTCTCCCGTCTCGAGTACCGAGGATACGACTCGGCTGGCTTGGCCGTCGACGGCGACAAGAAGAATGAAGTCTTTGCTTTCAAGGAGGTCGGCAAGGTGGCCAAGCTGAGGAAGCTTATCGACGAGTCCAGCATCAACCTTAACAAGGTCTACGATTCCCATGCCGGCATTGCACACACCCGGTGGGCTACTCACGGGCCCCCCTCCACCACCAACTGCCACCCGCACCGGTAGGTTTCTACCCCTCCCCCAGACATGCGCTATCAATGCATGTTGCCTGCTTGGCCGCGGCTGATGACTTTGCAGGTCCGATCCCACCTGGGAGTTCACCGTTGTCCACAATGGCATCATCACCAACTACAAGGAGCTCAAGACGCTGCTCAGCAGCAAGGGCTTCAAGTTCGAGACGGAGACGGACACGGAGTGCATCGCAAAGTTGACAAAGTACATCCACGACCAGCACCCCCAGATTGGCTTCACCGATCTGGCAAAGGCCGTCATCACGGAGCTCGAGGGCGCCTACGGCCTGTTGATCAAGTCGGTTCACTACCCGCACGAGGTCATTGCTGCCCGCAAGGGCTCCCCTCTCGTCATTGGCGTCAAGACCCAACGCCGGATGAAGGTCGACTTTGTCGATGTCGAGTATGCCGATGACAACTCGGCCCTCTCAGCCGAAGCTGCCTCGCAGAACGTGGCCCTTAAGAAGAACGCCCCCGACTTCCTCGGCGCCAGCAACAGCCTGCTGGGGGCCCCCGACAAGTCGCTCCTCCACCGCTCTCAGTCGCGCGCCTTCATGACCGACGACGGCATGCCCATGCCCACCGAGTTCTTCCTCTCTTCCGACCCGTCTGCCATTGTGGAGCACACCAAAAAGGTCATGTACCTCGAGGACGACGACATTGCCCACATCCACGAGGGCTCCCTCAACATTCACCGCCTCCGCAAGGCCGACGGCAGCTCCAACGTGCGCACCATCCAGACGCTCGAGCTCGAGCTGCAGGAGATTATGAAGGGCAAGTTCGACCACTTCATGCAAAAGGAAATCTTCGAGCAGCCCGAGTCGGTCGTCAACACCATGCGTGGCCGTCTCGACATTGCCAACAAGACGGTCACTCTCGGCGGCCTGCGGTCGTACATCTCCACGATCCGCCGATGCCGTCGTATCATTTTCATTGCTTGCGGCACGAGCTACCACTCCTGTATGGCGGTGCGTGGTATCTTCGAAGAGCTTGCTGAAATCCCAATCTCGGTAGAGCTTGCCTCCGACTTCCTCGACAGGCAGGCTCCCGTCTTCCGCGACGACACGTGCGTCTTTGTCTCCCAGTCGGGCGAGACGGCCGACTCGCTCATGGCCCTGCGCTACTGCCTTGAGCGCGGAGCCTTGACCGTTGGCATCGTCAACGTCGTCGGCTCCTCCATCTCCCTGCTCACCCACTGCGGTGTCCACGTCAATGCCGGCCCCGAGATTGGCGTGGCCTCTACCAAGGCGTACACATCGCAATTCATCGCCATGGTCATGTTTGCGCTGTCGCTGAGCGAGGATCGCGCGTCCAAGAAGGCCCGTCGCGAGGAGATCATGGAGGGCCTGGCCAACGTGTCGGGTCAGATCAAACAAATCCTGGACCTGGACAAGCCCATCAAGGAGCTGTGCCAGAAGGTCTTCAAGAACCAAAAGTCTCTGCTGGTCCTTGGCCGAGGCAGCCAGTTCTCCACGGCGCTCGAGGGCGCGCTGAAGATCAAGGAAATTTCGTATCTTCACTGCGAGGCTGTCATGTCTGGCGAGCTCAAGCACGGCGTCCTGGCCCTGGTGGACGAGAATATGCCCATCATCATGATTCTGACTCGCGACGAGATTTTCAAGAAGTCCCTCAACGCCTACCAGCAGGGTATGTACATCTTTTTTGATCACGCTGTTTCCTCCAAGTGTCTGGATTTGGACTGACGAGATTCCCCAGTCATTGCGCGAGGTGGCAAGCCCATTGTCATTTGCAACTCTGGCGACGTCGAGTTCAAGGCCTCGGATGCCGAGAAGATCGAGATCCCGAAGACGGTCGACTGCCTCCAAGGTCTCCTCAACGTGCTACCCCTGCAGCTGATTGCCTACTGGCTTGCCGTCCTCGAGGGCCTCAACGTGGACTTCCCCCGCAACCTGGCCAAGTCGGTCACGGTCGAGTAAGGGGGACATGGCTGGGCCGGATGAGTCTTGCGTGTCCCGCTGGCGTGTCACCGGGACCCTGGCGTTTTGTTGGGGCAACCGGCGCGGTCTTTGCTGTTGTTTCGTGGGCACACATCGCTGCTATCATGGAGATATTCAACAGGAGTTGTCTGCACCTTTGCCCCGCCTTTTTCCTTTTTTATGAAAATGGGCGACTTACAGCATGCTAATGACGGGCGGGGGGCCCTGGAGGCACGGCGACTATTATCGTCGTGAGGTTCTGTCTAGATTGGTAGATCATGCTGGCCTGGCGGGCTCTCTAGTGTCTGACAAAGAAGTTGGGTATGCATTTCACGAGAGTTGAAGCACCAGACCATGGTCTCGGCGGTTGGATTTGTGACACGGGTAGATGGATGAATGATGAACATTGTCACCTCTATTGTTACAAGTCTTTGAGTGATTGTCCATGTCATGCCTTGCCAGTTGGTAACTACACCTTGATTGCTGGCCATGACGCCGATGCCGTCCGCCTTCGTCCTCGAACAGTAAACACAGGCCGCGACATGGTCACGGCTCCAGGGACGTCTCAGGCAGCCCGGCACCGCCCCTGTCCACGATGTCTATACACACAGCGGCCTCAGACCGTCTGGGTGCCGTAGCCCTTGATCCTGTCGGCAAAGGCCCAGCTCTGCTTCTCAAGGTGCTCGTCCGTCGACAGCTCGACACCGTCCTTTGTGACTATGGCGAGGGAGTACTTGTCCAAGCTTCTGGCGTCGCGGTAGAAGAGCACTTTCATGCACTCCTTGACGATGTCGATGGCCTCTTGGCGGGAGAGCTTGCGGGCGGCCTCCTCGTCGGGGGCGTGGCGGCGCATGATGGGCTGAGCAAGCATGGCCCCGAAGCCGGTGGCGAGGCTGGGGGACGAGTAGGTTGAGCCGAGGAGATCTGCGGCGGCGAGAAAGGGCTCGCCGGCGTCGTCGAGGCCGGCGACGAGCAGGTGGTTCCACAGGGGGTCAAACTTTGAGCGGCGGCGGTAGAGCAGCTTCGAGAGGTAGCGGTGGAGGTTCGCGGCCGAGAGGCGCGGGGTGGCGCCATCGGGGGAGGAGGAGGAGGAGGATTCGTAGGCCTCGGTGAGGGCGAGGTCGGTGAGGTGGCGGTCGAGGTACTGCATGTCGGAGACGTCGCCCGAGAAGCCGACGATGGAGGTGTTGGCGAAGGGGCGGAGGCGCTTGACGTCGGTGAAGCGGGCGAGGGAGCCGTACGAGGCTGGGGGGGGGGAGACGAGGCCCTGTCAGCTCTTCTTCTTCTTCTTCTTCTTCTTCTTCTTCTTCTTCTTCTTCTTCTTCTTCTTCTTCTTCTTCTTCTTCTTCTTCTTCTTCTTCTTCTTCTTCTTCTTCTTCTTCTTCTTACGAGCTCATAGTTCTTCTTCCTTTCCCTCTTTTCAATAGATTTGTGCTTTGTCAAGGAACGTACCTAAGTTATCGGCAGCCATGACGACGCCGTCCTTGAACTTGATGGCGACGACCGAGGTGCCCGTGACGATGGGTTGCTGGGTGGACTGCTTGGGGCCATTGGTCTGCATGTACGAGGCGTCGTATGCGCCGTAGACATCGTCTCTGGGCTACAGGTGCGTGCGAGTCAGCATTGAGGAGCAGGAGAGGAGAGAGAGCTCGCCATGGATGGATGGGTGGTGCGTACCCGGCCCCAGGCTTGCGGGCGATGATCCATGGCTGATATGTGGTGGCGGGGGAGGAGGAGGAGGATGGTCTCGATGGAAAGGAAGATGTCTGGATCCGGTCTGTGAGCTTTTCAATGAGGACTGGAGAGGGGTGGTTGTTGATGGTCTCGCGAGCTGGGATGCTCTGCTTGAGCTTCTGGTTACGTTGGCGCGGCCTTGCGGGAGCCTGCTCGGAGGAGGCGGTTACATAAGCACATAAGCGCGACGGTGATTGGGCCGAAGCTCGAGCTTGTGGCAGCTACCTGACGCTGTGTGGAGACGCGTGCGAGGAGTCGAGTAGTGGATACCTACACGACAAGGGCGGGCCAGCAAGCTCGAGGCATTCAAGTACCGGTACTTGGGCACGCCGCCCAATGCGTATGCCTGCGCTAAGTACAAACCAGGCCAGCAGCATGAGAAGGGAGGGGGAGGAGCAGCCCCGGCCCGCGTCATTTCGTAAACACCAGACGGCGCATCCTCCGTGTGTCCCCTCCCAACTCTGCCGCTGCCAATCCGACCGCGCGCAGTCGCACCCTTTCTTCCCGCCAGCCTCTGCATATTTCCTCACGCGAGAGGGGGATCAAGGAACCAAGCAGGAGAGGAAGGATCCATTCACGGTCCGCGCGTCGTCGTCGCCATGTTGACTTTCATCGGCCGGGCCGCCGCGCGCCGCGCGCTGGCCTCTGCGGCGCCGTCCAGGCTCGCCCTCGGCTCGTCGGCGGCTGTGCACGTGCGGAGGGGCTTCTCGGGGTCGGCGTGGGCGCGCGCCGCATCGGCTGCGACGGCCAAGAGGGCGGGCGCTGCGAAGACCAAGACGGCTAAACCAAAGGCCAAGGCGGCCAAGACGAGTGCGACAAAGGCCAAGAAGAAGGCGCCGGCAAAGAAGGAGAAGCCGGTCCTGAAGAAGAAGAAGGTGGTCAAGAAGAAGGCGGTCAAGAAACCCAAGAAGAAGACGCCGCCGACGCCCGAGCAAAAGGAAAAGGCCCAGGTGCGCGAGCTGAAGCGCATGGCATTGCTCAAGGGGCCCAAGATGCTGCCCGCCAATCCCTGGGCCATCTACGTGTCGCAGAACTTGCCCGCCGGTGATGAGCAGCTGGGGGAAAAGATCAAAAAGGTCCATGCCGACTATGAAGCTCTGTCGGCATCGGAGAAGGAGGTACGCCTCAATTGCCCTTCTCAGCCCGCAGGCCTGTGAGCTAACAGAGCATCTTCTGCAGCGCATGAACGCAACGGCGCAGGCCAACCAGGTGACCAACCAGCAAACGCGGCAGGCATGGATCGAGTCGTTCCCCTACGAGGTCGTCTACATGGCCAACCTGGCCCGCCGGCAACTGGCGCGCAAACTCAACAAGGGCCGCCTCTACCTCATCCACGACGAGCGCCAGCCCAAGCGCGCCAGCGGGCCCTACGGCCTCTTCATCAAGTCGCGCTACCGCGGCCTCAGCGACTCCGGCTCCACGCAGGACATCTTCCGCACAATGGCCACCGAGTGGAAGGCCCTCAGCGATGCCGACAAGAAGCCCTTCCAGGACATGGCCGCCGCCGAGGCCCGCAAGGCCACGGAGCAGTTCAAGGAGGCCCGCGTCGCGGGCAAGGCCTACTGGCAGGCGCAAAAGGCTCCCGCGGGCCGGATGTCCGAGTCCGCCTCATCGCCCTAGGCATACGGGGCGCACGGTTCATGACTTTGGCGGGGCCGGCGGAGAATCGGACGGCTGGCCTTTGGCTTTCTCCATTGATGCCTCGGAGCGAGGGATGGGCCGTCGGGGCTTGTGAGTTGGCTGGCTTTTTCGTCCCGCTGCCGTCTCCGAAAATGAGAATCAACGTTCGACGGAGCACGGCGGGGCGGCTCTGACGGGTTCTGTGCGATATAGAGGTTCAGTCTCCTTTGTCGCTGCTTTTCCTCTTCTTTGCTTCCCGGCGGGACACCTCGGAAAGGGGGTTTCTCCACGTCGGGCGGACCGTGTACGATCGTGTCAATGGCAGTGAAGAGAACATCTGGGAGTCTTTTTTCCCGGTCGTGTGATTACTGAATTAATCACGGAGGCATTGCTTGGCATCTTGGTTGTGTCTCTATTCCCCATTCCATCCGCCATTCATTATCAGCCGAGCTCGGCTTTCCTTGTCAAGCCAATGAAGGAAAGCCCAGCTCCGGAGACGTGTCCTGTTGGAAACGCCCCCCAATTATACAATATCCCTGACTGCCCCGAAGAGGGTTTCTAAGAGATGCAAAATTGGACCACCCAAGCAGATATCCAAGATGAAGACTTCCCTCCGGCAGCGCCGCCAAGAAACGCCAAAGCACTATGCATAGCCACGAAGAGGTATATATGTATATAGAGGTCGGCGCGGCATATCATAATCACAAGGGGTCAGGGGCGCCTCCCCCCCGAAGGCGCCACCTCGAGGGCAACCAGCCCGTCGGCGCCGTACCACGCGGCGCCTGTGGCCTTGACGTGCCTGCCGCTGGCAAGATACAGCAAGAGGTAAGTATGCTTGGCGACGCAGGCCCAGCAGTAGAGGCGGATCCAGGCGTGCCGCTGTTGCTGCTGAGACGCGGGGCTGCCGCGGCGGCACCAGACACCCCAGCCGGCGAGGCCGCTGCGCAGGTAGTTTGTCAGGAAGACCCACGTTTCGCGGCACGTCTGCGGCGGCCAGCCCGAGCAGTCGAGCAGCCAGTAGCCGCGCTCGAGGGGTTCGAGGGCGCGGCGCGGGGGCTCTGGGCGGTAGCGCGACGCCAGGTCGCGCGCCAGCTTGGCCAGCTTGTCCGAGACGAGGGTCGTGGGGTCGATGTGCGCAGTGTCGGCGGGGGGCGAGGGCGGTCTAATTTCCAGCGCGTCGTCGTCGTCGGCGGCGGCTGCGGCTGCGCAGTTGGCCATTGCCATGATCGGCCCGGCATCGCTGGTGCTGCGCACCAAGACCAGGGAGTCGCCTCCTCCATCCTCCGTCACCTTGGGCTTCTTGCACGGCGGTAGCGGCGGCGGCTCCGACTCTGCCCTGGACGGGGATGAGGCGGACTGGTGGCTGACGAAGCTGCTCGAGATGTGCGTCAGGTCCAACAAGGCCGAGGTAGCCAGCTCCTCGGCGGTGCGTTTGCTCCGCGGCGGCAGCGCGGGAAGGGCGAGGGGCGTCACGGGGATGACATGCCCGGCGGGCGAGCCATGCTGCTGCTGCGACGGAGCTTTGGGCGGCGGCGGCGGCTCGTACTGGCGGCTCGGAACCGGCAGAGACGAGGGGACGTCGATGACGTCAGCGTCGGGGCCCAGTGCTTGAGACGGCGGCGACGACGCAGCCGATGTCGGCGTGCCCGTGGAGCCGCGGGCGTTATTGTTGCTCAGGTAGCGCTGGAGGATCCGCGTGGGCGTGACAGTGAAGACGCCCGCGTCAGGCAGGGGATACGAGTCGCTGATCTGACTGGCGGGAGCGCGGAACGGTGACGGCGAGGGGGCCCGGCCGTCGTCGCCCTGGGAGGAGAGAGGCGCGCGCGCTGCGGAGGTTGGAGGCGGTCCCGGACGCACGAGGGGCCGGAGACGCGGCGAGGAGCGGTTGTCCCAGGCGCTTTGAAAGCTGAGGTCCTGCGACTCGGGGGCGCAAAAGACGCCATGTTGCTCCGGAGCGGACGAAAAAGCGGGCGGCGCCCCCCGAGACCGCGTCTGCGGAGGATCGCCCAGCGCACCTGGCCCGTCGGAGCTCTGCCGGAGCCGAGCGGACGAAGAGGGATCGTCTGGCGCCGCTGGCAGCGCGGTGCGAGCGGCGGGCTCAAAGGCGAGGTAGGCGCGCGCGAGGCCACGGTAGCGGCCATCATCGGCGGCGGTGCTGGGCGCGGCTACGTGGACGAGGATCTCGACGTGCCGCGGGGACTGGCCGGCCATTCCAAGACAAGACGCACTGGTGGTCGGGGGAGGGGCTGGTTCATGGCGACCGCGGGTGGGGAGAGAGCGGCGTGGAGGAAGCAGCAAGGAAGCGAGCCGAGTCGAGATGAGATGGAAAGGGGCTTGTTCGTGTGACGGCGAGTATATCCAAGAAAAGAGGGGTGGAGAGAGGAAGCTCGGCCAGCGCAGAGGAGTCTATGAAGATGGAGGACGTCGACGGCCCTGGTGAGGACTCGAGGAGCTGTTGTTGGTCATCATGTGACATGGGCCTGGAGAGCACCTATTTCCAAGTATGTGCAGTACCTCGAGCTTATTACCTAAGTATCTGTGCGTTACGGTAGCGGACAGAGGCGCCTCGTCAGTGAGACTTAGTGAGACGAGACGGTGCAGGACGCCGAATAATGTCTTCACCATGGCCGACGACGACCAAGTCTCCGTTAAACAAGATTAAATCACCGCGCCGTAGATTTATACGTGCATTCCTTTTCCCCGCAGTGGTCTCTGCTGGGGCCGAATATGCCGAACTCTGTGCCCGGCACGAAAGGATGTACCTGACTTGACTGGTGGTGTGCTCTAACTCAAAATTTCAGGTAATTACCGCCCGCTACGGTGGGCAGCCCGCAAATACCGCATCGCCAATCGCCTCGTCCCCTATCCCCGTCTTCCTCTCACACGCGTCGAGCCCTGAATCCCACCCGGCCAATTCACGCGCACGCAGACACCCATTCCCCGTCTCGCCCACCGCCCGCCTACGAACCTCCCCCCCGTGCGGCGCACCCGCGCAACCGCAATGGCGGCCCCCAGCAGCAACGAGGCCCAATCCTCGCCGCCGCCCCGGCGCCTGGGCCACGTCGTCGTCATCGGCGGCAACGGCTTCCTCGGCCACCACATAGTCGCCCAGGCGCTGAACCGAAGCAGCAGCAGCAGCAGTGGAAAGGCCTTCTCCTGGTCCGCCACGGCCGTCACCTCCATCGACCTCCGCTGCGACCGCAACCGCGTCCCCGGCGCCGCCTACCACGAGTGCGACATCGCCGACGCCCCCGCCCTCGCCGCCCTCGTCGCCCGCCTGCGCCCCGACGTCGTCGTCCACACCGCCAGCCCCGTCGCCAGCGGCGAGAGCGCCGTCGCCCGCGACCTGTACCGCCGCGTCAACGTCGACGGCACCCGCGCCGTCGTCGACGCCTGCCAGCAGCCCGCCGCCGCCGTAAAGGCCCTCGTCTACACCAGCTCTGCCAGCGTCATCAGCGATAATCGCTCTGACCTGCTCAATGCCGATGAGCGCTGGCCTGTCATTCGTGGCGAGCTGCAGCACGAGTACTACTCCGAGTCAAAGGTGCCCAACTCCGCCCCCCCCCCCTCCTCTATCCAAAAAGCGAAACCTGCCACGGTCTCTAACAACAAACGTCTAGGCCGCCGCAGAGGAAATCGTCCTCGAGGCAAACCGCCAGTCCCCCTCCAACCTGCTCACCACCTCCCTCCGCCCCGCCGGCATCTTCGGCGAGGGCGACGTCCAGACCCTCGCCGGCCTGCTGCGCGCCCAACGCGCCCGTCGCACAAACGTCCAGCTCGGCGACAACCTCAACATCTTCGACTTCACCTACGTCGGCAACGTCGCCCACGCCCACCTCCTCGCCGCCCACGCCCTGCTCGCCACCGCCGCCGCCTCCTCCGTCTCGGCGCCCCTCGACCACGAGCGCGTCGACGGCGAGGCCTTTTTCGTCACAAACGACTCCCCCTGCTACTTCTGGGACTTTGCCCGCGCCGTCTGGCGTGCCGCCGGCCACGACGCCGGCACCGACGCCGTCTGGCGCCTCTCGCGCACCCTCGGCGTCGCCCTTGGCTTCCTCAGCGAGGTCTTTTCCTCCATCGTCGGCAGGCCCCCGACTTTTACCCGCCAGCGCGCCGTCATCTCCACCATGACGCGTTACTACAACATCACAAAGGCCAAGACGGTCCTGCGCTACGAGCCGCTGTGGTCCCTCCCAGAGGGCGTCGCGAGGGGCGTCGGCTGGTTCCTCGAGCAGGAGAAGAGAGACCCGGCGCCGGCACCGGCTGTCAAGGCACAGTAGGAGGACGAGTTATGAGGAGGGGAGCACACCTCCGTGTTTCGACTCAAGGGACCTCGATTCGTGCCAGACGTCTACTAGCCTGTAAACTAATTAATACCCGAGACAGAGATGGAAGCCCTTTGTTGCCCTACGCGGCAAACAGAAAATGTACCATAGCACAGCCGACTACGCTTGAACTCGTCACTGTCGTGTCCACCGTCTGCCATGACATTGCTTAGAAGCCTCGTTGCATCGGGAATTTACTACTCACCATCTCTCTCTTCACGCTCTCACACAACTCCTCTCTATGGCCGCTTCTAACCACAGCTCTCCTCTTCCAGCCCCTTGGCCATCTCGATGCCGCCATCTGGCTCTCCCTCATCTGTTTCTCTTCGTCTTCCTCTAATCTTTCTTCAGACATGCTCCATCAACTCGGGGGGTGGTAAGGAAAAAGAGAAAAGCAAGCGGTGGCCAAGCAACACACTCCATGACTCGAAGCACATCTGGCTGGCAATCTCCACGAGAGAACGAAAAGGCTAGGCCCGGCCCGGCAAGCACCCGGTCAATACTCCATCCAACGGAAAAGGTATAACAAAAACCTTTTTCCTCCATGGGCCCTCTTTCTCGTCATCCACAGGGTATGCCCTGTCAACCAGCCCCCTCAGCAAGTCTTGAGGCAGTCTTTGGCACAAAGCTGGGGTGGAGAAGTGAACGTAAAATGTGGTGTGGTAACAGGCCAAAAGGAGACACAAAGAGGCAGACTGCGAGTCTTATGCCGCGTAAGGAATCGAACAAGACGGGGGAAAGAGGAGGAAGGCAACAGCAAGATCTGAGCCTGGCCGAGATAAAGGAAAAAGTACACAAGTTCCGTCATGACGGGCGTTATTGATGAGGTCTAGCTCCTCTCCTTTTTTTAGCGGATGTTTGTCGCCTCCGGGTGACGGGGGAATCGAAAAGGGAAAAAATGAAAACGCCATGGATAATGCATATGACTACACCGAAACCATGTCTTCTGCGGGGAAGAATCCATGCCAAGATGGAGCCGGCATCTGGACCTGCTTCCCCAAGGTCACAAAGGCTGACCCGGTCACAAGTTGCCGCCGACGCCGACACCGCCGCCACGGCGGCCCCACGCCGAGTTTCGCCATTCTCCGCGCTGGCTGTGCTCGGAGCTCTCGAGTTGGCTGTCGGAGCGGTTGAAGCGGCCGTGGTTATACGGGGAAGGATGATCGCCGCCCCCGGTCCACTTTTGCGGCGACGTCTCCGGTCCGGAAAAACCGCCTTGATCCTGCACTGGCCGGACCGTCCGCTCGCCCTGCAAGACGGCTGGGTCCGTCTCGACCCGTCGCGGCGGAGAGCGCGTCGACGTGTCCAGCCGGTTAAAGACCTCGCTAACCTCGGCGACAGGTACTTGCCCTCGTCGATCTTGGAAGCGCTTGAGGATCTCCTTGGTCGTGATCTCGCCCGGGTTGCTAAACAGGTACGGATCGTTCAAGAGCGTGAGGAGCTCGTCCGGAACCTTGATGGTCTGTCAATATGCCGCTCTCCGTAAGAGTGCAAGAGAAATAGAGAGGGAAAGTGGGTGAGTACATACCTGGCACATTTCCTCAATATTGTTGATGAGAGTCTCGACGGCGTCAATGACGAATATGGCCTCACTGTCCAACGTGAGAGCCTTGTTGGGATTCGTCAGGATATTCGGGGCAATGACTGTTGCCAAGTTCCGAATGTCCATCTTGGATCCGACGTCCTCGTCGAGCTGGTGGAACGACCCGGCCCATTTCAAAAAGGTGAACAAGATTTCTAGGCAGTCGCGGTGGCACTTGGGCAGCAGGCAGCACGTCATGTGCAGGCACTGCTTTCTCCTTTCCGGGTCCGATATCTTGGCCGCACTGATCCAGAGCTTGTACAGCTTGTGCGTCATCAGCGGGTCCGGGAGGTCTCGCAGGTATCGCTTCAGAAGCGCCGCCAGCTGCACCACAGGCTGCTCCATAAAGTTGACCACGTCGCATCCCTCGGCGTTGATCTTGTCCACGAGTTCCTGCTGCTTCTTGATGTTGCCGTTTTTGCGAAACACTCCCTCGACCGAGAGGTCCATCTTGCGCATCGACGAGATGATGTCGTCAATAATGGCCGGGATGCGGAGCGTGCCCGGGCCGACGCCATCTGTCGAGTCCGCCCCATCACGATCAATGATGACTTCCAGCGGCACCCCAAAGACGCCCTTTTTCTTGACGCTTCTGTTCTTGTCGTTCTTGAACGCCTTGCCGAGGTTCTTCCAAAACGTCGGCTGCTTTCTCGACTCGATGAAGCCAAGGAGGTCGTCGAGAGTAAACTCCTGCTCGATCATGGGCTGCATGGTCAAGACCGCCAGATGTCGCACGTTGAAAAATTCTAGCCCAGAGAGCTCCGAGAAGAATTTTCGGACCACCCGGGTGGGCAGAGGGTCGGACCCCCGGACATCGTGGTCTCTGCTGACCGACTGCGCCCGGTTGCGGGTGGGTGACCGGTTAGGGTCGGCAACGGGTGACCGGAAGGGATCCGGACGAGCGTTGCGGTCGCGCTGCTGCTGCTGCTTCTCGCGCGACTGCTCGACGGCAACGATCCGGGGGATGTCGTCCAGCGTGATGGCGTCGTTCTGCGCAAACATGAGATCTGTTGACCCCTGTGCCTCGGGGCCCCCTTCCTCCTCGTCAACTGAGCCGGGCCGCGGGCCTTGACCGTCTGCGTTCATAACACGAGATGTTCGAGCTTGCTTGACGCTCGACGATAGGTGTCGATCGAGTCGTGTGCTGCGCAGTCTCCTGACCTCGTTGAGAGTGTTTTCGTATGTTGACTCGCGGTGATGCTCCTTGTCGCCCCCGCCCGCGTACGACTTGGACCTCGACTCTGAATTTAAGAATGGAGGGCCGGCTCCGAGCCTGGCCTTGTCTCCGCCGAGCTCGCCGCCCTTGGCGTCTTCTGCGCCACGGGGCAGAGCGCCGTTGCTTCGCAGGATATCGAGGAGTCGCGCCAGTGCAACCTTGAGGAGAAAGACGTACTGCTGCAACTTTGTGATGTGCTCGAAAGGTGGCGACCCGTCCGCGCTGGCAGAGGCGCAGCCCATGCAGTATACTTTGCGGTCAAAAACCTTCAAGCGCGCCTCTCGCAAAGACCGCCCCAGTTCGCGGGCGCATCGGGCGCATTTGAGGCACGCCAGGTGCCACCTCGTATCTCCACACTTGGCACACTCGTCCTCAACAGATCGACTGCAGACGACGCAATGGTCTGAGTCCTTGGCCGATAGACGCGAGCTGCCCATGGCCAGTTGCAGCATGTTCTCGTCCGTCTTGTACGTCTCGAAATCGGCGAGATCGTTGAGGAGTTGGTTGATGCCATCGCTGTTCCCCGCCTCGCGCTCCAGGCGAAGTGAGCCCTGAAGGCAGATGCGTATCAGAAGCTTCAGGTAGTGAGCCAGACCGGTGACGAGGGACAGCAGCTCTTGAGTGACGCCCAGCTTTCGGATGCTGGTGTCCTGGGTTTTGGACAGCAAGGAGAAAAAGGCCACGATTTTTTTACAGAGAAGCTTAGCCTCTCGGCCGTAGGACATGCCTGAAGGCAGGAATGACCTCTGGTCAGCGTGCCGATTTCTCGACGGACGGGGCTCGGTGTGCACCGCGGGCTCGCAGAGAGCTTACTCACCTTTGCTGCTGCGGCTGAGCATCATGGCGTCGAGCCTGTCTGCCGACTTGAACAGCACCTCGACGTGCCAGATGAAACGCTTGGCGACGAGGACGCCGTCGACGTACGAACCATTGCTGACGTGTAGAAGCATGTCGGAGATGCACGCCGCAGACGACTCCTCAAAGGTCGAGAGGACGCTCCATATGCGGTACACCTTTTCCTCCATGCGCTCCTCGTCTTGGCGGATCAGGTCTTTGTTGGCCGGAGGGTCGGACTCGGAAGCGGCCGGCGGCGTCCCTGTTGGTTGGGCCAACCGCACATTCCAGAATTTGTGTATCATGTAACACTCGGGATGCCAGTGCTGGTTCTGGCCATTCCGGTAAATCTCGACAAACTGCTTGAGGATGGCCGTCTGGCAGCCGTTGCACCTCTGGGCGTGTTGGGTCGAGTAGTGGTAGTGGCAATAGACGTTGCCGTCGTGCTCGTAGTAGCTGTCCTGGGCCCCGAAGACGGTGGTGCAGAGCGAGCAGGTGAAGTGGTCGACGTGGTACTTGCGATCGAGGGCGGTGATGTAGGAGCCGCGGAGGGCGCCGCCGCATTGATGGCATATCAGGCCCAGTCGTCGGAAGTAGTCGGTTTCGCACAGCGGGTACTGGCCCTGCCCGTTTTCATCATCGGCCGGGAAGAACTTGGATGCCACAATCTGGCCGCAGTCCTGCACGGCGCGTCAGCAGCAGATTCACGGAGCAAGAGGCGGACGAGAAAGACTCACCCGACACTTGAAGCAATCCAGGTGAAACGTGCCGTCCAGGGCTCGCACAAACTGGCCGGTGAGGGGCTCGCCGCACTTGTTGCAGATGCGCGTCTGGCCGCTGGCGGCACGTCCGTTTCTCTGTCGTGATCGATTTCTCTCTTCGCTCTTGCGGGGCGACGTTTCGTCGGTCCATCCTGTGGGGAGGCCCGCGCTGGTCAGCTTGAGTCCACGCAGGCTCTCTGGCGTCCTCTGGCCGCCGTTGGACCAGTTTCTGTCCCCCGGGTTGGTGGACTCGAAGGCAGCCGCGCGGTCGCCGGGGAGGTCGCCACGGGGGCGGTCGCCCGAGGTTCCGTGATCGCGGTCCGAGGCCATCACGGTCGGGAGTCCAGAGTGACGATGTGGGCACTGCCTTGGCCCTCTCCGTCGCCCGAGGACGAAACACGCGGGTCAACAAGCGCGGTTGGCAACGCCGTCAGCGCCAGCGGGGTGGTGATAATGGACGATGGGGTGCTCCAGCGCTCGGCATGAGCTTGGATGGTGGATGGTGACGGCGGTGTCGATGCTAATTGATTGGACGGGGCAGGATGAGAGGATGCGCGCCGGACGACCGAGGGAGGACCGAGGGGGCCGTCTGCTCGCGTGAGGGCCCGAGGACGAGAGACTGTCGGGGTCGGTCAGGGCGACGGCAGCGGGGAGGGCGACGACGATGGGAGGAAGACGAGCCGGCGGTTGATGAAGTCGTCGGCGAGTGGGAAAAGATGCTGCAAAAGGCGACGGGGTCAGGATAGCATGCGGGCCTGGAACATGTGCTGTCGGCGAAGAAGGATGATGCAGAAAAGACGACGACGAGTCAACGTGTGGGGAGAAGAGAAGGCAGGCGTGTTGGCAGGCGACCGAGTGAGGTGGATTTGCGGTGGTAAGACGTTTAGGTATCGCTGGGTGTAGTGGTGGTGAGTGGTAGAGTGTTGGAAGTAAGGGGGGGGAGCGCGCCGGGGAGGCAGGGACCCTTAGGTACCTATAGGGTAGTTTGGCGGGAGGAGCGACTTTGGGACAAGGTAGTGCAGATAGCAGAGGTGCGGGGAGTCTGGTTGTCTAGGTAGCATCAGTACCTGATGCTCAGGTGCTGCAGGATTGAAGGGAACCTGACCCTCGGTGCATACCTGACCTCAGGCAGGCCCTCCTTACCTCAGGTACCCGACACACACGCCCACCCTTGCGGTACGTAGCGAGGAGTGGGCGTTTTGGTGGCGGGCTTTGTTACGGAGAGCGCGCGCCAAAAGCTGCCATCAGGACTTGCTTGAACTTTTGCCTTTTCCTCTCTCCCCTTTGCCTCGTCGCCGTCTTTTCTCCGTGCCATTTTTTTTTGGGGAGAAGGGGAGGAGAAGGGGGGGTTCCATCTGTCCATATGGCAAAGGGCCTCTTACGTACTTGTCTCGGGGCGAGATGGATTCAGACGTGGGGTGCAAGTCACAATTTCCCCTGCGAATCCAGCGCCAGCTAATACCTGCAAAACTACTTCGTCCAGCGGGTGTCAAAATGTTAGTACATTCTCATCATGCCCCGATGCTGCGGCATGCGCGTAGAAAGCTACACCCGCCAAGCCTCACAGGGTGCTTGTCTATCCGTAGCTTCGTCGACAACCGAGATTTATCTTAGGTTTATCTTTGGGTTTATCTTTAGAGCGAGGCGCATGCCCCGTCGTCAGGGACTGGACAGATGCTGTGCTGCCGCGGCGGCGGTGATAAAAAGGCCGTGTTGTACATGCAATTTCACTCTGTGCAGTCCCCGTTCCAGTCGCCGTGGCACAGAGCCAGACCAGGGGGCTTTTAGTGGGGAGGGAGGAGTTGCATGTCGTGATGGGCTGTCCTACCAACTATAGATACCAGACACCCGCGCCCAAGAGACCAAAGAGAGGAAGAAAAAGTCGCGCGCGCTTGCGGGTGAATGCATTTTGCCCCCCTTGTTGGCCCCTGCGGTCAAGCGGCAATTCTCAGCCATGCGCCTCGTCTCCGCAAAGGGCGGCGCTTAGCCGGCGACACGTAAAGACGGAAGCCCTCCCCAACCAGCCCAAGCCCCGCGACAACCTTATTCTTCTGGCAGGGCGGCTTGCAGCGTTGGCTCGCCTTGCGAGGCCAACCATCAAACATTTCGTTTGCCCGTGTTACACTTCCTAATTTCGTCGCATGACGCCCCCTTTGGGAGTGTGTCCTGTTTGGTCCCCGTGATGGTCCCCCATGATGGTTTTTCCTACCCGGGACGCCGGCGACGACGACGACGACGACGACGACGCCCGTTCGCGCCGGGACATGGATCATGGACGTATGCGCCCAATGGGCCAATACATTCAAAATGATCATGCTCTCCCTTTACTTTGCCACTTTGCCGTCACTTGCCGCGGTGGGTGAGTTCGTCGCATAACCAAGACCCCGGTCGTCAATCAAGGCATTGCTGCGGTGTGCGGATTCTCTAACGTGCTAGTCCGGCCCGCCCTGTTTCCAATGGAGCATTTATAGAATCCAGAAGAGGGCCTCGTGTGGACCTGCATGTGCCGTGCGCCTCGTTCGTCCGGTTTGCAGAGCTCACGACAGTTGGAGCAAAGCTCGCGGCAGTGGGGGCTTCCATCTAAGCAAAGTCATGGACACGTTCATGTATTCAAGTGACAACTGGCTGACGCATGAATGCAAAAAGACAGAAAGAGGAAAACACATTCTGGCAGTGGCGGAGCAACGAAAAGTCCCAGCAACTCCAAGCCACACGACGCAGACATGGCCAAGCGCCTAAGTCTCGTCTCAATTTCGACGGCCCCCCGGACTAATCCAACCAGACTCAACCCCCCCCCCCCACGGTTATTAAACAGGGCATTACGACGACGACGACGACGACGACAGCCCCCCGACCCTATGCGTGCACCAACTGCCGCAACCGTCTCTCAATCTGCTCCCGGCCCTCGAGCGTCTCCCACACCCGGTGAGGCGCCTCGTCGACCACGTCCCAGTGCTTGAGCTTGTCCGTCAGCGTCGTCAAATCACGCTGCCGGCCCTCCCAGCTGTCGTTGTCTCGGACCTCGATGCCCGAGCTGATGACGACGAGCGGCGTCTGCTTGTCTTGGATCATCCGGCTACCCTGCACGTCACGCCGCGTAAACGAGTTGGCCACCAGGCTCTCCTGCAACTTGGCGTAGATGAATTTGCTGTTTTGCTGCGCCGCCCGCCCGTACACGCGGTCGCGGCTGCTCCGGCCCCGGAAGAGCGCCCCGGACAGCCGGTCCAGCCCCAGCGGCGAGATGACACCCCGCAGCCACAGCAGGAACCCGCGGCCCGGCGCCGCGACCCGGCCGAGCAGGTCCTCGTGCAGCGGGTCGATAAGCAGCAGGCCCTGGACCTCAAGCCCGTGGCGCGACGAGAAGACGCGCGAGTAGATGGACCCGATGCCCGCGCTGGCCAAGATCCAGGGGCCGCGCTCGTCGGCCTGGGCCAGGGCCTCGCTGACGACGTCGACGGCGAACCCGGCCGACAGCGGCGACGGCGCGTTGTCGGACCAGGCCATGCCGGGCCGGTCGACGAAGCAGTAGCGCCGGATGGACCCGTTCTTGACGGCGTGGTCGGCGAAGCCCCACAGACCCTCTTCGACGGGCCGCTCGCCGCCCTCGAAGAGCACCGTCGGCAGCTCGGTCTTGTTGCCGTGGCAGTGCACGTGGACGCGATACTTGCCGCTGTCCACTCGGTACAGCTTTCCGGGGGGCGCCACGCCGGCGTCCAATGCGCGCAGGATGACGGTCAGCGTGATGAGGAGGACGGCGACGGCCATGATGACGTAGGCAATCGTGGACAGCAGCACGGCCAGCCACTCGGTCAGGGTCCGCCGGGTCTCGGCGCGGCCCGTCAGTCGCTCCTCCTCCTCCTCCTTGCCCCATTTGACGGTCCTGTCGGTGAGCAGGGTCCAAAGGCTCATGAGCAGGGCCCAGATGACGCTGACGATGCCGACCCAGCCTTCCTCGTAGCGCGTCTGCTGGACACTGAGGAGGATAATGGTGTCGAGAAGCAGGAAGAACTGGCAATGGCATCAGTCCTTGTATTTCTTGTGCAACAAAAGAGGCCCCCCTCGTGTCAATGACTGGGAGGAGAGGTTTGGCTGGTTCAACATACCGCTATGACAACGGCCAGCACCCTAACCGACTTGGAGGGCACGCCGAAGAATACCAAGCTGAAGAACATGTTTGCGAGGGCCAGGCTCGCGTAGCCAAAGGCGTAGAAGCTACCGCCGGGGGTGTGCAGGCCCGGGGGGGTGACAAAGGCCGAGACGAGCAGGAGGACCCACCAGGCGAGGGTTACGGCGGTGAAGAGGAGAGTGAGGTAGCGCAGGATGCGGATGCTCCAGAGGTTGTAGGGCGTGACGGCCGGGTCGTCGGGCCTGAGCATGCCGCGGTTGGAGTCGACGCGATTGGGGAGCAGGCGCGTGTGCTCGTCGGGGGGCGGCTGGTCGGAGGCGGCATCGTCACCCGAGCGCTGGTGCTGCTGGTGCCGTTCATTGTCCCCGTCGGCGCCATTGCGCCTTTTGCTGGAGAAGAGGGGCATCGTGAGCGTCTGCCTCGATGGATGAAGTAAGGGCGAGAGGGAGGGAGGATGAGAGAGTGTGAAGATGAGGGAATCTCAATGCAACTGCCTGGGCCGAGAGAGCAGAGTTTCTTTCCTTTAACTGCCAGACCTCAAGCAGACTCTGTCGGAGGAGGCAATGCCCATTTCCAGCGACTCTTGCAATGCTCGTCGCTCATGTTTTTCTTCCGAGGCAGAGGCAGCAGCTTAAATGACATAGGGGATTTATAGCGTACGTCATAACCACCCCAGCTCGACGGCACGGGCGGGGCGCGGGCAGCCAATCCGCGGCCGCAGGTCACAGCTCTGCCGTGTTCCAGGACCACAAGCTCCGCCCAGATGCGACCCCGGCACGAACTCGACGATGGAAAAGTCCGAAGCGATTCCTGTTTTGAACATGGCGGTAATTACTTGAAGCATACAGTCAGCTTCTAGAGATGGAAAGCACATGCGGGGATATTGAATGCCTGCAAGAGAGAGCCCATTTTTCTCGACTTTTAGCAGTCGCTGGCCCTACGGCAGCTACCCGTGCCACGCCCCACTTTATTTGGAATTCGCAAGCTCCCACCTCCTAAAGTTGGTGCTCACCACCAGTATCCCCACACCACCGGAATACCCAGAATTTCGACTCCCCGACTTCAGCATCCCTATATCTTAACCAATTCACGATCTCGTCGATAGCCGAAATGGAAGCACGTGTACAAAACGCTCTTCGATATATTGAAAATTTTCCCGGTGCTAAAGTCGCAACCGTAGCGCGAGAATTCGGTGTAACACGTGATCGATTGCGATACCGTCTTCAAGGCCGACCTCCTAAAACTGGCCAGCGAGCTAGAAATACGAGGCTTTCCGAACCAGAAGAGAAGGCCCTATGTCGCTATATCGATCGTTTGGATAATATAAACCTTGCGGTACGCGTCGAGTTCGTTACTGACGCGGCAAACTGTATCTTGCGCGAGCGGTCTAGCCAGCGCGACGCTCCTACCGTGGGGCCAAACTGGACTTCTCGCTTCTTAAAGCGTCACGGCTACTTCAAAAGCGCCAAAAGGCTTCAAGCAGAGCGCCAAGTCTCCGAGAATCTTACACGAGTTAACCAGTATTTCCAGCATCTTCGGCAGGTTATCCAAGACAATGGTATACCTCCTGAGGATATCTGGAATATGGACGAGACTGGTTTTCGCATCGGGGTTGGAAAAGACCAGCTGATTGTGACAAAACGGAGGAGAGCTCATTATTTTGGCATTCCTGAGAATAGGGAATCCGCTACTGCGATCGAAGCTATCTCGGCGAATGGGGAGGTTGTTCCGGCTTTTTTGATACTCGCTGGCCAGATGCACATGGCTTCATGGTATCAAATACCTGAGCTAGATCCTGACACAGTTATTCGACCCACGCCTACTGGTTACTCAAACGACGTGATTAGTCTGGAGTGGCTCCAGCATTTGACAAGCACTCGGAAAAAGCTCAAGAAGCTCGAAGCGACTTCTAATTCTTGATGGTCATGGCTCTCACCATACCAGGCAGTTCATTGAATACTGCGACAACCACAATATTATTCCCTTCGGCATGCCGCCTAATCTCACGCATGCACTTCAGCCTTTGGACGTTGTCGTTTTCCAGCCCCTAAAGCACTATCACGCCAAGGCTTTAGATGTCATGGTTCGAGATGGCCTCGTCAACATAACCAAGCTTGAGTTTCTCTCCTGCATTCAACAAGTACGATTGCATGCTTTCAAGGAGAGTACTATACGCTCCGCATTTCGCAAGACAGGAATCTTCCCATTCAATCCACAAGTAGTACTTCAATGTTTGGAAGCTCGTCAAGCCACGACACCCACACCTCCTCCCAATTCAGGACCACACTCCTCACCTTTCGAGACACCATTGACTCTACGACAAATAAACAAGGTAGCGGACAAATTAGATCTCGTCCTTGAAGACGATAAAAGCCTGGATCCCGACTTTTCTCACGATCTCAGTCGATTTATTCGAGGATCGCTATCTCTGGCGACTGAGCTCGTGCAGACTAAAGGGACTTGGGACGAACCAAAATGGCGGAGCGGATCCAAAAACAACGTAAGGCTATGAAGAATATACAGTTACAATCAGGAGGAGTATTGTCAGTGGCCCAAGGACGGGAAATGGTGCAACAAAGGGAGATGATCAGATTGCTAAAGCAAGGAAGGTAGTAGAAGACGCGGAGAAAAGGCGCATAACGCACGCAAGCGATGGTTTGAGGAAGCAGCAAAAGGCACGCCAATGGAGGTTCAGGAAGGTTAGAACGAGTGGAAGTACGCGATTCTGAGCGTGGTACGCGGTGGTTGAAGCGATTCTAGGTCGGGGAGTCGAAATTCTGGGTATTCCGGTGGTGTGGGGATACTGGTGGTGAGCACCAACTTTAGGAGGTGGGAGCTTGCGAATTCCAAATAAAGTGGGGCGTGGCACGGGTAGATTTAATTACAGCGGCTCCTCCTCTACAAAGCCCGAGCTCGGGCGGTGCCGGACATGTGCCCGCGCACCAGCGGTAGGTTCCGTGTGGGGAGAATTTGCAATCGCCTGCACGGCTCACATCCACTTGCTCCAGTCGCATCTGCCGTGGTGGCCGATCTGGAGCTCGGCAGATGAGCGGCGCATCTGTCCGACTGCCGTTGCGGGCAAGCACAGCAGAGTACGTAAGATCGACTGGCCGCTCTCCGGGTGTCTAGGCATGGGTATATATACTGATACTCTGACGAGGGAGCTTCTCGTGGGCGAGAGAGCACATTTCCCGGCCATGTCCCACCAGCATGCACCCGCCGCAGAAGTCAGCCCGCCTCTCACAAAGCATGCACGAAGTATGTCCGGACAGTTTGCATTGCACACACAAACACCGCAGACTTGATATTTTGCGCCTCAGCTGGTCGTCTACTTCCATTGTAAGTTACATACACCGAGGTCATGGCAATGTGAGGCGGCACCTTCACCATGATGAGTAAGCCGAAGATTCCCCCATGATGGGAGGCACTTGTAGGCACAGACGGCCGCAGCAGCATGACCAGGCCTCCTATCCTCTCCTCTCCCCTCCTCTCCTCCCTGTCACCAGCCTTCATCGAAAGAAATTGATTCTCTCAGCTTTCCACTCATACTCATACAAATGATACATTTCGTGAGCATGAAGCTGCAAACAAATTTACACCCGAAATAGAAAATCAAAAGTCCAACCGAGTCCCAACGCCGTGCTTCCCCAGACCCCCGTGCAAGCCGATGCGAGTACCGCCATGTACTCGTTGACAGCAAAAAGACACGCTCAAACATGCCGGCCCGCCCAAAAAGACATGGCGAAGGAAAGAGACTTCGCTTCTCACAATCATCGTCACCTGTCATGCCCACGGCGCAACCTCGTTGATCCTCTTGAAGCTGGCAACGCTCGAGATGCCGCTCGAAATGGACCGCGCATCGTTGCGGTCCATGTACGACGCGCTGCTCGCCAGATTCTCCTTTGCCCGCTCCCGCAGCGCCTTCTCCGGACTGGGCCCGCGCGTCGACGTGGTCACGCCGTCAGGCACCTTACCGATGGGGAGGTGCATCTTGGCCGCCGCCTGCGGGTCGTTGAGCTCGACGCCGTACTTTTTGTACGCCGTGCGCTTTTGGGTCTTCATGGCCTGCGCCGACGGCTCGCTCACCGATAGCCAGCTACGCACGTGCCCGAGCCACCGCGGCGTCGACATGCGCTTCTTGGTGCTCCCTATGGTGCTGCCCGCCCGCGACAGGGACCCTAGCCGTGCCTCGTCGAGGCTTAGCGTGAAGAAGCTGTCGGAGCGGAAGAGGTTGGACCTTGTTCGCAGGCTCCGGGCCCCGTCGTAGCTGCTGCCTGGTGATACGGGCGGTGTCGAAACCTCCATGGTCAGGGGTGGCTTGCTGCACCGAAGTGCTGGTGAGTTGTCCTCGCTGGGTTCGCTTCAAAGCTTCGGCGCAGGCCGGGACTTGATATTGACGATGGCCGCTCCGTGCCAAGCTGCGTGTCAAGGCAGACGGCTGAGCAGAAGTGTTGATGCCTGTCTCCTGTGCAATGAGTTTCGAGATGGTGTGTCGCCGGTCAACAGGATTCTTGTCAGGTCCCGTTGATTGGAACAAGAGCCCTTGTCGTTGGAACTGCTTGATTGGTGACGTCGAGATGATTTGCAACGTGCAAGTGTAAGTGAGGGCGAGGTCGGGAGTGGCTCGAGTGTTTTGAAGTAGACAGACCAGGGTCAGACTCAACAGCAGACTACAGATGTTGTCGTTGTGCTGAACCGCTGAACCGCTGCTGGGTTGTCGACTATGCTACGTGTCTGAAGAGACTCGAGAGAACAAAGAGAGAAAGATCTTGGCGTCGAGAGAAGAGGGGGAGAAGCAGAGAACAAAGAGCTGTGCCGGCTTAGACACCAGCGGCTTGTTGGCCGAACAAGCGAGAGCGTTGGTCGGGGCCGCCGGCAGGACCCGGAGAGACAAGCAGGCGTCGCTTCCCGGCCAAGGGAGAGTGACGAGAGCGTTTCCGTGGCACACCAATCGTCAGCCGCCCAAAGTCTAGACGTACCTTGTCCGCAGAAGAGAGGAAGGAGAAAAAGAGGAGAGGAAAGGGAAAAAAAGAAAGCAAGAAAAAAGAAGAAGAGAACAAGCTACGAGGCCGACAAGGGCAAAGGGAGAAAGGGCTCTGTGCGGGCTCTAATAGGTATTTCTCTGCGAGTCTTGCAAGGCCTCGACCCGGGCCGGACTGACGACGAGTCCGGGTCCCGGAACTTATTAATAGGTAGAACAAGAATTTGGACCCGGGTGGAAAAAGGAAAGCGAACCGATCGAACAAGCATTGGGGGGGGGGGTGCGAACCAACGGTGTCCGAACCCCTGGCTCGACTTGTGTTTGCACGCGCTCTGGCTTGTATATACACATATACACGATGGATACGTAACGCGAGTGCGAGTGCGCGCAGATGGACATGGTTGTCGTTTGTTTGCTCCCCCCGACGTTGTTCACTACTCGCCGAGGCCCGAGGATATGGACGCGGGCTTCAGCACAACGAACCTGCATGGCACGAGACGGGCTGGTCCAAGGGCATAGAGGGCTAACTAGTTATTATGTCTGCAGGTGTGAAGTGCAGCGCGCAACTGGCAAGCCTAGGGGGCTCCTCTCCCCCTGCTAGAGGGGATAGGATGCATCGGAACTCGCTCTAAAAAGGCTTCGAGCGAGCGAGCTACTACATGGCGCATACATGTGATGACAGTGCCTCTCAGTAGCCTGGTTTCCGCCGTGCATCTTGTTCAATAAGTGCAGTGTTGATGCCTTTTTGCAGGTGCACGCTTCTTCATGGTTGAAAAAGGGATGAACATTGCTCGGGGAACCGAGGCAAAGCGTGGATTTATTGCACACGTTGCTTCTAGAACCCAGAACCTGGATCGAGCATCCCTCGACACACAGACAGCCCTGTGAGTCAGCGAAGAAGCGAAGACGAGGCCCACGACAGCATCTGCCCTGACGATCCCCAGCCAAGACTTGCTCGCTGTGCCGCGCGGCTGCGTACTGAGATGGCGCTTTCGTTCCTCGCGCTCAGACCCCCTCTGCTCCCATAGTAACTATCGTGGGCATGGCGTTTTGGAAATCCTCATCGATAGTCTGTCCTCGGCGAGCCACTAGCGCGCCATGGAAACACGACAGCTTCTCTCTCTCTTCTCCAGCTGGCTCTAGCGAGCGACCCCCTGCTGCACGGATCGCACAGGGAAGAGAGAAATGAGACACGTCGCACGCGTCCCCCATAGAGGAGGAGGAAGAAGGAAGGAAATATTGGATCTTGTGCCATGCGAGGTCGCTGTTAGTCCGCACATGGCGGTGGCTGTGGGATGTGGGGGGAGGGGGGGGAGATGATGCCGATGAAGCTGGAAGGTGGGTTTCCAGTCAATCGTGAGAGTCGCCAACTCGGGCCCTTTGGTTGGTTGGCGGTGGTGGTTGTGGTGGTGGTGCATGTTTCTTGTCATGCATGGACAAGGACAGGATCGAGGGTTCAACAGCCCAGATTATGCATCCCCATCAGCCTGTGAATGTAAGTAGGCAGATGGAGAGAGCGACATCTTCCATGCTTCTCCAGAGGGGAGAGGGGGCCCGACTGCTGAAGATGGAGGAGCCCTCTCTGATTGCCTCAATGCCCGTCCGTAGCAAATAATGACCCCGAAAACAAATGCCACGACCGATTTCTACAGTTCTTCGTCGTTGGTCTCGCACACACGCCCCCTTTTCCATCAAAAACTCAGGCTTGCCGCGGACAATCCCAAGCTGCCCTGCCCGTCGCTTCTGACACGGCCTACGGAGTACAGCACGGTGACTTGCTGAGGCACGACGCCAAAACAAGCGCGGGGGTCTCGAATTGGCTCCAGAGCAGCGCCGGCGCCACAATAAGCCACCACCCACAGGCGGCACAGTCCGGCCCCTGTCATCCACCATCAACACCAACCACCACCATCGACAAGGCACGACGACGACGATACGGCCGAGGCTTCGACCACTCACGCCCGTGCTCAGGGGAGCTCTTCCGCGGTTAGCCGGCCAACCTCCCTTTCGCCATGCCGCCTCCGCAGCAGCAGCAGCAGCAGCAGCAGCAGCAGCAGCCGCCAAGCCTGTCGCTCTCCACGTCCAACCCGTCGCCCGCCCACCCGGACGAGCCCATCCCCCCTCCCCCCGTCTCTCCCCTCACGCCCACCCTCCCCCCGGCCCGCCTCCCAGACGCGACGCCCCAGCAGCCGCTCCCCTCGCCCCTCGCCCGGCCCTTCTTGACGCACTCGTCCCAGCCCGACGCCGTCGCTGCCGTCGCGCCCCCGCCGCCCACCCTCATCGACTTCGACTCCAACCCGGACGCCATAGCCCTCCGCTCCGCCATCTCCGTCCTGCAGGTCCAGAAGAAGCGCGCCGTCGCCGACGTTCAGGCCCTCGGCAAGGCCAGGGATGCCGCCCTCGACGACCCCGACGCCTTTGTGCGCGACCTAGCCGCCGGCAAAGTGAATGCGCCGGGCGAGGCACCCAAGGAATGGTCCTCTCTCCCGCAGCCCCAAGACGTTGTCCGCTGCCCGCCCATCAACTGGGCCCAGTATGCCGTCGTCGGCTCCTCTCTCGACAAGCTCCACGCCGACCAAGTCTCCCACCCGACACAGGGCACTCCGGCCTCCATCGCCGCAAACGGCACCTACGAGTTCAAGGGCGACGGCAAGCGGGACAAGTATCCCGGCGTCGCGGCGCCCTATGCACCGACCAAGGACCGCATCGAACGGAAACCCAGGGGCAAGAAGTGATGGCCTACCTCGCGGGCTTTATCTTTACGCGTGAATGAGGCAAGACATGACGCTGCTACGATGATATGCTTTCCTTTCTTTGGTTTGGTCTGGCTTGGTTTGCCATCTGTCAGTTTTGACGGGTCATGGCGCCAACGGTGACCAGGAGGTCTGGATGCCGGCGGCGACGCTCCGTGCACCGCACGAAGCGTCTCCAAGCGCGCGATGCGCATGTACATACCCACTCACGAATAGCTATACACGCCGCGGCAACGCAAAGGACACGACGACAAAGGGTTACTTTGAGGCGGCGCAGGGGCTCGGGCAGCGCACTCTTTCCATGTTTCTTTTCTTTTAGCTGCTAAGTTAGACAGACGCTGTGAGTGGTGCTGTCGAGTTGACGGTCCCATCAAGGAGTCTGCGCGTAGCCCCTCTTGGCACACGACTCATCAGCTACCCGGTAGGAAATGACGGTTGGTAGAAATCAAGCATCGTCCAAACCGACATTTTACTCCATCGTGCCCATGGCGACTTCCGGTGCACACAGCCAAGCACCTCTCCGCCGACTGTGCTCTCCGCGGCATGGGCAACCCCGCAGCCTTGCTCGCATCGTAGCCTCGGCCAGACATTCCGTAGACGGTGCCGGCAGTGGTACCTGCCTCGTGCGCGTAAATACGTGGTGGATTCCAAAAGGGTTCCAAGAACATATGACATGGCCCGGTCCTTGCCCAGGTTACTAGATGCCTCTGTCTAGTGCAAACGCTCTCCTTCTTTAAATTATCTGCTTTAGAAGGCGCGACCTGAGACGGTGGTGGTAGAGTGGCAGATGTTTGCCTACGAAGGCGCGTTCAGGGCCTGTCCGAATCAGCTGTCGGACTGGCAAGATCGGATCAAAAAAACTAGGGTCTAGCTGCGTACCCATGGAGGGTAGGAGGCAGACATACGCGAACGATCTACGACTCACTTAGTGGGAAAGAAGCGAGAGTACTTGCGCAACTTCGCACAGGCAAATCGAGACTCAATAGTTACCTTCATGGAATACAGGCGGCAGAAAGCGACCTATGTGGCTGTGGTCAAGCAATCGAGACAGTGGAGCACTTCCTCTTTCGATGTAAGGCATGGATCTCTGAAAGAGAAAGCATGATGAAATGCAATCGAACCAAGATGGGAAATCTGTCTTTCTTCCTAGGAGGAAGTCGATGTCCGATGGCGACAAATGGAAGCCGAACCTACCAGCAGTACGCGCTACGATCAAATTCGCGATGGCAACCGGGAGACTAGACACGGACCAACGATGACAGTACTGGCAAACCAGAGTGCACAGTACTAGCACCATACAGCCTCTCATTGACAGACCGGGCTTCAGCTGCTGAGAATAGGATGCTGAACACTTGGAGAAATGGGCCTTCAAGCAGGCCTGTCAACGGCGAAATTGGAGGCTGAAATGTACGGATAGGAGCAAAATGTGGGGCTTCTGGGTGTTGCAGTCGAAAGTGGAGGATCTGTAAATAGCTGAGTGTCGCGGCCCTCTAGGGTTGGTCCCTCCGGGCGGAATAAATTGCATTGCATTGCATGGAGGGTAGGAGTCAATGGTTATCCACGTTCATAGATGCTAAGACGGAACAAATTGACAACAGGAAACATGGCCGTGTGGCGCAATGGCACCGCGTCTGACTACGATTATCAAAATCTGAAGGGTCATCCGAGGAGTTAAATCGTGTTTAATCAGAAGATTGCAGGTTCGATCCCTGCCTCGGTCAAAATTGAGTCTCGTCGCGGGACTGGATTTTTTTGCCAATTCCGGCACATGATTGAATTTCATCACGTTTAGAAAATGTTCACCCAGGTAACTTACTCCGCACCTAATAAAGGATTCAGTGGCACACGTGCAACTTAGCTTCCTTCATCCTGACAACGGGTAAATGCATAACCAGTAGTTCCCGGCCACTGAGCTCTTCGACGTACTACACGGACGGAGCGTCTGTCTAACAGAGGCGCAGTTTACACCCAATCACGTCTACGACCCTTTTGCGTTATGGTTGAGTGAGGGTGGTTCTTATAACGTCTGTCCATTGACACCCATATATAAGCCCAAACTTTGGCCAGACGTATTTTTGGACTATTTGGAAGAGGATTCTCTGGTAGATGCCACTCCCTTGTAACTATCGTCGACGTTATTTAAGAACTTATAGACAGTTTAGACCGGTCAAGGAATCGAGGGCCTTGATGCCAACTACGAGCAATCTCTAGCTATTTGCTATGTTCCAAAGCTAGACCAGGAACATGGGCACGGGTCTCTTATTCTAGTTGGCTCTGCACGTAGCAAGATGAGTGTACGCTTAAGAAGCGGCTCAGTCGCGTGACCGTTGGGAACGTCTTTAAGGGGGCAGATTCGTAGATTTACCTAAGCAGTATGATTAGGAGGCTGTAGGTTCGCCCTGCCTCGGTCATTTATTTAGCTGCCTCCTGCTAGTTGTATAAGTCATCTTTATATTACTATTTTGACCGTCTTTTCTAACCTTTACTACTACCCCTTTTATTATCTATTATCTACTATATATTCTATGCATCTACTTTAGGGGAGTAGTCTAGGCTTTCGGGCAACTAAGGAAGGTGGCCGGGAAGTAGTGGAGCAAATGGGTTGTCGGGAAGGAACAGAAAGGACTCCAGCTCACGTCTCTCCTTGCCACGACACCCCGACACACCCCCAAACGACGACCAGCCAAACCTCTTCTCTCTACAAAGGGCTTCCTTCACCTGGCCACCGAAACCCATCTCGCCATTGAAAATGACCAAGGCAGGCGCCGAGCCTGCAGCTTCCCGACAACAGGGGCAATTGCAGCCGTGGATAGACCAACAGCTCTGCACGGAAGTCCGATCCGTCTTGCCAGCTGGCGGATTAGGGAAACGAACAGACCGACAGCTGCCTTGCAAACGGCGACCAACAGACATCTGGCCACAAGGCATCAATGGCCATGAATACGTATTATGCGCCCCGCTCGCCGCTTCTGTTTTCCTTCTTAACCCTCAAGCTCTCTCTTCCTTCATCGTCTTCTGCCATCGCACTTCTTCTCGTCGACCGACAGCAAGACGAGAATACATACTGCACCGACGACGCAACTGCTGGAGCTCGTTCCATCTTTGCCTGGCCAAGCAGTCGATGCAGTCTCACATAATCCCCGGCCATCATGTCCCCAATAAAAGAAACTCTCACCATCCTTGAAGAGGACCAGGCACATTGCTGACGCTCTCGATACAAACAACAAAGAGGGACTGGTAAAGCACCCCGCCGTCGCAGCAACGGGCATGATCGGGCATCCGAAGAGCCTATCATCTTCTCTGCCTCTCCTTCCTTTGCATCTGGAAACCTTTTGTCTACTCTTCGTCGAAGTCAAGACGCCTCTCTCTGGAGATGGTGCTTATTTGGGAAAGGCATCGCGAGCTTGCCATGTGGCCCCATGGTTACGTTGTGCCGCACATTCAACTTTCTCCAAGCCTCTCCGACGTTGGCGGCAACGACCGGACGCCTTTAGAAGTCGTCAATCACCACAATATCTGGTCCAAACTTGGCACGGATACTAGAGTCTTGGGGCTAAACGGACTATCGACTTACTTGCCAACGGTGTGCCCTGGATATGGGCCTGCCTTCCCAAAGATACAAGCATGGAAATGTACATTGATCAGTTCGGCGGTCGAGAACGAGGAGCGGATGCCAACACCGCCGAACCCGGCGGCCAAGTAGTAAGTCTGCCTACTCGGCGCGGATCAAGGCTTACACCGGTGAAGTGCATATGCTGCCAAGAGACCGTGGCCGACGAATTCAGGGCACCATGCAAATTCGACGCATTCTGGTACTGCCCCGATTGTCTCCTGGCCTTCCTGGAAGTGGCCTGCAAGGAGGTGACCAACGACGAGGTGTTCCCCCCGAGATGCCACTCGGCTGTGGCCATCTTCCCGACGAGGAACTTTCCCGTCTCGCGGGACCACATCGTCTTCAAACACATCCCCCCGCAAGCACGAATCCGGGCCATAGACCTGTGGGAGAAGGCCCAGACGGGTCGGGCGCCAGGCCCGGCACCCAAGGCGGGCATCACCGCCATCGACCGAGACCTCGTGCATCAGATCCTGAACACGCAGCGGGGCGAATACCAGTTCACGCCCCGGCCAGGCATGCGGCAAGTTAGTAAACCACTCGGCCGGCTGTAAACACATCACGTACGTACAGTCCAACCCCTAGCCAGGCGGGACTTCGCTAACGCGGCAAAGCTGCCTCTGCGGGATCGAGTTCTGCTATGTATGCGGTGCCCGGTTTAGCAATCAGTTCGGCAGTCGAGCCGGAGCACCTCCAGGACCAGTACATTCCGGTGCGGAGGGCATTTTCCATCAACAGACAGCAGCACCAAATCAAGCGGCTCAGAGACATCTCCATCAAACAAATTTGAAGCGGTGTTCACGACACTGCACGTTGAATAAACCTAAGGGTGTCCTTTGCGCAGATCTCAAGCAATCACCACCTATGCGTCTCTTTGATTATACTGGCATGAAACTGCCGTGGCCGAAAGAGCTCTTTCCATGGCCGGAGATCTCTTTCAAGCAAGCGCGCGTCCTGCTAAAGCCAGGCGAAGAATGTCCGTCGAGGACGTGAAGACGCCAATTGTCAATACTTGGCGGATTGACGAGTAGATCTCGCATCCAATCCGCGCATGGACTCATCGGGAAGACTCTAGAGGACCTGGTGCGCATCGCGGCACTGTATGGACTCGCAGCGTCCGAGTTTGAAATTTTCCTGACCATTCATTCCACTGTCGGATGAGTCTAGAGACCGTGTCGGTCCGTTAGGCAGAGCGGTCGGTCCTTTAGCCAAGACGAAAAGGAAGCAATTCGGTTACAGCGAGACGTTATAGCCAAGGAGCAGGATGCTGGTTGTCAGCTGCCACCAGCACCTCATATGGTCCACGTCTAGGTCATTTATCGGAGTGTCACTTCACTTTTGCCTGCACAACACAGTGGTTTCCTCACACCGGTATACTACATCCCGAGGCGGCCGGGAAACGTCTCTGAGCTCTGAGCGACGCTATTTGTCTGCCGGGGACGACCTAGGCACCTATGGAGACATCAAAAGAAGAAGATACGATTCGACGATGGCCTCTGCGTTTGCCATGGCGGCCGCCAATTTTGCGCGCTGGCTTTCCAGCCCACGACAGAGCAGCGCCAAGGCCGAGAAGTCCATCTCAGCAGCCTTGACTGCATCTCGGTGGTCCTGATGTGCGCCCCGGCCATCATGGACACGGCAATTGAGCGGGATGAGGCCCCAAACGTTTGGCGAGCCGTCCGGGGCTAGGAAGATTCGGCGGCGTATGCCGTGTTGGGTGCCCTTTGCCTGGGGAGCGTGGTCTCCATGGGGGAATGTAGTGTCTGGTGGTGGACCAGAGATGCCGTGGCATCCTCCTCCTTATGGCTCTGTCCCTGTTGCTGGTCGGTTAAGCAGCAGGCAGTCTTCCCGGCAATACTCCACGATGCTCAATCCACAGTCAAACCTCGACAACCTTGACACTCTCCACATTGATCGACCATACAGCATTGAGGAGAATCCCTCGATCTAGGTTCCGGGCAGAGGGTTCTCGGCTCCTCCTTCGACTTTGCCCTAAAGCGACTCTAGATCAGACGTTGAACAAACCGATCACGAATGAACCAGACAGCATACCCAACATTGACGAGCAGGAAGCGATCCACACCTGTGGCAGCAGCAACATGCCCAAGAAGAAGAAGTTCCTTCAGGGTAACGACCGAGATGTCCCGCGCTTCACTTGCATCGGACGCATACCCTCGGCAAAGGACCGGGATCTCTGTGTTCGCGGGAAGGGAAGGGAACGAAAAGGCGGCGGCGCCTCGGGCGACGAGGATTTCGACGCTCAAGGCAACAAGGACGAGGACATTTTAGACGCCAATAAATGCAACGCCAAAGACACCGAAGACGACGCCGCTGCCGCCGCCGACGATAACCAGGTCGGCCGAGCAGCAGAATATGCCGCTAGGATCCGGTAGCCCAAGGGGAAGAGGGCTCTAGGGAGATATGGGCGCGGCACTACGAGGTGCTTCTCTACGCGAGGTAGAGAGGCAGCGCCTGTGTGGCACGACGCGGGTGCCCGGACGGACGTTCGACCAACAAGCTCGCGTTGTGCGTATTCTGGAAGCAGCTACCAGCTTCCGAGTCAAGGCGCAGCGCTGAGCGTCTCAACCGCCTCATGACCCCCATAGAGGAAACCAACAAACTGTGCGGGCTCACGATAATGACAATTCCCGGTTATAAGGAAAAGACGCCCCATAAAGTGCGAAGATTCCACCGACGACGGTCAAAGCAATGGCCATGTCAGAGACGTTAGAATAGACAAGCTCTAACCTCCAATAAGGAATGCGTGTTTCCCGGACTTATGCCTCAGACTTTGCCGGTTTTTTTTTGGATCGGTTCTCAATCAAGAGGTCATGCATGATATTACTCCTGGCCTTTGGATCCAAAAGACACCACTCTTAAGGATATTATTGATATCCTTAGGAAATAAGACTAGTCTTTCCTGATCTAAAACGAAGCCAGTATATCCAACTTAATAGAAGTTAGAATGCGGATGAACGCCTGGAGGAACTCAAGCAGGACCAGACCCTAGGCTGGTTTAACATGTCGGGGCGGGAGATACTGGCTATCGGGATTAGGTCGGTCAGTCGAGGTTCAACCAGAACAGGCCTCTGGGCGGCTTCAACATGTCGGGGCGGAAGAGACCGTCCCCTGTGGCCTTTGGAGGCTGTTTGATGGGACAGGGGCCAGTCGAGATTACGAAATTGCTCGGGCATCCTACTTTTGCCTGGTCAAGCGGTGGTTTACAATTCGATGGCCGGATAAAAGAGTGCAAAGCTTGAACCCCCTACGTGGCTGCCTGCGGTGTATATATGTAGAAAGCCGCTTTATGAATGGCACGAGAGCAGGCCTTGCGCGGGTTGCTCCGAGGTCCTGGTTGGGCTCTCCCAAAGTGGTGGTGGCTGATGAGCGTGAATGGAAATGCGTCAACCGCTTGACCAGGCAAAGGCACAACGATTGCACGGATGCAACGCTGACGCCCCGTATGCCCAGTCCACCCCAGCAGCAATCACTCTTGAAACGCCCAATGCAGCCACCCTTACCCAAGGGCCTTGCACTTGCTCTCCTGCCAATCAAGTCAAGTCCACGACGCGCCACGAACCTCAAAAGCAAAAGGAAGCAAGCGCAGAGAGACCGGGTGGGAGGGCACGTGCCAGCATGGCAAGCGGGCTCAACGTGTTTCAAGTCAACGGGAGAGCAGTCGAAAACATGAGCCCGTCTCCAACATGATGTATGAGCAAGGCGCGCATCGCATGGGTGTGGAAGCAAGGGCTTGGCCAACGATGAGCTGCTGCGACGACGACGCATCTCTGGCCATCCAGGGAAGGCCCCTGGCAGCTTGTCCGGTGATGGACGGCGGAGTTATTCTTCGAGCCCGGTCCATTGTCGTTGCGCAGCCGGCAATAACGAGGTCCATCATCCTCTCCGGCAACGCGACATGCCGTGTTGAAGACAACCACCGGCCACCGCCTTGTCAAGAATTGGTGTATTTTCCAAGCGAGAGTGACGGGCTTTGAAATCCCCCCCTGCCGCCGACGTCAACAAAAGCCTGGCCGACAAGATGCAACCTTGCCAGGCCGACGGCTGTTCCAAGAAGCGACAAACCTCGACCAAAGCATTTATTTGTCAGGGAAAATTGAATGGAAAAGTATGCATTTCCTGGTTGATTACGAAAGCCACGGTACCTAAAAAAGAAGCGATACTCCAAACATCAACGTCAAGGCAGCCTCACCCGCGCCACCAAAAAAGAATGACCGAGGCAGGGGTCGAACCTGCAATCTTCTGATTCGTAGTCAGACGCGGTGCCATTGCGCCACACGGCCGCTGAGAGGCAGCCCTCTCATCCTCCACTCGAGCCGGAGTGGGGATGTTGGGGACTGGTGCTGTTATTGTGCACCAAGTTGTGTATGCAGAGTTTGAATCCCCTCTTTCGACAAGCAGCTGTAGGTTCAAGTCAGGCTGTGGTTGGCCAAGGGGCGCCAAGGGGGCCCTCGTCATGTGGGGAAGCAAAGGGTCTGGCAGCGGGGCTTCGCGCTCCAACGTCCACACACAAGTCAGGGGACACAGCAAAAAGGTCGCTTTCGCACACGGGCGGATGGAATCAACCTTTGTCTGTTGTTTGTGGGCATCGTGACGGGCACTCTACTCCCGTCGCGCTAATTATGGGCTCGCCCAGCCTCTCATATCCTCCTTGCCCGATGCGTCCCGCCGTGTGCGCAACAAGCGACGCTTCCACTCCTTGGTAGGTATTCTCTTCAAAACAATGCGCTTCGCCTCGACGAGCAAGTAAGCCCTCCGCGTGCCAGTCTACTCCGGCAGGTCCCTGTGTCGCGTTAGCCACCTGTCGAGCGACACCGGGCACGACGACTCACTCCATGCTCTGCTGCACCGACCGGCGCAGACGCCGGTTGTACAGCTTCTTGTCGGCTTGCCCCCCGGCCCAGTACATGCGCGTGGCCTCTGGGTTGACAATCTTTCTCGGGTCGTACGCCGGGTCGTCTTCCTCGAGCGTCGCGATGACGGCCTCGATGTGGGACTTGATGTCCTCTCTCTTGAGGGGATTGGGCGTGTAGCACGCGGTGCCATCTTCCGCCACGTGGTGGTGGAAGATCTTGGTCTCGAACCTCACCCGAGGCTGCTCGTCGGGGAACCGAGGGCTGAAGCTCATCCTGATCCGGAAGAGTCCGCCGTCGAGGTTTGTCATGGGGCGTCCGAAATACGTCAGGATCCAAACAAAGGGGTTGCCGTGTTCGAGGTTCACCACGTGCGGCATGTCGCCTCGCTTCAGAGAAGCCGAGACCTGGTCGAACTGGTGCTGCAAATTGACACTCACCGTCGACTCCTTGGCTATTGCCGCGAGGCCCTCGTCCACCCACTGCTTCGTCTCTGCGTCGAGGGCGGCCTTGATGTTCTTCAGCCTGCGCTCGAGGTCCGGGTAGTTGAATCGCCCATCCATCGTGTTGCTGCTGGGTGCCTCAAAGGGCATTCTGACAAAGAGCTGCTGCTCCCGCACCTCCGACTTGCTCTTCTCTATCGCGGCCAGGTACGACTGGTAGTACCAGAGGAAACGTTGTTTGATCAGGTCCTTGAACGGCTCAAACGGGACATCGTTATCATCCGACTCGTCCAGGTCGTCGTCCTTCTTCAGGTTGGATCCGTCCGGGCTTAGGCCCAGGTAGCCCTCGAGGCGCTGGATGACAGAGATGCGCAGCGTCTCGTGGCGGATCTGCATCCGGTCAGCGAAGCGCCCGAGGCCCAGTCGACGGATGCGCGTACCTTTTGGACGTAGGCCTTTTGCATCCTCTTGTCCGACTCCTCGTTAGCATCCTCGAAGCCGGGCTCATTCTCGTACGGGTTGGAAGACAGCAGGCTTTGGATCGAGAGGAGAATGGACTCCAGGCCCTGGGCCGAGGACCATTCCTCGCCCCTTTCCCCTCGCCATGTCCTACCGACACAGTTAGATTAAGGGCAGGCGGCCGGGGAAACCTCCGAGGGGCCTTACCCGAGAATCGACCTAGACAAAGCGTTAGTAGAGTGATGGCAAGGCTCACTGGCCATGTGACTTACAGGCAGATTTTGCCGTTAGCGTAGATGTTGGGGTTGAACCGACACAGGCCCCCGTTGGTCGTGATGCACTGCACGCTGGGCGCCTTGGACGGGTAGTCTGCGGCACGTCAGAGGTGTGGGCGCGGGCAGGGATGATGCCCCTGGTCTTACTCACCCTTGTTGAAGCGGACGGCAAACTGATGCAAGAGTCTAGCGTTAGCATGGACGAGTGAGCCAGGGGAAGCGCCGTGCCTCACCTCGAAGAAGCCAAACTCGTAGGGCGTCTCGTGGGGGCCGATGATGAGGGCCTTGACATTGCGGACGTCGATGTCGCGGCAGGCCACGGCTATGGCTACGCGAGAGCGGGTTAGACCTTGGCAGCGCGGTTGACCGTAGGGGACGGACGGCATGGGCGGGAACCAAGACGCACCGAGATCCGAGCCCTTTTGGATATCGCTGAGCTCCTAGAGTGAAGTTGCGTCTCAGCCTTGCAGCCCCGCGGAAGATGAGGGAGGAGTGCGGGGCAGTGGACGAACCTTGGAGATGCGGATGATGGACTGATCCATGGCGCTCCAGGTCACTGTTGGCGGGCTGGGAGTCGCGAGGCAAGTTCGGGGGCGACCATGGGGAAAGGCGGGAGTCTTGTTGGAGAGAGGGCGATGAGGTTTTGTTCGCAGTCTCGGTGGAGGCGTTTTGGCTGATGATGATGATGGGCGCCTTTGGGTTCGGTTGCTCGGTCGAGGTTGGGTGCACACAGAGTGAGAGAGAGGTACAGTCACTGTGCTGGCCGAGGCCTGCTGCCGGCTGCCAAGCGCTAAAGGCAAACGGCCATTAGCGGCCAGGCGCCAGCGGTTTGCCCTATAAATACAGGCGTCTTGCCTCTGTGCGTGACCAGCAGCTACGTTACATACGGGAGAGTGTACCTGGAGTGATCAAAGAGTGCAGGCGCGAGAGTGGAGAGGGGCAAGCCAGGCCCTCTCCGGGGCTCTGCTGTTCTTGCACAAAGTCAGCAATGCGTGAGCGTGAGTCAGAGTATCAGCGACGAGGCAAGCACTCCAGAAGTTTGGCCTCGCACAGCATCTGTTCACGTCTCCTGGACCGCGCCAGTGGCGTCACCCGCTGATGAGAAATGCACAAGCCTGGGGACTGGGGACTTGGTTGAGCCGCGCATTTGTGTTTCGGGCGTCCGCCAGCTGGGAAAGCCTTTGTCGGCAAGCTGTTCAAGGCCGGTTCCTCGAGAGCTTCGACAATTCGGGGTAGAGGAGGAACAAATCCCAAGGCTTCACTCCCTCCCTCCCGTTTCCCTGCACAATTCATTGACGGCGGTGAATGTCACCCCCTGGCCTGTCCATGCCGTCCTCTAGGGTAGCTCGCAAGGCTGCCTAAGGGGGGGAGCTTAACTTGAACGAAAACCACACAACTCGCAGCTCCAAGGCAGAACTCCTCCGACTGCTTGCTCTAAGCACTCCGTTTCAACAATATCACCATTTGCCGAGGTCAATGCAGTCACTATACTATGCCAAGCAACGAGGCCCTCTCGCCACCAACAGCAGCCCCTAGTGCTCACCATCACCATGGATCGTTCAGCAGCTCGTGATGAACAGTACACAATCACCTTGGCCCTTTGCGGGAAGAATGCAAGCTTCCCATGCACCCTCCGTCTCATCCCTGTTCCCTTCAGGACCCTCAGGGGCACTGGATGATTTGCGTGACGGAACCTTTGCCTCGAGCATCCCGATCGATTACAGTCACGCACAAGAACATGACCGTTTGATGCACTGCCTTGACCTTATCCTAGACATAAAGGGACAGGGACTTGGTGGAGGGACACATGGTGGTCACGGCTGCCCCGCCTTTGCTAGGGTGAGGTGCTTCGAACGGCCCGTGGCCTTGGCGGCTCAGCTACCCTGCTGTCGTCCCTGTCGTCATCCCCGGCACAAGTCTTGCGGGCCTTGGCCTGCAAGCTGGCACCACACTGCAGTAGCAGCCGGACGCTGGCCTCGAGGCCCTTTTCGACGGCAATGTGCAGCGGCGTCCAGCCTAGGTCGTCGTACCCGTCGAGGCCGCACTCCCAGCCGCGCTCGACATAATGGCGCAGGAGGAGGCGCAGAACAGCCTCTTGGCGGTTCAGGACGGCCCAGTGCAGGGCGGAGCGCCGGCGGCGGTCGGCGTCGCTGATGCGCGCGCCGTGGGCAAGCAGGAGGGCGGCGACGGGCTCGTGACCGTCAATTGCGGCGTGGATGAGCGGGGTGCGGCCGTCGCTGTCCGTCTCGTTGCAGTCGACGCCGTGCTGGAGCAGAGTGCGCACAACGGGCTCGTGGCCGCGACGAGCGGCAATGTGCAGCGCGGCGAGCCAGCCATTGTCGGTGTACAAGGCGTCCGGGCCGGTCGGCTCCGGGACCGAGTCGCCGCACGAGTCCTCGGGGCTGCTGCGGATCGTGATGCCCGGCTCTTTGATAGCCTGGCCAAAGCGTATCGTCTGGAACAAAGGCGTCGTCGGCGGAAAGACGCATTCAGCCGGAGCCGCATCGATGGGCACGCCGCCGCAGTGCGCGACGGTACTGTGCGAGATGGTGGACACGGTCGTATCGCATGGCGTCTGGGAAGAGCCTGTGGAGTCGTCGGCCAGGAGAAAGTCGGGGTTGAAGGTGCTCGCCGTCGAGAGAGACAGGTCTACGTCTTGCAAAGACAGCGAGGGCGTCGTGAGGCTCTCGTCCGTCGTCGCCTCTGCCGAAAGCCTCTGGTTATTCTGCAGGGTGTCGGCGCGAGACTCTGGCTCTGGTCAGACAGGCCGTGTTGCGACGGGCGAGATGCATGCCTTCCTTTCCAGGGATCACCTACGGCGAAACTTGCGCTGAGCGATGCGGTTCTGAAGGCGCCGACGGCTGGCGCGGTCGTTCGGCAGGTCGACGTGAAGCTCCATGCTCGACTGCTCAGGGGCTAGCAAGGGATGAGGTCCATACTTCCCAGGCACGCCCGTCCTGCGTCTCACGGGTCCACGCCGATGACGAGCGATTACGGGTGGCGAGCTGCTGGCTTGACAAGTCTTAGCGGAGTAATACGGGATGAAGTCCACGGTGGGGCACGGAAATGCATTCTGCCGTGCCGTCAATCAACTGCTTGTCTGTTGGATGGAAAAGTCAAAACTCCAAGTCTATATCGATTTCAGTATATTACAAACACGACGGGATCAATGAACCGCGGCCACTCGTCGCATCTCTTGCGTCGCCTCCGTCTCAGCTCGCCGCCGCCGGCAGCTTCGACACCAGCTTCTCGCACAGCGCCGTCAGCGAGCTGGCGCCGGTGATCTCGAGCGTCGTCAGCTCGGCGCCCAGCTCGGCCCGCACCCAGTTGCGCAGCTCGACGGCCGCCAGCGAGTCGAGCCCGAGGGCCATGAGCGGCTTGGCCGGCTCCAGCTCCGCCCCCGTCTCGTCGCCCAGCCGCAGAATCTTGGCCAGCTGTCCCGCCAGCACCCTGATGCACGCCTTGACCAGCGCCGCGCGGTCGTCGGGCGCCGACTTGTGCAGCATGCGAAGCGCCCGCAGCTCCTCGTTGCCGCCTTGGACGTCGCCAGTGCTGGTGGTGGTGGCGTCGCCTTGGATGAGGTAGCCGAAGCGGCCCTCGCCGGCAAGGTCCGAGTCCCGCGGCAGCGGGAAGCCGATGCCGGTGATGAGTTGTGCGACGCTGCTCGGGTTGATGGGCGCCGCCCCGTCCTGCTGGAGCACCGAGCACGTCAGGATGCGGCGCAGCGTGGCCTCGCCAATCGGCGTCCACTGCCTCTTGTCGAAACGGGCCTCGAGGCTGTCGTGGTCTTGCTCGGCTACGTAGCCCACGTCTTCGATGAGGCCCAGGTCGACCGAGCTGGCTGCAAGGCCGAGCGACTGCCGGTACAACGCAAAGGCGTCGAGGAACGTGTTCGCCGCCGCGTAGTTGGCCTGCCCCTTGTTGCCCACGATGCCGGAGATGCTCGAGAGCATGGTGAAGAAGTCAAGTGGTTCCGCCTGCTCCAGTGAGATGCGGTGCAGGCCCCAGGTGCCGTGCATCTTGGCGTGGAGGGCCGCGTGCCAGTCATCAACCGTCATCGTCTCATATGGTTTGTCCTTGATTCGTCTGTCAGCCGAGCATATGTTGCAGTCCCCACGCATCATCGACTTACCCTGAGCATCATGGCACCCTGGATTACGCCGGCGATGGGCCTTGGAGCTTCGGCAAACGCCCTCCGCAGCAGCCCCATGTCGGCAACGTCTCCCTTGGCCGCGACGACCTCGCACCCATAGGCGAGGCAATTTGTCACCACCTTTTGCGACGCGTCGTCGGCGATGCCGCTTCGATTGCACACGACGATGTGCCTCGCCCCGTTGCGCGCCATGTGGATGGCCAGCGAGCCGCACAGGCCCTTGAGACCGCCGACGATGAGGTAGGCAGCGTCCGGCCGCAGCTGTAGCTTCCGCGTTGCAGGCCTAACGGGAACATGCGCCGTCTCCTTGTTCTCATCGGATATGACAACCTTGCCCAAGTGACGGCCGCTGCGGATGTAGGCCAATGCCGCTGGGACCGCATCAAAACCAAACGTGGTGATGGGGTGGATGGGCTTAATGTGCCCACCGTCGACCAAGTCGAAGATTTGGTCCAGCAGTCTAAGCGAAGAGATGGAGAGGTCAGCACCAAGTCTGCTCCAACCAAGAATTACCGATAAGAGGAGGATTGGGCCTTTCACGCACCTTGCAATCAACGGGTCGACAATGTCCCTGGTAAAGGAAAAGTCCATGGCCCTGAACGAGCAGTTGCGGTCAAACGGCTCCATGGACAAGCTGTTGCGGTCGACAATGTCCTTTTTGCCAATCTCGACCATGGTGCCACCATCAGCGCAGATGCGCCACGAAGCATCGAGCAGCTCCCCCGTCAGCGAGTTGATGATGACGTCGACGCCCCGTCCACTGGTTGCTTTGAGTATCTCCTTGGCAAACTTGGTGTTTCGGGAGGAAAACATGTGGCTGTAAGGGATCCCATACGTCTCGGCAAGAAACTTGCGCTTCTCGTCCGTGCCGACGGTCACGAATATCTGGTTGCCATCTCGTCAGCCACAACCGTTCTTTGCCTCCAGACAGCGCCTCGAGCTCACCTCTGCCTTCTTGTATTGGGCCAGTTGGATGCAGGCGATGCCGACGCCGCCGGACGCCGAGTGGATGAGGACAGACTAATACGCGCCATGTTAGACCAAATTCGCATGCCGCATCGGCATCTGGGGCTCCTCACCTGGCCTTGCCGCAGATTGGCAATGTCGTACAGGGAATAGATAGAGCACAGGTACACCGAAGGGATGGTTGCCGCCTCCTGTAAGCACAAGGCCAGTCAGTGTCTGCGTCTCGTGGATCTGGGCGTGGGCGCCATGGGCGTCGGCCTCTCCAACGTACCTCGAAGCTCATCCAGTCCGGAATCGTGTGAGCCCGTCCCACGGGAACCTGAAGGCGATTTGCATAACTGCCGCTGTTTAGGAAGCAGACGCGGTCTCCGACCTTGAACTCGGTCACGCCAGGCCCAAGCCGCTTTACGACGCCGGCTGCCTCGTAGCCCAACGCGTATTCGTTCTCGGGCACGATGCCCATGGTCACGGCCACGTCCTGCAGCACACTCTGCTTAGTATCTCGACTGTCTCGGTGAAGCGGAACTGCTCGCCAAGTCAGGCCATCGGAGCTGGCTCACCTTGAAATTGACGCCGACGGCGGCGACCTCGACCTCGACCTTGGCCGACTCAACCGGGACCGCTTCGACGTCGGTTTCGCACCACATGAGGCTCTGAAAGGTCCCCAGCCGCTCTGCGCGAAGCTGTACGGCCGTCTCGGTGTCGCGAAGGCTCTTGACGACGGGTTCTGCGCCTTCTCGGTCGTCCTGGTTGAAGCGGTTGACCTTGGCATCAGGCACAAGCCTATGAACATACAAGATGCCGCCGCGCTCCACGAACTCGGTCTCTGTAGCCGCTTCATCAGGCTTCTTGGCACTCAAGTACCCGAGCACTGCGTCGATGGCCCAGGCCGTGGCAGGTCCGCTGCCTGATTCGACGTCCAGCACGCTGAGCTTGGCGCTGGGGTCCTCTCTGCGAGCAACGCGGAACAGACCGTGGACTAGGGCGTTGTCAGGGTCCGTCACCTTGTATTGAGCGCCTTTTGTGACCCAGAGGATGTGTTGGCCGGAGGAGACGAGCATCTTCAGAGCATCCCACTGCCTCGAGTTGGCCTGTGTTAGCATAGGGCCATGCTGCATCTCATCGAGGACAAGAATGACGGATTCCGTTGGTAAGTCGGTGCTCGAAGCCGAGAAGGCTTGCTCCGAGACTCTCCATCCAGCCGCGCCCAGGGCAGCTCCGATGGCCGGCGACAAGGCTGGGGTAGTCTCGGAGAGCCGGACGACGCAGCAGTTGCGAGAGTGTGCAACATCCAGACTCTTCGCTCCGCCGGTGTATAGGCACCACGCATTATCACCAGCCAGGTGCAAGGTCCGGCTGAAGCCGTTCGCTTCCAGTGCAATTTGCAACGCCGTCCCTGAAGCGCGAAACCGCTGCTCGACGGCCTTGAGCTCGAGCAGCCGCCTCTTGGGGTGGTTCTCGCCGTCAGGTGTCGCGGCCCTCGTGGTGGTGGAGCTAGCAGGAGTCTCGGGGGAAAGACTCGACATAGATCTCTCAGACATTGAGCCAGGGGTCCCTGGCGTCTCGGGCGATGCCAGCGTCCTAGGTGTGTCCGACGCTTGTTGGTCGTCGTCGGAGTCTGCGCGCTCCACAACATCCCTTTGCTGCATCAAGAGAACGTAGCCATCACTGGAAACGCGAGGGCTGAGATGCTCGATTAACGTATTGACCTTGGTCCTCGACTTTTGAGCCGTCTTGAGAATGACAAGGTCATATACTGCTTCCTCTGGCAGGCCGATGTCCTCACCACTGAGGTTGACCAGGAGGAACGACGAACTTCTCCTGTTCTGGTACGTGGCCTGGACTCCAACGAGGCTGCTGGCATCGCAGGAGGCAAAGTCGTACTGGACATATGCAGCCCGCGGCGTGGCCGAGTCGTCGTCGAACCAAAAGCAAGAGGTGTCACTCGGCTCGAGGTTGACTTCCAAAACCCTGAGCGCAGGTGTCTTGTGCGCGATGAGGTCGACAATGGTGCGCGCGTTGGCCTCGAGAGCGGCAGAGCCCAGATGGAAGAGCCTTTCTTGGGACAGGAAGCTTATGTCCGGCTTCCAGGAGACGCAATCGAACACGTGCGGGTCAGGCTTCTCGCCCACGTCCAGCTTGGCAAAGCGAAGGCCTTTCATCTGCATTAAGAGCGCGCCGCTCTCTGGGTTGTACACGGAGCAGTTGGAAAAGTAGCTCTTTGCTTCCTCGAGGCGGCCACGGCCAGAGTATTCCGAGTTTGCAAGCGAGAGACCCTCGTGAAGACGATCGGGAGTTTTGTTGATGACGAGTTCATCAATCATGGCCGGGACCAAGACGGTGGTTAGAGAGCTGGGCTCTCCTGACCAGAGAGATGGCGTGACGGTTTGGAAGCACCCGTCCAGGGCAGCGGGATGGATTGGGTAGCAAGATTGAGGGGACCACTTCGACTCCGGCTCGTCCAGTGACACTAGGCTGCGGCAGTGTCGCTGGCCGCTGACGGATTCGACCTTGAGCAGCTTCTGAAAGGCCGGACCGAACCCATAGCCAGCCTCCGCCTGGGCCTTGTACCAGACTTTGCTGGGCGTGGGAAACTTGAGCGCGGCCTGGTCAGTTTCGGCCAAGGGGAGGTCGACGGGATCCTCCAGACGGATCCGGCCGGAACAGTGCTCGGTGTGGACGTCGTCTGTCGAAGACGCGATGCGGAACTCGTGCCAACCCTTTTGCTGAGCCAGCGAGAGAACGATGACGGCGTTCTTCCCCTCCTCCAGGACCAGGGCCTTCTCGAAACGGACGTCTCTCAATCTGTAGCACAGGTCATTCGGCCGGGTGATGACCACGTTGTCGGGGGCGGTGCTGCGCGACTTCTGGTACAAGGCCTCGACGGCCATGGTGATGAAGCCAGAGCCCGGCATGAGGACGTCGGTCCCCATCTTGTGGTCCTTGAGCCAGGGAATGTCGGCAATGTCGAGGAGCTTCCGCCACGTCGGCGCCGTCCACAGCGTGCCGAGGACTTTGCTACCGAGCAGGTCATGGCTGGTGTACTGTTTGAACCGCCAGTCCTTGCTGGACGCATTCTCGTGCCAATACTTGACCGAGTGGTTCCACGCGTAGTTGGGGAGGTCGATGATGGTCCGCGGGCGCTCATCGCTGGGCGTCAACTGGTTGACTTGCGACATGTTGATGGGCTCGCCGGCGACGAATAGACGGCCGACGAGATCGAACATGGACCGCCCGGCATCGCTGCCGCGCGACCATGCGGCGCAGTACGAGACCTCGGAACCGTTGGCCGCCGACTTGAGGATCTGCGAGACGGGCCCTGCAAGAGCGCCAGAGGGGCCGATTTCGACGAGGAAGTTGGGCGCGTCGGCATCGGCGAGCATCTCCTGGACTGCCCGGTCGAAGCGGACGGGCGAAGCCATGTTTGTCTTCCAGTATAGTGCGTCCGTCGCCGTGGTCCGCTTGCTGCCGGTGACGGAGGAGAACATGGACGTACCGGAAACGGTTCCAGGGGAAGACGCGAATTCGGCCTCGTTCAGAAGCCGCTCGTACTCCTGGCTTATCACCCCCATCAGCTCCGAGTGGTAGGCCAAGTCCACCTGCAGGAGCCTGGCAAAGTGCTTGTCGGCCTGCACATCCTCGGCAAGGGCCTGGAGCGCTGGACGCCTCCCAGACACAGTCAAGCTGCTGGGACTGTTGAAACAGGCGATCCAGGCCTGGCCGGCGTACTTTTCCAGGTACGGCGCGAGCGAATCCGCGTCCAGGCCCACGGCCAGCATGCCGACGTCGCCGTCTGCCTCATCCTTGCGGTTCAGCGCAGCCCGTCCTCTGTAGAAGGCTGCCTTGATGGCGGCCGCTCGGTCAAGCAGGCCCGCCGCGTACGCCGCGGCAATCTCCCCAGACGAGTGGCCGACGACGGCTCGCGGCTTGATTCCCCAGCTCTCCAGCACGGCGACGATGCAAAGCTGTAGTGCGGTGACGAGAGGCTGTGAGAACTCGGGCTGGCGGAGGTGCTCGGCGCTCCGGGTCTCGGTCAGCTCGTCCACCAACGACCAGCTGGGAGGGTCGGGGAGGCTCTGCAGGACGCCGTCGAGCTCCTGCAGGATCGTCCTCGTCCAAGGAAAGAACTCAAGCAGAGCCTTGCCCATCTGGGGCCACTGGGCACCCTGGCCGGTGAAGACGAAGCCGAGACGTGGCGCTTCAGAGTTCTTCTTGCCGACGACGAAAGCGCTCTCATTAAGCTCCGTGCTGCGGGTCGTGACAAATGCTCTATGCCAGAACTGGGTCCGTCGATCCGCGAGCGTATGTGCTAGGTCGGCGAGACTGACCCTGACGCGCGGGTTGAACAGGTGGTTGCACAGGGCCTTGATGTTGGCGCGCAGGGAGGCGTTGTCGTTGGCCGACAGCACGAGCGTGTATGGACGCTCCGAGTCCTCTCTATCGTCCATGGCAAGGTCGTCGTCGTCGGACACATACGAAGAAACGTGGTGCGGACCGCCGGGCAGACTCGGCTGCTCCAGCACGGCGTGGGCGTTGGAGCCGCCGTAGCCAAACGAGTTGACACTGGCTCGGCGGACTGTACATTCAGGCCATGGGAGCGCTGCCCGCGAAGCCCTCACCCTGAGGCCAGCAAAGTCGACTGCGAGTGCGGAACGCTGTCAGCGTCGAGTGCATCACCCAACACATATAGGGGGCCAAGCATACTCTTCGGATTGGGGGTCTGGAAGGTTGGAGTCCCAGGGATGATGCCCCTTTCAATGGCCATGGTGGCTTTGATGAGACCGGATATGCCAGCCGCTGGCTCGGCGTGACCGATGTTGCTTTTGATCTATATGAGGGAGCAGGGGCGCCCGGGTTGTTAGCCTTTACGACCCGACACTTACAACACACATTCAAGGGGCCCTCAAGCATACCGAGCCGATGATGAGAGGTTTATCCGCAGGCCTCGTCTTTGCGAAGACGGACGAGGCGCCGCTCACTTCTGTGGGATCGCCGGCCTAAAAGGACTTGTCTGTCAGCCGCTGCTCGGCCGGAAAGGGGCCCGCCAGCCCGCACCTGTGTCCCGGTGCCGTGGCACTCGAGATAAGCCGTGTCGTTGAGATTGGTGATACCCGCCTTGGCATAGGCGGCTCGGATGGCGGCGGCCTGCGCGTCGGCGCTGGGACTGGCGATGCCGGGCGTGCGGCCGTCGCTGTTGGTTGCGGAGCCACGGACGACGGCCCGGATGGGATCCCGGTCGCGAATCGCGTCGGAGAGCCTCTTGACGATGACGGCACTGACCGCCTCAGCCTTGACGTACCCGTCAGCATCGATGTCGAAGGTGTGGCACAGCCCGGTGGGCGAGTGGGCATGGCCGACGGCGCCGATGTCCATGACGTGCTCGGGGTTGAGGTAGAGGTTGCTGGCGGCGATGATGGCGGCGTCGATCTCGCGGGACTGGAGATATCTGCAGGCAATGTCGAGGGCCACCAGGCTACCGGAGCACGCAGTGTCGATGGTCATGCTGCAAAACAAGACTCGGGTCAGGATCCAGTCGATTTGATGCATGGATTTGCGGTCATATTCACCTAGGCCCCTTGATGTTGAGGAAGTGGCTGAGTCTGTTGGCCATGATGGCGCGTCCCACGCCGACGGTGATGCTTGCCGGCCGGTCTTCGGGGTCGCGGCCTTGCATGTCACCGTAGTCTGGGGACAGAGTTAGCTATTTGGTTCGTCCAAGAGCAAGAGTAAGAGCGCGGCTCAGAGCCCGGAAACTCACCGGACGCATAGGATCCCACAAAGCACCCGACCGGCGCCCCGTTGAGGCTCTCCAAGGGAATGCCGGCGTTCTCGAGCCCCTCGAAGACGACCTCGAGCATCTGACGCTGGTTCGGGTCCATCGAGATGGCCTCGGTCCGCGAGATCTCGAAGAAGGAGGCGTCAAAGTCGGCGGGGTCGACGTCTTCCAAAAACATGCCACCCGAGGGCCGCATGGTACGGGGCTTGAGGGACCCGTCCCAGTGACCCTCGATGTTGAAGCGTGATTCTGGGACCTTGTTTGACGCGATTCCGCCTCGCTCCAAGAAGTCCCACAGCTTGTGCGGGCTATTGTTGCCGCCAGGAAGCCGGCACGCCAAGCCAATGATGGCGACTGGCTCTTGGATGTGGTTTGAGGATGCCATGTTGACTGGCATAGAGGTGATTGAAGCCCGGGGAGACGAGAAGGTCGAGGAGAGATGGAGATGAATGTTTGAACACGGGGAGAGATGTTGAGGTGCTGAGGAGGAAGAGACCGAGCGGGCTACTGACGTTCTTGTAGATGCGACATTTCGAGCTCAGGTTGACACGGACAGTGGCGAATGGACCGATGACTCCAACTCACATCAACAGCCCGATCCATCCCGCATCACAACAGGCTCCGGCATAAGACGAAGGATCACTCGGCCGGCCTCTCGAAGCACCTCTGAGCCGTAAGACGGAGGGGGTCGGCCGTAAGACGGGGCAGAAGGGGCAATGCGAGAGCCTTGAGGCCGTGATAGGAGCCAGCATGACCTCGAGCCTTCGGAACCCGAATACCGAAGGATAGACCTTGACGTAGACTGACAGGGCCTAAGCCTAGCCCAGGACCGCGCATCCGGGGCTGATGGATGATTGTGCCGAGTATCGAGATGGGTATGTATGATTCTGGATCCCGGAAACGTGGCCATGCGGCCCATCCTGGTACTCGCCAAGGCGGCTATCTTGTTGTTCTAGAAGCTTGGTGTAGCGGAAGGCGTGTGTAGACTGGCCCATAAGCTTCCTGGCATGGAGGAACTTGGGTCCGCGCTTGCGTAGCTCGACAGGAACATGAGGGGATTCTGCGAATGGCACAAAGCACTGGTCAGCATTAGTTGCCATGGTATCAGGAAGTCGAGGAGAGCGCGGGTCACGGCGGTGGGTCTCGCCGCCGTCATGAGCATCGTGGTATCCACAGCGAATATTTGGAGAGGTCGGTGATCCGGCTTCAACGAACTGGGCAAAGCATGGAGAGGCTGTTCAGGGCCTCGATGAGTCCGTTTTCTTGCTACCCCTGGCTGATGGTAAGCCCATGGTGTCAACCGGAGGGGATCAAGGCTCGGCCTCCCCGATATCTCGTGTGAGAGGAGCCGGCGTGCCTTCTAGGCTGGTCTTTGAGCCATATTTTGCACCGCAATGGTGTGGTGATGATGGGTAAGACCAGACTTCAGGCCTCGAGCTAGCTTACGAGCGTGAAGTCGGCCAGGCGCTCGACATGCGAACCGTGGCCATCTTTTGGTGAGTCTTTCTGCCGGGCCTCGCTGCCATGCCTGCCATTCTTTTGCGCAACATTCTTCGACATGGGATGGCGTGATTTGCTTGCCGTGTGTCAGTTCGACCAGGTCCGACTGCGGGTAAGCACGTTGTAGACGCTATCCACCAGGATCCTACGTGCATGCATATATGCCCGGCACCACATGGCAGGCCATGCTATATCGAGGCGAGATTCCGAAATGCGCATTCTTCTCCAGATGCGATTATGCACGTGCTACCCCGGTCGGTGGATCCCGAGGTTGGGGTAAGCCTCGTGGAAGCCTGTGAGAAGGATTGGATGCCTGCGACCACGATGGTATCACCCACTATCGTGGGGACTTTTGACTCACTTGTGGAGCGCGCTCTCGCAAGCTTCTGGTATGCTCACCGCTATACTCAAGCTGCCGCGGAGCAGAGGCAAGGTAATCCCGGGGGCCGTGGCTGTGTCCACGCCATGAGAGGGTGGAGGAGGGAAGAGCTTGATGACGGCAAGGTGAGACGAGACAGAGACGCTCAAATGCAGGATAAGGACGTCAAATACTTGGGCTCGCACGAACTGAACGTGTTGCTGTGCAGACTTGTCCATCGACCAAGGCACAAACCACTTGACCGTTGAAAGTTGCGTTGCGCACTAGGACATCAAATGGCTTCCCTCGCTCGCTGCCAGAAAGTCGAGTGTCCGACCGTGGATGGAGTCGTCCTCCGCGGGCTGTTCTACGCAGTCCAGCAGGGGCCAGCGCCGGCCATCATAATGACACATGGTGTAAGTGCTCCCTCGACTTCCAGACGGCCTGCGCAGCAACCTCCCCCTTTTTTTCCTGCCTGGCCCATGAGCTCACTCGAGAGGTACCAGTTCAACTGCGTCAAGGAAATGCTGTTGCCAGAGATTGCGGAGCGGTTCCAGTCGTCGGGCTATAACGCGCTCATATATGACCCGCGAAGCATTGGAGACAGCGACGGGCTGCCCAGGAACTACATAAACCCGCTGCAACAGGCCGAGGACCTCTCAGGTGCGTCAATGCCAGTTCCTTGCCGGTTCGACAGTCTTTTTGCACCTCTGGCTGCTACGTGTCACTCAAGCTACGTCCTCTGACTCTTCTTCGTCGTCGACACAGACGTCCTGACACACGTGGCGACGTTTCCGAGTGTCGACGCCAACCGCATCGTGCTCTGGGGCATGTCCTTTGGCGCGACGGTGAGCGCCTGCTCGGCGGCAGTGGACCGGCGTGCACGGGCGGTTGTCATGGTGTGTCCGATATTCAGCTTCGTGCAGCCGTCGAAGCGGGAGCGGGCCTTTGCGCAGCTGATCCGCGACCGGGAGTCGCAGCTGCGCGGCAACGAGGCCGTCTCGCTGCCGCCCTTTAACAGCCGGGGCGAGAACCCCATCGGCATGGCCGGGTCGGGGGGGCCCGGCGGGCTCGAGGCCTACGAGTTTATGCGCGCCGTCGTCGACCGCGGGGCCCCGGGCTTCCGCGACCGCGTCACGCTGCAGACGTACCGCAACCTGGCCGTCTTCCGCCCCGTGGAGCTGCTGGACATGGTGCGGGCGCCCGTCATGATGGTCGTGCCGGAGCTGGATGATATTTCGCCGGCCCAGGAACAGGAGGAGGCCTTTGAGCGGTTTGGGAAGCAGCAGCCCAAGACGACGCTGTATCGTGCCGCAGGCAAGGGCCATCTGACGGTGCTCAGTGGGGAAGGATCTGAGGAAATCCTGGATGCCCAGGTGGACTTTATCAAGGAGGCATTAGAGGAATGAGGAGGTTTCGAGAAGAAGCGTATATAGAATAATAGACTATGTGTATTGAATGGACTTTCTACTGCGCATGTTCTCTCTGCGGATGGCATTAATGCTGTTCGTAGGGTTTACACTCCTCCGCCTCACCAAGATAATTTGTTGGAGCGAAAACGAGCGCTTTGCCCACAAAATCAAGAGGTCTTTGTCAATAGCTGGTGGCTGTCCAATCGTAGGATCTGTGATTCCAAGATGAAGTGGCTCCCGCCGTCCGGATCGGGGAGAACGTTGAAATGCCCCACATTTCCCCGGGAGCCCGGGTCCAGCCGCTTACCCTGCATGCCCCACTTTGTTCCCGGGGTTCGGGGACCCACGAGGCTGACCTTGCAGGCCCCACTTCTCCGGAGCCTCGAACCCTGGGAAAGCTTACATTGCATCGACAAGCCAGTTTCAGCTGGCTTACCGGCATATTTCGTCATACCGAAAGGGTGGGCGCCTCAAGCTCGGGAACCTTGCCGGTAGCCTCGAGGGGCGCTGCCTAAAGCGGCAATTGCTGCTCATTACACGGCTTCGAGCTTACATTGCATGCTCCAATGGCGACGCGTGTTTTTGTAGACGCAAGCCGGATGAGCTGCTCATGGCGTTTATGCTTCGCGACGTCTTGCATTTGTCATCTCTATACTGTGGAAACCTATGCTACCGAACAGGCGAATGCGCATGATTCTGTTGGCTCCCCGGCGGGGACAACTGTATGTCATGCTCAACCTGCTTCTTGACCTGCACGAGACCGATGCCCCTACCTTTGGCTATTTGTCAGCTTGCGTCAAAGATGAGGCCATTTCCATGCGAAATGGCTTCCTATGAGGCTCTCATATCCCTGGTCGGATGAGACTAATAAGAGGGGATTGTTCCTGACGTGTCAAGGTGCTGGCAAGAAGACACACCAGCTGTATCGATCTCTCCTAACTTGAACCGATATCCTCGTCTATTTCCCTCTTCACGCCCATCAGGATCCTCAACAGCACGTAAAAACACCACCATGGCGCCATACACTGTGCTCATCAGCGGTGCAAACAGAGGCATCGGCAAGGGCCTCCTCGAACTCTACCTCGCCCGGCCAAACCACGTTGTCATTGCTGCCAACCGCAACCCCGACCACGAAACGTCCAAGGCGCTCGCCGACCTCCCCAAAGGCCCGGGATCCTCCCTCATCGTGGTCAAGGTCGACGCCACCGCCGCCTCCGACGCCGCCGCCGCCGTGAAGCAGCTCGAGGAGGTCCATGGCATCCGCCACCTTGACCTCGTCATCGCCAACGCCGGCATCAGCTACTGCTGGCCCAAGGTGTCCGAGGTGAAGCGGGAGGACATGCAGGCCCACATCGAGCCCAACGTCTATGGCCTTGTCTGGCTGTACCAAGCGACCCTGCCGCTGCTCGTCAAGGCTGCCAACCCAAAGTGGGTGAGCGTCGGGTCCTGCTCGGCCTATCTCACGGTGCGTTTGTGCTTCTCATCAGAAAGATATCCGCGTGACTGACACTTGCTAATCGTGTGGCTTTCTGCAGTGAGTCCTGACTGTGTACTTGATGGGCTGTTTCGCGGGCCACGAACATAGCGGCCGTCTAACAAATGTGTTTCTAGGGAGCAACTCGACATGCCCAATGCGGCATATGCGCCATCCAAGGTTATCGTTCACTGGCTCACAAAGGCCATCCACCGCGAGGAGCCCGCTCTCGTGGCGTTTCCCCTTGACCCTGGGTAAGAAATCTACACCCCCTTCCATTCTGGCGAGTTTGAGTGAGCTGATGGCGTTAGCTGGGTGCAAACGGACCTTGGGAACACGGGCGCCCATGCGTTTGGACACGAGTCGGCTCCACTGAAAGTGAGCGACGTGTGTGCCGGAACACTCAAGGTCATAGATGCTGCTACGCGAGAGACTCATGGCGGCAGGTTGATTCGTTATGACGGTGTCGAGCTGCCATGGTGATGGATGGGGTGCAGGATCCCTTGTTCTTAGACTCTTGTATGATTCTCTGAGGAGACGCGTTGGGATGTTGGGGCCGCGCATTGATATTCACGTATCTCAACACTTGGCTCCAAGAATATCCGTTGATGGCATTCATTAAATCGTTTCAAAGCAGTAAAGGCCTATGTGGCGTGTCGAGTGGCGACGGAATGGTTGTCCGTAAAGGTTTCCCCTGGAGATTGGCTCAGCTCAAAGACAAGACTGCCATGCAATAAAGTTAACCATAAGCGGGATGATTACCAGTGAGAAACGAGGCAAAGTGTATATCAAAGTCAGTGCCAGAGCACCATTTTCTATGGTCCATGGGTACACGTACTGCTTCGTGGGTCTTTGCGTGAATAGAGCAAGGGAAAACTTAAGCCCCTGCAAGACGAAGGAGTGAACATTACTGAGTGTATAATTTACATATTCAGACTTCCCAGACACCGCGATACTGCTTTCCCTTCACACAGGCACCGGGCGTGCGAGCATGCCGGCGAGACATGTCCAGCAAACCAAGCGGAGACAGAATCGTTGTAAGCGTCCAGAGGAGTATGAGAAAACAACCGCGCCTCCCCCCCTCCCACCGAAGAAACGCCTATCAATGGAAGATATGACGAGCCTTGCACAACCTCCCATCGGCGGCCACGGTCATGCCGTCGCTTCCGACCGACGTATGGGCGTACAAGGCCAGACTCGGATCATACCTACGCTTCACCGCTAGCAGCCTGTCGTAGTTGCGGCCATAGTAATCGGCCTTCCAGTTCGGGTTGTCAAAGGTGGCCTCGTTCGCGTACGCCCCGCTCCTGGGCGTCAGGCGCCGGAACGTGTCCTGTATGCGGTTGACTTCGGTCTGGATCCGGCGCAGCTCAGCGGGCGGCGAGGCCGGGTCCACGACGACGTCCGTGTTGAGCCAGTATAGCGAGTCGCGCCAGGCGGGTAGCACCGCGTTGGAGCCCTCGACGGTGCCGCTGCGAGCGCGCGTCACGTTGGCTGCGATGCCGTTGATGCGGATCGACGGCAGCCGCGACGAGTTGGCCGCGGCGCGAAGAGCAGCCACCAGGCCCGCTAAGTTGTGCCGCACGGCCGAGCGCGGGATCAGGCGCCCTCCGATGATGTCGTTTGTGGGATACGGCCCGTAGGGCATCTGGTCCGTGTAGTGCACGTAGTGGTCGTAGAATGTGGCATTGTCGCTCGTCTCAAAGGCCACGGGCGTCACGTTGAGGGCCCGAAGCTCCTGCAGGAATGGACCCAGGACCGCGGCCATGGAGGCGGCGTCGGCGCCGGACCAAGTTGCGGGCTGGATGCTAAAGGTCGTGTTGGTGACGCCCCAGGCGGTGGTGAAGCCGGGGATGCGGTCGAGGACCAGGAGGTGCCTGTGCCAGGCGCCAACGGCCGACCAGAAGGCATCGTCGTTGTCGTTGCGGATGGTCAGGGATGCGCCGGCGACGCGGCCGTCGGGGTGAGCCTTGACCGTGGCCGAGACGACGACGGCATAGGTGCCGCCGCCGCCGCCACTGAGGGCCCAGAACAGATCCGGATGCCGCGACGGGGAGACGGCGAGCCGGCGGCCGCCGGTCGTCACCACCTCAAACTCGAGCGTGTTGTCGGCAGCGAGCCCGTACGTGGCGCCGAGCGGGCCGTGGCCGGCGCCCTGCACGTAGCCGCCGGCGATGCCGACTGTGGGGCAGTATCCGCCGGCGACCCGGAGCCCACGCCGGGCCGCCGCGCGGTACAGCTCGAAGAACTGCACGCCGGCGCCGACACGCACGGCCGGACCGCGGTACCGGGGCCCGCTGTAGTCGAGGAACTCGATGGCCTTGAGGTGGTGCGTCCACAGGGCCAGCGACCCCCGACCGGCGGAGCGGCCGATGAAGTCGTGGCCCGTGTTCTTGACGGTGACGCGAATGTTGTGGTCGCGGGCGAACTTGAAGCCTGCCGCGACATCGTGCGCGCTGCCGACTCTGACGGCGTACGACGCCATGTTGCCCAGGCTGCACGAGGCATTGGGCGCGGTAAAGGGGCTGCACGAGCTGTTGAGCCAGTACGGCGCCATGACGTGAACCGGGTCATCAAAGCTGATCGTCTCCCCCCGCCCCGAAGGCCGAGCTCCAGTGGTTAGCAAAACATCCAGAAAGCTTCTTAACGGAAGAATAACTCAGGATGGTTCGGGAAAAGGGGCAGATGGACGAGTTGGATAACTGACTAGGTAGCCGGCTTCGTCCACGCCTCCTGGATCCGGCCGCATGCCTCTCGGTCGTAGCCCGGGCCGTGACATCGACTGGCCAGAGACCGGCCGGCGATTAGCCTGCCGCCGACGGTGCGGTTCAACTGGTCCCAGTCCCCCGGGCCCGGCCATCCTGGGTCGCCCGGCAGGTGGTGACAGTCTGGTGGTGGTGGTGAGTACGACAGTGGTGGTGACGGTGCTGCAGCGATCATAATTGGCCACAGCCATGGCAGCGTTGCAGCTGCAGCAAGCAGGACGTGCATCTTGTGATATATTGATACAGGAGGCTACCGGAGCGGTGCAAGACGACAGGTGGACGGCAAGAGAGATGCTGTTCCCGGGCATCGTCCAGCCTTTTCCATTCTACCTCATATATGGCACTCTATGCTTCGTATATGGCCGGCCATACAATGCCGTCGCTTCCGCTTCTCCGAGCTCTATCGGCATCGGGCCTCTCCGGACTCATCTTACTCGCCTCAGGGGAGCTTCCTTTTCGCCCATCGTCAGGTCATCCTTTGAAGTTCCACTCCTTCCTCCGGGCCTATTTCCAGAACCAGAGCAAAAGCGTCCTGAGGTCTATCAGCCTCTCAGGATCAAGAGGTGTGGAGGAGGCCTCGACACTAGTCAGCCGGGTAATGAGGCCGGAACCCCCGTCCACGGCCGGGGTGGAGCGCCGGGCTCAGCTCTCGCTCGGCTACACCCCAAGGGCCAGACCAAGAAGTTGCCTGGCACCAGGGTGCAACGTGTGTAAGCTCCGGGCCCTTCCACTCTGTCGGGGACCAAGGGAAAGCGGCAAAGCGGCCGGGTCCACCACAGGCTGACCATGCATCTGATATACACCCATGTATCGGGGTTTTCTCACATGGCTCTGCCCACTCACACAGATAGTGATAATGTCAGCCTGTGCCGGGCTGAGTATTGCTCCGGCCGCGGCCCACCCTTTATCGCGCTCACCAGTTCATGGTTTGCGTCACTCAGCTCAGGATGAACATGGACTCTGCGGATCAGCCGCGAGAACGGCCAACATGATTCCCTTCTCCATGAGATATATACCATCATCACCCGGGGTCATCCGACTCTGGGCTCAGCATCCTCCTCGCTTGCCGTACCAACGAGGCCCGACACGAGCCCACTTCCGGAACCATGCCGGCCCCCCAGGGTACCCTCCTCGCCACTGTCTGGCAAAGCCTGGACGACACGTTGAGAGGCCATAGTCCTCCGACTTTGAACTTTTTGCTTGCGGCGACGGGGCTGTGTGTGTTTGCCTACGCCGTCGGGCTGGCCACGTATCGGCGTAGGCGCTGTTCTCCCCTTCTGCCAACTCCCCTTTTTGCTAACCATACGTCTCGTCAAAGTCTTCCTGTCTCCCATTGCCGGGATTCCAGGACCCAAGTTGGCTGGTTCGTCATCTGGCTCTTCTTCTCATCACACGACTTACACTTACAACAACAGCCATCTCTTTCTGGTATGAGATATACTACGATGTCTGGCTCGGAGGGCGGTACTACAGCAAGATCGAGGAGATGCACAAAGTCTACGGTAAGTCTGAGGAAGCCAAAGTATCGATGTAGCCATGGCTGACAGACAGGCCCCATCGTGCGCATCAACCCTTACGAGGTTCACTTCAACGACCCCGACTTCATCGACTCCATCTTTCCAGGCCCAGCAAGAAAGACCAACAAGTACTTCTTCACCGGCCAAAGAACAGGAAGTAAGGGGCTGCTGCTGCTGCCATGCCGTCCTCCCCAGCGAATTGAGAGCGTTGTCGGCTAATTCGTGCTTTGCCTGCTTAACTCGTGCCCTCAGCCCAAAACTCCATAGTGGCCACAATAGACCACGACGTGCATCGTAAGCGTCGCGGTCCCATCAGCGTATACTTTTCCACGGCAAGTATCCGGAGGCTGGAGCCCCTCATGCAAGAACACTTGGCCAAGCTTCTGTCGAGGATGGAAGAGGCTGGGAGGCGCGGCGAGGTCTTGCCGATGCATTACGTCTTCCGGGCGGCCACGAGCGACATGATCACCAAGTACGCCTTCGGTGATTCATTTCACTTCCTGGACCGGAAGGACTTTGCCATGCCGTACATGGAGTCGACAAACGTCTTCTCCATGCTCAACCATACCTTTTGCCACTTTCCCTGGGTTGGCGCCTTGCTTGCGTGGGCACCGCCCTGGGCCGTCAAAGCATTGATTCCCTCGTTGGCAGAGATGTGGGACAAGCAACTGGTGCGAAGCCCTCGCGCTTTGTGTGCGTCCGTTAGACTGGCACTGACCTCGGTTGCGAGTTACAGATGTGGATTGAGAGGGTCCAGCAACTCCGGCAGTCCAAGAAAGCCGACTCTGAACGAGTCAAGAGCACCATATTCGAGGGCATCCTGGCTAGTAGCAGCATACCCGAGGAGGAGAAGACGGACGCCAGATTGGCGCACGAAGCGCAGCTCATCGTGTTCGCTGGTGAGGACACAACAGGTACGCGGCCTTGTTGGGAGGAGGGCGAGGACAGAGCGACTCCAGGAACTGACCGCTCTCCTCAGCACACACCCTCCAAGCCGCGCTCTACGAGTTGCTCGCCAACCCGTCCGAGTTTGCAAAAGTAAAGGCAGAGGTTGTCTCGGCTATACCAGACCCGGACCAGATTCCAGCCTTCTCCCAGGTAGATAATCTGCCGTATCTAAACGCCGTCATCCAGGAAACGATACGTGTCCATCCAGGCGTCGTCTCGCGCCTGCCACGCGTCTCTCCCCAGTCAGCCATCGTCTACACAGACAAGCAAAGGGGCAAGGAATACATCATCCCCCCAGGGACGTCGACCAACATGACGGCGCAGATCGCACACATGAATCCGGACGTGTTCCAGGATCCGTACGAGTTCCGCCCGCAGCGGTGGCTCGACAATCCGCGGATCGACAGGGCATTCATTGGCTTCGCCAGGGGGACGAGGAACTGCATCGGGTATCACCGCCTTCCTTCTCTTCGCGGGCCCTTGAGGTTTAGACGAAGCTGACCATTCGTCCGTCGTATTCTAGCATGGCCCTTGCGCGTCGCGAGCTGTCACTGTTCCTCGCGGCCATTGTCCGCAAGTATGACATTTACCGCGGACAGCACGACTGCCCGACGCTGGAGCTGTTCAAGACGAGTCGTGCGAGGGACATTGACTTGAGCCGTGACTATATTCTCCCGTTTCCCACAAAGGGGAGCCATGGACTACGCGTCAAGGTGCGTAATTAGGAGAGAGTCGTGTCCACCGCAGAAACATGACGCCGTCACGGGGCTGGGACGAGGTGTTGCGGCGAGGTTGAGCTTCCCGAGGGCTTGTCTTCAACCGGCGGGTCGATTGATGTGAGCGCAGAGAAGCGCTGGGCTCAGGGCATCGAAGTTCTCGCCCAACAATCGTTGACGGAGGGTCGTTGAATGTATGGACAATTGGTAACTTAGCTCCGTCCCGCCACTTTAATGGCAGAGAGCAGCGGCTCAGATAGTGGGGATTTTAAAATAGATATACTTAACTTAAGTCAAAAGCTACCTGATATTGCACAGGATATACCTAGAGTCAATATGTACTCTTGATGCTTGGCAAGTATCGGAAAAAGCTGGCAATGCCGACGACGCGTCGAGCTACCACTGGGCTTCGCGTTTCCCACCGACCGACGCGTTAATCGATTTTCCGGTTCCCATCAAATGCATCCAAACCTCAAGCTTCCACCCATCGTGACGCAGGCACTCGGAAGCCTCACTCGTCGCCGCCGCTTCGTCCTCTCTGCCTCCTCCTCGCTTCTAGCCCAACCAGCTACTTCCCCCGCCGGCGCCACCGTGGTCCACCTGCCGCGAGAGAAATGGCCAGCTTCTTCGACCTCAAAGCCCGCAAGGCGGCTGCCGCTTCCGCCGGCGTCGCAGACCAGAAAAGCCAACGCCAGGCCGACGCCGGGAACCAGCCATGGGTGGAGAAATAGTGCGTCTCTTGCCTGTCTTTGTGGTCTCTTCTCACCGTCACACTCGTAGCCGCCCCAAGACCCTCGACGACGTCACAGCCCAAGACCACACTGTCACGGTTCTGCAGAGAACGCTACAAGCCTCCAACGTACGTCTCCCCGAGAGGCACTTTTCCCCGATAACGTGACAGAGGAGCACCTGACACGCCTTGGCAGCTCCCGCACATGCTCTTCTACGGCCCCCCGGGCACCGGCAAGACGTCCACCATCCTGGCCCTCGCCAAGGAGCTCTACGGACCGGAGATGATCAAGGCCCGCGTCCTCGAGCTCAACGCATCTGACGAGCGCGGCATCTCCATCGTCCGTGAAAAGGTCAAGGACTTTGCTCGCATGCAGCTGACCAACCCGCCGCCCTCGTCCAAGAGCAAATATCCCTGCCCCCCCTTCAAGATCATCATCCTCGACGAGGCCGACTCGATGACTCAAGACGCTCAGAGCGCCCTGCGCCGCACAATGGAGACGTATAGCAAAATCACCCGCTTCTGCCTCATCTGCAACTACGTCACTCGCATCATTGATCCGCTTGCCAGTCGATGCAGCAAGTTCCGCTTCAAGAGCTTGGACCAGGGCAACACAAAGAGGAGGCTGGAGGATATTGCCCGGGCCGAGGGGGTCTTGCTGGAGGATGGGGCCGTCGAGTCACTCATCAAAAGCAGCGACGGTGACCTGCGCAAAGCCATTACATTTCTGCAGAGCGCCGCCCGACTTGTTGGTGCCGAAACCTCCCCCAAGGACGACGACGAGCAGATGGATGTCGACAAGAAGCCGGTGACGGTCAAGGTCGTCGAGGATATTGCTGGTACAATACCCCAATGGACAATCGACAGTCTCGTTAAAGCCATGCGCCCGCGCGGCGCCGGCGAAACCTACCAAGCTGTCGCCAAGCTTGTCGAAGAAATGGTCGCAGATGGCTGGAGCGCAACCCAAGTAGTCACCCAGGTGAGGGCAAAACGTTGGACATTCCACACGCATACCACAGCTAACCATCTTTTACAGCTGTATCAAGCTCTGACGACGGACGAAAGCATCCCCGATATCCAAAAGAACAAGATTGTCCTCATCTTCTCCGAGGTCGACAAGAGACTCGTGGACGGCGCCGACGAGCATTTGTCAATTTTGGATTTAGCCTTGAGAATATCGGCCGCCATGGCAGGAAAATAGATTGTGCATCTATCAAACCACGGTTCCACAACCCCTGGCGCATTTCAGAACGCGGGCAGCATTGGGCCGAGCCACGCCCAGGACTGCAGCTTTGATTGGCACCACGCTCATCATCGCAACTGCAAAGCGCGTCAATCTGAATCGTCGTGGCCAATCAAACCAACGTTCCCGTGCAACCGTGACCAAGGATCGCCTTTCTGCTGCCTTGGCCCATCCTTCTTGTCGGCCTGCTTTCTGGCACTGGCCCCCCCAAGGCTTGGCCCTACGTTGTCTGATGGCTGTGCGAGATCGGTATCACATGTTTCCTGGTCCGTGTCCTGGCCCAAAAGCCGGTCAACGTCCTGGAGAGACTTCATGCAATTTTCCAGCGCAATCTGCCCGCCCTCGATCGTTTCTGCAACAGCTTCTAATGTCGCGATCTTGGCGGAATCGGCGGCCAGCACCCAAGGCCTGATATAGGTTGATATGCCCTCGGAGCAATTAGACGACTTGGTCGTGTCATTGGCCATGCCAGATCGTCCCCGCTGCGAGCTCTTCATGGGATAGGACGGGAGAAGTTGGCTTTCCTCGGCGAGACGGTCAAGTGCCTGGCGAGAGTCATTGATTTGCTTCTTGAGCACCGAGCTGGCGTGAGACTTGTAAGATATCACGGTCTTTTGATGGCTGGAAATGGAAAGTAGCGCCTCGATGTAGGGTGTAAGAAGGTGGTCGGCCAGCTTTGAGTCGGCATTATCCACATGCTCCGAGGGAGTGGCTTGCTGGTGCGGTGGCGACATCGACGGCAGCTGCTGCTGAGACGCCAACGCCAGAACCTCTTTCCTGCCGGCTACGTAGCTCGCATACTTTTGGCTGATTTGGCCGAGTTGTGCTGTCACAGTTGCTTGGTCGTCTTCGGGTTGGCAATTCTGTCCCTGTCGAAAGCTGTCTCCGCCTTCATCGGCTTCTTCTGCGGAAGCCTTGCTCAGCTCCGCCTCAATCCAACTGATCAGCTCGTTTCTCGTCGTGTTGAGAGCCTCGAGCTTGGCGCCATGGCTGACGACTTCAGACCTGCTTTTGCACCTGGTCTTCGCTTCAGCGAGTAGTCTTTCCTCTTGTTTCGACTGTAGCTTGGCGCATAACACCGCCTTCTCCAGCTGATGTACTCGACTTCCCAGATCGGGTTGAGCAGCGCTTTTCTCGGCCACGAAGCTGTTTACCACGGCTTTCGGTACACTTGGAAGAGCCGTCGCGCCCCGGAAGACCTTGTCGGTGTCCAAGAGACTTTGACTGGAGGCGGGCTTCTCAGCCAGATGGTCTAGAGAGCTTCGGACGGCCAAGAGACACTCTCGCTTCTGCCGCAGTCTCAGCAGCGCGAGATGCCCGTCCAGGAAATTGGGTCCGCTAGACGTCGCCGTCGGCCGCGAACCGCTCTCCAAACTCGCAGCTTGCAGCGCCGCATCGAACTGGCGCCGAGCGGCAACATTGGCCTGCAGAGCTGCAGCGTACTCCTTCTGGACACCTCTCAGCTCCTCGGCGCTGGGATCAACATGGCGAGAGCTGTCCACCACCGACAGTGGCTGCACGGCTGCGTCGTCTCCGGTGCATGATCCCAAGTGCAAGGCCAAGATGCGCCTGATATAGTTGACTTGCTCTCGGGGCTTGACGTACGGCTCCAAGACAGATTGGAACTTGGGTATGAGCTCATTCGGAGCTGCCATGATGTCGCTTCATTCTTTTGAGGTTCGCGCCACGCTTCGTGAAAAGAGGGGCGGCTGCTTGGCCAGACAAGAAGGGACTTGACCCGTGCTGGTTGACGTTTAGCCCTCGGAAGTACCCTGGCCGCAAGAGCGCGTTTGTCTGCGGGTGTACTTTCTCGCTCAATCGTGGCTGGTGCGCCGTAGTGTGGCGCGCCAACAGCTGCCAAATAGACTAGCTATTCCAGGACTAGCGCGAACAGGTAGCCAAGGCCGGTTCCGAAATTTGTTGCCTCGATGATGACCTGTGATTTCCCATCTTCAAACACGCATCACGGGTGGTGGATGAAACCAGCTCATCGGCCCCGGAAAGACGAAGCCACCCACGAAGCATCTTCCTGTACCGCACTGAAACCATCGAACTCGGCGGACACAACACATGGTGACTTAACGGCCGAGCTCCCCGAGCTTTCGTCGAGAACATCGGCGGCGTTCTCTCACGCGATTCACGCGACCAAGTCGAAGAAACGAATTGAAGATGTCGGAACCCCATCGCGATGTCTCCCAGTACAAGTACTCGGCCATGTCCAACCTGGTCCTCCAGGCGGACCGTCGGTTTGTCACACGACGTACCGACGAGGCCACGGGCGATCCCGAATCACTTGCTGGGCGGCTGAGCATCAAGGACATGGGCGGTCGGGTCGCGCGAGACTCGGCACCCAAGCAGAAGAAACAGAGTGGCATGCCCGACGTTGAGAGGGGAAGCCTTCAAGACGGAGGGGATATCCTGCTTCGCGAGCAGCGAAAGCGCAAGGCGGAAGCATCGCAAGCGGCAACGGGGCTGCTCGGTGCCAATGAAGCCCTGATAGAGGGCATCACATACCGCCCTCGAACAGCGGCAACGCGAGCCATCTTTAACCTGATTCTCACCTCGGTGGCGAGCAATTTGGGAGATGTCCCTCACGAGGTTATTCGCAGCGCCGCCGACGCAGTCTTGGAATACCTGAAGGACGACGACTTGAAGGATCTTGACAAAAAGAGGGAAATCGACGATATCCTTGGCGCGACTCTCGCCCCCAAACAGTTCAACGAGCTGGTGAATCTGGGAAAAAAGATCACGGACTACGACGCTCAGGATGAAGAGGACGCCGACATGGATGACGCCGAGGGCGAAGCCGAAATCGATGAGCGCCAAGGTGTCGCCGTGACCTTTGACGAGGAGGACGAAGACGCCGTTGCCGACGAAGTGCACGAGGTCCTGTCCGAGAGCGATGCGGGCGATGAAGACGAAGCTGAGGACCAAGATGTGGCCGAGGCTGATGCGACAGCCCCAGACGAAGCGATGGCCATTGATGCGGATGCTTCGGGAGCCAAAAGCAAGGAGGATGAGAAGCATTCAGTGTCCGCGCGGGACATTGACGCCTTTTGGCTGCAACGGCAAATTGGAACTCTATATCCCGATGCGCACGAACAGACCGATAAAACGAAAGCCGCCCTGCGAATTCTATCTGGCGAGCCCGACGTGACGGACGGCGAAGAGAAATCGCTCCGAGAGATTGAAAACGACCTCATGGAACTATTTGACTTTGAACATCACGAGCTGGTCCACAAGCTCGTCGAAAATCGGGAAAAGGTTTACTGGCTCACGAAGCTGGCTCGGGCCGAGACCGCCCAGGAGCGCGCCGACCTCGAAAGGGAGATTGCGTCAGAGGGACTCCAATGGATTCTGAGCGAACTCCGAGGCGAGGGCACTGTGGATGACGGGAAGAAACGGAAGATGGACATCAAGATGGACATTGATGTGCCCGTGTCCATGGTAGCTGAGAAGCGGGAGCCCGGGCAGCCAGAAGGCTACCTCGTCGGTGGTCTCCAGCCCAAGAAGACCATTAACTTGGACAATTTGGTGTTTGACCAGGGAAATCACTTGATGACGAACCCAAAAGTCAGGCTGCCGGAGGGCTCGACCAAACGGACCTTCAAGGGCTACGAGGAGATCCACGTCCCGCCTCCGAAGAAGCGGAACGAGCCTGATGACATCTCGATACCCATCACCGATATGCCCGAGTGGGCTCGAGGCCCCTTCAGCACGGCCAAGTCGCTCAACAAGATCCAGTCAAAATGCTTCCCTTGTGCCTTTGAGGACGACGGCAACATGCTCATTTGCGCGCCCACGGGCAGTGGAAAAACAAACGTCGCCATGCTGACCATTCTGCGAGAGCTGGGCAAGAACCGCGACCCAAACACGGGCGACATTGACCTCGACGCCTTCAAGATCGTCTATATCGCCCCCCTCAAGGCCCTGGTTCAGGAACAGGTCGGAAACTTTGGGAAGCGACTCGAGCCCTACGGAGTACGGGTGTCAGAGTTGACAGGCGATCGCCAACTCACCAAGCAGCAAATCGCCGAGACGCAGATCATCGTGACGACGCCCGAGAAATGGGATGTTATCACCAGAAAGGCCAACGACCTCTCTTATACCAATCTTGTGCGTCTGGTCATCATCGACGAAATCCATCTGCTTCATGATGATCGAGGACCCGTTCTCGAGAGCATCGTCGGCAGGACCATTCGCAAGACTGAGCAGACTGGTGAGCCGGTGCGGCTCGTTGGGTTGTCCGCCACCCTCCCCAACTACCGCGACGTGGCGAGCTTCCTGCGAGTCGACAACAACAAGGGCCTGTTCCATTTCGATGGCTCCTTTAGGCCCTGTCCCCTTCGCCAGGAGTTTGTCGGTGTGACGGATCGCAAGCCCATCAAGCAGTTGAAGGCGATGAATGACGTGACCTACAACAAAGTGATGGAGCACGTCGGGACCAACAGGAACCAGATGCTCATCTTCGTCCACTCGCGGAAAGAAACGGCGAAAACGGCAAGGTACATCCGAGACAAGGCTCTCGAGATGGACACGATCAATCAGATTCTCCGACACGACGCGGGAAGCCGGGAAGTGCTCAACGAGGCATCGAGTCAGGCAACGGACGCAGACCTCAAGGACATTCTGCCGTATGGGTTTGGCATCCACCACGCCGGAATGAACCGCATCGACAGGACGGACGTGGAAGACTTGTTTGCCCGGGGCGCCATCCAAGTGCTCGTGTGCACGGCAACTCTCGCCTGGGGCGTAAACTTGCCGGCCCATACTGTCGTTATCAAGGGGACACAGGTGTATTCGCCAGAGAAGGGTAGCTGGGTCGAACTGAGCCCCCAGGACGTCCTTCAGATGCTCGGTCGTGCGGGACGACCGCAGTTCGACACATACGGAGAGGGCATCATCATCACGACCCAGAGCGAGATCCAGTACTACCTGTCGCTCCTGAATCAGCAACTCCCCATCGAGAGTCAGTTCGTCAGCAAGCTGGTGGATAACCTCAATGCCGAAATCGTTCTTGGCAACGTCAGGACCCGCGACGAGGGAGTCGAGTGGCTGGGATACACGTACCTTTTTATCCGAATGCTCCGATCTCCCGGCTTGTACCAGGTGGGCGCTGAGTATGAGGACGACGGCGCACTCGAGCAGAAGCGTGTCGATCTCATCCACTCTGCTGCAATGGTTCTCAGGCAGTCCAACCTCATCAAGTACGACGAAAAGACTGGAAAGCTACAGTCGACCGAGCTCGGCCGGATTGCCTCACACTACTACATCACCCACGGCTCCATGAACACGTACAACAACCTAATTCAGCCGTCCATCAACAGCATCGAGCTCTTCCGAGTCTTTGCTCTCAGCGCCGAGTTCAAGTACATACCAGTACGGCAGGACGAGAAGCTGGAGCTGGCGAAGCTACTGAGCAGAGTTCCCATTCCGGTGAAAGAGAGCATCGAGGAGTCCCATGCCAAGATCAATGTCCTTCTGCAGGCCTACATCTCTCGACTCAAGCTTGACGGCCTGGCGCTCATGGCGGACATGGTGTATGTGACGCAAAGCGCCGGGCGAATCTTGCGGGCGATATTCGAGATATGTCTCAAGAAGGGCTGGGCGTCCGTAGCCAAAACCGCTCTGGACTTGTGCAAGATGGCGGAGAAGCGCATGTGGCCGACCATGTCGCCTTTGCGTCAATTCCCCAGCTGCCCGCGAGATATTGTCCAAAAGGCCGAGAGGATAGACGTGTCGTGGAGGAGCTACTTCGACTTGGATCCCCCACGTATGGGTGAACTCTTGGGCATGCCCAAAGCCGGCCGCACAGTCTGCGGCTTCGTGGCCAAGTTCCCGCGACTCGAGGTTCAGTCCCAGGTCCAGCCCATGACGAGGTCCATGCTCAGAATGGAGCTCACCATTACCCCCAACTTTGAGTGGGACGACAGTGTACACGGTGCGGCCGAGAACTTCTGGATCCTCGTTGAGGACTGCGATGGCGAAGACATTCTCATCAGCGACACGTTTCTGCTACGGAAGGAATATGCCCAGGCCGAGTCCAACGAACACGTTGTGGATTTCACGGTTCCAATCACGGACCCGATGCCACCCAACTACTTCGTCTCAGTCATCTCGGACCGGTGGATGCATTGCGAGACGAAACTCGCCGTCCCCTTTCACAAGCTCATCCTCCCCGAGAGGTTCCCTCCTCACACCGAGCTTCTCGAGCTGCAGCCGCTCCCCGTGACTGCCCTCAAAGTGCAGAGCTACGTTGACCTGTATCCAGGCTGGAAGCAGTTCAACAGGATCCAGACGCAAACCTTCAACTCTCTCTTCAATGGTGACCAGAACGTCTTTGTCGGAGCTCCCACGGGAAGCGGCAAGACTGTTTGCGCCGAGTTTGCGCTGCTTCGTCACTGGGCCAACGCCGAGGCTGGACGGGCCGTCTACATCGCGCCCTTCCAGGAGCTGGTCGACTCTCGCCTCCAGGATTGGCAGAAGCGCTTGGCCCACCTGAATGGCGGCAAGGAGATTGTCAAGCTGACGGGCGAGACGGCGACCGATCTCAAGCTTCTGGAGAGGGGCGACTTAATCCTGGCGACGCCGGTGCAGTGGGACGTCTTGTCAAGACAGTGGAAGCGCCGGAAGAACGTCCAGACGATTCAACTCTTCATCGCAGACGACGTGCATCTGCTCGGAGGCCACATGGGCTACGTGTACGAGATTATCGTTTCTCGCATGCACTATATCCGGACTCAAACCGAGCTTCCTATGAGAATCGTCGCACTCAGCGTTTCGCTGGCTAACGCGCGGGATATTGGAGAATGGATTGATGCTAAGAAGCATGAAATCTACAACTTTGGCCCCCACGTTCGGCCCGTGCCGCTCGAACTGCACATCCAATCCTTCTCGAACCCTCACTTCCCCTCGCTCATGCTCTCCATGGCCAAGCCCGCCTACTTGGCCATCACTCAGATGTCGCCAGACAAGCCAGCCATGATTTTCGTGCCGAACCGGAAGCAGACTCGGAGCACGGCGCGGGACCTGATGGCCGCCTGCGTCATTGACGACGATGAGGATCGTTTCCTTCACGCCGAGGTGGAGCAGATGCGGCCCTTGCTTGATCGCATTCATGAAGAGGCTCTCGCGGAGGCATTGTCGCACGGCATTGGCTACTACCACGAGGCCCTGAGCCAGAGCGACAAGCGCATCGTCAAGCACCTTTACGACAATGGCGCCATCCAGGTCCTGGTGGCGTCCCGAGACGTCTGCTGGGAGCTGACGAGCACTGCCCATGTCGTCATCGTCATGGGAACTCAGTTCTTTGATGGCCGGGAGCATCGATATGTGGACTATCCCCTCAGCGAGGTGCTCCAAATGTTTGGAAAGTCGCTGCGCCCTGCTAAAGATGGCCGGACCCGCGGCGTGCTCATGCTGCCGCAGGTGAAGCGTGATTACTACAAGAAGTTCCTCAACGAGGCTCTCCCGGTGGAGTCGCACCTCCACAACTATCTGCACGATGCCTTTGTCACCGAGATCAGCACCAAGATGATTGAGGCTGGTGACGACGCCATCAACTGGACAACCTTTACCTACTTCTACCGTCGGCTGTTGGCAAACCCGAGCTACTATGGCCTTGCGAGCACGACGCATGAGGGTCTGAGCAACTTCATGTCGGACCTTGTGGAGACGACGCTGCGCGAACTGGGCGAGTCCAAAATCATCGACTTTGATGAAGACGACGGCACGGTGGCGCCACACAACGCGGCCATGATAGGCGCCTACTACAACATCTCGTACATCACGATGCAGACGTTCCTGCTGTCCCTCAGCGGTCGCACGAAGCTCAAGGGCATCTTGGAAATCGTGACGTCGGCCACCGAGTTCGAGTCGATCCAGGTTCGCAGGCACGAGGAGAGACTCCTTCGGCGCATCTACGACCGTGTCCCCGTGAAGATGTCGCAGGCGGTCTATGACTCGCCTCATTTCAAGGCGTTTGTATTGCTTCAGGCTCATTTCTCGCGGATGCAGCTCCCCATCGATCTGGCCAAAGATCAAGAGGTGCTCTTGTCACGAGTGCTCAGTCTTCTTAGCGCCGTCATTGACATTCTCTCGTCTGACGGCCACCTCAATGCCACGAATGCCATGGAGATGTCGCAAATGGTTGTGCAGGCAATGTGGGACCGCGACAGCCCTCTCAAGCAGATTCCTCACTTTAACCCTGAGGTGGTCAAGGTGGCAAACGAATTCGGGTATGTGGGCAGACAGCTAGTTGCCTGCATGAATCAAGGAGCTAACAACCTTTCCAGCATCAAGGACATTTACGAATTCATGGAGGGCATGAACCCCGAAGAGAACCCCGATTACGAAAAGGTTGTCAAGCGCCTGGGCCTGTCGCCGAGTCAATTGGCGCAGGCGGCGGAATTCACAAACGATAAGTATCCGGACCTGGAGCTCGAGCATGAGGTGATGGACGAGGACGAGATCAGGGCTGGTGAGCCGGCGTACCTAAACGTCAAGATGACGAGGAACGTCGAGGACGGAGATGAGGGAGAGTACGACTCGACGGTGCACGCGCCTTTTTACCCGACGAAGAAGATGGAGAACTGGTGGCTGGTGGTTGGCGAGGAGAAGAGCCGCAATCTCTTGGCCATCAAGCGAGTCACGATCGGGCGCGAGCTCAGGGTGCGCCTCGAGTACACGGTACCGGCGGCTGGCGAGCACAACCTGAAGCTCCTGTTGATGAGCGACAGCTACATCGGGGTCGACCAGGAACGGGAGTTTACGGTGACGGCCGCTGAAGGGATGGACGTGGACGACGAGGACGAGGCTGAGGACGAGGACGAGGGATAGAAACGTGTACGAATGCTTTGCGGCTGGTTGTCTGTATGAAATGGTTTGCTCGCAAGTGGCTGAGGACGATTGGCCAGTCGGCATGTGCTCTTGGACGAGGGTTGCCGGGGCTAAGCGCAGGTTGTGAGGGGAAACGCCTGGGGAAGAGAGCAAGGTCAAGCCGGCGTTGGGCAGATGGAAAGCTGCCGGCCCAAGCAAGGAGCGAGGGAGGGCGAGGACCGGTGAGGAGGGAGAGGGGAACCCCCCGCTGCGGCTACTGAGCCTGTACGAAATGAGTAGAGCACGGTATTAGAGGAGAGCTGGGAACGGCCGTGCCCCGAGCCCAGGGCTTTGTGCTGGCTGGGAAAGGCTCATTGCCTCTGGTCGCGGGCGAGACTATAGCAGTCACGTGATGGGAGCTGCCCGGTGACGTTTGGAGTGATTCCTTTGGCTGCCAACCTCGCCCTCCGATGTTTTTTCTTCTCTCGTCATCCCACATCCATCGCCAGCACCAGACGAAGGAGGAGCTGGGATCCGCCGACTGCGAATCGCAATCCATCTCCACAACGCCAGCTTCATCGCGAAACCCGCTCCCGCGTCCCTGTCCATCTTCCTCGCACGCGACCCGCAACGCGTTGCAACTTGCATTTTCCCAGAGCTACACGTTCCAAGCTGCTGTCCCTCCTCGCGCCGCCACCCCCCTCTCCCCTTGCTGAAGACTTCGCGCCAATCGCCGCTTTCCGTGCGCAATGGCAGACAAGCCCAACGAAAAAGCCGAGGCTGCTGCGCCCGTGGCCGAAGCCGAGCAAGCTTCTACCCCCGACGCCCAGCCTGATGAGCAGGAATCGGGTGCCAAGGACACGCCCAAGCCCGACGACGCGGAAGGCGCCAAGGAGAACGCAACGAACTCTGAGGGTACGTGTCCGAGAGGCGCCTGCGCGTGATTTTTCGCGTCTAGAGATTGTTTTTGCACTCTCCCCGATTCTCCCGTTTTCCTTTGGAGATTCTGTTTCGCGGCGAGAAAATAGCCAATTGCTGGGGCTTCCCAAATCCTCACCCGGCCCCTTTGGAACCAGAATTGCGCTAATTCTACGCGTACATCAGAATCCGGAGCACCCGACAACGGCGAAGAAGCCACCGAAGACGCGACCGATGAGCCCGCCAAGGGGCCGGAAAAGCCTGCCGCCGACGCGGACGTCGAGATGAAGAACGCTCCCGAAGACGCCGCGCCCGAGGCTGAGCCGGCCGCCGCCGCGGCACAAACCCCCGCTAGCAAGGCCAAGAGCTCTCGCCGCAAGTCGGGCGCCGGCGAATCCAAGGGCAAGGCCCTGAATAAAAAGGGCTCCAAGGCGCGGCTCACACACATTGATGCCCAGCCCGGCGACCACTTCTTGGTGAAGCTGAAAGGCTTCCCCGCGTGGCCCGCCATCATCTGCGACGAGACAATGCTCCCGGCAGCCCTCATCGGCAGCCGCCCTGTCTCTGCCGCTCGACCAGATGGAAGCTACTCCGAGGCCTATGCCGACGGAGGCAAGCGAGTCCACGACAGAAGCTTTCCTGTCATGTACTTGTACACCAACGAGTTGTGAGTTGCCCAGGGTTCCAAAGCCCACCGAACCGTGACGGCTGACCTGCATCCACAGTGGCTGGGTCCAGAATACTGCCCTCTCCGAGCTCTCGGCCGACAAGGCCAAGGATACCATCACCGAAAAGATGCGCAAGGACCTAAAGGCCGCCTTTGAGCTCGCCGCCGAGCACCATGCCGTCGATCACTACAAGCAGATACTTAAATCTTTCCAGGAGGAGCAGATTGCTCAGGAGGAAGCCCGCAAGCAGGCCGCGGCCACGCCCAAGAAGTCGAAGAAGGGCAAGGGAAAGGCGACCGACGACGACGAGGCCGCCGATGTAGAGGACGCGGATTTGGCCCCCAAGTCGGCCATGTCCAAGAAGCGAAAGGCCGAAGAAGATACCAGCGTGAGCTCCTCCAAACCAACGAGGGCCTCGATTGATCAATTGGCTGATGCATGGATCCCAGACTCCGCAGCGACCCGACTCCGTCAAGAAGCCGAAGATTAAGCTTAACACGTCATCTACGCCAAAGACGGCAAACGGGGCTGCCACGCCCAAATCCGCAGGCGGTGCTGCGGTCAAATCTACCAAGGTGAAACCTAAGAAGGCCAAGGAAGGTGGCGAGAAGAAGGTCGAGACGCCCAAGGAAGCAAAGATGACTCCAGAGGAGCGCCGCGCCCGCAAGGAGGTACGTGCCCAGACGAAGCATCCTGAGAGGCTGTTTGTTACTGACCGTTTGCACAGAAAGAGGTCTTGTATCTCCGCCACAAGCTCCAGCGAGGTCTCCTGACCAGAGAGCAGCAGCCCCGGGAAGACGAAATGAAGTCCATGTCAGACTACATCTCTGTGCTCGAGAACTTTGTTGATCTCGAGGTCTCCATCATCCGGGCTACCAAGATCAACAAGGTGCTCAAGGCGATCCTCAAGCTGGAGTCGGTCCCGCGCGAGGAGGAGTTTGAGTTCAAGAAGAGATCGCAGGCGCTGCTCGACAAGTGGAACAAACTCCTTGCCGGCGACGCGTCGGGGCCTCCGTCTGCCACGACTAACGGCGTGAACGGGGCCGGCGAAGAGAAGAAGTCGGAGGCCAACGGCGTCAAAGACGGGGCAGAAGAGACTACAAAGGACGAGCCCGAGAAGGCCCCTCAGCCCAAGACGGAGGAGACGGTCGCCGACGAGGGCGGGGCTGAAAAGTCGGGCGCTGCGGAAGAAAAGGAAGAGAAGTCGGGCGCTGCCGAAGTAAGTTCCAGCAGCAAATGGAGGGCGTTGACGGCGCAACGAGCTGACATGGTGTTAGGGAACTGCCCCCGAAGTGGTTGCAGCCGAAGATTAAACACGGTCGTCGTCTAGGGAGTTTTGTTCCATCGGTCTTTTCTCTACGGCGCTTGGGCATGGTTCGATGCGTTTTGCTTTTTGATTTTTATGTTCTCGCTATTGCGGTGGCCATGAGAAGCCTCGGGAGTTGATGTAAGAATAAGTCGCCGACAGGGTGAGAGGGCGCCCAGGGGCTCCCTGCCGACCGTGCGATTCTTTGCTCTGCGAGACTTGCGCAGCGATGGAGGGGGCCACGATGGGATACGGCGGGGGCAGCAGCGCGAGGGTCACGGGAACACTCAGGAAATGGTTCTCGAAAAGGAGTGGCGACGTGTATGGGATGCAAGGATACTTTGCGCAGATGAAAAGGGTTGGTGGGCGGGCGGTCTATAGGAGCAAGGGCGAATGGAACTGTCGCTGCTCCGTGATGGAGGCGACGGCACTCTGCGCTGTCAAGAAATGCAGCTCGCCTTGAGTTGACGATTCGGGGTTGGTTGATGGTTGACGAGAATGGTGAGGATCACCAGTCAGTGTGCACAGTGCTAAAACAAGACGACCAGAGCGTCGTGTACAGTATCGGCATAGTCTGTAGTGTAGGATACCCCCTACCGTGCATCTGTACAGTGTCGGAACTGTCCCACAGACGCGTCTAACCGCGTCTGCCAGGTAGCAGAATCTCCTCGCCCACGGACAGACATCGGGAGCAAGACAGAGTGAGCAAAGAGGTGCAAGCAACATGGGCCCCGGTGACGAGCGTCGGGTTACATTTACCCAAGAGGATCATCAGGTTAACCCATCTCTCCGCTGCGCTTGAACTCTGCGCTTGAACTCGGTGGGCTGACAGGTGAGCCAGGTCGCTTACGTCTTCGAGCCCGAGGAGGAACAAGAGACTCGCAGCGAACGGCCATTGAAAAGGCGCAAGGTGTCGAGGCAGGCCAGGAAGAGCAAGTCGGACGTGCATGACTCGGAGCCGCTGTTTGCGCCGCTGCTCAACGGGGCCGAGAAGCCAGAATACGTGCGACTGCGGCAGCAGCTGTTTGAGGCGAGCTGGGCACGGATTGACGACCGCATGCAGGTGAGCTTCCTCTTTTTTTTTCTGCGGTCTAGACCCCACGCGAGACTGACGACGGTTAAAGGGCATCCTGAGAGAATCCAACTCGTCGACTCTGGATCAAGTGTCGGCGTTTGTGGCAGCGGCTGAGACAGAATGGTGAGCCCGTCATGGTGACAATTACGTGCGACCCTTGGCCTTGCTAAAACAAAGCCACAAAGCGTGGACCAAATCCCAGCGGCCTTCATCATCACGGGGCCCAACATTGCGTCGCAGGACCTACTCTTTGAGCAGCTGTCGGAGACGCTGCAGCGGTCCTTCGCCAGCCAGTTTGTGCGGCTGCGGTCCTCGGAGGCGCTGACGTTGAAGGCGGCCCTCCGCAAGACCATCAGAGATGCCACGGCCAGTGGATCCACCAGTGACGATGAGGAGCTGCCACCGAAAGACCAAGAGGTACGTCTCCCCAGGCAGCTGTCGTAGGCACCTCTCCCTTTGCTGACTCGGCTCAAGAGCCGGCGATATCTCGACTATGACCTGGAGGCCCTCATGGTATCCATCACTCCGAAGAGGTGCAAGCACGTTTTCGTGGCCTTTCAGGATAGCGAGGGCTTCGACAGTGGCTTGATTTCTGACTTGACGTCCTTGTTCCAGTACGTCTTCTCCCGGCCTTCTCTCAAGGCCTCGACACACCATTTGTTGACATCGGTTGCAGTTCCTGGCGCCCGGTGATCCCCTTTACGCTCCTCTTCGGCATCGCCACCTCTGTCGAGCTTCTCCAGGCTCGGCTATTGAAGTCTGCCTGCCATCTCATGTATGGCGCGCAGTTTGACTGCGTACAGACGGGAACGATCCTGGAGACGGTCTTCAAAGGCGCAGTGGCCGCCGGCGACGTCCCCCTGCAACTAGGAGCGCCACTGCTCCGAAACATGCTCGACCGACAGCACGAGCAGATTGCCGGCATCCAGGCCTTTATCAGCTCTCTCAAGGTGTGTACCAAAATGCACGAGTTGGCCGGCGAGGCTAACCGGAGCAGTACGCGTACATGTGTCACTTTTACGCCAATCCCCTCAGCATCTTCATATCATCGGGTGCTCTTGCGAGCAAGGCCATTCAACCAGAACACATCGAGGCTCTGCGCAATCTGGAATCGTTTCGCGAGCACGTGGAGCGAGCGGTCGAGCTCGGCGACGACGAGTCGATGCTGCATGCCAAGTCGCTGATTGAAGACGACGAATACCTTCTTGGCAAGGTCAAGGAAAACGACAAGAATCGGCAGTGGTGGATGGGCAACGTCCTGCGCTCCATTCTGGTTCGCGAAGCGGCCGGCGAGCAGAAGAGAGCGTTCTCGGAGGCATATGTAGATGCCGTGGCCAGGGGTCCTGGGCTGACGGAGCAGTCTGGGCTCGCGGACTGCATCCGACGAATGAGCGCCGACGAGCTCTCCGCTTTCCTCACTCACGTCGTTGGACTGTTCGAGACGGGGGACGCTAGTCTTCATCTGCCGGCAGCGGCAGAGGACGGGGACGTGGAGCTTGCCAGGTGTCTCGCGACTCAGCTCGCGGAGCTGGAAGAGCTCAGGGCAACAGCGGAGCAGGGGGGCTTCTCGCTGCGGAGCAAGTACAGCGGGAAGAACAAGGTGATGCGTACAACGGTCATTGCGCAGCGGGTGCAGCTGAGCCAGGACTCGGCAGCGCTCCGGGACGAGGACAAGCGGCTGACGGAGATTGTGGACGAGACGACGAGGGTGCTGACGAGACACGTTGACAGCTGGCGAGGCGAGGCGGTCGTCTTCTCCGAGTGCTGGGTCTACGACTCGCGATGGCCGTCGCGCGAGGTGCTGGTGCCGCGGCCGCGGGCCGTGTTTGAGCGCAGCTTGAGCCGGCCCCACGACTACCTGGGCTGCGCGTGCTGCAAGGCCGGGGAGGGGGAAGGAGGCGGCATCCAGGCCACTCTGCCGGCGACGTCGATCCTGTATCAGATGTACCTGGAGACGGGCAGCCTGATCAACGTGGCGGACCTGTGGTCTGCGTTTCAGGGGCTGGCGGGCCGGGAGGAGCAGGAGGAGGCGGGAGACGAGGGCGAGAAGATGGAGCGGGAGAGGCTGACGCAATTTTACCGGGGGCTCGCCGAGCTTCGGGCGCTGGGGTTTGTCAAGGCGAGCAAGAAGAAGGCCGATCACGTCGCGAAGGTGAAATGGCTATGATGCGGGTGCGAAGAAGGGGGCTGGGAAAGGGGATGAAGGGCCGGGGTCTACTCGGTGGGTATTAATTAATTCTTTTTTTCCTTCTCGTCAAGCAGCACGCAACGCACATGGTCGGGTCGGCACGATAATATCACAGACACTTATTTATGACATGGCTAGGCGCTTACAAGTGCAGAAAGGCGGGAGAAGATTGTCGGTATTACTAGTCGGCGCTGCTGTGGGGGGGTTGATGAGTGAGCAGAGACAGCAGTAAAACCTGGTCAGGCCGTGACAAGTGTTCGAGAATGAATGAAGGCAGGAATACATAATTACACAAGGCAGGGATGGTTTACGGCGCGGATCAGGTGCGGCCTCAAGTCGCCGCCCGAGGCAATCAAAATGCGAGACAGGCTGCCGGGTTTTTCCTTGCTCGCCTGTTGCAATCTCGTCGTTTGGTTGGTCTGCAAAACAGGGCAAGGCGTAACAAAGATATACTCGGTGATGTCCGGGGTTGGTAGGTGGTGGTGCGAAGGCCCGGGCGGAGGACGGAGGGCGGGACGGCTTCGGGCAAGGCCGGTGTGGCCCGCGCCGGTTGGCCGTGGTGGAACCGGCTTTCACCGACTCTGGCTTGATTTGGGGTCGGCTACTCTATACATGTAGGGTGATGGTCTGGATGTTTGTACGGTTTACGTTGGACAGCATGCTACGGAAGAGGGTAGGGGGTGAAGTACGGGTACAGTCAGGTTAAGTATGCGGGCATCGCAGCCGATGAACAAGTGTCGTCGGCCCGGCGTCAGTTATAGTGGCAGATCCGATCAGGCCAAGGGCGCCGGGGAGAAGCGGGTAAGCGTTGGGGTGGCCAAATTACCGGCCCCAGCAAGGTATAGTAGTGTGTCGTCTGCAGTGATGATGATGATGGTGATGATGATGGTGATGAAAAGGGGTGTGCATGTGCGTGTGGAAAGCGGTCGCCAATGAGATCGCGTAAGCGCCGGTTGAAGACAGTAATGAGATGAGGCAGATGATGATGAAGAAGAAGAAGAAGAGGAGGAGGAGGAGGAGGAGGACGGGCTGAGGAGAGACAGACAGGCTGTGGTGCTAAAGGATAGGGGTTTTTGTGCTCACCAGTGGGGGCCGGCGGCAGAGATGGTGAGTCAAGAGGCCAAGGTGCAGTCCAGTTGGGCCGGGGCCCGGATTGTCTTGATTTTATTGAAGCTTTGGGGTTGGGTTCGGGTTCTTGTTGACGCAGTCGTCGACCGTGTGATGCATTCATGGGGGGCTAGAGGGAGGTGGGTGAGTGAATGCGTTGGGCACAAAGGGCATGCGTACGTGTGCTCGGCATGGCCATGCCTGTCTTGTCTTGCTTGTTCTTTAACGTGTACAGTAAAGCTTATAGGTCACGTTTTACGGGGTGAGGGTCAGAAGCAGAGGGAAGGACTAATACCGGGTGCGTGGTAACTGTGGCAGGGCCAGGGCTTGGGGGTTTTTTTTTGTTTTTGTTTTTTTCATGATGCTATATTGGGAGGGAGCCTGCCCCTGCGAGAGACATGTGTGAAATCTGGGATATGCTTTTTCCTTTTTTCCCTCCGCGGTCATTTCTGCGTCGAAGGAGACACAGACACGACAATGAATGGGTGGGGGGTTTCGGTTGGTTGCGGCTCGCCCCAATGTCTTGGCTTGGCGTTTGCAAGTGGGAAAAGGAAAGAAATTGGAAAGGCTGGAGGAAGGCGAGCCGGACCCGGGTTGACGATGCGGGTTGTGTGTGTGTGGGGGGAAAGTGGGTGAGTGGGTGGAAGAGAGTGGGTGAGAGAGGGTGAGAGAGGGTGAGAGAGGGTGAGAGTGAGAGAGGAGAGAGAGGAGAGAGAGACAGGGAGAGGGAGGCTGGGGCGCATTCCAGCCACCCGCTCGCAGTCTGATTGCGTTCAGAGGCCACCTGGCCCGTGGGGCGCTTAGTCTTACCGCCCACGGGGGCCTTTTACAGTTACAGTGCCTGGGCGCCCTCTCACGGCCTGCAAGTCACGGTATTCCACGTGACGGTCATCGTCATCACCGTCATCAGACCAACGACACAAGACGAGCCTGCTGCTTTGCACGAGTGACCAGCTTGACTTGCACGTCGTTTCCTCAAAGAAAAGGGAAAAGTAAAAGTAAAAGTAAAAGTAAAATAAATAAAAGTCTCCACGAGCTGGCCAAAAGCTGCGAGCGAGGCTGGGGCTTGAGGGTCCAACGGTCCGAACCCGTCGTTTTTCTCGTGTATCGCGCAGGTGCAGAAACTTGGACACACAAGCCCGTGTGGGCTGCATGCATGCATTGTATCCATGCCCCGGGTGGGTTTAGGACACTCATTGTTTGTGAAGAGAGCCTGACAGGTGAGAAAGAGGTACGGTAGATGAATGGGAGTGGGGGGAGCGGGCAGAGAGGGGGGGTGTGGGCAATGATGAAGGCAAAGGCGCTTGGTGCTGCTGCTACATACAGACATACATGCAACGATTGATTGACGACGACGACGAAGATGATGGTGATGATGATGGTGATGATGACGGTGCTGGTGGATGATTGGGGAGACCAGGGGGGGGGCCGGGAGGGAAACAGAAGACTCGTGGCCAGGCGTGCGCGCGCGTCTCGGCCGCATGTCTCACCAGCAGGCTGCGTCCGTCGCAAAGGAAACAAACAATAAAATGAAAGAAAAAAATACAACGACGCAAAAAGATGGGGGACGGGTTTCAAGATGGCGAGACAGAGGAGAGAAAATGGAGAGACACGAGGAGCGGGGGGGCGGCTGGCGAATCAAGGATGTTCGCGAGCAACACGCACAGTAATTGCGTGCATGTACAGGTACTCTGCAGTGACCGGTACGATGCGGTACTTTGCCTCTGTGGGCAGGTAGCACGTATTCGTCGTTGATGCGGCAAGAAACACGTTGGGGAGGGGAGGGGGGGGAGGAAAGAAGCCGCCTGCCTGCACGACAGACCAGGGCAGGCCTGGCGTCGAGGCTCTGCAAGCAACGACGACGGTTCATTGCAGCAGGCCTGTTCTCGTCGAACCAGAGAGAGCGAGCGGTACATGCACAGATACATGCACAGATACATGCCCAAGTACATGCCCAAGTACATGCACTAAGGTACCTAGGTACGTACATGCTCGGGTACATTCGCGGGTACATGCGCCGACGCAGAGGCTCCTGCGGGGCAAACGGTTACGGCGGCTGGGCAGTTCGTCGTCCTTGGGGGGGGGGGGGAACCGGTACGTACCCGCCGCAGGCGTTGCTCAGCTCTGCGCCTCGGACGGAGCCAACAGACCAAGGCTGCCTTGCTTGCCAACGACGACGGCCACCACGCAGCTGTTGGAGCACACGTGAATGGTTGGGTTGGGCACCAGGCACGAGGCCCGGACGCGGCGATGGATGCGGACGGCTTGTAACTCGGATGCGACGAGGAATAAGCTCCAGCGCTCCAACATCGGCCAAGGCCCTAATTTTTTTTTATTTTTTTCCACCCTTCCTCCCCCCATCCGCCCGCCGGCAGACGCGTGGTTGCGGCTCGGCCGGGTGCGGCCAATCGACTGTCTCTGCTCCCTCTCCGCCCCGAGACCCGGAATCGTCAGACACGCACACCCTCTCTCGCGGGCTGAAAGTGAACTGAGCCGAGAGCCTTATTGTCATTAGAGAGGGAGTACGTATTAGGGGGGGTATGGATAAGGGGGGTACAGAAAAAGAGGGGAGGGGGCGTGCGGCGCTCACAGGGGCTCCTTCCTTTTTCCGCTTCGTCGTCTTCGTTGCGCGCTTCTCGTTCTTTTCTCGAATGCAGTTTCCTTGCTGCTTCCTTGCTGCTTCCTTCCTTGCCCTCTTTGCCATCTTTTCCCTCTTCTTCTTAAAACCTTTTTTCCTCCTCCCCCCCCTCCTCCTTCCCCTCTGCCCTCACCTCTTCTCTCCCCCTCTCATTCTCCGTCTCGCCCGCTGTCCATCTATCATCTACCCTCTGATCCTCGCACGCCCTCGCCGCATACCCTCCTCCCCCCTCCTCCACTACTTCGTATCAATCTACCTGCTCTTGCCTCTGGCGCCTCGCTTCCCCCATCGCAAAGCCCTCTCGGAAGCCGGCTGCTCTACCAGTCCTTCTCCCGCTGCGCCTCGGTGGACACGGACCCTCTCTTCCCCCCCACCTCCATCGCCCGTTGAAAGCAAGCCCCGCAAAACGGTCGACGGCCAGCAATCGGATAGCGTCCTCCTCTGCTGTGGACACCAGGCAAAGCACGAAATTGGTGACGGTGACGCAAGACGGAGAGAAAAGGGACCAGGAGTGCGTGCTGCTTGTGTATGGGTTTTTATTTATAAACCTGCCACCACCGCGGCACTGCCTCGCACTCAGGCATCCCAAATCTGCCCGTCGTCAACCGCCCAACCCCTTATTCCCTCGACCACTGCAACCAAGCCGACAGACACGCAACACCCCAGAGCCGGGGCGCTCTGAAGAAACAAGAGTCGGCAACCGGTGTGCCGCGCACATCCTCACCATCGCCAGCACCCCTATTGCCCCCCCATCTTCCCACACATCATCCATCATGATGCACCCTCAACAACAGCAGCAGCAGCAGCAACAACAGCAGCAACAACAACAGCAGCAGCAACACCCGTCACAGCAGCAGCAGCAGCAGCAGCAATCACCACAGCAGCAGCATGCACACGCACACTCAAACCCGCACCCGCCGCCTTCCCGCCTCCACCGCCTCGCCCTCAGGAACCCGCCCCTGGCGCACAAGCTCCACCAGATGGCCCTCCCCCTCTCGCCGCTTGTCCAGCTCACCACCGGTGCCGTCCACCCGCACTTCCCCCGCACTGTCCTGCACTTTTGGCTCCTCACCGACGCCCAGCTCGAGAGCCTCGCCTCCTTCTACCACCAGCGCTCCCCCAGTCCCTGGTCCGCCCAATACCCCTGCCCCGTCGTCTGGCGCTCCGACCTGCCCCTCGAGGAGAAGCGCCGCCGCATGGGCAAGTTCATCGGCCTCCGCGGCTGCGACTCGCCCCCGGACGCCGCTGCCGTTGTCGGCGCCCTGCGCTCCGAGGACGACATTGCCGACGAAGCCCGCATGGCCGCTGTCGACGACGAGATGTGGCGGAGAAAGTTGAATCCCTGGTGAGCACGTCTGACTCGTACGTCGGGTTCGGTACGAGGAGGAACAGTCGCGGCGCCTGGGACCCGGGCGGTGCCACACATGTCCCGTGTCGCGCGGCATGCACCATCTCCCCGGGGGAGGGCTGGGCTCTCCCCCCTCTTGTTGGTTTTTTTTCGTGTCCCCCCCCCTCAGCAGGAGCATGTAGACGGGGTGGCGCCACTTGCACAGCATCGGAGTAGAAGTCTTGGTTTTTCTCGGGTAGCAGGTTGCATAGAAAACAGGCCAGAGCAATGGCTCCTTGTTTGATTTGATACATGCCTCTTTGTCAACATCTTGACAAAGCAACGTCGACAGCAGCAAAACTCCAACGCCTCGAGTGCGCAAGCAACGCTCTCTGTACTCGCTCCTTGTTCCAGACACTGGCAGGCCAGTCAGGCGTCACGCTGCAAGACTTCTCGTGCCTGGTGCTCTTCATATTTGCGCCTCGTCTCACGATCCTCCACACGGTCCACACGCCACGGTTCGAGACAAGACTGGGTACACGGCCATGAGCGCGGCGATCTCGGCCGATGCGCAACGGTGCGCGCGTTACTCCCCGAGACCATCACCTGGGACGGCCACGTCACGCCAATCCCTCCCCCTTCTTTTCTTTTTCTCAAAAAAAAACTTTATTTCTTGCCCTTCTTGCCGCTTCTGCCAGGGGTGTCGATGAGGACGCCGTCGTCCTCGCTCGTTGCCTTTGTGGAGCTCTTTTCCGAGTCGTCGAGCTCCTTCATGAAGTCGCTCTGGATCTGGCCGCGGCGCTTCTCCCACCACTGCTTCTCGGACTCGGTCTGCGACTGGATCTCGTCGAGGCGCTGGCGGAGGCGGGCGTTTGCGGCGATTTCGTGGGCGGATTGGAAGATGGTTGGGCCCCAGTTGGGAGCGAGGGCGTTGGCCTGCGAGGGAGGTTAGCCAGGTCTCTTCCCTCCATGTCACCTAGACCACCACCACCACCACCACCGATGAACGAATAGGGGGCGAGTCTGGAGCCGAGCATACCTCGGTCACGACATCCCGCAGCTCCTCCTCCATCTCCTTCTCGGCGCGCTGGAAGCGCTGCCACAGGTCGTCGCCGACGCTGCCGCGCAGCAGCAGGGTGCTGCAGGCCTGCTTGGCCGACTTGATCTGGATGAGGCGCTCAATGTCCTGGACGGCGCGGCGCAGCAGGGCGGCGCGCAGGACGCTGTCGGGGACGCGGGGCGACGGCTTGTCGCCGCCGCCGTCCTCGGGGCCCAGGTGCAGCAGCGACAGGTAGACGTTGCGCTGGAGGTTGGGGCCGAACCAAGGGGCGAGGTTTGCGCTTTCGGCTGCGGGGTTTTTTTTTCTGCCGCGTTAGCCCAAGTGTGCGCGTTTGTGCGTCGTGTCTTCCTGGACGTACCGGCTTTCCGCTTGCGGTAGATTGTGGAAAAGGACATGAGGGCGCCGCTGAGGACGAGCAGGTAGGCCAGCGGAAGGGCCAGACCCATCCAATCGACCCCGAACATGGTGGGCGGCGACTGGGAAGCGTTTGCTGGTTTACACCGACGGGGGGAGAAGGAAGCGAGGAAGAAGGCGAGGGGAAAGGAGCGTGGGCGGCACGGGTCGCGAGGACGGAGTCGCGAGGACGGCTTTGTGGTCGGTGGTGGAGAGGGAAGTTGGTTTTCTTTGGCTGGCGGCGGCGGCGGCTTGGCTTTAGGTCGATTGCCCATCAGGCCAGGTAGCCCCTTGCCAAACGGTTCTGGGGGCCCCGGAGAAAAGGCATGTATGGAGCGTAGGAACGTATGTATCTCTCCACGGCGTGCATGCGTGCAAGGTACTTGGTGCCCGGCGCGCAGTGGCACGCAGGTCGCCGTGCCGGGCCGAGCTTTCTCCGGCGCTGACGCCTGTTTTGGTGGTCGGACAAGCTTACTGTACGTACGGGGCACACAAGGGCGGGACCTACCGGCCACAGCCCACTGACGAGGGCTGCATCATCACGCCCGAGCTCCACCGCGATTCTCCGCCGACTCTCCGTCTCTGAGCTTCCACGCCTCACCACCCAACCCTCCTGCTCGGCCTGATCCTCCCGCCTCGCCTCCCCTTTCCCTCCGCCCGACACCCGGACCGTCGTCCTCCGACCACCACAGGCAGCAGCCCTTGCAGGGAGACTTGGTGGCTTGACTTTGCCCCTCCATCTCCAAGAAAAGGCGGCCATCGTCGACGACGCACCCCCCCCGCCAGAGATAGACGACGCCTCGCAAAAGATAGGTAGCTTTTTCTCTGCCCTCTGGTCCAGCGGCAGGCCTCCTCCGGCCTCATTAGCCAGCATGCTGCTCCGACTGCGCGGGCCCGATGGCATGATCCGCCTGACGGTCGAGGCGACGACGACGTTTGGGGACTTGGGTCAGCAGGTAATCAACAAGCAGACGTCCCCCCCTCCCCGGCAACACGGCTTGATCAAGTGCTGATGAGCCCTCTGGTGCTGCCACAGCTGCTTCCGCATCTCCCCGGCTCCGTCGATGCCACGTCCATCACCATGTCCAACGCCCCGACTGGCGGCGACGCCAAGAAGCTCGTCGACATCGCCACCTTCAAGGTTGGCCAGATCGGACTCAAGTACGTCATCAACCTGCCTCCAGCCCGCCCCCCGCGCTGGCTAACTGCTCTTTGCCAGGCACGGAGACCTGATCTTCATCGATTACAAACGCACCGGCGAGGCGGCCAACGGAGCGCCAAACGGCAGTGCCCCGCCAAAGGGGTCGTCGGCCAGGCTAAGCGGAAAGCCCGTCCTCCCCACCGAAGACGTCCCCATCGATCCCCAGCCCGAGAGAATAGCAAGGCCTTGGGAGGTTGTCAAGCAATCGGGCCTCGACAACCGCCTAGACAAGCTCGACGGCAAGCTCCCGCGCGGCCGCGATAGGATGTGCCGTCACGGCCCCAAGGGCATGTGCGACTACTGCCAGCCCATGGATCCCTTCGACCCGGGCTATCTGGCCGACAAGAAGATCAAATACACCTCGTTTCACTCTCATCTCCGCAAAGTCAACGCCTCCACCAACAAGCCCGAACTCGGAAGCTCCTACATTCCCCCTCTGGTCGAGCCCTACTACCGCGTCAGACGCGATTGCCCGACGGGCCATCCTCCGTGGCCCGAGGGCGTCTGCAGCAAGTGCCAGCCCAGTGCCATCACGCTCAATCCCCAGTCGTTCCGCATGGTCGACCACGTCGAGTTTGCCTCTCCCTCGATTGTCGACTCCTTCATCGACCCGTGGCGCAAGACCGGCGCCCAGCGAATGGGCTTCTTGTACGGCAAATACACCGAGTATGCCGAGGTGCCCCTGGGCATCAAGGCCGTCGTCGAGGCAATCTATGAGACGCCGCAAGTGGACGAGCAGGACGGCATCACGGTGAACGCGTGGGAGAACCAGCACGAGGTCGACGAGGTTGCAAGGCAGTGCGGCTTGGAGCCGGTCGGTGTCATCTGGACGGACCTGCTGGATGCCGGGCACGGCGACGGCTCAGTTATCTGCAAACGCCACGCCGACTCATACTTCCTCTCTTCCCTCGAGATCTGCTTCTCCTCGAGACTGCAGGCACAGCACCCGAAGCCCTCGAAATGGAGTGACACGGGCCGGTTCGGCTCCAACTTTGTCACATGCATCATCTCCGGGAACGAGTCGGGCGAGATCGCCATCTCGTCGTATCAAATGTCCAACGAGGCCGTCGAGATGGTACGAGCCGACATTGTCGAGCCCTCGGCAGACCCCCACGTTATGCTTGTCCGGGACGAGGAGGAGGACGACGGGTCCGTCAGCCGCACGCGGTACATCCCCGAGGTGTTTTACCGCAAGCTGAACGAGTACGGCGCAAACGTCCAGGAGAACGCCAAGCCTTCGTTCCCCGTCGAGTATCTCTTCGTCACCCTCACCCACGGTTTCCCTGCCAGCCCCAAGCCCCTCTTCACGCAAACAGGATTCCCCATTGAGAACCGCGAGTACATCGGGGAGAGCCCGGAGCACTCGGCCCTGGCCCGGACGCTCAAGCTCGGCGCCGGCATGAAGCCGAGCGACAGCCTCCAAGAAGCCTCCAACTTTCACCTGCTCTGCTTCTTGCATCGCATGGGAGTCCTGTCAGGGGTACGTGGCAACCCCTTACTCACCCCCCCTGCTTTTCCTCGAAAGATGAGAGAGAAAGACCGAGTATGGGGTTGGTCCGCTGACGTCTGTGCTCCAGGACGAGTTCGCCCTGCTGTGCCGCGTGGCGAGCCAGCACGACCTCGCCGACTCGTTCCAGCTCCGTTCCACTGAGGGCTGGCAGACGCTGCAGGCCATCCTCCAATCGACTGGTGAGCGCATCCCCACCAAGCGTCGGCGCCAAGACGAGACGGGCCCCTCTTCGCCGTCGTCGTCGTCGTCATCGTCGCAGAACCTTCCCGTCCACGGGTCGGGTGAGCCGCTTGCTAAACGATTTGCTGCCTTCAGGCTGAACGAGCGTCCATGGTCGCCGGGCCGGGGGCCGGTGGAGTGAAAGATGGCCCGTGGCGGCCTGGCGAGGAGGGGTGAAGCGTATGGGTGGTGGCTGGACCAGGGCGCGCGTGCCATGGGCATTGGCGTCGTGTGCCTGAAGGTGCCTAGGGGAGGGGGCTCTCTGCCGGATAAAGGTGGCATCCGTGGATATGTAGACTAGAGTCGGAAAAGGGCTGGCCTTTGCTATCTCGGAGTTTTCTGCCTTGGGCCGGACAAGTAGGTGCCCATCTATCCGTCGCGGCCACCATATATAAATCTCTGACGGGCCCGAAGAGGTGTCAACGCTCGCCCGTCGTCCATGAACAGACAACGCTCATCACGATGCCTCGAGTGGGGGCGAGTTGCGCCGTCGTGATGTTTTGATGCGTGTGTTTTGGTTCCCCCCTTTTTCCGCCTGGCTGGATCGCCATTCCCACACCGCAGCTATCTACCTAGATACAGTACGCACGTAAAAAGCCGCCATGGCCACGTCGTCACTTCACACATCCGCTGTTGCTTCTCTCCTCCGATTGCCGCCAAACATAGCAGGTAAATACGACGAAGAAGGAAAGGTGGAAAAAATACACCCCCAGACATCACCAATGCTGGATGCCTTTTCACCGTCCCCAGCAACACACGAGAACGAGAATGGCGAGAATAAACGGCGCGCAAACGAGGACACGGAGGGAGAGCAAGAATCAAGACGCACAAAACACACCAACGCCGGCTCATCGTCTCCTTTGCCGATTTTAATTGCCTGAGCAGGTTTCGAGGGCGAGAGAAAAAGGGGGCCTCGGAGGGGAGAGGGAGTTTGGGAGTGGACAATAGAAAGGCTGTCTTATTTCTACAGCGGCTTGCCGCCGATAAAGTCGGACCACCGGCGCACCTCCGAGGGAATGCCGTCCTTGCGGGGAAGCTTCTCGCTCATGCACTGAGCAAAGAGGATGGCGGTCTGACGCGGAAAGAGTTAGCCAGGAAAAGCCGGCACTTGAGAGGGTAAGCATACCTGGGGCTCCATGAACAGAGGCACGCCAAAGTCGACGGCGTTGCGACGCATGACGTAGTCGACGTCCTGGGTCGTCTTGCCGCGGGCCAGCGCCAGGTTAAAGGCGCCGCGGATGTCGTACTTCTTGAAGACCTCGCGGAGAGCCCGCTTGTCGTCGGTTGGGAACTCGATGACCTCGACGGACACATTGTGCTTGCAGCTCGATTCGAGGAACTTCTTGACATCTTTGCTGGCGGCGTACAGCTTGTAGCCGAGGGGAGCGACATAGTCGGCCACCTGTGTAAGCCACGTCTTGGAGACGTCGCCGCCAAACAGGAGACCCTCGCCGGGCTCGGGCATGCGGAAGTTCATGGTCGACTGGACCGACGCCCAGTACGCCTCGACCAGGTCCTTGCCGAAGCAGGCAATCTCACCCGTCGAGGACATTTCGACGCCGAGGAAGGGGTCGGCGCCCGCGAGGCGGGTCCACGAGAACTGTGGCACCTTGGTAGCGAGGTAGTCGCGCTTGACCGCCATCAGGTCAGTGGGCTTGGGGACATCCTTGCCGACGAGAGCCTTGGTGGCGACGTCGACAAAGTTGACGCCCAGGACCTTGCTGACAAAGGGGAACGAGCGGGAGGCGCGGAGGTTGCACTCGATGACCTTCAGAAGAGGCTCGCCTCCCTCGGGGTTGTCGGCCTTGATGATTTGCATGTTGAACGGGCCCGTGATGTTCCAGGCCTGTGCCACCTTTTGAGCGATGCCCTTGAGGCGCCCCATGATGGCCGGGTCAATGTTGGCGGGCGGGAGGACGAGGGTAGCATCGCCAGAGTGGACACCAGCCTGCTCAACGTGCTCGCTGATGGCGTGGATGATGAGTTCACCCTTGGACGCGACGCCGTCGACGTCGATTTCCTGGGCGCCTTCGATGAACTTGCTGATGACGACAGGGTGGTCGGGAGAGACGTTGCTGGCAGCCTCGAGCTTGTCCTTGAGGTCCTCTTTGCTCCTGATGACGGTCATGGCGGCGCCAGAGAGGACATAGCTTGGACGAACCAGGACTGGGTAGCCGACTTGTTCTGCGAAATCCTCTGCGGCCTTGACCGATGTAAGCTCCTTCCAAGCAGGCTGGTCGATTCCAATACTGTCGAGGATTTCGGAGAATTTCTGTCGGTCTTCGGCCTTGTCGATATCCTTGGGGTCGGTTCCAAGCACCTTGGCGCCGCCAGTCTCCTGCAGACGAAGGGCAATATTCTGCGGCAGCTGGCCGCCGACAGAGACGACCACGCCCGACGCGTTCTCGAGCTCATAGATATCCATGACGCGCTCGTAGCTGAGCTCCTCAAAATACAGCTTGTCCGCCGTATCGAAGTCGGTCGAATAGGTCTCGGGGTTAAACTTTTTGATTCAAAAGAGTTAGTAGGTAGTTCAGCAGGGTTAGTAGGCAGTTCAGAAGAGGCAGTCAGTGTGCTGGGAGGGTCCAAGAGGGCAGGATTCGACCGGGCGGTTTCCAGGTTCCGGATGTGACGCTCTGGCGTTTCATGCTGGGTCAGGTTGCTCTTGTTGTGAAAGCCAAAGGTTGCAGATGCGGCATAGGAAAGGGTTGTCTGTACCAGACCCCTTTCGAATATGGTTGGCGAACTTTTCATGTTTCTGCAACCGTTGCTTCGTGCCAAATGTAATATTGCAACGCTCACAGTGAAAAATTTGTTCGGGCAGAGCCTGTGTCACGCGGACTGCTTGATACTTTTGGTCCCGTCCTGGATTTTTAGCCCTGGATCTAGCGACTCTCGCGCTTGATTAACCGATATACTCGTCGTAGTTCTCCGCCATCTGCTTGTAGTGGTGGTTGGTGGCATTCTCGGCTTTCATCTCAAGAAGTTTCTGCTCCTTTGTCGACGGCTTGGGCCTCGAGCTGCTCGGCAGAAATGTCGAAGCCGCCAAGAACGGCCTCGCGCAAGCAGTAATGGGAACACAAACCGCCGTATTCCAGCGCAGTATGGTCCCGGAGACAGATGTAGGCCATGCCATAATGCCGAGTCCGTGTTCTCATTGACCAAAACATGTAGGCAAATGAAGCTTCAAGAGCCAAGAACAGTAGGCCGTTAATCACGCAATTGAGAAATCTGAAGTTGAGATTGCCGACGTGGGGAACATCCAAAAGGCAGTGCGGTCCGTCCAGAAGGCAGTTGTGCCCAGTGGGCCGTATCAAGTGAAGGAGGTTCAACTTACATTGATCATAACCGTCTTCTTGCCCATCTCCCGGAGGGCCTGGGTGGCGCTAACGGCGCACCAGTCGAACTCGACGGAGCTTCCGATTCGGTACACGCCGCTTCCGAGAACGACAGTGCCCTTGTCCTCGAACGTGACGTCGTGAGAAGAACCGTTGTAGGTCGTGTACAGGTAGTTGGTATCGGCGGGAAACTCGGCGGCCAAGGTATCAATCTTCTTGACCCAAGGTCGAATGTTGAAGCTCAGACGGCATTTCCGGACCTCGTCCTCGGTGCTCTTGACCGCCTGTGCGATTTGACGATCGGAGAAGCCCATCTTCTTGGCACTCAAGATCTGGTCGCGTCCGAGGGCCTGCAGGCCACCGGCGGCTTGAAGCTCCCGGGTGCAGTTGACAATGTTCTGCAGCTTGTAGAGGAACCACTTGTCGATCTTGGTCAGGTCGTGAACCTTGTCGACTGTGTAGTTTTCGTGGAGCATGGCCTGGCCAACGGCGAGCCATCGGCGGTCGGTAGGGTTTTGCAGCTCATGGTCCAGGTCCTCGAACTTGTCGCCCTGGAAGCCGACGAAGCGGGGGTCGACCTGGCGGATGGCTTTCTGGAAGGACTCCTCAAAGGTCCTGCCGATGGCCATGACCTCGCCAACCGACTTCATGGCACTCCCAATGTCGCGCTTGACGTGCTGGAACTTGGACAGATCCCATCGAGGGATCTTGGTGACAATGTAGTCGAGCGACGGCTCAAAGTTGGCCGTGGTTGTTTTGGTGACGGCATTGGGTAGCTCGGGGAGAGTGTGGCCCAGACCAATCTTGGCAGCGGTGTAGGCCAGCGGGTATCCGGTGGCCTTGGAGGCCAGAGCCGAGGAGCGCGAGAGACGAGCATTGACTTCAATGACTCGGTAGTCGAGACCGTCCGGCTGCAGGGCGTACTGTACGTTACATTCACCGACAACGCCGAGGTGACGGACGATCTTGATGGCGGCAGATCGCAGCATGTGATACTCCTCGTCACTGAGCGTCTGGCTAGGCGCTACGACGATGGAGTCGCCGGTGTGGATTCCAAGGGGATCGAAGTTTTCCATGTTGCAAACCGTGATGCAGTTGTTGTTTGCATCGCGTACAACCTCATACTCGACTTCCTTCCAGCCCTTGAGGGACTTTTCGACCAGGATCTGGGGGGAGAGGGTGAGGGAGCGGGCGGCCATGTTGCGGAGCTCCTCCTCGTTGTTGGCGAAGCCGGAACCGAGACCGCCCAGGGCGTAGGCGGCACGGACAATAATGGGATAGCCCACTTTTTCGGCGGCATCGAGAGCCTCGTCGATGGTGCCCACAGCTATGGACTTTGCGATGGGGATGCTGATTTCCTCGAGGGCCTTTGCGAACAAGTCGCGGTCTTCACTCAGCTCGAGGGTGCGGACGCTGGTGCCCAGGACCTTGACGCCGTACTTTTCAAAGAGACCCATGCGCTGCATCTGGACACCAAGGTTGAGGGCCGTCTGCCCACCGAAGGAGAGGAAGATGCCATCGGGCTTCTCCTTTTCAATGACGTATGAGACGTACTCGGGGGTTACGGGGAGGTAGTAGACCTCGTCAGCGAGGGTGTGGTTTGTCTGGATGGTTGCAATGTTGGGGTTGATGAGGACCGAGGCGACGCCGGCCTCCTTGAGGGCCTTGAGGGCTTGGGAACCTAGAGAGACCAATGATTAACTCTGGGTGTCGTTGGAGGGAAGGCGACGTGGACAGGGGAGAGACGGGCGCGCAGGCGAACCTGAGTAGTCAAACTCTCCGGCCTGTCCAATGGCCAGACCACCACTACCAATGACAAGCACCTTTTTGACGTTGACATCCTGCTTGGGCTTGACGACGCCGCTCTCGAGATAGGCCTTGAGATTGGGAGCCGGCTGTGCGGCAGGCGACGTGTAGGCGCGGAAGGCGCAGAGCGCGCCGAGGCGCTTCGGCAGCGGCGCCGATAATGGGCTCGAGGAGCGGACTAGAGATGGCGCGGTAAAGGCTCGGGCGGCCGAGGGAAGGGCTCGCGGCAAGGAGCGTCCTTGTCGGAGTAGGACAGGAGCTCGGCCAGCCAGCATGTTGGGTGGCATGGCAGCAAGACGGGCTGAGGCTCTACGGACAGCCTGGTCCTGGGAGTTCCCAATTCGAAGCTGTCGGGAGGGGGGGAACTGGGAGGGTCCGGAGGCTGGTGGAGGAGAGGGACGAGAGGAGAGGCCTCGCAGCTGGTGAATTGGGAGCGTCACATAGAAGGGGAAAGGGTAAGAGGAGGAAAAAATGGAGGATCGGGAGAGGGGATCTTAGGTGAGAGGGGGGGGGTAAGGAAAAAGGCGGTGGTGGTCCGGGGGACGAACGAGTCACCGATAAGACGATAAGAAGTGCTGGAAATTTCTTGTTGAGAGACGATTAACGAAGACTTGGAGCCTCCAACTTGATGACATGAAGCTGTCGTCGGCGATTGCGCTTCTCAATGGCACTGACTTTTTGACTCTGACCTACGCTGCATCATTCAATCTGCTCTTCTTCGCCCTTTCACAGTCCGCCCTCGGCTGGTGCCCACACCTTGCAGACTATTCTTACAGCACGCATGTACGATATACCCCGGTGAAAAGGAAAGAGAACAAGCCGTCAGCAATAGTACGTGCGTGAGACACACGCATGCATGTACCGTCAGCATTGTTTAATGAAAGAGGCGACCAAAAAGCAAGCCAAGGCAGAAGAGGCTGCATGTATCCGTCCGTACAGTAGCAGCACTGACTGTAAATAGCGGAGAAGGTTTCTGGGCCTTTGGCCAACGAGGAGTCCGGGATGCTGTCTCTGCAGGGCCCGGTGGGCTCAGCTGCTTCTCAGCTATACGTAACATAAGTAGCCGTTGTCAACGACGCGCACGACCAGCAGATGTCACCATCTCATGTGAAGATGAGGATGGATGGTTGATGAAGTGTTGATGAACGACCCCCGCGCAAGCCCACCATACACCACCTACCCTACACCCCGCCTGAGATGTCCCTTGCAACCCTTGGAAGGCCAATGCCCCTTCCGTCCATCATCATCAGCTTCGTCAATTGGCCAATCGTCTCTCTAGGCCACGTTGTCATCTCGGGTCACTCCCAGCCGCCACAGCTGCAGCGCTCGACCAGGTACCGCGCGCCGAGTCCTCGCTAGGGGTAGTTACTCCATACCGGGTGCTACGGCGCCCCGTACTGGCGCTTAGTGCTTTGCTTTTTGGTCGCCCCGTCCCCGTCCAGCTCCCGCCGCATGTGCGGTGCCTCGCGGGTTCACCGTGCTTCGACTGACTGGCCGTTGGACCTTGACCAACGAGCCGCCGAATGCCTTGCAATGGCTAGGAACCTAGGCAAGCTCGACAACTTGCAAGACAATGCAGGTATGTACAGTAAGCGCTTCTGCTGCAGAGTTGACGAGGATATCGCTGCATATTCATGCGCGAAAAGCGGCTTGCGAGCTTATGTCATCCATCTCCAGCGGTTGTCGTCTCTTTGTACGCTCGGTACCGAGCCCCGGGTACCTGACCAATGAGCATGGCTTTCTGACTAATACGGATACTGTACAGTACATGATCTTCCGTACCGAGCAAGCTTTGTCAACTGTCAACCTCTCACCAAGTACGGAGTAACCTACCAACCAACCAACTTCATTCAACCTCATGTCCTTGTTGGCTGTCACATTGCTCTGCTCCCGCTGCATACTCCCTCGTTCCATCTCGAGAGGGCGTTTTCACACCAGCATGCCTTGCTCCTCCTTGCTCGACTGCCCCCTGCGCGAGACAGCGCTTCGACGGCGTTGGCAGGCGTCCAGTCTTGGGATCGGGCATCGTCATCTGCCATCCCTCGACGCATGGGCCAGCAACAAGACCCTTGAATCGAGCTCGCCGTAGACGTCCAGTGGCTGTCCGCAAGATCCACATGTGGCCCATATGTGTCGCGCACGCGAAGCCATTGCAGCTCTGCTGCCAACGTCCCCGGTTTCGCTGCAAGACACCTTCGCTTGCGCGCAAATCCATCCTGCCCACTCGTGCCTGGGCAGCGAGACCCTACAGGCGGCGTCGAATGGGGTCACATGGAATGGTCGTGGGCCCCAACCGCATAACCTGCTCTTGATTATTCAAGCCGTGGAATCCCCATCTGTTGCTCTGCTCCGTTGTGAAGATCTGAGAGGCCCAAGAATTCCTCAGCCTCCTTGTCAAACCCGACAGACGGCATGCTCGTCTAGTCCGTGCCATCTCCTTGGCCATGGATATGCTCGTCTTGTTGACATGCCGCCACCATTTTCCTCTGTCAACCCGCATAGCCATCTCTCAGTGCAGTGCTTGCTTGTTCACCCTGTCCATGGAATGCAAAGCTGCCACAGACAACAGTCCTCTCACAAGTGGGTTGGGACGACCTCGAGACCAGCCATGCTGGCGAGTATAAGATGTGCTATCCGGACCGCTATACCGTCAACTTATCCTTCATCATCATCTCAACTACCACTTGCCTCCTATCCTCTCTTTACTCTGCTTTGTGCACCTTGCCTTCGCCACTGAGCCTTTGTTTCCCAGCTAAACAAGATGAAGACCTGCCTTGTCACGATCCTCACCCTGTGCCTTGCAGGCAGCGGCCTCGCGGCCCCGACGCAAGCTGTTTCTTCTCAGCTGAGCCAGCGCGATGTCGCCGCTTTGCAGGATCTAGTCCGGCGCAAGGCCGACGTTTCCCTCAGCGCGAGCGAGACCAACTCGCTCCTGGCGAACCTCATCAGTGACCTCGGCAATGGCCAGACTCGAACGAATGGCGTCTACAGGCGCCGGCCCGACGCCAACCTCGTTGATGCAGCCAACGCCAGCGACTGCAAGAGTAAAAATGGTGGCTCTGACAAGGCCGGTTCCGACAAGGGCGACGAGGACAACAGGGACAACAAGGGCAGCAATGGCGACAAGGGCGGCAAGGGCGGCCCTCTCGATGATGTGACTGACGCCGTTGAGGGCCTCACCGGCGGCAACGACGACAAGGGCGGCAAGGGCGGCCCGCTCGGTGGTGTGACTAACGCCGTCGAGGGCCTCGCTGGCGGCAAGGGCGGCAAGGGCGGCCCGCTCGGTGGCGTGACTGACGCTGTTGGGGGCCTCACCGGCGGCCTCACCGGCGGCAAGGGTGGCCCTCTCGGCGGTGTGACTGACGCCCTCGGGGGCCTCACCGGAGGACTATTGGGCGGCGGCGACAAAAGGAAGGGCGGCCTACTCGGCGGACTCCTCATCCCTGGCCTTCTCAAGAGGGAAATCGCCACAGAACAACAGGAAAACTCAGGGATGCTCCAGGAGAGAGCCGAAACGGACGGGCTGCTCGACAACCTCCTCGGAGGACAGTCTGGCGGTCCACTCGACGCTCTGCTCGGCGGTGGCGATGGGCCTGGCGGTCTCCTCGGCGGTCTCCTGATCCCGGGTATTTTGCGGAGAGATATGGCCGCGAAGCAAGAGATGACGGCGGAGCAGCTTCGCAATATGATACTCGAACGCCTCACCGCCACGCGGCAGGGTGCGAACGGTCCCCGTTACAAGCGCGACTCTACCATGGTGCAAGAGAAGACGGCGGAGGAGCTTCGAAACATGATCCTCGAACGCCTCGCCGCCACACGGCAGAGCGGCAATCGCCTCCACGAGAAGCGCGACTCTGCCATGGGCCAGGGGATGACGGCGGAGCAGCTTCGCAACATGATCCTCGAACGCCTCGCCGCCACACGGCAGAGCGCCAACGGCATCCACGACAAACGTGACTCTACGACCATTGCGCCTGGCGAAATCGAAGGCCTGGGAGGAAACATTGGTAGTCTGGTTGGCAACGGCGTCGGCGCTCTCCTCGACACGGTCCTTGGCGTCCTCGGCCTGAACGGAGGCCCCAGAATCGGTGACGTGGAGGGTGTCATCGGCAGTTTTCCCGAGGGCTACGGCAACCGCCTGACAGGCGACTTGGCCGGCGCCGTGCGCGGGCAAAGGAAGTCTTTCAAGGAGCTGACACATGGTCGTTTCCAAGGCAGCGAGGACGGCAAGAGCAGCGAGTTCGTTCAGAGCAACCTTGATCACGCCGACGCGGGCTCGACCGCCAGCGGGGCTGCCGGCGCCGTCAACTCTCAGAACATGGCTCTCGGCGCCGGCGCCGGCAAACTGAGCCAAGCCAGCAACAGCACCTTTGTAGCCACCCCTTCCAAGAAGCAGTAGCCCAGCTAAACGGCGAGCGAATCCAAACGATATCAAATCAGATTATTCAGCATGGCCACATATGAGCGATGGAACGACGGACACGGGAATGAAGGACTCGACTTGAGGAGGGGAGGAAGATGGCTGGGGAATGGAATGGGCTGACAGAAGCACTTTTTACGCCAGACCGCTATAATAGATTCAATTTGTCGTGCAGTTTTCGACTTTGATGCCCCGAGTCCATGCAAGTTCTTCAAAGGTCCCCTCCGTCAGTAGGTCCTGCACAAGACACATGGAATACCGTACAAGCGATCGCATTGACGGCCTGAGTCCAATTCACACACATGGTCTTTCTCGCGGCTAATCGACATGAACCGGTTCTGCGCCCATCACGCCCCCAGGCCCCAGCGTGCACGACAGTCCTCGCAAACAAGTAAAGCAAAAACAGAACTTATCGACACCAAACATCGGCAGGCTCATGCATGGCACCCAGACAGCCCATGACGACCCCGCCCCATCACGCCAGGACCGTGCTGGAGCGCCTGGCGAGCCGCTCGGCGCGCCTCATGTCCCTGCGCAGGCCGGGCAGCGCCCGCCGGGCTTCGGCGCTGGTGCGCGCGAGCGCGAGGGCCGCGACGGAGGCCTCGCCCCGGGACGCGCCGATGTGGTGGTGCGCGGCTGCGGTCTTTTCCCCCGCGGCGCGGCTGCTCTCGCCGTCTTTGCGCTGCGGGTGTTTGTCCTTGGTCCCGGCGTCGCCCTCGTTGCCCCTGCGCGGTGGCTTCTTGCGTCTCTGGAGGTGGAGGAGGGCGCGGAGGATCATCGTCATCATGGTTGCGTCGTCGTGGGCTATGGCGCAATGCGCGGCGTGTAAGCGACCTGTGCCGAGCGAGCGGCCGCGTGTCCGAGCAGAACCGGGATAGAGGACGACGGAGCAATAAACGAGTTGAGAGATGGAGAGGACGACAAGATGCAACGAAGGCGTCAAAGGCTGGTGCGGCGCCACCAGCCACCAGCAGCAACAAGTTTTGGCCCAAACTATAGCCTCAGCAGCCAGCGGCAATCGGCGAGGCCCGGCCTACCCAACCCTGAGACCAAAGCAGTCGGTCGGCAAAGAACGATCAAAGGCGACGAAGAAGAAAAAGCCGTGGCGGAAGGGGGTGGGGAGGGGGGCGTGTGCTTTCTCCCCCTCGCCATGAAAGAGACGCAACGCAAGCTTTGTTCCTCGGGGGGAGAAAAAGGGGGCTTGTGAGCTCGTTCATTGTCGTCGCACGGCGTCGTGTGCGGAAAGCCGAGACGTGGTGGAAGAAAGGAAAAGGACGGCCGTCGGTGAACAGCTTGTCCTGGTATTAAACCCGCCGTCTTTATCCCCTCACCTCGAGCCGTCGTGTTCGCGCCCCGGCTTGCCATCGCCGTACGAACGGCACCGCTGACGAAGACGCCATCCTTTGCCCTGCCGTGTTCAGTGCCCAAGACGACTCCATGGACTGCTCGGGGGACAAGAGCCCCGTCCGGGAGCCATGCCGACGAGAAGAAATAACCCGTGGTCCGCCGCCAGCCCTGCGTCGAGCTCCTCATCCTGCTCGCCTCAAAGAGCTCCTCGTCCCGCACGCATCAGCGCCAGCAGCCTTGTATCGCCCTCGCTTCTCTCTGCCCCCGCTGCCGCCCGACATGTGTCAAAACGTCCGCCACTATGTCTGCGGCCACATGCAGAAGCGCCGCACCACGTGCTACAAGACGGGCCACCGCCGCAGCGCCGGCGGCGGCCTCGCCCAGATCATCCTCGACTTCTTCTTCCCTCCCCCCGCCGTCACCTGCGACCGTATGACGGGCGAGGTGCGCCCCGTAAAGGGTCCCTGTCCCGCCTGCGCACGCCTCCGCAAGCAGGCCCTCGCGTCCGACGGCGGCAAGCCGCTGCCCCAGCTGCCCGCCTCGGCCAAGATGCGCGAGGCCTATCTCGCCAAAATGGCCCTCTACGACCAAGACCCGGTGTCGCCAAAGCTTAAGAAGGAGAGGAGTGGCAAGAGGAGGAAGGAGGTGAGGACGGCTTCGCCCGCCGCGAGAAAGCCCATGTTCGTGGCGGGCCGTCCATGCCATCATCGAGCACCACCCCCGAGCACCAGACGCGCGCCTCACCAGCCTGAGAGGCATGACAGGCTCGTCAAGCCAAGGCCGATGGGGCCGTCAACCACTTCGAGTATAGTTTCGGATTGCTCACCAGGTCAGTCTTTCCCCCCTCCCAAAACTAAACAACGCATGTAGAGGCCAGCGACACTGACGACGGGACGGCACAACGTGCTCGAGACACAGCCACGACTCGCCCCAAGCCCTTGGAAAAGCCCGTGGAAAAGCCATGCGCGGCGTCCCCTCAGCGCAGCAGCGTCGACGGCGCGCAAAAGTCGGTCCTCAACAGGTGGGGAATCGAGTATCTGCTCAAGTCGCGCAACAGGGGTTCTGTAGACTCGGACCGGTCGTGGGTCAGCCCGGCCGCGCGGAGGATTGAGAACGGCGAGATTGATATATGGACCCCGTGTCGGAACGACAAGGACGTAATAACGTCGTGGATATAGACCTTGAATAAGTCAGAAGTTCTTTTTTTAACCAGATACAAAAAGCCCTCGCCAACGCTGGCAGTGTCACGCTCTGTCGTCGACGATTCTTCTGCCTATTCGCTCTGATGATGAAAAATGCTAGCTTTCTTTCCCCGGCAAGTTCATCTTGCCAGAACCGCCAATCCATGGGCCTGAAAAAGAGGGGAAAAAACCCAAAATGCTGCAATACAATGCAATTGACTCGTCGCTGCCGTCGGTACGCAAAATCACGTGGTCGTCGGATCTATGACGGTCATCATGGTAAGTCAAAGTTGGTGAGGCCAGGCTGAGGCATGACCGTCAGTCTGTCAGAGGAGGCGCAGGCCCGAGGGCCGCCTTCTCCATGGGCCGACACTCCCTGAATCGGACGTCTTTCTCTCCTCCTTTCCCCTCCGGTGTGTCGGTAGATATGGGGCTTGGGCAAACGTCACCCACGGCGTAGAGACCAGCTCAAGAGGGCCAAACGCGGTGTTGGGTTCCTAGTGGGCCTTGCCGTTCTTTGACTGAGCCCTGAACTTGGCAACCTCCTCCTCGACCCTCTTCTCGACGCGGTTCTGCAGCTCCTTGCGGTAGCCGAGCTTGAAGAGGACCTCGAGCCAGACGAACATGGGAGCGAGGAAGATGGCCTGGATGAGGTTGTCGAGGAGAGCCGGGGCGCGGCCCTCAAAGGCGCCGTGGCCGATGAACTGGGCGATCCAGCTGACGACGTGGACGACGAGGGCGATCTGAAAGGTGGCGCGGGGGTCCTCGGAGCGCATGTGGTTGGCAACGGCCGTGGTGGCGATGCAAAAGGCGGCGAGGACGAAGCCCGCGACAGGCTCCAAGAGGACGTAGAGAGAGGCGTAGACGAGGGCGAAGATGGTGCCGAGGTTGAGATCCAGGTAGGGGACGGTGAGCCAGGGGGGCGTCTGGATCAGAGTGCCGGAATATGTGGCCTGGGCCGAGTGAGCGTGTCGCAGATGGCAGAGGGAGAGAGGCACAGAGGGGCTGGCGTACCATGCAAAAGGCCGACACGAGGATGGCGGGCACGCAGACCATGTGGATGGCCACGTTGACCGAGTTGTGGTGATAGGCGCCATACTGTCGGGGGTCAGCTTGCCATGCGACGGGATTGAGGGCGCGCAGCAGGCAAAGGGGGCACGTACAAAGATGAGGTGCCTCTCGAGGTCGAGCGACATGTTGCGGGGAGGCGCCGGGGCGGAAGAGGTGGGAAAAGCAGCAGGCAGACGATCTGGACGAGCAAGTCGAGGCTCGCGACTAGCCGGAAGGCACGACGAGGCGGAGGGGGAGAGGTCTGCGCAAGTCTGCGTGCGTGGTGGGAGGAGAGAGAGACGGAGGGGGAGATGGAGAGATGGGGGAGAAGAGAGGTTCGGCTTCGAGGTTTCCTTTGCTCCGTCGAAAACGGTGGCGTGCGCGCGAGCCGGCTATGGAAAAGTGACCTGCGAATAACTTACGTGGCCGTAATTCTCGTTACAGGCGCGGCGAGCATCTAACAAGGCCAAGAGCCAGGTGGTAGGTAATTAATCCGGTACAAGATGGATTGGATACCCGAGGCTTGGAGAGACTACTAACCTCTGTAGCAACAGCAGCAGCAGCAGCAGCCTCTACTGTAATGTTTTTACTTCCCTTTGGCAGCACCTCGTCAATGGCTGCCCCCGTCTCGGGAAAAGGGGTCGATGCCATTATACGGAGTGGTTGAAGCCAATGTCCGGCAATGTCGACCCCTAGGTGAGTTATGTACAGTATGTACTGTACCCCGTGGTACTGGACTGGACCGGGCTGCACGCCTGCATGCATTTTCTTAAACAATTATTAGCTTCATGTCCCCGGCGTCGCATTCACTCGGAGTTGGAGTTCCAACCGTCCTCCCGACGCGGGGCAGAGAGACAGAAGCAGAGCTCGAGCCGAGGAGGTCCAGAGGCATGTGCAAAAGTATCTTTCCCCCCCAGGTGTTTGTTTGCTCGCGTGCCTGGTTCCACAAGTATCGGGTACATGCTTCGTACTCCGTACTTGTTGCGGTAATAGGTGGTAATTATGGGCAGCCCTCCGCAATTCACGGCCCTTGACGACAAAACGACAACCTTGCCCCGGAAATGCACCCGCATGCATCTAGAAGAAAACGCGAGAGGCGTCGACAGGAGGCCTTCCACCTTTCCCCATGGAGGTAGACAGACACAAGGGCCGCGGGCCGCTACGGCAAGGTACGACAACGAACCCCATGTCCGTCGGGCGAGGCGAAAGCCAGGCAGGCCCGCAAGCACTGGACGTGCCACAGTACTTCGCTGTACCTGGTACTTACCCAAGGTAGTGGTAGCTAGCTGCCTGACGTAACCCAGAGTGCCGCCGCCGAGCTGCCTGCCTTTGCAGGTAAGCAGCCTGGCCTCTCTCCGCAAAGAGACCGGTACGTACCGACGCACGGGCCACAAAGCTCTCTCCTTCGAGCCTCGACAAAGGGAGAATTGCGATTTTGAACGGCCGCTGCCAGCTTCATCCCCCCAAAACTCACCCTCAGCCTCGTCGCCGCCGCCTCGAACCGCCCTCTCCTCCACGACCTCATCGGCACCCTGCAGCGCGCCGTCTCGGGGCGGCGAGTCTCTGTCTCTCGGGGGCGTCCCCCGCGACCCCTGCCGACTCGTTCGCCTCCGTCCTCCCATTGCCCTCGGCGCGCACACCCTCGCTTGCCTCTTCGCTCCTCGGGCCTCGCGCCCTGTTGCCCGCCAGCCATCCGTCGTCGCCCCCGTCTCGGGCCTGTCGATACGCCTCGACTCGGAGCAGAGGCCGTCGCCGCTCGACTCGCCCACCATGTTCTTCCTCTACAACATGGAGCGCAGAGTCACTCTGCATCCCTCGTACTTTGGCCGCAACATGCACGAGCTCGTCACCAGCAAGCTGCTCAAGGACGTCGAGGGCACCTGCGCCGGCAGCTACTACATCATCTCCATCATGGACACGTTTGAAATCTCCGAGGGTCGCATCCTGCCCGGAAATGGCCTCGCCGAGTTCACCGTGGGATATCGCGCCGTCGTCTGGCGGCCCTTCAAGGGCGAGACGGTGAGCGACGCGAGTTTCCCCTGCTGGCGTCTGCTTGGGCTGACGCTGAGCTAGGTTGACGCCGTCGTCTACTCCATCAACCCGCAAGGCTTCTTCGCTCAGGCTGGTCCTCTGAGGCTCTTTGTCTCGGCCCACGTACGTCCCAGCCCTGTCCCCACGACCATGGAAGCGACTCGGCTCTAACCCCCGTGGCAGTTGATACCGAGCGACATCAAGTGGGATCCCAACGCGACACCACCGCAGTTTACCAACAACGAGGATACCGTCATAGAGCCCGGAACCCACGTTCGCGTCAAAATCATCGGCACGAGAACCGAAGTCGGAGAGATGTGGGCCATTGGCAGCATCAAGGAGGATTACCTTGGGTATGTTTCTGAGACATTGCTGCCAGCTTTCAGCGCCACTAACCATCATGCTGCAGCTGTCTCCAAGACTGACGGCGCATCGAGCGATTGCACCACGCATCGCGCGGACCGGCCCCGGAGGAGGGCTTTGAGCAGCACGCCGAATCCCGCGAATCGAATCGAGCGGCACGAGTGTCTGGCGGGGCCACGACGTGCGCGGGAGGTCGAGGCGGGCGTGCGGGAGTGATGAGCAGCAAGATCCGTCTTGAAAAGCTGGACCGGGCAGGCCCGCGACGCCGGGGCAGGGACGCGGCTGTTGTTAGCCAACTTGTGGCCCTCCCCTCCCGCGTCTACTGCAGGGGCGCGATGGCGGCGCCGGATGGCTGTTCGCGGACGGATGCGCATTGCTGCTGCTCGATCATGGCCGTCCGCTCCTGGCTAGAGAGCAGGAGGGACAATCAGTCGACAGCCATGTCCATCATAGCGCCATCTTGACGACGATGGAAATGTAATCTACACGTCTGGACACAGGAGAGTGCCGTGCCGCCGCCGACGATGCTCATTCGTGGCCTCGTTATAGATACCGCTAACCAATGATAGACCCATGGACCCCGTTTGTCTGTAGGTGACGGAGCATACTTCGTATTCATGCGCATGACGACGGGACTTGCAAGCGCCGACCGACAACGGAGCAGCAAGCCCCCCTCTTCAGCTCCTCGTCGTCTGCCTTTCCCCTCATGCTCCCCCACTAATTGCCATTTCGCCAGCCAGCATCGTATTCGACAAATCTTTTGCATTCCCAATGTAACGGAGGACTCCAACTGGACAAATCTCTCGACATTGGTCCATGGGAGCTGAGTCCGGGCCTGCTTTGCTCCGGTGGGAGCGAGCCAAGCGTATGCCCGCTGCCACGGCATCATCGTATTTCGCTGCCGTACGTACATCCCCTTGGCCGGCCTCCTTGCCCTAAGCCCCAGACGGCGCGGGGCTCCTCCGGTCACCGGCCCATCCCGTTGGTGGGGAGAAAGCGTCTCTCCTCTCCCTCTCCCTCTCTACACTATACACACACTCCTCACACACATCCCTTCCCCCCTCTCCCCGCTGCCATTCAAAACCCGGTCGCATGAGCATACTGCAGCAACTGCAGAGGGTGACTCTCAACACGTCCATCCGCGCAGCATCCCCCCTCGCAAAGGCTCTGCCCCCTAAGCTTCTTCCGGCAACCGCACGCTGGGGCAGCACGGCACACGCTCGCACCGCCGCCGACATGCAGGCCTGCAACAGGCTCAAGACGGCCTTTGGCGAGGGCAGGCAGTCCATGGGCATGTGGCAGATGCTGCCCGGGGCCAATGTCTCGAGACTGCTCGCGCGCTCGGGCGTCGACTGGGTGCTGGTCGACTGCGAGCACGGCAATATTGACGGTATGGGAGCTGGCCCTTTCCCGCCCAGCATTGCCATTGGGACCATCATGTCCTCCTCTTGTTTGGCTCTTGGCGTTGCCATTGCGACATGAATGTCCCCGTTTGAGCTCGAAAAAGTCCCTGTTCACGCTTGCTGATCATCGCGTTTACGCCCTCCGGCTCAGATGGTGCCATGCACGACGCCGTCCCGGCCATTGCCGCCCTCGGCGTCTCTCCGCTCGTCAGGATCCCAGACATGCAGTCGTGGATGGTCAAGCGTAAGCCTGGGCGGACCGCCGCACCCTGCAGGTTTTGCTGATTCATTCCGCCAGGTGCCTTGGACGCAGGAGCTCACGGGGTGTGTCTCGCCCTTCCCAAACTTGCGGGTCGAGCCAAATCGAATCAACGCTGAATCAACGTAGATCCTCGTGCCTTTGTTACGAACGCCCGAGCAGGCCAGGGAGCTCGTCCAGGCCGCAAAGTTCCCCCCCATGGGCCGGCGCGGCTACGGCTCGCCCTTGAGCGCAGGACGCTTCCACCCCATGCCGACCTTTACGGAGTACCTGCAGCAGGCCAACGACGCGCTCCTGACCATGGTCCAGATCGAGACCAAGGAGGCTCTCGATTCCATTGACGAGATTGCTGCAGTCGAGGGCATTGACGTGCTCTTCGTTGGGCCCTTTGACCTTGGTACGCCCCGTGTCGTGGTCCGAGATGAGCCCAGCTGAACGGTGACGCATAGGAAACAACATCGGCCACCCGATTCTGAATGGTGTCGTCGCCCCCGAGCTCAAGGCCGCCATTGGCAAGATTCTCGCGGCGTGCCGAAAAGCCGGCAAGAAATGCGGCATCTACTCAGTCGGCGGCGAGCAGGCAAAGCAATTCGCAGACGAGGGCTTCGACATGATTAGCGTGGCGGCCGACTATACCGCCTTGGAATTTGCCTTCAAGCAGCAGCTGAGTATCGCGAAAGGCGAGCCCCAGCCGTCCAAGAAGGGGACGTACTGACGGCACCGTCGAGGGAGAGAAGCCCGGGGAGCGGGGAGGAGCCGACGAACTGCCTAGGCGACAGCCAGCCTGGGCCCTTAACTACTTTGTACCTTGTCCATCTTGGCTTCGACTTGCTCAGGCGTGAACCGGTGCATTAGTTTGACTGCCTTGCCGGCCATGCCCACGTCCTCCTCTTTGGCGGCGGCCTTGCTGATGTGAATCTGCCTGAGCGTCAGCAAGCGCCAGCACAGATAATAGCCGGCAACATACGACGGGAATGTCAAAGTCGTATAGCTCCCTCCAAGGCCTGGACTCTGGCAGGGCCAGGTCGACCTTTTGAAAGACGAACGGCCTTTTGTTTCCAACTTGGGACAAGACGTCCTTGGCGGTTGTGCAGAGGCTGCAGTTGTCACGGGTAAAGAGGGTGATCCTGCAGGCCTGCAAAAGGCGACCTGATGCAAACATGGTTGATATCGTCTTGTTTCCGAAGCCAAAGGGGATCCGTTTTGCATTGAGTGACGTCGTTGCAGAGCGAGCACCTCCTCGCGCCTTGGAGGGAGGAGCTGGAGCCAGACCCCGCACCGGGATAGGCAGGCGGTGAGACGTATAGCGAAACTCATTTGTCTTCTAGAAGATCCCACCCCACCGAGGCAGCCGTTTAAGTGCCGGCCTTTTCACGGGACGTGAGACGCACGCATGCGTCCCATGGCTTTTGCTTATAATCTACAGCCGCCCATTCCCCTGCTCCGCCCCGCTGCCCTGTGGGATTCGACTCGTCAACGCCGGCCGTGCGTACGCAAGAAGCTGTAGCGCCGCCAACTCGAGGAGCTGTTCTGCCAGCATGGCGCAGAAATGTGTCCATCAGGGCTGCGGCAAGGATTTCACCGACCCGACGGAAAAGTGCGAGTATCATCCCGGCCCGCCAATCTTTCACGAGGGACAGAAAGGTACGAGAGAGGACAGGGAAAGCTCGTGACGTTCAAACCGAGCTGACTCGATGCTCTCTCGCAGGGTGGAAGTGCTGCAAGCCTCGCGTCTTGACCTTTGACGAGTTCATGTCCCTCCCGCCCTGCACGACGGGCACCCACTCCACCACCGACAAACCCCCGCAGCTCGAGGAGAAGCCGCAAGAGGACGATGCTGCCCTAGCCAAGAAGATCGAGGCCCTCACCGCCTCGGGCCCACCGCGCGTGCCCATCCAGCCCGCACAGCAGGCACCCGCGCCCCCGCCGCCGGCGCCCGAGACGGACGACGATGACCCCAGCCTCGAGCTCGCCGACGGCGCGGAATGCCGACGGAGGACGTGCGGGCAGAGATACAAGCAGGGCAGCTCGCGCGAGGGCGAGAAGTGCGTGCACCACCCTGGGGTGCCCATCTTCCACGAGGGCAGCAAGGGCTACTCGTGCTGCAAGCGGCGCGTCCTGGAGTTTGACCAGTTTATGAAGATTGAGGGCTGCAAAACCAGGGACCGGCACCTCTTTATTGGGAGCGGTAGGAAAAAGGACAAGTCCGGCTCATCAGGCGAGGAGATTCTCGACTCGGTCAGGTGAGCAACTGGCTCCGGGTGTTCTCGGCACATCCAAGCCCCTCCATGCTAACGGTTAGAAGACACGACTACTACCAGACCCTGACGACCGTCATCGCCTCGTTCTTCCTCAAGAAGATCAACAAGGAGACGGCCAAGGTCGAGTTCCGGCCGAAACAGCTCGCCCTGGACCTGACGACGAGCGATTCGCCGCCGAAGCGCTACAGGGCCGAGGTGCCTCTATATGGCGCCATTGACGCGGCAAAGTCGACGCACAAGATCCTCGGCACGAAGCTGGAGCTGACGTTGGCCAAGGCCGACGGCGCGTCGTGGCCGGTGCTGCGGGGCGACGAGGCGTTGACGGGCGAGATCGTGCAGGTCGGGCGGGCCGGGCGGGCATAGAAGGGGCACCGCGATTTGTAGAAAAGACTTACAGTACAGTAGATGAGACTTTACGTACCCTTGCCAGAGTATCTGCTCTTCGTATGGTGGCGGACGGTGCCGAAATCCAATTTTTTGCGCCACCGGCGTCGCCCGACGGTTGCATTGGGCTGCTGTGGTGCGTCGCAAGACCCTCGGGTCAGAAATGACTCGATCAAGTCCATGACCCAGGCCTAAAGAACGATGAAGCCTCCTGTCGTTTGATACCGTCAATCAGATGACATGGCCTCTTGCGATACTTGGTACGTAATGTGGACTGAGGGGGAGACGGAGGGGGAGAAGCTCGGCGGCCTCGAAAATTGTCCCAATCATGATGTGTGCAGGCAAATGTTAAATGCGAATTGCTGTTGGCTGGTCGTCATTATGGCGCAATGGTCGTCCATGTGCCCTCTTGTGCGGGAAGTTTGTTACGCAGCAACACCTGTTTATTTCCCTCGCCTCCCCTTAACCACCCCCTCCCCCCTGGACCTCTGAGGCTGAGAGAAGGCGGCGCCAGCTTATCACAGATTCCACCATCACCACTCGCTGTCACTCCGCCTTCTTCTGTAGGCGGCCTCTGTTTCAGTCTCCCAAGCAACCCCCTGCTCCTCCTCCTCCATGTCGTCGGCCGCCGAGACTTCACACGGCCGGGGCGGCGCGGGCAACATCACCGCTGATGACACCGAGTACGTCGACGGCGAGGTGGTGCGCCTGGGGAACGCGGGCAGCCACGGCGACGGGGCGTTCAGCGCAGGCCGCGGAGGTGAGTCATGGCGAGTCGGCGACCCTCTCCCCCCCATCACACCGCGAGAGGGCCGTTTTGTCGCTGACGCATTTTCACGCAGGCGCCGGCAACATTGCCGACGTGGGCACGGCGCCCACGCAGCGCAGAGACCAGGAAATCGTCCCCGCTGCCGCCGTCCGCACGAGTTCCGAGGACCAGGACTTTCACACGGGGCGAGGTGGCGTCGGCAACGAGCACACGTCCCTGGACCGCGACCCGCGGACGGCGCCCAAGGCAGGGGCCAACAGTGCCGAGTCGCTCAGCCTGGCAGACAAGCTCAAGAACAAGCTGTTCGCCATCTTCAAGAAGTGAAGCCTAGCCTCGAGTTCAACAGCCATGTGACGTAACCGGGGAGGTTAATTGTGGCTTTTGCCGATCCGGGGTTCAGGCTTTGCTCCATGGTTTCTTAGCTGGTTTTATAATACCGATGATATCCTAGTCTTGTTCGCTTGTGGCATTCGTTGCGCGTGCATACTGCAGAAGCCAAGGTGCGGGGGAAGCCAGCAAGACGCCGCCGGCGGGTGGGAGTCGAGCATTGTCCTCTCTTGGCACGGCCCCGGCGATGAGAGAGGCCGGGAATGGCTCGCGCATCCGTGTTAAGACATGGTGATCGCCATGCCCAAACTCTCAGTGCATGAGAACAAGTCACGAAGATGCGCCGTGCCGCCTGCGCGGCGTTCCCCCCTCTTGGCCCAGCCATCACGTCAACATGCTCCCGAATCCCGCGCTGCCCACCATGCCCAGGGTTCACTGCCAATGCCGGGTCCACGGGTCGCAAGCTTCCCTTGTCTTGTCAGCGGTGACGGGATGCCTTCTGTCGTCTCGACGCCAGGTCCGGGAATGCAAACTAGAACTGCCTCGGATTAGTCGCCAACCCAGAGCGGCCATCAACCGCCAAGGGTCCTCGCCCGGGCAAATAGGTCGACGGCGGGGGCAGCGTGGAGCACACGTATCGACCCCTTTGCAGCTGCCGTCGGCACCATGAGACCAGCTGCTCTGCCTCTGCTAGCGGGCTTGCCGGAGTCTGCGGCCGGCCACCAGAGTCGGGGGGCCCAGGTGGGGTTTCGGCCGTGCTGGACAACGTGTGTGAGTGAGTGTATATATATATATATATATCTATCTAGGCAGGCGCCTATTCCTGTCGGCCGAATCAGTCCGTTTCCGGTATCAAAGGGCCCGTCCACATGTGCATTGCCATGCCCATCGCGTGCCGTCGAAACCCCCATGGAGCATCGTCGTCGCACACCATGCGAGCGTCGCCGTCGTGCGCAAACATTGCCAGCAGTCTTGTGCATCCGTCAGCGCGCCCGCTGTAATTACATACAGCAGAGTAGGTACCGGTAGGTGTCGACTTGCAGGGGGGTTGTTCAGTCATCACGTGTGCGCCAGCGGCAATCAGTCAGCATGCCGCCGCCCGGTGACCTGGACGTCCCTCAGCCAGCACGCCCCAGTCTCCAGGGCCGGCGACTCTGGTCCGGCCTCTCTGTCCTCTCCAAGCGCTCCCTGGCCTCGCACGCCACCTCTTCCTTTGAGGCCGACGACGAGCGCTCCTCGACCGACGGCGACATGACGGACCGCAGCAGCGACGCCGGCGCCCAGCGGTACACGGGCTACGATGCGCGTCCGACCAGCCGCAAGGAGCTCCTTGGCTGGTACATGTATGCCTTTGCTGCCGAGACGTATGTCATCTGCGGAATCGGTAAGCCGCCCCTGGCCTCTGCTGGTGCATCCCCGAGCTTACATGGCATCGAGCCTCCTTCATCCCCATCCTGCTCGAGTCCCTGGCCCGCGAAAACGGCGTGCTGCTCTCGGACCCCACCAAGCCATGCGGCACCAGCGACAGCAAAAGCGAGGATGACGGCCAGTGCGTCGTCTACGTGCTCGGCCTTGAGATCAACACGGCCAGCTTCGCCATGTACACCTTTTCCGTCAGCGTCATGATCCAGGCCCTGCTCGTCGTCAGCATCAGCAGCGCCGCCGACCACGGAAACTACCGAAAGAAGCTCCTCCTCGCCTTTGCCTGGATCGGCGGCCTTGCCGTCATGTGCTACATCTTCATCAGCAAGGAGACGTATATCCTCGGCGCCCTCCTGACCATCATCTCAAACACGTCTTTTGGCGCTTCCTTTGTCCTGCTCAACTCGTTTCTGCCGCTTCTCGTGCGCAATCACCCGGAGGTCATGGAGGCCCGTGGGCCCCGGACCCCGGATCTCGCAGACTCGCCCCTCGAGTCGCGTCTGATGGAAGACTCGACCGCCGACCTGGACCCCTCCATGGCCAACTCCACCTCGGCGCTGCTGGCCGACGAAGAAGCCGCGGCTCCTGGATGGCGGACGAAGCGTCCCGTAACCCACGAGGAGATCACGTCCAAGGAACTGCAAATGTCGACCCGGATCTCGGCCCAAGGAATCGGCATCGGGTACAGCGCCGCCCTCTTTGTCCAATGTGTGTCCATCGTCATCCTCATCACCTTGAAGAACACGACCTGGTCCCAACGCATAGTCCTTTTTTTCGTCGGCACCTGGTGGTCCGTCTTTACCATTCCCGCAGCGCTGTGGCTGCGGCCCAGACCGGGCCCTCCACTCATGGCCGGCGCCCGCAAGGGCCGTCTCCCCTGGATTTCGTACCTCACGAATGCGTGGAAATCGCTCTTCCGCACCGTCAAGCTCGCCCGCCGTCTGTCGGACATAACGCTCTTCCTCGCCGGATGGTTTCTGCTGTCGGACGCGGTTGCCACGACGTCGTCGACGGCCATCTTGTTTGCAAAAACTCATCTTCACATGCGACCGTGGGCCTTGGGCATGATCAACGTCATTGTCACATTGACGGGCGTCTTTGGAGCGTTTGGCTGGTCGTGGGTTTCTCGCGTCTACGGCCTGCAGGCACACCAGACGATTCTGGTCTGCATCGCCCTGTTTGAGCTGATACCGCTGTACGGCCTAATGGGTTACCTGCCATTCGTCCAGAGCTGGGGCGTCCTCGGCCTTCAGCAGCCGTGGGAAATGTACCCTCTGGCAGCCATATACGGACTCGTCATGGGAGGCCTGAGCAGCTACTGCCGCTCGCTGTACGGAGAGCTGATACCTCCGGGGTCCGAGGCTGCATTTTATGCGCTGTACGCCATCACCGACAAGGGCTCCAGCGTGTTTGGCCCAGCCATTGTGGGGGCCATCATCGACAAGACGGGTAGCATTCGGCCGGCTTTCTGGTTCCTGGCGGCGCTGGTGGGCCTCCCGGCGCCGTTGATATGGTTCATTAATGTGGAGAGAGGCAAGAGGGAGGGCGACAAGGTGGCTGAGGCGATTGAGGGCTTCGCGGTGTCGAGAGAGGAGGAGGCGCAGGCCGAGGATGAGGACAGGGACATGATGGCCGACTACGACGGCGACGAGGACGGTGAGCCGACAACTCGCAGACGGTCATGAGCTTGTCTGGTGGATATGGCGTGGAGCTCGATTTGGAAAGGGGGCTAGCCGCATAGCGATGGCGTTTTGAGCTGCTTGATTGATTATGTACTGCGTGTAAGTATAAAGACCGCCGACGCTGGTCTATGCGGCGGCTGTATGTGAATTTCGTCTATTTAGCCGTTGCAATCCTCTGGTCGGGCCTTTTTTTCTCGGTCGCAGACGGACGGGAAGCCACTTATTGGCTCGCATAGATTTGGGTATAGCTGCTTTAATGCGAAAAGGTGCTCTTTGCAATCCCCACACCTTTAGCTTGTTACCGGAGTCTATAGCAGAGCCCTATAGTCGAATGTACGGGTACGGGATACTTCCGCCCTCCGTGTCACCAGAGCAGAAGTCGAAAGAGGGTCGCGCATTGACTGACGGGATTTGCGACTTTAAGGCTTGCGCGGAAGCGGAAATGTCTACTTGTTTCATCCGTGGTCCGAATGTGGTTATAAACATGTGCACACCTAAGATGGAGCGAGCGAGGCAATTGGCTCGAGTCGGCGGCAGATAGTGGATCTGTGTGCGGAGACGTTAGTGCAAATGCTTTTAAAATAGCGGAGAGCTCGGTGCCCGCAATGTCTTGGTGCTTGGATGAACTGAGTCAGAAAGGCCAAGACAGACGCTTGTTGGACTTTGAATTGCCTCGAACGGTCTAACTTACTTCGTACAGTGCGAAAACCGGTCTAGCAATCCAGATATCTACCTACCAACCTACCTACCAACCAAACCACCAACCTACCTACAGCCGCTGAGATTGCCGAGGCTTCATGTACTCGGATCCGCTGGGCAGAGTACCTGCGGTGGCTGGACGGGCCATGTACCCTCCTGTCGGCTTAGCGGCCGCGTCGCCAGCTCGAGCCTATCCGTTTCAGCTGCGGGTGCCGAGACGGCGTCTATTCCAGCGCAAGGCCAGCGGGGTACCTTGGCGTGTCCGGCGTGGCTTGTAGCGGGGCCAGCCACCGCTGGTACCCTTTCCTTACTCGCGCTTCCACAGGTAAGCCCGCAACTGCGCGGTGACTCGAGATGGATAGGGCCAGGTACCGGGGAGACAGAGGTATCTTTTCTGCCCGGCCCAATGGAAAAGGTACAAGCCGCATGGGAAACAGGCGCGCCTCTCGAACGCGCTTTTCCTTGGGAAGCTGGAAGATCCTGCACGTGAGCCCCTCACTTCCAGGCCCTTTTTTTTTCTGCAAAGGGCAGTATGTACCTTCTATTATAGTCTATACCCATAGACACGTGTATCTCTCCCTCCCTCCCTCTCTTCCGCTCTGTACCAATCCCACTACCGCCGGCGCGCCTTCACCAGCCACCAACTTTCCTCCTCCAAACATATCTTAGCCTTGGAGCTTCAACATCAAGGTCTGCGACCAGCCGACGCGGACGCATCGCCCGGCGGTGTAACCTCCCTCTGCTCCCTCTAAATCATTTTTATGCCCTGCCTGCCTCTGCGGACCTCTCTTTCGCTCCTTTCTTGACGTCTCCCTTGGTACGGGGAGCCCTCACTAGATCCTTTCTGCCGCAGAGGCCCGCCGCTCCGTGCGCCCGCCAATGGTCCTGCGACGCCGCCGAACCTCGTCGGGAGCTGCAGTCAATCCGTAAAGCCTCTTCTAGGACGGCGCGTCGGAGCGCACGAACCCGCTGTTTTTTTGGGCGCCGCTGCAAGTCATCGCTTTCGCATCCGCATCGCACCCGCGCCGCGCCGCGACCTCGACGCTCTGCCTCGACCACCTCTCTCCAGGACTTGACTATGAGTTCCAAGTCGCGGAAGCGGTCTCGCGCCGTTGCGGACGAGAACCGGGCCGACTGTCCCTTCACCGTCACCATGGTCGCGACCCCCTCGTATGAGGACCATGCCTCCAAGAAGCGAAAGCGCGATGGCCCGGACGACGACAAAAAGGAACTGGTCCAGCCGTCGCCCTTTGAGCCCCGCGGCAAGTTCAAGACGCACCAGACCATGGACCTGGCCTATACCGTCGAGCCGCGCAAGCGGTGGCTGGACATGACGCGCTACAATAGCTTCGTTCGTGAGTCAATTCTCGGGAGGGGCGTGGATGCTGCTGTGGCCGCCATCAGCGGCGCCATCGCGGAACGTGTGCAACATCTTCTGACGCTCTCTTGTTCGCGCCAGTCAACAACGTCAAGTACTTCAACGAGGACTTTGTCTACATCGCCAACGATGCCACCATTGAGCGCCAAAAGTCGACCAACAGGGAGTCGGAGCGCCAGGGCTTGCTGCAATCCACCGACTACTGGGTCGCCAAGATCCTCGAAGTCCGCGCCGTGGACGAGCACCACGTCTACGCGCGCGTCTATTGGATGTACTCGCCCGACGAGCTTCCCGCAAACACTCTCGACGGCAAGAAGGTCGTGTCGGGCCGCCAGCCGTATCACGGCCAAAACGAATTGATAGCTTCCAACCACAGTGAGTCTCCGCCCTCCCCGCGCCTCGCGAGTCAGGCCAGGTCGCTGACGGATGCGCCGCTCTAGTGGATGTCATCAACGTTGTCAGCGTCGCTATGCGCGCCGTCGTCAACCAATGGGTGGAATCCGACGATGAGCAGGTGCAGGACGCCTTGTATTGGCGGCAGGCTTTTGACTGTCGAACCTCGCAGCTCTCGGTACGCCCCGACGCCTTTGTTTGTCAACTCCCGGCGTTTGGATGCATCCCGCTAACTCGTCTCGCCCAGTCTGTCGAACTGACGTGCAAATGTAAAACGCCCGCAAACCCAGACAAGACTCTGGTTGGCTGCACAAATTCGGATTGCGAGGAATGGCTACACTACGAGTGCCTGGCGCACGACGTCCTAATGAGAACGTACGAGCGGCTAGGGACGGAAAAGCCGCACATCTCGGGCGAGCTGGACGGGTCCTCGGCCAAAGTGGAGCGGGACGACAAGCCGGCGACGGCACTTCACTCGACGACTCCTACCGACATCAAGGGCGAGGAGACGATGCAGCCGACGGTTGGGGTCAAGGAAGGAGAAAACGGAGACTCTGTCCCTATCAAGCAAATCGACGGCATCACGCCCAAGACGACGGAATCGCCCGTGCCCGGAACGCCGGCGCCGGCCGTCGAGAAGCTGCCGAGATTGTCTTCAGGCAAGAAGGGCCGGCCGAGGAAGGCGACGGAGAGCAGACCTTATGAGGGTCTCTTCGAAGCGAGCCTGAAGCTCGATGACGGCCCGACGATGTGGCGAATCACCAACTTGAGAGCCAACGTCTCGGGTGGCGACCGCACATGGTCCGAGAGGGCTCAGTGCCTGATTTGCGGCACCAAGATCGACTAAAGGCCTGGTCTATCCTGTTTGACAAGATCAGAACAACGAACTAGGCCATGCTCAGTGCCGGCTCAGATTGCACGCCGGACTTCAATCTTCTTTGCCGCCTGTTTCTACGTGCCCATCCGGTTCAGGATGTGGATTTACGACGAAAGAGTTGGACATTGGGTATCTTTATTGAGGATCTTTTGCAGCCGGCGTGGGCGGAAAAAAAAGTGAAGCTGAGCAAAGAGCAGCAGAGCGAGGGAAGTGCGCGCGGAGACGGGACACGGGAGAGGAAGGGGGAGGGGGAGCAAGTTACTGGTTGGGTTTGCATTGCAACTGTGGGCGAGGCGTTCTGTGGGGATTACTTTAGGTGCTCATCAGACGGAGCGAGAGAGAGAGGGGGGCTGTTGGGCAGAGGGATGGGTCGAGGCTTGCTGCGAAATGGATCAATGGCGGTTGCTTGGATGGGGGCGGCGTGCTTTGGTTGTACAAGTCGAGCTGTATGTCGTGGGAATGGACGTTGGATAGGCCAAGAGGCGTGTCTTGAAAGGGGCGTAGCGTGACTGTCTCGACTGCTCTGGACGACGATACTGGAGGATGTGGGAGAGACTGATTCCACTGAGTGCAGTGGCAGCTTCGTGTTGGAGTTGTGTTGGAGTTGTGTTGGGGTTGCCCGTCGGTCCGGCGTGACGGTCATCGTCTTATCTTATCGCACCGTGCGCCGCAGCAGCATTGTCGGACATCGACCCCGCCTAAGCGCAGCCGACGTTTCGTGCTTCATCATCACCGAGCCCTCTGCCAACCAAGGGCACACACATATGGAAAGCACACAAGTGCACGACTGACACGGCCATCAGACCCCTCCAATCCACTCCCCCAGGTCCCCCACTCCTCGCGGCCCTCCACCATGGCCGCCGCCGCCGACCCCTTCGACTCGGCTCTGTAAGCATCTCTCTCCCCTTCGTTTTCCAACACGCCGAGATGCGGCAGAGCTGACCGGAAGGGCCTGTCGCAGCGACCTCCTCCGACGCCTCAACCCCAAGCACACGAGCTCGCACCTCAACTCCATCATCGCGCTCGCGCCGGACCTGACCGAAGACCTCCTCTCCTCGGTCGACCAGCCCCTGACGCTGCGGCGCTGCAAGCAGACGGGGCGCGACTACCTGCTCTGCGACTACAACCGCGACGGCGACAGCTACCGCTCCCCCTGGTCCAACCAATTCGACCCGCCGCTCGACGAGGGCGGCGCGGGCGGCGTCGGGGCGGGCGGCGGCAACGAGGGCGCGGGCGAGGGTGCGGTCCCAAGCGAGCGGGTGAGGAAGATGGAGGTCAAGGCAAACGAGGCGTTTGATATCTATCGCGAGCTCTACTACGAGGGCGGCGTGAGCAGCGTCTATTTTTGGAACCTCGACGATGGCTTTGCCGGCGTGGTGCTGCTCAAGAAGTGTGAGTTCCCCGGCCCCTGGACAGCCACACCTGTCCCTCCTCTTGATTTTGCGGGACGGGGAGCTCGGACGGAGACTAATGGCACGCAGCCGCCACCCCCGGCGGACCAACGGAAGGCATCTGGGACTCGATCCACGTCTTCGAAGCCATTGAGCGCGGGCGCACGACGCACTACAAGCTGACGTCGACGGTCATCCTGTCCCTGTCGACGAGCGAGGGCGCCATCGGCGACATGGACCTGAGCGGCAACATGACGCGGCAGGTGGAGCAGGACCTGCCGGTGGAGAGCGACGACAGCCACATTGCCAACATTGGGCGGCTGGTCGAGGACATGGAGCTCAAGATGCGCAACCTGCTGCAAGAGGTGTACTTTGGCAAGGCAAAGGACGTGGTAGGCGACCTGCGCAGCGTGGGGAGCCTGAGCGAGGGGGCCAAGGACCGCGAGACGCAGAGGGAGATTATCGGGAGTATGAAGCGGTGAGGCGAAGCGTCGGGGTGAGCAGGGGGGTTTTGTGGTTCTTGTCGACGTCTTTTATATGGCAGCAGCGTGTTTTTTTTATCGGAGGGAATCGAGATTGATTTTGTTCAGACGTCGGGTCACTGGCTGCTCATGGAGTGACGATGGAGACGGACTGGCGACGACTTTCCGAGTCGTTGGAAGCCTCGACTTGAAGATGGGGGCAGGGTGCACAAGAATCTAGTCATTCAGCTTGTCGTTTCATCATGTTGATAAGTGCCCATTCTTGGGCGGTCGAAGACGAGCAGAGCGCATGCTAGGAGCCTTGGGAATGATACCTAGAGACGTAGACTTTGAAATTATAGTCAGAGGCGCACTCACCTTGATTCTTGACATTTCCTCCGAGGACGTCCGTCTCATGTTCAAGTGCAACGGGGAGGACGCCTCGGCTCTCGAGCAGGGCTATTGGTATGTATGTGTGTTATATACCATGTAAGTGTCAGCTGCCACCAGCACCTTCATGGCATACAGGGTCCACTGCCAGGTCATCTGTTGGAGTGTCACTTCGCTTTTGCCTGCACAACCCAGTGGTTTCCTCACAGTATGAAAGGCTTCCTTTCGACGTGGCTTGAGGTTGGAAGGCGTTGTCTGCGTGGGCAGAGGTACATGCCGCAAGTACCGACCATGTCGCGGCGCCGCACCTGATTGGACAAGGCCGCTGCAGGGCAACCGGTTGCTCAGTCAAAGACGAACACGGGCAAACTGAACAGACAGCCTGAGCAGCCTGAACAGGGGAAAAAAAAGGAACTGCCCCGGGCCAGAGTTGAACTGGCGACCTTTCCAAGGCACTTGCCGTTTCTACAACTTTGCAGTTGAAACGCTCTACCGTTGAGCTACCGGGGCTTGCGTGTCTGTTGTTGAAGGTATTCGCAGCTGCACCGCATTATATAAGGGGCCCAATTATCTATACACCTCCTTTTATTAACTGTACACCAAAAAGTGGATCAACTGTGGCTGGGTCAGGCGCAGTGCCGATGCCGCTAATTTTGGTGCGCCCATTCCCGGCCGGCCAGCTGGCCAGTTCGTGATGCTTGCGTAACAACATCCTGTAACCGTAACTATCAGCAATACCATCAAAACTGAAGCTATTCGCACCGCGTTTCTGCCCTTACGAGCCCGAATCATGGAGTCGCTTACGAAGACACTATTCCCGACCTTCCAGGCCGCGATGGAAGCCGCCGATACCGTTGCTGAGGCTGAGGGCTACGCCCTACACATTCGAACATCGAAGCGGGATAACGCTGGCCAACGCAAGTCTGCACTTGTTCGTTGTATCAAGGCCGGCCCCTACGAAAATCGGAAGGATAAAGCTGCTCATATCTCTCGTCGTCGCCTCAATACAGCAACCCAGAAAACAGACTGTGAATTTCGCCTCTCGTTGAAGGAAAAACGCGGTTACTGGACTATCTCTTATCTTCACGATGTTCACAATCATCGCCTTGTTGATGACCCGATGGTCTTTCCGAAGTACCGGGCGCTTGTTATCCAGAAGTATCGCGACGACATTATCCGGAAGTTTAATAACAATACCCGGCCGACCGATATTGCTGGCGAGCTTCGTGACCTGGTTCACGACGATCCTCGTTTAGCCGGTATCACGGCTCAAGACGTGAGTAACGCCTTGGCTAGGCACCGTCAGGAAGAACTAGCTGGCCGTACGCCTCTTCAGTTTCTCTACGACCGGCTAGATAAGTCCGACTTCTTTCATCGAGATAGTCGTGATCCCCAGGGCCGGCTAACTGGGCTATTTCTCGCGCCTCGTGCTACCTTCCATCGATGGCGTCAGCATCACGATGTCCTCGTCCTCGACTGTACCTACAAGACGAACCGATTCAATATGCCGTTATTGAATATCTGCGCGGCCACTCGAGATAACAAAACGTTCTCTATTGCCTCTATCTTCTTGAACGGCGAGACCGAGTCCCATTACTATTGGGCTATCTCGTTGCTGCTAGTCCTTTGCGAGAAGGAGTCGATCCCATTTCAAGGGTCACTGTCACGGACCGAGATACTGCGTTGCTTAAGGCGTTAGATAGCTTTCGCGAGCTTCAAAACAGTACTAACCTTCTCTGCACGTGGCATATTAACCAGAATGTCGTTGCGAAATGCAAGCAATTTTTCCCTAAGGCATCAAAAATCGGCAATCGAGTCGTACGGGCCCCGGCATTCCAAGCGTTTCTACAAGAGTGGAACGAGATCGTCAAGTCACAAGATGTGAATAGCTTCAACGAACGTTTACGCCAATTTGAGACACCAGGCCGCCACCCGCTTGCAGCTATACAATACTGTTGCAATACGTGGCTAACGCCTTGGAAGGAGAAGTTTGTATCTTGTTTCGTTAATCAATATCGCCACTTCGGGCGTACAACGACCTCGATCGTCGAGGACTTCACTCTCATATGAAGAAGTTCCTTTGGTCCTGTACGGGCGATTTGACGACCGTTTTCCAACGATTCGAACGCTTCTGGGGCCATCAGGCTGCTCAGATCACAGCGATAGAGAATCGAAACCTCCACAAGATATCAACGTTCTCCTACAGGCGCCGTATATGCCGATCCGCGAGCGAGTATCGTCATATGCGTTAAAGCTACTAATAGATGAGCATCGCAAGATCCCTCTAGACCCCCGAAGTCAACGGGCCAAACCGCCGCCAGGTCAATGTCCTTGTAATTGGGCTACTAGTCGAGGGCTACCGTGCTGCCATCGAATCTTCGAGTCTATCAACACCAATACCTCCCTTACACTCGACGACTTCGACCCATTTTGGTATATTCCGATCGATACAAGCGCTCAGGGCACAAGCCCTACTCGGGCACCATACGAGCCACAAGTTATCAGGGCTAAGGGCCGCCCCAAGGGCTCACTCAACCTCGAAGAGTCACGGCGGTCAAGATCAACGCGGCGGGATCCGTCACATCACGAGATCGCTGAACGGCATGAGCGGGCTGAGGCTATACGACTGCCTCCTCCTCAACGGCACCAGCGGCGATGACGGGTACGGTAACGGCCGCGATGACTTCAACGGAACGAGGGCTGCGGCATCGAGGAAAACGGCGATACGTACGAGGCAGGCACACTGATGCAACGGGCGTATCAACAAGCCGGGCGTCAAACGCCAGTCTCTGATGACGACGATCAGCCGGTACGGCGGAGACCCAAGACTGCATCTTCGTCGCCGGCCTCACGGACGATGCCGCCCTTGAGGATGTATGGGATCAATTGGAATCACAGTTAGATGAAGCGGATCAGGCACGTAGTGCACTCGAAGAAGGAGGCCTGTTGTAAACACCAAAGAATAGTCTCATCAGCATAGAAAGCGCAGTACGAATAGCTTCAATTTTGGGTGCCTTATCGTTGAAGGAGAACTGTTACTACCTGGCTCTACTTATCGTAGAGAATGTGTGCATACAAATTGGCGGTATCGGCCCTCTTCGGCCGTCAGCCACAGTTAATCCACTTTTTGGGTGTACAGTTAATGAAAGTGGGTGGATAGATAACTTGGGCCTATATAAGGTACCTACTCAAGTACTTGGATACCTAGGAGCCTAATGCACCCTCGCCCTGCAACATGTACTCGGTACCCGCCACAGCGCCCGCAGCACAGTGCGCAGCCCTGGGCCGCGCCGCTCCATGGACCCCGGCGGGCAGAACAGGAGCCTGCGGTCCTGGCCAATGCGGCGGCCAATGCGGCTGCAAGCACGACGAACTGGCCAAGGCGGGCGGGGGTGCATGTTGCCGGCGCGCGGGCTGCAGTTCCCCGGGCGCGGGCATGACGAGTGCTACGGCGCCATGCACGCGCATTTGGAGGCCTCGGCACCGGCCTGCGCCGGCTGCTGCCGCCGGGCGCCGGGCCGAGGCGGGGCGGACCCACTCCGGCGCCGAAGGTGGTCGGCGACTGGAGCTGCAACCGGTGCCGGATCGAGGCTTCATTCTGACGACGTGTAGGCACGGGGTCGTGGGGGGTGGAAGGTGAGTCGCGGTGCTCCTCTCTTTCCGAGGGGCGTCGCTGTCGACGCCATGGCACCGGAGGCAACCTTTACGAACCTGCATCCCAGCCATCGTCTGTTCGGCGGTGGCGGTGGTGCTTCACGGGGCCATCAGCGGCCTGAGCCGAGTCTGATACCCAGTCAGGGGCGGAGAGGCTGCCGCCACGCGCGGGAAGGCGGCTGTTACCGGCCAAGTCACGAGGGTGCTGCCGCCAAGGCACGCAACTCCGTGAAATAGTTGTAGCCTGTGTGGCGGAACGTATATCAAGACTGCTTCTGACATGGCGTTTGTTGAGTAATGACTTCGAGAAACAAGAAAAAAAGGAAGGAATCCCGAGGCAGACGAGAGAAAACAGCGACTGAAGTTACGTAAAGATGGGGGGGCCTCGGGCTCCCTTACTATATGGCTTGTATATATCCGTAGGACCCCGTATTACCTAGAGTCCATAAAGACCTTGGCGAGGCCCAACGAGAAATGAGAGTCCTCGCACTGGGGCTGCCTCGTACCGGCAGTGCCTCAATGGCCGAAGCCCTGGCCATCTTGGGCTATCAGGCTGTTTACCATGGACTTCGCTTAAATGACAGCCCGAGCGACCAACGCATCCTTGGTCGCGCAGCCGAAGCAACGTTCTCGGTCCTTCCCACATACACGGGGCGGCCAATATTCGGGTCTTGCGAGGCTGCCACGGACATGGCCGCCGTCTTCGCCCCTCAGCTCATTGGGGTGTATCCCAAGGCCAAAGTCATACTCGTCATACGGGACTTTGAAGCATGGTCTGCGAGCGTCGAAGACGTCATCTTCAAGTAGTTCTTCAGCTTAAGAATTGCTCTTATTTTAAGCGTGTCTAGGTCGACAATGACATTTTGCTGCGATAGATCGTTATGGCAGAAGACATATTCGTCATGACTTGAGGGTCGTAGATTCCAGGTTTCTGTCTCTGTGCGTTGTAAAACTCGATATGGAGGAATCGCAATTCCGGATGGTCCACCAAGGCGGCATGACCGATGGGTGAGTCCAGGTCGGACCGATCAGTTGGAGTAGGCGGATGGAATCGCAGCGATGGAGCAGGCTGCGGTTACGATGAAGGGAAAGGCCGGTGTGTTCCGACGAAGGGGGATAAGACGTCCTGGGCTTCAAGACTAGACGCGGAGCGACTATGCATTGGTGACTGGAAAAGTGAGGTTTCCAAGGACGGGAGAGGCAACAAACAGCCCGGCCATTCCGTTGCGGCTTGCTCACCCACCCCCTCCGTCGTTCTGCCATGGCAGACCCCCTGCGCTTCAAGTCCAGACCGTGAGCCAGAGTTATCCCGGCGCAAGAGTGCCTGCTCTGGTGCGAAGCATGTCTTGAGAGGCACATGTGCGTCAGACTGAGCCGAGATTAGAGGTTTGGGCTGTCCGACAAGTATAGTTACGAGACCTATACGTTAGTACACTTGGAAAGATAGCAGCCAAGGGACGGGGCTCAATCTCAAGTTACAATCAGGAGAGAAAACTTGATTTCCCGCTACCGGGGATTCTTATATGAAAAAGAGTCTCCATGAGCGTTTTACCCACGCAGTAGTTCGTACTTTAGCGACGTGTGAGAGTCGTATACGAGTTCCCAGAGCTGAGCCGGAAGCCCAATGGCTCCGTCGGATCTGCAATTGCGTGTTACCGCCAACGTCGTGGCGGTGCAACTGCATGACGGGAAGCAGCTGAACCCCAGAATTACACGCGTCGTAATTACCACGGCTTCAGGTCCTGGGCAGTCGTCTCACGCTACCCGTCGACCTCTCTCTCTCTCGCTCTCTCTCACCCTGTTCTCGTGGGAGCCAAACCAACATGCGCCTTCTCAACGTCTACACTCTTGGCCTGACGACATTCATGGGCGCGGACGAGGACATTCCGCCCTACGCCATCCTTTCGCACACCTGGGACCAATCCGAGGTCACGTTTGAGGATATGCAGGTCCCCGGCAGTCCTGGCCGGGGCCCGGAATTCGAGAAAATCAGGCAAAGCTGTGCGCGAGCGTCCCGGGATGGCTTGGACTACATATGGATCGACACCTGCTGCATCGACAAGAGCAGCAGAGCGGAGCTCTCCGAGGCAATCAACTCCATGTTTAGATGGTACCAGCAATCGTCCGTTTGCTACGTCTACCTAAAGGACTTTGAGGTTTCAGGACGCGTGGATTTCTGCGCCTCGCGGTGGTTTGACCGAGGCTGGACGCTCCAGGAGCTCATCGCCCCGAGAAATGTCGTCTTCTTGGACCAGAAATGGGTCGAGTTCGGAACCAGGGACCAAGGTCTCTTCCACCGCATATGCCATCGGACGGGTATCTTGCCCCAGGTCTTTACGAGCCGGCATTGCATGTGCTCGTCCGAGCCCCTTTCGTCGTTGCGCAACGGGAAGTGCGAGGCGTGCAATGCAAAAGACAACCTCCCCGATATCCTCGGGTCCTTGAACGCCTCGGTCATCATGGGCTGGGCTGCGAACCGCTCAACCACTCGCACCGAGGATGCTGCCTACTCCCTCATCGGCCTCTTCAACGTCAGCATGCCGCTGCTCTACGGCGAGAGGGACAGGGCCTTTATGAGACTCCAGGAAGCCATCCTGGCCCGTTCCAACGACCATTCCATTCTGCTATGGAGGGCAAAGCCGGACTCCGACGGGGGCCGACTACGGCCTGGCTGCCTCGCACGGTCGCCGAAAGCTTTCGCGTTTGCACCGCCCATTGTGCCACAGCGGGAGTACTACGACTTTGAAAACGAGATGATACCACGACTCGCCGTGGGGCTCTCTGACAACGCTGAGCCTATGCAAGTGTCGGAGACCATGCTGACCGTCACGCTCTGGCTTTGTCCCTGTCGAGCTGGACACCCGTTTGACGACGTTAGTCCTGAGACCCCGGGGGCGGATGATTGGACGCTTGGCATCTTGAACTGTAACAGTGCTTCCGATTATTTTGTACGACCGGCGATACTGCTCTCTCACATGGGCGCAAACCTCTATCGTCGAATCGCCTGTGACGCCATCTTTCTCGTTAATCCCCGGAGCTTACCATCCACACCTGTCACGACGACGCTCTCGATATACCATCGACATCCAAACACGCCAGATCCAGGCTCGAACTGGACCGTCATAGAGCACCTCTCGATGGAACAGGGCTTACGGAAACAAGTCAAACTTCTCGTTCGACCCGCGGGGCGGACTCCTGGCAAGGCATATTCCTCAAGGGATGCCGTCTGCTGCGTGGTCAATCAGCCACAGCGGTGCTGCCACTCTGTCACGACCAGGATAGTGGGAGGCTATCCGACAATCTATTCGCACGACTCTTTGCCACCGACGGTGCCGATGCTGCGGGGCCTTGTCAAATATGACTGCAGCCGTGGCTTGGGTCTTATCGGTGGCATCCATCTTTTCGAGGTGGCCGTACCAGCCGTGGGCTTGAGAGTCGGCATCTATGTTATTTGGGGCCTTCATCACCACCATCCAGTGTTGCACCAAGGAGTCCAGCAGAGCCTGGCAGAGAAGCCTTGGTGTCGCCTTTTTGATTCCACGAGCTTTGGTAGAGACTCAGGCATCCCAATCCGAGAGCACGAGGGAGATGATTTGCGGTATCAAAAGCAGCTCTACACTTGGCTGCTGCGTAATAGCAGAGATGCAAACTGGCAAGTAATGGTCCAGCGCGGTCTTCTCAAGAAAGTGCTGCCGGATCTGGCCGACGGCGAGCGGTCTGCTGCGGACAGGATGCTGGACCTGTTTCCCGAGTCCGAAATGCGGATGGGCTTGAGCGCGAGGATGAACATGGTGCAGGGGTTAGGAATAAGGTCCAACGATATCGAGCTGACGCTTTTTACGCCCGAGTGCAGTGGCTGGCGAAGTGACGCGTTTGACGGAAGTCAGAAAGACCAGGTGTTGGAATATGATCCCTCGCTAACCAGCTCCAAGCAGAAGCAACGGCTTAGACTGTGGAGCAGATGGCCAGCGAGAAAGAAAAGTGGTCAAGACGCAACATCGGCCAGCCCGCGCGCAGATGCGCCCGGCGTGTCGAATAGCTCGTAAAATCTCATCCGCAAAAGGGCATCCCGTCCTCTAGAACAGAACAAGAGTCCCTTGCTCTAAAGATGGAAGCGCCTTACGGTGAGCCTACACTTTTGTCGTGAAAGGCTCTGATCTCGCTGACAGTTAGCTATAGAGGATATTGCATGTGTCCGGGTCACCTCTGGCCACCCGCAGCAGGAGTTGGAAGGAGAGCGTAACGCTCATGTCATGCATGTTGGCTTCGCACTCTCATGCCCAGCTCCCTCAGCATGGCTTTGGGAGCTTGAGCCAGGCATCGTCAAGCAGCTCGTTCGCAGTGAATCTCTCCTCTGGCATCCAGGCACGCATTCGGTTGGCGAATTTGATGAAAATAAGTTTATCTTCTCCGTCTAGGATCCGAGTCTCGTTGGAGAAGTTGAAGTCTGGGCCAGGAATCAGGTCCTGATATTGAAATATCCCTAAATGGTGTTAGCTAATCTCTCAAATTGCCCAGACGGGCCATTACGTGCCTTGATCGTCGTACAAAAGTGCGTATACGTCCTTGTTAGCCCGGGAGAGAAGCTCGATACAAGGCGGCCCCAGGAGGCGAATCATCTGCGCGAACCGGGTCAAGTACGAGAAGTTTGGGTTTCCTGGTACTCTTGCGTCGAGGATGTTGACTTCGGCGAGGAGCTCCCACAACTAGACGCCGTCAGTTACCGCAAAAGGGATTCACGTGCAAGGCAGCCAATCACTAGACCTGGGTTCCATATATCCACAGAGCAAGTCCATCTCACCTTAAGCATGACTCCGGGAGCAGTGTGCTCGAGCGGCTAGATATCATGAGTACGGTTTGTGGGCACGTCCCCACGAACAGCAAGATCAAAGTCTGGAACTTTCACTGAACCCACGCCTTTCTTCAAGCGGCCGAAATCGCTACGTGGCTCGCATGTCGGGCGGCCCGGCGTTCTTGAAACGGCCCTGGACTGAGCCTTGCTCGCGCACACAGTCTCGTAGAACTGCTGGGTCCTCGAACGGGAGCATGAAGTGGTCCCAGTATCCAGAGTGGCTGACGGAGCGGCTCAGAGAGAAAGCAGGAGTGTTTTGCTCCAGACGATCCAACCTCCAACGAGTCAAGCACCTTGCGGACGTGTTCCTGACCAGGGTGCATCGTCCACATGGAGCACATGCGGTTTGACATGTCCACCTCCTGGCGCGCAGCTGCCTGAACGGCAGGTGAGCTGTTGTGATTTTCAGGGCCACACAATGCTGGGATGTCCAAGTCCATCTATGTGCTGATTGGCAAGCAGAGTCCAAGAACTAGGAGTCACCTGGGATGACTGACCGTTTGACTACTCTTGCGAGCCAAACTGTGGACGCGGTGCCCCATCCAAGCTTTGAGATAAGCTGGTATTTGCCGCGCAACGTCTCGCCAGTTCGTGCCGGATAGCACGTCTTGGGGTCGGAGGAGGAAGAATTTTCCTCCTCCAGGAGAGGACCGGACGGCGATGCTAAGGAGCTGGCTTCACGAACGTGGACTCGGAGCTTCAGGTATCCGGAGACGACGCGTCGCTGCAAGTGAGGCCATTTCAAGATTTGGTCAAAATCAGGTCACATCTTATCAGATGCCAAGAAGACCCGAAGTCATGTCAGGAGAATGAGGGGCAAACGCGGCGAAACGTCGGGCCATGTTCATCTACCTCGTACTGTACTCCGTAGGTATCAGGTAGACGAGACATGCTCTTGTTTGCTCCCTGTTGGAAGTGACGGTACTCCGTACATGCAAGGGGAAAAACTCGGCGCTCTTGGCAAGGCAAGAGTGCCTTGCCCTCCGTACCTGCCTTGTGTGTTCGCGGCGGCCTCCTGGGGCTGCGCTGACTCTCTCTTTCCCTCTCTCTCTCTCAAAAAAAAGAACCTTCTCTTCCCCTGCCCTTGTGACCTGCCGCCGCTGTGACCTGCCGCCGCTTCTGCTCGCGACTTCCCTCACGGTTATATATACTGTACACAGCCCAAATCACAGCTCCCCGCCCGCCCGGCAGGTGCGTCTCGGCTCCGTGGTCCACCCGCAGCTCTCCTGCCGTCGCCTGTCCATACCTGTCTTGTTACCTCGACGGCGACTTCTAATTGGGGTCCGCCTGTGATAATCTCGGCAATCCCCTTTCCCCTCCTCCTCGTTCTCTTTTCTTCCTGTTTCCCCCCTTTTGAGTCTGTGCCCAATCACACCCAGCCGACCGCAGCTAGCTACAGCTCCACCGCCGCCAAGACAAAGACATCGCTGCGACTGGGCGCGCAAAACCACTTCATTCCCACGCGCGTCGCGACCTCTCCGTCCTCAACGGCGACGACGCAACCTGCCAGCCTAGATTGCGCGACGGTCACGCACCGCCACCATCGTCCACAATGGCCGACGACAAGCCGTCGGTCCTCATCATCGGCGGCCTGGGCTACATTGGCCGTTTCCTGGCCCTCCACATCCACCGCAACAACCTCGCTTCCGACGTCCGCCTAGTCGACAAGGTCCTGCCCCAGCTTGCCTGGCTGGCTCCAGAGTTCTCCGAGGCATGCTCCCAGGATAAGTTCATGCAGGCCGATGCCAGCAGACCCGGTGAGTGGCTCCTTTTGCCTGCCTGCTTGAGCCATGCGGCTGACGCTGAACACTCGACAGAGGGTTTGGCCCGGATATTCGATCGCGCCGATGGGCAGCAGTGGGACTACGTCTTCAACTGCGGAGGCGAGACACGATACTCGCAGGAGGACGAGGTCTACAAGCTGAGGTCGCTCAACCTCTCTCTGGCCGTGGGCAACGAGGCTGCTAAGCGCAAAGTCAAGGCTTTCGTGGAGCTCAGCACCGGCATGGTCTACAAGTCGGACTCGTCTCCCAGTAAGGAAAAGGACAAGCTCAAGCCGTGGAGCAAGATTGCCGTCTTCAAGCTGCAAGCTGAGGAGGAGCTGGCCAAGATTCAAGGGTAAGTCCGGTGTGCGCCCGTCGTCGGTTGCGGCCCCTACTGACTGCGTCTTCTCTCCAACAGGCTCAACCTCATCATTGTACGCTTGCCCCATGTCTACGGCCCGTACGCCTCCCAGTGGGTCGCGACCGCTCTGTGCATGGCGCGCGTCTACCAGCACCTCGAAGGCGAGATGAAGTGGCTGTGGTCCAAGGACCTGCGCACCAACACGGTGCACATCCACGACGCCGCTCGCGCCCTCTGGGACATTGCCGCTTGGTACGCCGCCGGCAAGGCCAAGTGGGACAACGCTGAGATGGGCACAACGCCAATCTTCAACGTGGTGGACAAGGGTGAGAGCACCCAGGGGACCTTGGCCGACATTATCGGCGACATTTTTCAGATCGAGACGGGCTTTCAAGGCCAGCTCATCAGCACGTTTGCCCGGATGAACCTGGACAGCGTCGTCGACGACGTCAACGACGAAATTCTCGGTCCCTGGGCGGAGCTTCTCCACGACGCCGGCATCACGCGACCAGGGCCGCTGACTCCCTTTATGGAAAAGGAGCTGCTCAAGGACACGGATCTCAGCATGGACGGCAGCCGGCTCGAGGCGGTGCTGGGGTTCAAGTACGAGAAGCCAACCATGACGAAGCAGCTGGTGGAGGAAGTCATTGAAAGCTACAGACAAATGAAGTGGTGGCCATGAGGAGGGAGCTGGCCAGGAAGCGAGGCATCATTTTTACCACAGAGGGCTTCGACGGCCCGAGGAAGAGAGACGGCGCATGGCTCGTGCCCATGGCGGGAGAGACGAGAGCGCAAGTGGCAACATCTGGCCGCGTGCGTGTTGCAGCGGCCACGGGCCCGGCTTTCAGATGCGGTTGTGCAGACCGGGAGTCTGACAGTGTATCAATAGGAGATTCAGGGGCATGCCCACGGCCACACAAAGCGCCTGAGGGCGACTGGAAGCAAGGAATGGGGTAGCTTGGGCTGATTGACGGTGACGGACGATGATGCTGATGGGGCCTAACGTGACGAGCGGCCAAGGGCCAGACGAGCACGACACGGTTCGGCAGGTTGCGCCTCGCAAGGGGCAGACGGCCGGCAGGGGCGGTGGGAGTTCCGATTGACACCCGCTGGTGTTCTGTAGATTGCGAATGCGAGTGTGTCACGATGCGGATCGGGCCCCTTTCTTATATGCGCGGGAGTCTGTCGTCTGTGCGTAGGCGTACCGACGAGGTTGCTTGTGGGCCTTGGATTGCCATGCCTTGGGGTGGTATCGGTGTGTCTCGTCACCGTCTCTAGTCGCCCGTGGTCCGCAGCCCGTCAGGCAAATACAGCAGTAGTGTGCCAAAAGGTCCTACTGCTCCATGACCTCGGCCATTTGCCCCTGTGGAGAGCGATAGAGGGTCGTTGGCCGCGCCATGTGACAACGGCGCCCGCTTTGGGGCGGTTTTCTGACATCTTTGTCCGGGAAACAAAGGCGAAGGAAGGGCCCCAGTGGTTCGTGGATGTGCCTGGAGCCAGATTGACTGGGTAATTGCCGACCTCGGGTCTTTTCTGCCCTCTCCTTTTAATCCCCCCCATCTCTTTCTTTCCCCCCCTTCTCTCTCTACCTCCATCCCGTCTCACTCAAAACTATCCATATCCGTATATCATCGAGAGATTGATTGGGCCCTCGCTTCTTCTGGAAACCAATAGCCAAAAGCTCCCCCCTCAGTGAAACCATGGCGGCACCAACCAGCAAGACACTCAAAGACCTCAATGGCAAATGGAACCTGGTGGGTTACTGTGGCTGTTTCTTGTCCCCCTCATAGGACGACGATGCACTGACACGTGCGCCCGCGGGACAGAACAAGGAACTGTCCGACTCGCCCGATGCGGGGCTCGCCCTCCAGGGCATCGGCTACCTGACGCGCAAGGGCATCGGCCTCGCCTCCATCAGCATCACGGTCAAGCAGTACGAGGGCCCAGCCAAGCAGCCGGCGGGCCCGGCGGGCGACGGGCCCTTCACGCACATTGACATTGTGCAGTCGGCGTCGGGCCTGACGTCGACGCAGGAGCTGCGCTGCCTCGACGACCACGCGCGCGAGCACAGCGACTGGCTGTTTGGCACCGTCGACGGCCGGTCGCGCTGGGCGAGGCTCGCCGACATCGAGGGCGCGTACCTCAAGCAGGGCTGGCTCACGACGGGCGACGGTAACGACGACACCGTTGTCGTGAACCGCGCCGTCAGCAAGGGCAACGGGTGGACGGCGACGCAGGTCTGGGGCTTCCAGGAGATCAAGAGCCAGAGGCGGTACTGCCGCAACGTGGTGATCGAAAAGGGCGACAAGAGCGCCGAGTTTCGCCTCGTCTACGACTTTGTCGAGTAGCGGCTGCTTCACTTGCATGCAGCTTCCACCACGGGTGCGTTTTTCTCTTTCGTGGCTTGTTGACTGAGATGGATGGGCTTCGTGAGACGCGTGGGATTGGAGCGGGGCGCAGAGGCGGCACATGGGTCCTTGTATGATATATCCCGTGCAGAAATCGAAACATGGCTTTGATAGCTGCTCACCGAAGTCGAGGGTGGTCTTGACCGCCTCCCATGGCACGGCCCGCACCATTCATACCATGGCTATCCATTCCTATGTACACTTGCAGGCCTCGACATCACCGGAATTGCGGTTGAAGCCATGTGTGCCCGTCGCTACACGATAGTCTTGCTTGTTAGGAAGAGACGCATACGCATGCCTCTCTGATGGTCCTGGGCGACTCCGGGGGTGGGAGTGGGGGACAGCGACGGCGCACCATCCTATTTCAACTCGGCCTGCATCCCTCATCAAGCCGACGCCACGCGCCTCTAGACGGCGCTGCATCAATTCTTGTTTCGTCCCGGCACCAGGGCCCCTCCCTCACGCCGGCCTCCTCTTGACAAACTCCTCGAGGTCCTGAACAGTGGCGACGCCGAGGACGAACCTCCGGTTGTCGTCGGTGATGACGGCAAACTCCTGCTTCCAGGGCCCGTCGGGGACACCCGCGCGGAAAAAGTCCTCGAGCTCCTCGAGGGGCGTATCCATGGTGATGACGCGGTAGGCGCGGCCGCGGCGCTGGAAGCGCGTCATGGCAGCGGAGAGGGGGTCCTGTGGCTGGACGCGGTGGGCGTCGAGCAGGGCCTGTAGGTGAGGGATGGAAATGTAGCCGACGAGGGCGCGCGTGTCGGCGGCGACGACGGTCAGGTGCGTGTAGTCGCGCTCAAAGGCGGCGAGGAGGGCGACGGAGATGGAGTCGGAGGGGTTGAGGGACAGCGCGGCGGGGGGGTCGAGGTCCTCGACGGTGGCCTGGAGAGGTTGTCAGCGAGATGAAGCCGAGTAGAGCTCCGATATCAGGGACGGCATGTCCACGCGGCCAAAGAGCGAGAGCCGGTGGAGGAGAGCGAGGGGGGTTGTTTGACGGACGTACTCCGCGATAGCGCGACGACCACTTGGACACAAACGCCTTGTTGGGCGCCGCGGCCGGCACCGCGGCAGCAACCGTCGTCGCCATTCGACGGCTCTGTGTGGGCGTGGAGTGACAAGAGGGGGAAAGGGGGCTTGTTGCAGTGTGGGCTGGTCGCGAGAGTCGAGGCGGCGATGACGATGGCGTGGAGGGAATCTGGCGGCGCTTCCAGGGATGGAAAACTGGCGGGGGTGCGGGCCCTGAAGTTTTGCACTGCCAGGTGGCCCCCGGACAGTGGGGCCAGGCTTCGGGCCGGAGGGGGCTCGCCGTCTTCGCTGTCCGTCCACTGGGAGCGGGGCCGGCCGCCTCGACTCTGCTGGGGGAGCTGCCATTAATTAGCAGGCATCTGTTGAACAGGCACGTGATGGTTAAACCGGGTGGGGGGAGAACGTCTTTGATGCTTTTTGCATAACTAGATGCTCGCAACGACATTGGCCGCCCGCTGGAACAAGGCAAGGCCGATGATGTCATGGCTTCAGCGTGTGCTCGGGCACCTCTCGGCATGCTGACGCCCGTTAACTCCGCCCACGACTAAGTGCTTGTTTGTACGCAGAATCTGGGGTAGCTGGAGCCAGCATTGGTCGACTCACACGACACTTGTCAGCTCGAAACCTCACCCGCACGGCAAAGCGCCTTTTTCCTACTTGGCCTGCCCACCGCCAATGTCATACCTCTACCCCAAGGCACAGTCGCTCGAGGGCTCGCGCTACAGCCCCGCCATGGCCGCCGCCGGAGCCCGGCCGACGCCGTACCAGGCACGGCCTGAGCTGTACGGCGCCTTTTCCGCCGTCGACGACGCCAAGGGCAAGGCCAACAAGCTCGGCAACGAGGCCGCCAGGGAGTTTGAAAAGGCGAGCGCCGCCGCCCAGGCCAAGACGGGCAAGATGGAGCTCTACTCGGGCAAGTTCTACGCCGCCTGCACCGTGGGCGGCCTCATGGCTTGCGTAAGTCATGTACCCCTGAGAAAAGATGCCGCGGTCGTTGCTCATCGAGGGTAAACAGGGTCTCACGCACACGGCCGTGACGCCGCTCGACCTGGTCAAGACGCGCCGGCAGGTCGACCCGAAGCTGTACACGAGCAACTTCCAGGCGTGGGGCCGCATCTACCGCGCCGAGGGCCTCCGCGGCATCTTCACGGGCTGGAGCCCGACGCTCTTCGGCTACAGCGCGCAGGGGGCCTTCAAGTACGGCTGGTACGAGTACTTCAAGAAGACGTACTCGGACATGGCCGGGCCCGAGGCGGCGGCCAAGTACAAGACGGGCCTGTACCTGGCGGCGTCGGCGTCGGCCGAGTTCCTGGCCGACGTGGCGCTGTGCCCGTTCGAGGCCGTCAAGGTGCGGATGCAGGGCAGCATGCCCAACCCGTACGCCGGCACCGTGGCCGGCATCCGGGCCGTCACGGCCAAGGAGGGCTGGGCCGGCCTATACAAGGGCATCTACCCGCTGTGGGGCCGGCAGATCCCCTACACCATGATGAAGTTTGCCTCGTTCGAGACCATTGTCGAGATGATGTACCGGCGCCTGCCGGGGGAGAAGAAGGACTACGGCAAGGCGGCGCAGACGGGCGTCTCGTTTACGGGCGGCTACCTGGCGGGCATCCTGTGCGCCATTGTGTCGCACCCGGCCGACGTCATGGTCAGCAAGCTCAATGCGAGCCGCGAGCCTGGCGAGGCGTTTGGCGGTGCCATGGGGCGCATCTACCGCGACATTGGCTTCGCGGGGCTGTGGAACGGCCTGCCGGTGCGCATTGTCATGATTGGCACCCTGACGGGGTTGCAGTGGATGATTTATGTGAGTTTCTTTATCTCTGTCCCCTTCTCTCCCTTGCTTTCTCTCTGGACTGACGCCATCGTCGCACAGGACTACTTCAAAATCTTCATGGGCCTGCCGACGACCGGAGGTCCGCCTCCTCCGACCGAGAAGAAGTGAAGGCGCGCAGGGGGATTTTGGATGGGGTCGGGAGCCTTCGTTGTGCCAGAGTGACTCGGCGCCCGAGGTGCGAGCGGGTACGTATCCTGAGAGACGACGGCATGCAGACCATGACTATCAGTGTGTGTGTCTCTCTCTCTGTGTGTGTGTGTGTCTGTGTGAGTGTGTGTCTCTGTGTGTGTGCACTGTCGAGTGGCACGCCACGTCTTGAAGACGGGCAGGAGGATGGGCGGCACGCTTGGGGGCCAAAAATATACCAAAATAAATGTCTGGGCGGTATCAGGCGACAAAGGCGGCTCTATTTTTACCTGCATCTCGTTTCGCACAAGGGGCGTTTGGAGGAGGGAGGGTGTCTGATACATGTCCCGACTTGGACGAGTTTCCCGCGGCGAACAAGGCATGCAGGGGCAGGCGCCGTCAAGATGGCGATTGACGAGAGGCTGATGACGGCCGGGGGGGAAAGCAAGAGACAGCCTCGGAAAGCCATGCGGTGGCGTCGCATCGCCCGCGACAAAAGGAAACATGGATGCGCCAAGGCGGAGGGAAACACGGCGAATTGACTTTTCCCCAAAGTCGGGCATCGCGGGGAACGAACGGGGCACAGTAATTACGTACAGTACCTTGTATCCCAGGCTCTCCTCCCCCATCTCCCCCTCTCTCCCCCCCTCTCTCTCTGGCGCCTCGTCAGATTTGTTTTGTCCATATTTTTAGTCGTATACCTTCTCGGCGACCCAGCAAGCACCTCGTCAGCGCATGCAGTCAGTCTCGACGGCACGCGGCTATCTAGGCTGGGTACAGTAGGTGGTGCCTCGTCTGCAATGCAACCAACCTCGCTCGTGCCTTTGGTCGTCAGCAAAGCCGCAGCCAACAGAACGCTTCATCGGCGCCCTTCTCAGTCCATGCTACAGACTACAATACATTCTGCACACATGTGCCTTGCCCACCTACCTCCTACCCTACCTTAGCGACTTAGCCTTGGACAGCACAGTAGTGTGTGGGTTTGCATCGCATCCTGCAGCGACGTCACAGCCGTTGGCTCTCTCTACGAATCCTCTGCACTGTATCGGCTTATGCACAGTAGGTACCACGGCCATCTGAAGGCGGCACGACGTCAGGTTGACAACTGCCTTATCTCTCGCGCTCCTAGGAAAAGAGACAAGGCGAGGGGCAGAGACAGCCTCTTCGTCGTCACCATCCGCCTCCTCCTCCAATCGACCGTCATGGCCATCCACCATCCACCATCCACCATCCAAGTCGAGGGCAGAATCCGCGTCGCAGGCACCAACGTCTGATTACAATGCTTCTTCAGCGGCCCTCACCACCCAACAGCCCTCCCTCCCTTTGTATGTACTGTCATGCATTTCGATGCCTTGCATGAGGCATGATGCGCTCTCGAACCAACACTTTGTTGCACTCGACTGTTCTCTCTCTCTCTCTCTCCGTCTCTGTCTCTCTGCCCAGCCAGCTCAGGTTTTAAAAGAAAATATAAGTTACGGTGTTTCCAGCCCAAGTCTGCGTATTTCAGCAGGTACCAACTCATATACAGTGGTTGTACCTACCTCGTACATCCCCTCCGTCCTCCAACCCCAGGCTTCTCCGTAGTCCCTGCCTGCCGCAGCCGAGTTTAAACAGAGGCCGGATGTACTCTCTGCATGTCATCTTGTACCCGTCGCCAAGTCACTCCCCAACCCCCAGTGACGCAAAAGGATACCTGGTCCACCCACCAAAAGCACCCCGTACCCCATGTATCATCTTATCCCCCGTCTCCTGCTCGTCCGCTCCGCAGATCCGCACACGCCCCTTCCCCCCGGGAAAAAAGGCTGGACTATCCCTTCTGCTTTCCTCACTGCCGATACTTGTCCTCTCCTCCTCTCCAATCCCATCAGGAGGAATCAATCGATAGATCCCGCTCCCGTCGAAATCGCCTCCGTCGCGAATGACTTCCCACGTCCTCGTCCAGCCAATCTCTTAGCGGGCGCTGCGCAGCTCTTCTGCCTGCCTGCGTCCGGCCTCCGCCTCCGCCGCCGCCCCGCTGACCGCCCGAGCCCTCCCATCATGGCCGGCTTCCTCAACAAGATCAAGAGCGCCAGTTCGGTACGTCCACCGCCTTTCACCCGCGTCGTCATCGCCGTCAATGCTCGAGCGAGACGCAACGAGCGAGGCCGAGGAAGAGGGAGCCGGGGGCAGACGAACCACGACGAGGCTCTCGGCCTTGGCCTTGTCTCTCCCAGCCAACGCGCGCGTCGCCCGGCCATCGGCACTTACTGATTCTCTCCCCGATAGGTCTCTCCGATCTTGTCGACCAAGGATGCGCAGCCCAAGAAAAAGGACGAGTCCCTCTTCGAGGTCACCCCGCTGGAACGGATGCTCCAGCATGCCGGGCCGTTGCGCGAGGATGGCAGTGACAGATTCTTTGGGTTTGAAAATGTGCCTCTCCCTTGAATCGCTTGCCTTGCCCCCTTCCTCTCCTGTTCAACTTCTTTTCCAATAAACGCAGCTTCGGCCCCTGACTGACCTGCATCTCCTAGTTTGGAAATACCTGGTATACAGCGGCGCCCCTGCAGCCCCGACGGCCTACTAACTTGCTCTCCTAGTTACTGCAACTCCATTGTTCAGGCTCTCTTCTATTCCGACCTCTTCCGCGACAATGTTATCAAATACCCCCCGCACTCCCCGTCCGACACCCCCAACGGCATCCGTCCCAAGGTCAACGTCACCATCAGACCCCTGATGAACCCGACTCCCCCGACCTTACAACAGAAACAAAAGACCCTCCCGGCCTCCCAGGCCATGAAGCAGCGACAGGTCATCAGCCCGGGTCAGCCCATGTCCGGTCAAACCGGGATCAAGCCCGAGGACAAGCCTGATACGCCCGAGTACAAAAAGAAGCAGGCAATGCTCAAAGGGCCCATCTTGGAGTTGGCGCAGGAGAATGCCGTGGCGTACGGCATGGATGAGTGTACCTTTACGGGGCTCAAGGACATATTTCTGGCTTTGATGGACAGCAAAACGCGGACGGGCGTCCTCAGCCCCCAGCGCTTCCTCGAGATCTTCAAGCGCGACAATGAAATGTTTCGCAATTCGATGCATCAAGACGCCCACGAGTTCTACGGCCTTGTACTCAACGACGTCATCGCCAACGTCGAAGCCAAGGCTCGCAAGACACACGAGCAGGAGGCGGCCAACAAGCCCAACGGCCTTGCGCAGTCGGTGGGACACGCGTTGGGCTCCACCGTGGCCAACAACACAAACGGCTACCGCTCCCCGGGCACCGGTTGGGTCCACGACATTTTCGAGGGCGTCTTGACCTCGGAGACAAAATGCTTGACGTGCGAGACGGCGTCGCAGCGAGACGAGACATTCCTCGATCTTTCCATCGATCTCGAGGAGCACTCGTCCGTCACGTCGTGCCTGCGCAAGTTTTCTGCCGAAGAGATGCTCTGCGAGCGTAACAAGTTCCATTGCGACCATTGCGGAGGGCTGCAGGAAGCAGAGAAGCGTATGAAGGTCAAGCGGTTGCCCAAGGTGCTCACGCTGCATCTGAAGCGGTTCAAGTACACGGACGACTACAGCCGCCTGCAGAAGCTCTTTCACCGCGTCGTGTACCCCTATCACCTGCGCATGTTCAACACCACCGAGGACGCCGAGGATCCGGACCGCCTGTACGAGCTGTACGCGGTTGTCGTGCACATCGGCGGAAACGTCTACCATGGTCATTACGTGTCGATAATCAAGACCAAGGACCGAGGCTGGGTGTTATTTGACGACGAGATGGTTGAGCCTGTCGACAAACACTTTGTGCGCAACTTTTTCGGGGACAAGCCCGGCATGGCTACGGCGTACGTTCTTTTTTACCAGGAGACGACCTTTGAGAAGGTGAGGGAAGAGCAGGAGAGGGAAGGGATGGAGGAGGTCAAGCTGGCGACCCAGGCTGCACACGTGGCGCACGAGGACGGCGACAAGGCAGACACGGCTCCGTTAAAGCGACAGACGACGCAGCCGACTCCTCTGACACTCGAGCGAGAGTCCATGTCCAGGTTGTCACATGCCAGAACGGCACCTGACATGCCCAGTCCGCCGCCGGTGGGGGACGTGCCCCCGATGCCGACGCCGCTTCCCGCCTCCCCTCTGACGGGCCCTATCGCGGCGAAGCAGGACGCCAAGACCAAGGAGGAAAAGAAGCGAGAAAAGAAGGAGCGCGAGGCGGCGGAAAAGGCGGCGAAGCATGCAGAGAAAGAGAGGGGAAGGCAGGCCAAGGAGGCGGAGAGGGAGAAGGAAAAGCAAGCCAAGGAGGCGGAGAAGGAGAGGGGAAAACAAGCCAAGGAGGCGGAGAGGGAGAGGGAGAGACAAGCCAAGGAAGAAGATAAGAGGAGAAAAGATGAGAAACTTGGGGGGTCCCAGGCTCGCAGGAGCGAGCAAGATGAGCCGCAGAGCTCACACGACGAAGGCAAACGGACGGAGGCCAAGGAGGAGGAGCCGAAAAAGAAGGAGCCGAATGGCTCGGGGTCCATGAGCAGCCTCCTCGACAGGTCCAAGAGGGGTAGCAAGTCCATGTCGAAACGGAGCTTCAGCTTCTTCCACAAAGACAAGGGAATCAGCGACACGGCTTCCGGAGGGCACGAAAATGGCGATGCGCCGGAGAAGCAAGAGAAGACCAAGGGCCGCCTCAGCATCGGACTGGGCCGCAAGAAGAGCGGCAACTTGCTGTCGTGAACGAAGCACATGGTCCCGCCCACGTGCCTGCGCGTGAATCTGGTGCTCACTCGGTGGAAGAAAAGCTGGGGAATCGAATCGACCGCACCGGCAAGGGCTGCGGTGCTCGAGACACACAAGGGTCTACGACGGAACATACACTGGCCGGCTTTGCGCGTACGGAGAAGATGGCATCGAAAGCGAACTTGGGTTGCATTTTTTTGGCAGCCAGGCCTGGGTTGGGCTATTTACATGTCAGGATTCTGGCGTTGGTTTGGAAGGACCGGGTTCAGGGGGGCATGACATGACGGTCGAGAGACGTCACGGATGTCGCGGATGAAGGAACGAATGCATGGAGCCCGTGTATTGACGAGCGGGATGCTGTAACAACACCACGCACGAGATGGTCCATAGCCGTCTTTGGTCGTACTGCGACGACTGTATGATGGCTTGAAGGATGCCCTGGGCAGCGACTAGATAATGAAGCATCGGGCTGGCATGAAAGCCCTAGCACCTATTGTTCCATCTCTTGCTCGCGTGGAGCATTGGCAAGGTGGTGAGCCATGTAAAGCTGGGCCGTCGTCAAAAGTGTGTTGGTCTTCTCGACAGCTGCTCTGCCGCCGCCGGGCGACTGCTTGACCCGGGAAAGATTCCGCATTCGCCGACGCTATGGAATGGCCATTTTGTTTTCGCCTCGACCCCTCTTCCCTCGCACGCAAATCATCCAAGCACCAGCTCGTAGAGTATGATGACAGTGTTGATGAAGACCAAGGGCACTGGGAAGGCACACTGGCAGTTAGTTGGTGCGGTCTCGTCGCCCGTCGTTTCGGACAGGGGAGGGGGTGGGGGGTCGTGACGCACTGCGCATAATGGTGCGGATGCTGGCTATGAGGTGGATGATCTTGGCCTTGATGCTCGCGTCGGCGCCGATGCCAAAGGCCGGGTCGTAGGAGGCGGGGGAGAGGTTGACTGCGTGCGGAGGGGAGGCGGTTAGCGACGATGTCTCTCTCTCTCTCTCTCTCTCTCTACACATGTATGTATTTCACTGGTGGTGTGCGCACACGGCCATGCGTGTCGAACGACTCTGTCCGTCCCCGTAGGGCAACGGTGGAGAGAGAGGAGCGGACGTACTGCGGGCGAGGAAGCGGTCCTCGCTGAGGACGGCGACGGCGTTGATGAGCAGCACGGCAATGTAGAGGAAGTTGCCGAAGAAGAGCATCTTGGGCGACGGCGGCGCGGTGCGATGCGGCTGTCGGAGACGGAAGGGGGTTGCGGCGCGCCGGGCGGATCGGGAGCTGGAAGGGTCGTGTGTCGTCGTGTCTTGCTGCCCCCCGTCGTGGTGGCCTCGTCGGTGGGGGAGATAGGTTGTGCCGATCCGGGGCTGCTGCGCGTGGTCGGGTACGGGACTGAAGTATCTTCTTGGGGCCTTGGAAACACCTTGCCCGTCGCAGCGCTTGGTGAGCCGACGCTTGAGATACGGCCTCGTTTCGCTGTTTTGTTCCTCTGGTTGTTCATTTTCCCCGTGAGGAATATTTCTGGTGCTCGACGGTCAGGCCGGTCCAGCTTGGGAGCCGAGAGGGAGAGACAGCCCGCGTCGGTCTCGCTCACGCCCGCTCTCTGATGAACCATCCTCATCCGCCATCAACAGCCCAATGGCTCCCTCCGGTAACACACGCTTGCCAGCGCTCATGCCTTCCAGTCCGGACCAAACAAGACAAACCGCCATGGGCCAACGCTAACATGCTCCCCCATCAAGGCCTACTCCTCGACTCCCTGCTCCTCGCCGCGCCGCTCGTCCACCTCGCCGCGTCGCCGCACACAAAGGTCGAGGAGTCGTTCAACCTGCAGGCGGCGCACGACGTGCTCGTCTACGGCGTGCCCCTGGCCGCGCCCGCGCGCCTGGCCCGCGCCTTTGACCACTTCGCCTTCCCCGGCGCCGTGCCGCGCTCCTTGGTCGGCCCCGTCGTCCTCGCCGCCGTCGCCCGCCCCGCCGTCGCCCTCGTCGGCTTCCGCCATGCCCAGCTCGTCGTCAGGGCCGTGCTGGCCGCCTGCAACGCCGCCGCCCTCGTCGTCTTCCGCAGGGCCCTGGCCGAGGCGTTTGGCGCTGCCGTGGCTGCTTGGTGGGTGCTCATGACGGTTGCGCAGTTCCACGTTGTCTACTACGCCTCGAGGACCCTGCCAAACATGTTTGCCTTTGGCCTGAGTGAGCTCTTCTCCCCTCTCCCCCCTGACTGCCCCGTCTCTCCACTCCCCCCTCGTCGCTGATCAGCAACCCATTCCACGGGGCACGACAAAAAGCCACCCTCGCCCTCGCCTTCCTCCTCCCCAAGACCGACCCCCGCCGCGCCCGGGTCCGCCGCCGGCAAGCCATCGGCCTGCTCGTCTTCGCCACCGCCATCTTCCGCGCCGAGCTGGCCATCCTGCTCGCCGCCGTGGGGCTGCAGCTCCTCGCCTCGCGCCAGCTGGCCCTGCGCAGCCTCGTCGCCCTCGTCGTCGGCACCCTGGCCGTCGCCCTCGCCATCTCGGTCCCGCTCGACTCGTACCTCTGGCAGAGGCCCCTCTGGCCCGAGCTCGCCGCCTTCTACTTCAACGCCGTCCAGGGCGCCGCCTCGGACTGGGGCGTCTCCCCCTGGCACTACTACTTCTCCTCGGCCCTGCCGCGCCTCCTCCTCAACCCGCTCGCCGTCCCCCTGGTCCTCTTCGCCCTCGCCCACCCGGGCACCCGCCGCCAGGCCCGCCTCCTCGCCGTCCCCAGCCTGCTCTTCGTCGCCATCTACTCCCTGCAGCCGCACAAGGAGGCCCGCTTCGTCTTCTACGCCGTCCCGCCTCTGACCGCCGCCGCCGCCCTCGGCGCAAACCTGGTCGCCTCGCGCCGCGCCAAGTCGCCCGCCTACGCCCTCGCCGCCCTCGCCCTCGCCCTCGCCCTCGTCGCCTCCTGCGCCGCCAGCGCCGCCGTGCTGCTCGTCTCCTCCCTCAACTACCCCGGCGGCGACGCCCTCGCCCAGCTCAACGCCCTCGTCGCCCGCAGCCACGACGCCTCGGCCCCGACCCTCGCCGTCCACGCCGACGTCCTGACCTGCATGACGGGCCTCACCCTCTTCGGCCAGAACCCCCACGGCCTTCCCCTCGCCCTCGCCCGCCCCTCGGCCCTCGCCGACCTCCTTCCCCCCCCCGCCGCCGCCGCCGCCTCCGGGCCCGTCTTCCTCTTCGACAAGACCGAGGACAGCCCGCTGCTCGACCGGCTCTCCTTCTGGGAAACCATGGACTACGCCCTCATGGAGGACCCGGCCGCCGCCCTCGGCAGCTGGCACGTAGTCGGCGTCGTCCACGGCTACGACGGCATCGAGGTCCTCAAGCCCGGCGCCGCACCCCGCCACCACGACGCAGGCCCCGTCGTCGGCCGCGGCGCCCGCGTCGCCCGCCTGCGCGACGCCGTCAGGGGATACACGGGCGGCTGGTGGGTCGGGCCTCGCATGTCGCCGCGCATCCACATCATGAAGCGCACCAGGCACACGCGGCACGCCGTGTCCTGAGCTCTCACCCTGTCGGCGTTGGGTTGTGGACGTGGTTCAAGACATCGTAGTGTATAGATGTATATAGTTCAGAAACGCAGTTGACATGAGGCTCCAAACCAACATCCCTGCCCCTTTTCCACACGCACACCAACAACATCCCGTTCCTCGCCCGGGAACCCGAAGGAGAAAACGCCGCAAGAGCCGCCAACCCGTGTAAATCCAGTCACCGAACAAACCCAGTCCGCCGCGCCCACCCAGCCTCCTTGTACGGAGAAAATGAAGCCATCGCTTTCATACCTCCCAGCCTCTTTTTGTATTATCCGTTCCCTGGCTCCCCTTGATTTCCCCCCTCGTTCTATTACCCAACACCCTTCTGGAATACAAGAAAAAAAAGGCGCGGGCAACCAACGAGCAAGGAATATACACCGACCTGAGAAAGAGAGCGAGTCAGGCTCTCCCTTCTCTCCCGCCGTCTGGAGAAACAACTCGGTCAGTGACATGGTCGATGTGGCCCGTGTGGGCCGTCGCTTGCGAGCTCCATCCCTCGTGGGCGTGGGCAAAACGGGAAACGAGATGATGAATCGAGTCTGGTCCAGCCTCGTACAAGCTTCTCGTCACCGCAGCCTTACTCGGTCGCGTCCGAATCCTCGTCGTCATCTTCTTCCTCGTCCCTTTGCCTTGCTTGCCTCTCTTGGCTGTCTTCTTCTTCGTCTTCGTCTTCCTCCTCTTCTTCTTCCTTTACACAACCATCCGAGCGTGGAAGCGCCCCATATCTCTTCCTGTAGAGATCCAGCTCTCTCTTCTGCTGGACGAAAAAGTCAATCACCGCATCCATGGGCGCGCGCAGCTCATCGAGCTCGCGCAAGGCACCGCTGCCCACGGCGAGGTGGCGCATGGCGAGGGTAGAGGCACACATCTAGTCCATGTCAGTAATCAATCTGTAAATAGGGAAGCACAATACGACTCACCTCTATCCTGCTCACCTGGTGCTCCGCAAAGGTGATCAGGAACCGATCCGTCACGTCGCCGGCCTGCGATCTTATGCGCTCGAGAAGCTCCATCTCTGGCTGCTGTAACGCGGCGCCCGACTCTTGCTCCAGCGTACTGCAGAGCATCTCGAGCCGCAGGCTGACCTTCCAGAGCGCCCAGAGCGTCTCGGGGTCAAACAACAGCTGGCCGCCGGAGGCGTTGGTCTTTGGCTTCTCCGGGCCCTCGTCGCGTCGCTCGTGCTGCAGATGGTGATCGATACGGCCCACCAGGGCGTGCGGATAGAGCGAGTAAATCATTTCCGGATTTTCCAGGCCCTTGAGTTTCTTCTCACCCATCTCCTTGACCTCGAAGCCCTGGGAGGTGAGCGACGTGAGATCTTTTCTCATGGTCGCCGCAAACGTTTCGTCCTCGAACCCTTCCTCGGTCGCGGCCGAGCCGCTGCGTTCAGTGTCATGGAAGGTTTCCAGGCAGCGTTGAATCTCCGAGATGAAATCCGATGACACCGTGATCTGGCCGCCGTCGGCGACAGCCGAAACTCGCGCCGCCTTGTTGACCATGGGCCCAAAGTAATCCATGCGGCGCGTGACGGGATCCGTCTCGCTCACGCAGTCGCCAAAGTGGATGCCCATGCGCACGGATATGCCCTTGAAGATGACGTTGTTGTCCTTGTCGTAGACTGGCTGGCCAGACAGGGAGTTGAGAATCTCCGACGGCCAGTTCACGTCCAGAAGCTGCAGCTGGACGGCAAAGCACCACAGCAGCGCGGAAGTGGCCGTGGGGAAAGAGACTATAAAAGCGTCGCCCTCGGTCTTGACCTCGTACCCGCCGATGCGTCGGAGCTGTCGACGCATCACCTCGTTGTGCAGCTTGATCGCCGACCTCATGGCACTGGGATACATCTCCCACAGCGTCGTCGAGTTCTTGATGTCGGTAAAGGCAATCGATACGGTTCCCGTCGGCGCTGGGATTTCGGCCTCGAGCCGGTTGAGGGCCGAGTCCAGCACATCTCCCTTGCCCTTGCGGCCCCTTCTCGTAGACAGAATCTGGGCCTCGTCGGGAACTCCAGACGGATACAGAGACATGCTCGTGCCGCGGTGATTCCGCGACCTCTCCACCCGCCTCTTCAAGTCGGCCACGCTGATCATCATGACCATGATTTTACCAGACGCGCCGTAGGCCATCGCCAGGTCCCTTAGCTTCTGCGCCGCGCGCATGAGGTCCTGCCGCTCCGCCCTGGCGATGTCGGTGATGAGGCCAGGCGTAAGGTAGTCCCAGAGCTCGCTGGTGGCAATGAGGATAATGTCCTCGTGTTCTCCAATGGTCATGTTGCTGACGTGAGGCGCTGCCTGGACGGCCGGCATCAGGTCGACGTAGCCGAAGGCTCGCGACACCTGGAGCAGGTCGTTGAGCCGGCCGTTCCGGGATACCCAGCCGCCCGCCTCGCGGATCCGGGATCGCTCCGTGGCCTCTGCGGGATCGTGCTTTTGCGTCAGCATTTGGTAATTGCCGTCCGTCTGAATCACCATGGCCTGCGCGTCGCCGACGTTGGCCACGTAGAGATCGGTGCCTTGAAGGTAGACGACGGTTGCCACGCCGCCGGAATTCAGGTCTTCCCTGCTGAGAACGACGGGCTGCGCCGACCCCCTATGGGACGTCTTCGGCCGCTCCTCGGTGTGCTGGACGGCGATGGTCACCAGGTCCTTGTTCAGCGCCAGGAACGCTCTCCGGAGGGCGTCGGCGGGAGTCTCGTTCTGGCGAGTCTTGAGGCCCTTCAACTCCATGGCAAAAATGTGCCCAAAGTTTTCATGCAGGTACTTGGCCACCTTGGACCCGCCACTCGAAAGCGCCTGGCCATCAAAGAGGCCCAGGAGCATCTCCGTCTCGGACGAGTTGAATCGAGGCACCACCAGATCGACAGTCGACAGATGCTCGTTCTTACCGAGCGTGTCCGCCATGCCGTAGGGCAAGTGTCCCGCCAGCGAGCCAGATGTTCGCACGCGTCTGTCCTCGCTCTGGTCAGGTATGCTGGGCTGGGTCAGGGTGACATCCATTAACCCAAGGACTCTCAAGTTAATCAGGCGGTTGAAGTCGGTGTACTGCTCTTGATTCGCGGAACCCGGGCCATCGTTGGTCGGACCGGTCTGCTTGATTTCCAGCCGCTTGTTGCCGGACAAGTTGAGATATCTAAGGTTGGGATTGAGATTCCAGTTCCAATCATACGGGACATTGCAGATGTTGTACTTGAGGTAGTTGTTTCCGCAATCAAGAACCGCAAGCTTCTTTGCTCTGGAAATGTCCGCCGGCAGGTTGGTGAACCTGTTGCCGTTGATGTAGAGGGCTTGCAGCAGACTGGACTCCTCCAGGTCGTCGGCAGGGACAGTTGTCAGGCCATTTCCTGAGAGGTAGAGCTCGACCAGTTGCGGCCAGCTCTTGATTGATCTCTGGGGCATGTCGCTGATCTCGTCATTGTACGACAGGTTCAAGACTCGGAGCTCGGAACATAGAGTGATCTGCTCGAAGACGTCGTCTTCCAGACGATTGTCGGCCAGATAAAGATTGCGCAGCGACCCGGCGAACGTGGTCGTCATCCTCGACGACATGCCCGAGTCCTTCCTAGGGTTGCCCGGCGGCGGCGGCGGCGGCGGCGGCGCGCTGGAGATCGTCCCCTGGGACGACGCTGCCCTTGAAACGACGGAGGTCTTGCGCCCGCCCTTGCCGAAAACGGACACCACGGAGCCCTTACGATCCGCCGGGATAGGCGACGGGCCGACGCTGAGCAGAGTGCTCGAGCCTTGGCTCGGCCTCCGGTCATCCGCCAGCTCCTCGGTGCTCGGAGTGGCCGAGGAGTTCAGTGGTAGAGGCTTGCCATTCTGCGCCGGAGGCGGTCCCGACGACGGCTCTTCTCCGCCGGGCGCACGGGGAGGTTTGGAAGCCGGCTTGGGGAACACGTCGAGGACGTTGGAAGAGGCGTTGAAGGTCTCGAGCTTGTTCGCGAACCAGATTTCCGTGGGCAGCTTCGAAATGTTATTCCCGCGCACGTTGAGCACTCGCAGCTCGCCGAGGCACCCTATCTGGGGCGGTAACTCGGCAACCGAGTTATTCGCGAGGCTAAAGTGTTCGAGCTTGCTCAAGACCCCGATTTGCGGGGGAATGGAGACAAAGTGGTTCTTGTCCAAGACGAGGCGCTCCAGGTTCATCATGTTGGCAAAGCACGAGTCGATGCTCACCAGCTGGGCGTGGGAGAGGTTCAGCGTCTTCAGCGTCGGGGCCGGCTCAATGATCTCAAACTTGTTCAAGGGGTTCGAGTTGAGCTTAATCTGGCGAATCCGCTCGAATTTGCCCTCAAACGAAGACACGTTGTTGTGAGCGGCATACAGGAGCTCCAGCTTAGGAAGCTCCGAGAGAATGTCTATGGTCGTAATGGCGTTAAACTTCATGTCGAGCTCTCGCAGGCTAGTCAGTTCGCGGAAGCTTTGCGGTACTTCGTCTGCGAGCTTGTTGTTTGTGATGAGCAGCTTCTCCAGGTTCTTCAAGTTGCCGATCTCGTCCGGAAGGTGAGAGATGGCATTGAAGCTGAGATCCAAATCGACGAGGCTTTGCAGCTGGCACAAAAAGGGAGGGAACTTATCCAAAAAGTTGGATGAAATGTTGAGGCTTCGCAGGGACTGGTACACATCAAAGTAGGGTGGGATGTGAGTCAGTCGATTGTTGGCCAGGTTCATCTTCAGCAATCCCGTCAGGTTGTTGAGCTCGGCGTGTTCCAGCTGCTCGACTCTGTTGTTGGAGACATCCAGGTATGTCAACTTCGCCGCCCGTGATAAGCTGACCGGCAGCTTCCTCGCGTCGTTGTTGTTGAACTTGATGTCCCGGAGATGCTTGCAGGACTGAATGAAGTCCCGGGGTACGTCCAGGGACAGATTCCTCGAGAGGTTGAGCGAGATGATGTCGGAGGCCTTGGAGTAGAGCGAAATGGGAATGGTGACAAGGTTGCGTCCCGAGAGATCGACGTAGCTGAGCTTTTGGGTGCGGGAGACGCCCAAGTCGGACGTCTTTGCGTGAAAGTCGCTTTCCCTGGCGGACAGGAACATGAAGCGACAGAGATAGCCGTTGTCTTCCCGCCCCAGCTCCTCGATCCTGTCCTTTTCTTCATACCCAACCTGCTGCAATAGCCGCTTCTGCAGGAGCAGCGGCCTCTCGGGCGCCGACAAGACCCGAATGAGGTCGTGCTTTTTCAGGATGATTTGGTAGTCCTCGAGTCCGTCGACGACGTACGTCTTCTTGACCACCTGCGAGATGACTTCGGAGACGGTGGCGTCAAGAGCCATGGAATGGGTGGAGAAGGTCCCGTCGGAGCGGAAGATGCGAATGAAGTAGGGCGCCAACTTCTCCTCGGGTCGCGGCGGGCCCTCGACCTCCTCCGGCTCCGACACAACGTTGGTGCTGTCCTCGGTGCCGCGACGCACGGCCCAGCTGTCGGGAGCATCCCAGCCTCCCTTGGGGTCCGCCGACGGGTCCTTGCCTTCACCTTCGATATTGTTGGTAGATGTGGCATCGGGAGGGCCGGGCTGGGTGGGGCCACCGGACAAGATGCCTTCCATGTCGTTCAAGTCGGTATCGAGGTGGTAGACGTGACCAGGATTTTTCTTCCCTTCCGTGGGGCCAACCGACTCTTCGGTGTGCTCGAAGTTCCGGTTCATCCGATTCTTCTTGGCAAAGGGGAATTTGTTGTTGAAGGGAGCCCCGCGACTCGCCGCGGCGCGAGCGTCTTGCGAATCGTTGGACTCGGCATTGCTGGGCCGGTGGCCTGGGGGGTGCGACGGGGACATGGCTGATCGCGAAAAGTCTGCCTTTGACGACTTGGATTGCAGAGACCGGGTGGACGGCATATCGCGCAGTCTTGCCGGGTTGGCATCTTCCTTATCCTTGTCCTTGTCCTTGTCCTTGTGCCGGCGAAGGCGCCCAAGGAGTCCTCGCTTCCCGTGAGGAGCAGGCGACGTCGGCCCGTCTCCATGACCAGACTTGGAGCCAGATTGGGCGCTGGGCGCAGGGCTCTGGCCTCTTGTCTTCTGTTTTTGCATCGCGACCGATGCCCCACGTTCGCGGTGGCTCGGGGTCCCGGCGAGCGAGTCTTCCCTGCTAGCCGTCGGTCTCAGGCTCCTCTGGTCCTCATTGCTCCTATTGTGGCGGTGCTGGCCCGATAGCTGCATGTTGTGTCCGGGTCGCGAGGATGCGGAGGATTTGGGAGGCCCGTTAGCCGAGGCTTCGTAGCGCTCTCGGTCGAGCCCAGTCATCATTTCCCGGACAGGCGCCTCTCCGTATCGTGCAATGTCCTGGGAGAGTCGAAAGAGTTAGACGGCATACCACCTCGAAGGGCGAGGGAGGCCAGGAACAGCAACCAAGAATAGCGAGAAGGCAGGCACTTGTCGCGAGTGGGCTGGAGAGCGGCAGCATGGTCCCGGCGATGGCCAAGGCCGCAGACTACCGAGAGAGCGGGGAGGGAGGGAGAGGGGAGGGGAGGAGGGGGCCCAGCGCAGGTGCAGGGCAGACGCACAGAATTGTCCTGATAGAGGAAAGGCACGACCTCGGGCTTGGGGGTCCTTGGCCTAGATGAGGCAGGCGAGGCATCCCTCGGGTCCGTCGCGTTGGAGTAGTTGCGATCACGCGGGTTGGGGCGGGTGTGGCTGTAGGAGCGAGTACGCTGGTCCTTGCCGGCGACGGACATGGGAAGACTGCTCTCGGAGCTGTCGCGGCCGGGAAACTCCTCGCCAAAGAAGCCCTGGAGCTTGCGGAAGCCGCCGCGGGTGCCGCTGGTCCTGGAACCCTGGCTGCTGGCAGTGGTGGTTATGCTCGCAATCGAAGGGCGGCGGCCGTCGGAGTTGAAGTAGGGCATGTCGGGAGACTCGGGGTTGCCCGACGGGACGGGGCCATGTCGGTGGCTGGCCGAGGGCAGGCCCGGGGAGAACTGCGAGGCGAGGGACAGGCTATCGCTCGAGTCATCGTAGAAGCTCGTGGCAGGGCCCTTGGGCGGCGGCGGCGGCGGAGGACCGTTGGAGGCCCACGGGGCTACGTTGGCGTTTGAGTTTTGGGCGGCGCCGGCGCCGGCGGAGCTGCGGGAGTGTTCGAGGACGGCAAGGTCACGTCGGTAGTTTGCGAGGTCGCTCGCGCGGCGGTCGGGGGGGCCGGACATGTGGAAAGAGGGCGACGAGGGCGAGAGGGGGCCTCGGGTAGCGGTGGCGGACGTGGGAGAGACTTGGCCGTCGTCGTGGACGACTCTGCATTTGCGGGCTGGTCAGCCAGGCATCTCGGCGCTTGCGAGAGAAGAAGAGGGGAAAACTCACCTCGGGCGCTGGCTGTGGCTGGCGTCGAGGTCGATGCGCATGTGAGAGCCGCGGTGGCGGCGGTTTGCCGAGGAGGCGAGCGTCAAGGGCTTCACGGTGGCGGACGAGCGAGTGCTGTCGTCGGTGCTGTTGCTGGCGCTCGTGATGGAGCTGAAGCGGGCATCATTCTCCGACATGGTCACCAGGCCGTCGTGGCGGAGGCGCTGGCCATGGATGTCGCTCGCGAGGAATCGAGGGCAAGGGGTCGTCGAGGCGCATTCATGTCCTGGACCAGCCCATGCACGAGTGTCGACCAAGCTGGGCGGAGACGCAACTCGGGACGGATGGAACGGCGTCTCAGGCGGCGGCGACGGAGGCGGTGGCGGTAACGGCGATGACGACGACGGCGGCGGCGGCGGCGCCGAAGAGCAGAATTGGAGGGAGAGTGACAGGCACAGACAGACAGGCACAGACGGAGACTAGCAGCGAGGAGGGGGAGAGAGAGACGTGTGGGAGTGGGAATGCGAGAGACAGAGAGAGAGAGAGAGAGAGAGACTGGAGCGTGGGTGGTGGAGAGAGCGGGAGGGAGGGAAGAAGAGAGGAGAGAGAAGGGGGGGGGGGGCCTTCTTCCAGAGGGGGGGGGGGCGAAGAGAGGCGGCAAAGAGCAGAGGCGGGCGAGACGAGACGGCCTGGGGCAGTGAATCGGGCGGCGATCCGGCCTAGCTGGAGGACATGAGACGACGGCGAATGCGTCGGCTTTTTGCTCTGGCCTGTCGAAGCTACATGGAGGTCTGGACGAGGCGATGCAAGAAGGCGGCGTCGGCGGCGTCGGCGGCGGGCGGGCGCTTCGCCTCGGGCTCTTTTTGGAGCGGATGCATCCGACACTCCTCGCATGCGTCCGCTGTGGTGTGTCCATTTCGGGACGCAAAAAAAGCCTTGGCCCTGACAGCCTCATCCATGATCCATCCATCCAACTATTACTCGATAACTTACTCAACTCACCAATTGGGCACAGCCGCCCGCCCTGCACGGTGCAGATGTGTTTATCTACCTATCTAGGTACCGACGTATGTAGGTTACAGTATTACCTACCTTGCCTATACAGGTTGAAGAAAAATGATGACAACCACCTGTATTATGCCGCTTCTCTTGCTCTTCCCGCCCGTCGTGTTCCTGGCACACAAACTGCTTGCTTGTTGGCTCGCTCGCTGTCGAGTCTCACGAAAACCCTCCGGCCGCGTGCGCACTGTGCAGGGGACATGCGGAAGGCTGCCTCGCCAAGTAGGTACTCCGTGCCCACGACTAAAACAGGATGCCAAACAAGGCGGGCGACTACACCCATCCGTCGGTAGCTCCAGCCTTGCTTTGCACGTTTGTCCCTCTCCTATCCCTCTCCTATTCCATGTCTTGCCCTGTTTGCCCTGTTTGCCCTGTTTGCCCAGCGGAACAGCTGCCAGAGCCAGTACAGTGCAGTACAGTGCGTCGCGTCCTCCTTTGGGCGACGGGAGCGACTCGCCGCCTCGTATTAACTCTCACACGCAACTTCTTGGCAAGCCAAGTCAAGGCTCCCCGGATCCGACATCAATGGCAATTATCCCAGGTTTCAAGACAAGAGCCGACATGGCTTGCCAGCCAGGGAATGCAATTCTTCCGGCACGCGGCTCGGATCGGGATGCCGCAGACAGTCCCAGGCGCACAGTCTTTGGACGCACAGTAGGGACCCCGTATCCCGTCGCCGGGCTTTTTTTGCTGGCGGTAATTATCCATCATGACACTCCCCCCCCCCTGGCCGCGTCGCACAAGCCGACGAGGAGGATGACGGCGGGCGGGGACAAGTATGTACAAGAGAGGGCGACAGGCTGGCATTGACAGTGCCGGCCAAGCTCTCCGTGCCATGTGCCGTACAGTAAACGCATGGACTTGCTCACACTGGGTTTGTCCGAGGTCTCTGTGCGCGGAACCGGCGATTGTCAAGTTACCGAGGATGTGTAGATGGATGCATCCATGTTCTATTTTTTTAAAAAAAATCTTGGCCATGTTTATTCGTGTACGGAGTGAAACGAGGGCGCGCCCGGTGAGGCAATCCAAGCTCAACCACCTACACCCAAGTCGGCAAATGGTGACAAAACTCGACGGCATATGCCATCTTGTCCACGTCTCGAGTCTTGCCCTTGAACACAAATGGTATCTTGGGTTCATGGCCAAGAATAAAAAAGGTTGCCCCGGGGTAGAGCTTAAAACACTGGCTCCCCTGTGACAGAGCAAAATGTGTCACAAAAGTCTTACCATCAGACACGGCGCGTCTCATCCAGCCCGGCGAGGCCCCCAACATGAGACTTGTTGCCCACACTCGCACACAGCCAGTCACTGACTCTTCCGAGAAAAGAAGAACTCTTTGCCTTGTCATTGCCAAGGCTGCGCAACAAAGGCAGGCGGTTCCGTCTCAGGCGAGTTGAGGCTCTCACACTGACGGTTGAACCCTCGACCTCATGCTCTTTGGAAGCTTGGTCAGCATGTATCTGGAATGTACGCTATGCTTGTAGCTCTAGGCCACACAAAGCAACGGGCCAGCAGACGCCGAGCACTTCCCCCGGATTGGGATTCGCTGGTTTCTGCCCCGGGGTCTAGATGCCTGCTTGGCTCTGCCTCCGTCGTCTCCGTCGTCTCCGTCGTCTCCGCGCTCTCCGCGTCCGCTTGCGCAACCGCGCCTGGACAAGAGCGACCGCGGGCCGTGCGCTCGCGCTTCGTGAGAGCCATGTCCGCCGCTGCTCCGTCGGCTACGGAGTACCGGCGTCGAGGAATGCCAGGTCGAATTTTGTCCGGGTATAATTAGCTTAATTATTATTATTATTATTGTATTTTCCGTCCAGCGACCTTTAGGTCGCTCAGGTCCCCGAGACGGGGCACAGGACGTGCTGAGCTGCTGGAAGTCTACTATCGCGGAGTAGGCCCACAATACGCGAAACGAAACGAGTACCAATCCGCGTCTTCTGCCCTTCCACAGAACGTAAACAATCCACCATTCAGCATTTCATCGGCTCAAAGGCGCTTCTTTGCTCAGCCTGCTGCCCGTCAGCGGGACGTTCAGGCGCGACAGCCATGTCTTTCGTTTTGGCCTCACAGGGCCGGTTCCGGAGAGCACCCTCCGCCCGGCCGAGTCGGTAAGAGAAAATGGGTGTGTGTGCAAACAAAGGGGGAAGGAGGAAAGCGGTTGCTGCCGCCTAGTGGCGAGGGCAGATCGTTCCAAAGAACGAGCTTGCCTTCGCCACCTTGACGAACTGGTCGAAGTCTCTGCCTATTGCTCGGTTGACCGCCGCGCTCGGTGAGGGTGCCAACCTCATCCGATGTCGCGGCGCGATCTTCCGGCAATAGAAGAGATGCTTTGTTCTTTTCGTCGACCACATGAGCACGTCAGTCGCGCATCGTCGTGGTTCAACCTTTCGTGGTAATCAGCGAAGTCCCGTGGTGGGTTCTTGCTGCGAGCAGATGGTGGAGCAGAGGTCGTGGAATGGTAAGTTCTGGCGGGCAGCCAGTCGTGGCATCGAGGTCGAGGACCCTGTACTGTTGGGGTGCAGAAACTTCCACCAGGCTTTGAATGCGTCTTTTGGTCGCTGCCTAGCGACCTTGCGCAGATATGCCAGCGTCGGGAGAGCGTCTGCAGGCTCGGGTTGAGAGGTTCCTGCCTTTGCTAAGGCGTCTGCCTGCTCGTTACCTGGGATGTTGGTGTGGCCGGGGATCCAGCGGATCTCAGTGGCACCATGTTCTGCGGCCAAGGCCTGGAATTCCAGGAACTCCTTCTGGGAGGAATCTGACGGCATGCCTTGAAGACACGTCGCGACCGCGAGGTTATCGAGGCATACGACAATCTGGTCTGCAGCCGGGAGGCTCAACGCAGCACGCAGACCCTCTAGGAGCCTCTCGCCTCGGCATCAAAGACCTCAGCAAGCCCAAGACGGCCGTTACCGCTGAGGACGGTGAGTCCATCCTGATGTACCGCATAGCCGTACCCGCGGCTCCCTCCGGGAGAGGGATCCGTCCGAGTAGACGATTGCTGTCCGTGGAGCAACTGATTGGAGCCACTCGCCGAAGTTTGCCGCCGATTCTTCTTTCGGCGCAGTTTGGGGTCCACGCTGGTCGCTGGCGAACCTACGTGCGAGAAGGTCTGGCCTGGCGCACCTTGGGAGCAGCTCGTCAGTGCGACGCAGTCTGGTCCGGAAAGGTTGTCGTGGACGCTGGTATTTTAACTTAATGGCCCTGTTGATGACGGGGCCCGGATCGGCTTCGTTCGCACCGCAAGCGGGTGCGCTTCGTCGAGGACTTGAGACGGGCTGCGAAGCGCGTTCGACACGCCTGGAGCAGGTGCGAAACTGGCGGTATGCCCGCCTCCCGGTGCCTGGCGCTGAGCGGCGTCGTCTTCCAGACCGGGAGGATGGCTCGCATGGCCGTGTTGAGCGACTTGTCCATCCGCCGGATGAGGTGCCGTATTCTTGATGGCCCTTCCTTTGCCGGCTTATTCCATCGCGGGCAGGTCATGCCCGGGTACCACGCCTCTGCCCCAAAGAACAATTGCGGCTCGATGCAGGCGCGGACGGCTCTCGGACCGCACCTGGTAGGGGCCGCGGTTGGTATTTGTCAAACCCTTGAGATGGTAGGCCACTGCTTGCGCTTTGGCAGTCCACTTCTCGACGTGCGTCTTGAACGTCAGGGTGCTGTCAAGCCAGATGCCGAGCCACCGCATGGCTGAGCCTGGCCGCTTTTCTACCTCGCCATGGAAGACTGGAGGTGCATTCCTCGGTGTAGTTCGGGAGAAGTGCATGACTTCAGTCTTCTTGGGGTCGAAGGTTATCGCGTTCGCGGTGCCCCATGTCATGAGTTCGTGAACATGTTTCGACGCTCTGTGGGCAGTCTCCTCCAGGGAGTCTCCGACGCAAAGGACGGCAGTGTCGTCTGCATAGCCGAAGCGCCCTTGGGGTTGCTCAGGCGGTAGATTGGCTCTGTGTATAGTAGGAAAAGTATGGGAGAAGCTGGCGATCCTTGCGGCAGTCCGCACTGCAAGGGTGACGAGGGTGTCATGACATCCTGGTAGCGGACACGTGCTGCTCGGTCATGCATAAAGGAGCCAGCCCAACGAGCGACATTCCGAGGCCATCCTTGCTGCCGAAGGCGAAGAATGAGCCTGCTACGAAGGACAGTGTCGAAGGCGCCTTCGACGTCCATTGTCACGAGTGTGGCGACCTGCTTGCGCGAGAAAGCCTCCTCGATGTCGTGTACCAATGCGGCGACAAGGTCAACAGCGGACCTTTTCGGCAATGCGCCAGCTTGTTGTGGGTGCAAGACACCATAGTGGACGGATGCCCACGCCAAACGGCGCGCAATAAGCCGTTCGAGGCCTTTGCCCAGACAGGAGAGGAGAGAGACGCCAGGCGCGGGCCTCGACAGGTTCCGACGCCCCGGCTTCGTGATCATAACCACTTCCGCTTCCTGAAAGGCTTAGGATGGTGACCGATGTCGAGACAGCCCTGATACAGCTTGTGGACGAGGCTTCCAATGGTATGCCAGACGGCACGGAGCATCTTGACCGTAATGTTATCGGAGCCGGAGAGGTGTTACCCGTGCGAAGGGTCGCGTCCCGGACCTCCTCCAGAAACGTTCTGAGCGAAAGGAATCGTCCTCGCTGTGTCCACTGGGACCCACGGATCCGTGATGTCATCCTGCGAAGTGCGACGTTCGAGCGTTGCTCGTCGCAGGGCGTTGGCTTTGTCTAGTTGGGTCTCATAGACGGTATCATCCACTTGCAGAGGCGGTGGTTGGAAAGCACCGGGCGATCTCAGCCAACGGACCGCCTTGAAGACGGACGCACTGTCCGTGAAGCTGTCAATCAGATCGCGCCAGTAACGGCGCTTGACTCGCCGCACGACTCTCTGGAACTTCCTTTTCGCGAGCTGAACCTCTCGGCCGAAACCGAGAGCGTAGACTCTCCTCACTGCGCGATACTCCACCGCGGCCAGGAGCATTCCTCCGTCCACCAGGGCGCGCTGCGTGCGCCCTTGCGGACCGGCCGGCCTGCAGCTTTGGCGGCAAACTGAAGTAGGTTAGTCACTGCTAAGGCAAGTGAATCCAAGTCTTGAGGAAGCGGTTGACGGCTCGATAGCCGCCACGCCGTTTTCAACCATCTCTACGAAGCGTCTTATTTCCTCGTCAGAGGTAAGGCGAACCTTCCCAGTGGGTGGGGGCGCTACAGCGAGCTCAGGCAGGGTAGTGCTGAGCGTGAAGTGGTCGGAGCTGGTGGCAAGATGGTCTTCCACCACGGCATTGGCCAAGGCGATATTAGAGAGGCAAGGTCGATCGTATTGCCATGAGGATTTGTCGGGACGTCAGCCGGGTTGAGCAGGTTCAGACCGTTGGCTGTCGCCCATGCAGCTACAGCCTCGCCGCGGCCCTCGATGCGGCCGGCTTGCCAGCTGTGGTGTTTGGCGTTGAAATCGCCTGCTACCAGACATCTGTTTGGCGCGGGCCATTGGAGTAGTATGTCGAGGGCCTCGTCGTATGACGGTTGGCGGTAAACGTTGACCAAAGTGATGTCGTTGACCGTGAGCCAAAGAATGTCACGAGTTGCCGCGGGCCTCCTCTGATCTACCATCAGCCCAGGCCTGCGGCGGACATAGGTCATGACTCTGGGTCGGGTGCTATTGTCTTCCAGCTGTCAACCGGGAGAAGGTGTCGTAGGCGGGATGTGTTTTGGTAAGGCATCGGCCGCCCTTTGTTTCTGTCCATGGCTCCTGGAGGAGCACCACATCGTAATGTTCGGAATCGGCGAGGGCAAGGGCGCAGTCGTGCGCCGGCGAGATCTTGCCCACGTTCGCTTGGAAGACTCGCAGAGTCTTATTGCCATTGATTTGTGCGTGGGTATCTCGTCATGGAGAGACAGAGTCCTCAATGATGCGTCGCTTCTTCGTAGGAGAAGCAGATCTGTGTCGTTGGCCTCCACCCGGAGGTTTGGGTGCCGAGGCCATCATGACGGAAGGCGGGGTTACGGTCCTGGTCGAGCTTAGGGTCGATTCGCTACCGCGCCGTGGGGCTTCGTCATGAGGTTGGGCTTGCTGTCCGTCGTCCCGGGCAGCACGAGGTCGGGGTGAGGTGCGTCGATTCCGAGGCGGTCTTCCTGTCAGGCCCAGGCGTTACTGTCTTTTCGGTGACACCACCCGGCGAGCAGGTGGCATCCCGTTCGGGCTGCTCGGATCGTTCTACTCTTTCGTATTGTTCCTTTCGCCGGGCGGACGGTTGAGCGCCCAGCTCTCGGACGCGAGATTTTCTTCTCTCGTCAGACGGCGAATGACGCCGTGTGATCGCTTCGGGCGCGCAGGGCACTTCGCAAAGTCTGCGGCGTGGGGCCCAAGGCAGTTCGCGCACCGCTCGAGGCCACGCAAGCTTCCGCGTCGTGGCCGCGCCGTCCGCACCGCTTGCAGGATGCTTGTCGGTCGCAGGTGTCGGGCGTGAAAGTCCCAGCACTTGTCGCACTGGCTGGGCAGGCTAGATCTCTCAATGTATTGGGCGAGCCGACTGGATCCAAACAGCCTCCAGGGCTTATCAGTCGGTTCGAGGAATGAGACAATCAAGGTACAGGTCAGGGGGTCGTTCGGCTTGCGCCTGGCGGGGCGCACCCTGATGGGTTTGAGGCCGGTCTGGCAGGCGATTTCATCTTTGGCGGCTGGCTCGTGGTCCAATTCTTTCCCCTGTAGGTCGGTAAGAATATAGGGGCAGTTGCCACGGCGTAGGTGTACCATCTCTGGCTGATTTCTACATCTGTCGCGCCCATGTCTTGGGACCACTCTGACTGTCGTTGGACGATAAGATCCCGAATGGTCGCATCTGTTGTTCTGATGGCCCATCCGGAGTTCACCTGAAAGCGGCTGGGACTTGGTGAAGGTCGATGCCGACTTTGGCGGCAATGTGGGTCCGGATTGCGTAGCTATTGTGGTCCCTCGCCGGTGCTTCGGGAGTCGCACAAAAACCCGGAGGTCTTCTTTCGGCGGGCGGGGATTGGTCGTCCCTGGAGACGGAAATTGGCTGTTGTGGCTCTTGTTGCGGGGCTGCAGCGGCCGTGGAGAGTGGCCACATGGCCGCTGGCTTGCGGTGCGACCGGCGGCCACGCTGCTGTACGTCGGCGCAGATGCGAGTCGGAGATCGGAGGGCGTCTGCCTCCAGAGGTCGAAAAACGGTTGGAGAAGTGCTCTGCGAAGCTGTGTTCGAGACCAGATGTGAATTGCTTCGCAGTCTGCTCGAATGATTCGCAGAAGGCCCGAAAACCGTCATTTTGGCGTTGTGGGCATCGGTTTCGTCGCCGGCGAGTTTGTTAGCTGCATCAATGATAGACACCGGTTGGAGCACGTCGGTCTCGGTGGTGCCGGGCAGGCTCGGGACGGTTCACGCCGCGCTCCTTCCGTAGCGGCGGCATTGGACAGGCGGATTCAGGGCGACGACGGCGTTGCTGCCGGCCGCCGGAATGCTGAAGAGAGACCAATGGGACGGGTCACAATGGGAGAACTATTTCGCAGCTGAGATGCACGGGCTAAGCGAGCAAGGTTAGGCGGGGTATGAGCACCCAGATCAAAGGGATCCGAGCTGGCATGCGAGCTCGTGGCAGATGCCATGGCCGCAGCCGAAGCCAGCGCAGAGCGCGGCTACAGAGGTTGTCGTGCACGTGTTAAGCAAATTGGTAGAAATTGTGCCACTTTCTTAACAATTGCATGCCAAGAAAGTGTGATGACAAAGGAAGGTGAGGTGTATAATTAGCTTAAGCACGGGGAAATATAGGGGTACAGGGTAGGCGAGACACGACTAGCGGCTTCGGCCCAACATCATCACGTCACAAGTCCACCGAGACCGTAGCCTGTGTGGTCTCCAATGGATGATGAATGACAAGGGCCCTCCACTATACGCTCCATAGTATTAGATGAGTTACGACTCAGGCTCTGCCTCAGGGGCCCCCTTTGAACGCGAAAGCGAGTCCCAGAGACCACTCAGTTCTTCCCTCTCCACCATCTAGTTGACTGAACAACAACGAACCTACAGCACCACCCCTTCTTCACCCGTCGTAAAGCATCGCATGTCCAGACTCCCCGCCATGGAGACAGCAGCATTCGCCAAGCAGCCGCGGACGTGGTGGAAGGAGAGCTCCGTCTACCAGATCTACCCGGCCTCCTTCCAGGACTCGACCGGGTCCGGAGTCGGCGACCTCCAGGGCATCGTCTCCCGCGTCGACTACCTCAAGGACCTGGGCGTCGACATTGTCTGGCTCTCGCCCATCTTCGAGAGCCCTCAGATTGACATGGTGCGATCCTCCCCCCCCCCATCCTCCCCGTCTGCCGCCCCGTCTGCCGCCCCGTCCCGCGCCCCGTCCCGCCCCGCTCCGGCCCGGCGCCGGAAAGCCTCTCCCTCCCCGTCCCGTCGCCGCTCACCACGGCCTCGTCGTCCAGGGCTATGACATCAGCGACTACAAGACCATCGACCCTCGCTACGGCGACCTCGCCGACGTGGACAGGCTGCGGGACGAGCTCCACCGCCGCGGCATGAAGCTGGTGCTCGACCTCGTCATGAACCACACCAGCGACCAGCACCAGTGGTTCCGCGAGTCGAGAAAGTCCAAGCACGACAACCCCTTCCGCGACTGGTACATCTGGAGGCCGCCCCGGTTCGACGCCGCCGGCAACCGCCAGCCCCCCAACAACTGGGAGAGCCATTTCCAGGGCAGCGCGTGGGAGTGGGACGAGACCACCGGCGAGTACTACCTGCACCTCTTCTGCAAGGAGCAGCCCGACCTCAACTGGGAGAACGCCGCCGTCCGCGCCGCCGCCCACGATGTCATGCGCTTCTGGCTCGACCGCGGCGCCGACGGCTTCCGCATCGACGTCATCAACTTCATCAGCAAGGACCAGCGCTTCCCGGACTCGAACCAGCCCGTCCTCGCCGGCCACGAGTTCTACGCCAGCGGGCCCCGGCTGCACGAGTACCTGGCCGAGCTCGGCGCCATTCTCCGCGAGTACGATGCCTTTAGCGTCGGCGAGATGCCCTGCGTCCATGACGAGGCCGAGCTGATCAAGGCCGTTGGTGCCGACCGCGGAGAACTGAGCATGATATTCCACTTTGAGCTGTCCGTGCTGCCCCCCACCCCCTTCTCTCCCTCCCCTTCCCTTCTCTCCCTTTCTCTCTCTGTATTCCTTCTCCCAAACAAGCGTTCCGCTTACCAGACGTTCGTCTGTTGACTCGTCCGGCTACAAACAGCATGGACATCGACCACGGCCCCAAGGGCAAGTTCTCCCCGCAGGCGTGGCCGCTCAGCAAGCTCAAGACGACGGTCAACAAGTGGCAGCGGCTGATGCTGGACCGGAACGGCTGGAACGCCCTATACCTCGAGAACCACGACCAGCCGCGCTCCGTCAGCCGCTTCGTCCACGATGACGCCGCCCACCGCGCCGCCAGCGCAAAGCTCATTGCCCTCTTCCTCGGCTTCCAGGCCGGCACCCCCTTTGTCTACCAGGGCCAGGAGCTCGGCATGACAAACGTGCCCAAGGATTGGCCGTTTGAGGAGTACAAGGACGTCGATTGCCTCAATCACTGGAGGTGGGACCCCCCCTGACCCCTGAAAGTCCCAGAAGCAAAAGAGTGAGACTTGAATAACGGACAACATGTTGATTGCTTCCCTTCTCGTCGCAGTTTGCACAAAGACTCGGCCGACTCAGCCACGCGCGCCGCTCTCAAGGCACAATACCAGAAAAAGTCGCGCGACAATGCCCGCACCCCCATGCAGTGGGACGCAGGACCCCAGGCCGGCTTCACCACCGGCCGCGACCCCTGGATGCGCGTCAACGACAACTACGTCGACATCAACGCCGCCACCCAGACATCGGACCAAGACTCCGTCTACCACACCTGGCGGCGCGTCCTCGAGCAGCGCAAGGCCCTCAAGGACGTCTTCGTCTACGGCGACTTTGCCCTGGTCGACGAGCCCAACGAACGCGTCTTTGCCTACCGGCGCCAGGCCGCCGATGGTCAGGCCGCCCTGATTGTGGCAAACTTTTCGGCCGAGAGCCTCTCGTGGCCATGGCAGGGCAAAGCCCGTCGAGTTCTGGTGAGCCCAGCCGGCAAGACGGTTGAGGATGTCAACGGTGGCGAGATTCGCTTGGGGGCCTGCGAGGCCATTGCCTTACTTCTGTGAACGGGGCTCATCTGATGCCCAGCGGCTTCGAGCTGGAGGCCACAGGCCAAGGCACGTCTTGTCGGTGGGAAAAAAAGGATCTACACGCTTGGTTCATTACTCCATGGCATAAGCGAGCATAAGGGGAGGCTGAGAAAGGCCATTCTCCGCCCTGACAGTTAGCTAGCCACCGACAAAATCTCACCTACATCTGCCCACCCTCACCACATGATGCAAACCATTCCTGAGCCTCCTGTCGTTGTGCAGTGCCTCCAAATTCAAGTCCCCTCGTGAACCATCTCGCCCAGCGCCTTGCTCTCTTCCATGATGCTCCTCGCCTCCTCCGCCGACACTCCCATGTCGTCCTTGATCAGCTGCACAGCCAGCTCGGCCACGAGCACAGTCTGGATAAAGGCCGCGGATCCGCGCCCGGCAATAACACGATCGTCGACGGCCTTTTCCTTGAGCAGCTCGCCAAACTCGTCGACGAGGTAGTCGCACATCAAGTCGAAGCCACGAGGGCCGTAATAGCCCGGATTCATGTCACCTTCCTTCTTCATCGACCTAGCCTGGCCCGACTTAATCTTCTGCGCCAGGATGCTCCTGAAATGCGAGGCATTGCCGTTGATGATGCCGAGCAAGAAGCTGCGGTGAGCGGCAAACCGCCTGTCCATGCCCTCCCAGTCCACTTCAGGATAGTTCTTGGCTCGCCATGTCTCCATGGCCGTTTGCTTCTTATGTTGTCGGCAGAAGCGTGTCTGCAGCCTCACGTTCATCCGCTTGCCCCAGGAAAAGTCGTCCAGGAGCATCTTATCGACAGGCTGCCCGCACCAGGGGCACACCGTCGCGCTTGCAGAAGCCCCTGCATCGCCGCCGATGACCTCCAGGTCAGATAGGTGGCCAATGCTTTTCTCCGCATCAGAGGCCACGTCGGATAGAACCGTCTCAGATTTGCCGTCGTTGCCATACGCCCCGCGTCCAAAGTCGGAAAAATGCGTTGGCATCTTGAAAACGACGGGAGTCGGCGACGTGCACCTTAGCGCCGGCTGAATTTGCCTCTTACCCCTTGATTTCTTGGCGTTGGCTCTCTGTGACTCCACGGGATTTGAAGTGTTCAAGCCATCCGATTCATCGCTGAACAATTTGTCGGCTTTGGAAAACTTTGTCCGGAGGGTTTGGGGGCTCTTGCGTTGAGGCGAGCCGGGCATGTCGTTTGGAATCAGCAACTTGCCTGTACTTGGCTTTTCGGGGCTATCTGGGAGTTCTGGGACCCGCAGCCGAGATTGTGCTTCTGCATCCCTGGTTTGTCGTGAAGTTCCATTCGCGCGCTGGCTGGTAACACCACGCTTCTTGTCTGCCTGCTCTTTCGGCTTGTTCCTGGCCCTCGATTTGTATTTCATGTGGGCCGACTTACTTCTTGAAAACCCATGTTCGTCCTTGAAATGATCCCCCAAGCTAGACGGAGCAGTGGATGCCCCCTTGCCTTGGCCATAAGTGGAAGGGAAGCTGTTGGAATTTCGGGGTCGCTTGTTGCTAGACGCCCGGTCGTCATCAGATCCCTTGGCCCCTGGTTTAAGAGACTCGACGGTCTCACCCCTCCTCCTCCTGGTCAGCTGCTGCGTGCGTGACGGGGCTTGTTTGCTGAACTTGGTCTGCGCGATGCTGCCTCGCGCCGTTGTCTCATCACCCGAGCTGCCGGAGCTTTTGAGTAGAGTACGATCACTGTTTTGCCGGAATCCGGGGCGTTGGCCATCCGTCGATCCCTGGCTGGCATTGGAAATGTCGTGCTGAGAGATGCCCACAGCCCCGGTATCCTCCTCGTCATCGCTGGACAAAGGGGGATCATCAACCGCCGGCGGGGGCTTGGCATTTGGCAATGGCATGTTGTTGACTCTGCTCAGAAGCCTCGGTGGTTTGTGGTTTATGCTCAGGCCGAGCCTTCTGTTCATCTTTTCCAGTCTGGTTATCAAGGCGAAAGCACTGCAGCCGCCGGCATCTGGATGGACGGGATGAGCACAAGCCAGTGGCGCCGAGACTATGGAAGCGGGACGTCGCCGGCCATGAGAATCAGTTGACTTTAGACCCGTCGGTCGCTTCGCTTTGCAAGTTGGTGGTAGTCTTCCGCCAGAGAAATGGTCGCCTTGGCGAGGCCACAGCTGTCCGAGATGCACACAGAATAGTCGGTGATGGGAGAGAATGCAGAAGAGGTAGCCGTCGAGACCACGGCCACGTGAGGAGCCTGGCAGTCGGTCCTTGCCGGAATGCAGGGGCCGAGCTGTCCGAGAGCGCAGTCAAATGTTGGAGGACGCGTCAAGTTAAATTGAGGAACGCGGCGGGCGTCGATTCGCACGGTCTTGGCAATGGGGGCGGGCCTTTGGACCCCCACCCTCTGTCTGACGCCAGGGTTCCATGAGCAGCATAAGGACGTCCCGCCTCCACTGTAACCCGTGTTCTCAATGTGCTACGAAGTCAACCTCAAGTCGCCAAGTCGCCTCTCCGTCATCGCCCCTTCATACCCGCATATCCTCTGATCATCTCAGCTGCGTAAAGAGGCAGGCAAAGCTTCCACCCCGATCGTCGCTCTGGCCGAGTCGACACGTGAGAGTCCGAGGCCTTCAGGACAACAATGGCGCTCAACCGCAAGTACGCAGCGCTCCCTGACCTGGTAAGGATCGCCTCTCTGTCCCAGTCCGCCAGACGCTGACGACAGCCAGGACTCTGCTCCCGACATCTACGAGACCCCCGAGTTGACAGATGATAACTCTACCATTCTTGTAAGTGTCCTCGGCTGATGGTGAGGGTGCAGCGCCGCGTTGCTCACGTCTCCCGCAGACCTCGGCGAACCGACCGCAGTCCGAAGACGAGTTCGACGATATCAATGAAGATGAGACGGGCGGTATTTCGCGCTCACGGCTGCGAATCAACGAGGCCCGATCTCGCTTCCTGCCCTCCAATGCCGACGCGAATGGGGCAGACTTCTCGAACCGTGTTGACGGAAAGCGCATGCTATACAGGGCATCCAGCAGGCGCCAGCGGATACTCGAGGACGGCACACAAGAATTGGGGGATCTGTCGGACGATGACGACGAGGAGAGCCTGGAAAGACGGATCGCGCGCTTGAAGCGAGAAGTGGAAGAGGCCAAGGGGGATTACGACAAACAACAGTCGGCATCCGCAACGCAGACGGACGATGCGGAGCACAACGTCGAGAGACTGGAGGCTCTCAGCCGGGTCCTGGATGACATTTCCAAACCCGCCGGCTTTGGCGCCGCATTGGGGACCGCAAGGCCGCCTCCTTTGGAGGACAAGACGGTCGGCTCCGGCGACTCGGCGGCTGTAGATGGTCCGACGTATACCGTCACGTACGCACCAACGTACCAGCAGAGCCACGCGCTGGCCAAGGCCGCCGACTTTGACCGCCGGCTCGTCATGGTGGAGCAGGCCCTGGGCATCAGCTCGTCGTCGATGCTCGAAGCGGGGCGAGACGGCCTTCCACGGGCCATATTGCCGACCCTAGACACGATGGAGAAGCAAATCTCGACGCTCTCGCAGGCATCGACGGCAAACTTGGACGCCATCAGCCGGCGGGTTCGAACGCTGGCAACCGAGCAAGACAAGCTCAACGACGCGCGAGAAAAGGGCAAGGCTCTCCGCGAGGAGCTCGGGAAACATTCCCCGACATCCCCCACAGACGACTCGGAGCACGAGGCCAAGATCAACGCGCTCTACGGGATTCTGCCTACGATTGAAGGGCTGACTCCCGTGCTGTCGCCGCTGCTGGACCGGCTGAGGTCGCTCCGGGCCATTCACGCCGACGCAGCGACGGCGAGCCAGACACTGGAGCGCATCGAGACGCAGCAAGCAGACATGACGGGGGAGCTGAAGCAATGGAGGGACGGCCTCGAAAAGATGGAGGGCGCCATGAGGAACGGCGATGCGGCCGTCAAGGACAATGTGAAGGTCATGGAGGGCTGGGTCAAGGATCTCGAGGAGCGCATGGCCAAGCTGGCCTGACTCGGAGACGGCGACGCCGTTGGCTCTTGATGATGACTGTGATACCCAATACGAGAAACATTTTCAGTCACATGCACCGTGTGTTCGTGTTGCTTCCGCCCAATCTTGCTTTTGCTGAGCCTTGGCCGATGGATTCTCAATGGGGCCGGCCAAGCACGACCTCGGATCACGTGGACGGCCCACTGCTTATATTTTCGCGACTGCGAGCTTTCAGCAAATTCTGCTCCGTCCTCTCTCACATACTTTTTCCTAGGTGGATTGTTTTGTCGACGGCAAAAATACACAACAACAGCACACATTCGCCATCGGGAATTTTGTATTGCATGGTAAGCAGCTCCAGTTTCTTCACGTCTTCAAGCTACAATCAAATGATGTTTCCAAAAGCATGTATTACCTGAGTACGCTCTGATGTACCATTATCACCAAGATCTCTGATTCAAGATTGGTTTTTTTTTTCAAACCTGGCGGCATGACAACTTGTTGGGAAACAATTGGACTAACAGTCGTGAAGCATCTCTAGTACTAGTATATCAACTCACGCCCCCAATGACATCTGTGCCCAAGCCGGCGCCGCATGGCCACTTCAACGTGCTCTTCTTTGCCGGTGCCAGCTCCTACACAGGCAAAGACGGTGTGGCGTTGCCGGCGCCGCTGCCATTGGGCGAACTCTTTCCCGAGCTCGAGGCCAGGTTCCCCGGCGTAAAGGCCAAGATACTCGACTCGTGCCTGGTGACGGTCAACCTTGAATACGTAGATGTGCCGGGGGAGGGCGACGGCGACGGCATCGTTATCCAGGAAGCGGACGAGGTTGCGATTATTCCGCCAGTCAGCTCCGGGTGATTGCAGGGATAATGGGCGCAAGGCATGATTGCGCGGCCTTGTGTTGGTGGATGCATGTTTAAAGCTCTGCGAAAAGCGGACAAGGCCGGCTCAGCGCCCTGCCTGCTCGCCCAGCAGCGGCTGTTGCTCGCGAGAATCCGGCGGCATCCAAGCAGCGCGCCAAGGGTGGATGTACCCCTGGTCCCAGTTGGGCTTCTGCTCCGTGTATCGCCGCCATCGGCGGAGGGCAACGATGTTGAGGGCGGTCCAGGAGACGAGAAGCAGGGCAGCCAAGAAGGCGACGAGGGCCGTGAGGCTCGTCGTGGTCGAGACGCGACAGCCAAAGGGCCTGGTGCGCAGCTCCCACTGCTCAGCGGGATGAGGGCACACATGGGCGTCGTAGGCCGGGGCCAGCAGCGGTATCGGGTATGAGTTGGGGACGCATGCCCAGGTCTATGGCTGGGCGGGGATTTGGCAGATGCGATGCCGTCGTCAGCGTACATACATGGATGGCATGCGAAGCGGCAGTTTCTCCATACGAATGGACACCAGCTGCATTCATCGTCGGCCAAGCACCCGCGGCAGTCCTGGTGGGACCAGCATCGCAGGAGATGGCGGTGCCCGCCCTCGGCGGCAGAGAAGTTTGCGCGGAAAGCCTGGATGGACGACGGGTCCATGGCGCACATGTCGTTTCGGCCCTCTTGCTTCCGGATGTAGAGGCGAAGTTAAGTCCAAAGTCCTGCTGTCGGGACGTTGACGGGTGAGATGGGAAGACGAGGGAACTGGCTGGGTTTCGGTGCGGGGAAAGAAAGAAGCTGAGGGCCGACTCTCTTCTCTTCTCCCCCCCTCTCATTTCAGCCACCACGACCTTTGGCGGGCCGTTACTCGCGCATGCCGCCCCGGCTGTCCCCTGACCGAAGGCGTTGATATATTAATGCACATACCTAAACCTTCATGTGGACCACCACGGCGGTTCCTCCCTGCCGTCATGAATTATTAATGTAGATGTCGCTGGTGGGTCATGGCCAATTCGCAGCGCATCTAAGTTAGGTCACCCGCTTCTGCCTTGTACAAGAATAGACTCGTACTCCTATTTCCCTGCCCCCCTTTTTTGGCGCTTAATTTGTGACGATTTTGTGATTGTAATATGTCATTGCTGCTTTCCTCGGAGGCGTCCAACGAAAGCTGTGTCACCGATTCTCCTAGGGATGCTGCGCCGCACCTACTATGCATGCTTGTGGTCCTGTGCTCTCTGCGCCCTCGGGGTATTCCGGCGGGGGCGGGGGCGGGGGCGGGGGAATCGGAGATTGGGGAGGCGCATGTACGTACGGAGTGTTCGCACGGAAAGGGAGCTGCCAAGCGAGAGGGAGGCATTCTCCGTGCTTGCATATGCATACAGGCGTCGAGGATGGATCCATTATGGGGGAGGCTCAAGTAACCGCCCGTCCATGCATGCTATACATGCTGCGTTGACGGCTCGATCGGCATATTGTTCTTGGGCATATAGAACCCATGCGTAGGTACATGCAGCCGGGGCATCTGCGGAGAGCAGCGGCTGATACAGGCGGGCGCGGAGAGGAATTGCTCACTTTGAGAAGTGACGACGTAGGGGGTGAAGGATGGCTCGTCCTCTATCCTGCTGGGCCGGCGGCCGCACCGACGTTGCCGGCGATATTCCAAGCCGCCGCGGACGGGCCATTGCATCGGCTCGACATGCTTCCGTCGGCAACTGGTCAAGGCCATGATATCGGCAGGATATGGGGTAGCAACGGAGCACGGCACGTCGGGTGGGCCCGGGAGTCGGGGCAGCTTCCTTTGATGCACTGTAGGTAGGTTACATCGATGCATGCAGCTGTTACAGTAACTTACATATTACTTACAATATGGTGCACTTGGACTTGGACTCACAACTCAACTCAGAGCAACAGTGGCAGAATGCGGGGACCCCGCGTTTTCAAGCCCCCCTGCCTTGTGGGGCCGCGGCGCTAGGCATCATCAATTCCAATTCTACCTTGGAGGTTGTCGCCGACCGCAATCATGATGTTGGGTCTCATGCTGACGAACAAAGACGGACACCGGCCCATCATCAACGGCTTTGATTATGATTATTGTGCCGAGATTGGCTCAGCCAGACGGCGACTTGGGAAAGGAACGACGCTCAACTTCATCTATTACCTCATGGGACGCTCGGGACAGGATGCCAATGAAGAATGCGGGGGGGGGAGGGACCACGACGGGCGAATAGCCGTCTAGAAGAGATCCCGGCCCAGCCCTTTCCCGAGCCGTCCGGTCTTGGCCTTCCTCATTCATCAATCTCGTCCAATCTTTTTCTGCTGTACAAAAACAAAGTCTAGCAAAGAGCTGCCGAGCCTGCAGGCCAAGCCGCGCAGCCAAGTTAACTACCCACCTGCCTAATCCAGACCGGACCGATGCGTCCCTGCCCTCAAACGGGAGTGGCCACGCCGCCCCGAGGCAAGCCCGAGGAGTTGCACCTGCCCACCCCTCCGTCCCATCTTGCCTAGTTGAGACGCCTCATTCTTCACCTCTCCCTCCCTCTCCCTCCCTCGGCCTTGCTCCTCTCTCTTCCCCTACAACAACCAACATCTTCACGGCCCTTGCAACAGAAGGCGCTTCCACGTGCAAACAACAACACCGTCGTCGGCCGGCTTCACCACCTCCGAGGCTCTGGCTGCTGTCGTCGCCCTGCCCCGTCCCGTCTCGTCCCGTCTCACTCCAACATGGGCCGCCCAGATCTGACTGCCGTCCCGTGGAGACGACCGGCATCTCCTCCGATCCCCCCCTGACCCCGGCCCCCTGTGATCCTGGACGTCGACTTGTTTGCCCAATATTGTTAAATTACTGTGCAGAAGAAGAAAAAAGGAAATCGCAACATGTGCACGAGTACGCCTGGGGGAGTCGAGCTTGGCTCCAACGCAAGCTGCAAAGACCCGAATTAAGAATCGTAGGCCGACCCGTCGTGGGCAACAGGCTTGGGCGGCTCGACTTCAAAAGGACTCGTTCATCCCCCGACTCTCACCCTCTTCAACCGCGCCCTTCACTTCATTCTCTCCTCTCGGCTCAAGCACCTCGTCGTTGACAAGACGCCAACCCGGCTCTTCTCTTTCCCAAGTCAACATGGTCCGCCTGGCGTCGCTCCTCGGGGGCTTGGTGTCCCTTGCCGCCATCGTCACGGCCACGCCCGTGCCTGCAGAGCTTGAGACCCTAGCGCTTGAGGCTCCAGAGCTTGAGCCTGCGGAGCTTGAGGCTCGAGCCGTTGCCACCTTGGGCAGATCCAACGACTGGTCCTGCACGAGCACCGTCCATCCCAACCCCGTCATCCTCCTGCACGGCCTCTTTGCCAGCGAAAAGCTCGACCTCAACTTTGTCGAGGCCTGGCTCCGCAACAAGGGCTTCTGCACCTTTGCTCTGCTCTACGGCTCCTCCACCCCCAAGCTGCCCATCCTCGGCGGCATCAAGCCCGTCGCCGAGTCGTCGCTCGAGGTGGCTGCCTTCATCAGGGAGGTGCACAACCGCACCGGCGCCGACAAGGTGGACATTGTCGGCCACTCCGAGGGCGGCTTCCAAGGCCTCTACGTGACCAAGTTCCACGGCGTCGCCCCCCTCGTCGACCAGATCATCGCCATCGCCTCGCCCACCCACGGCACTGATGTCTCGGGCCTCTACAAAATCGCCTACCTGTTTGGCAAGTTTAGCTACGACGCCATCAAGAATCTCCTCGCCACTGTCGGCTGCGGCGCCTGCAACGACTTTGCCGTCGATGGCGCCGCCGTCTCCAGGCTCAACGACGGCAAGCCCATTGTCCAGCCCGGCAACACCGTCACCATCATCGCCTCCCGCTACGACGAGATTGTCACGCCCGCGACCACGGCCTTTGTCCAGGAGCCCGGCGTCCACAACATCTTTGTCCAGGACTACTGCCCCCTCGACCCCGTCGGCCACCTTGGCGTCTCCGTCGACCTCAACGTCTGGCGACTGGTCCTCAACTCGCTCGAGAGGAAGATCGGCCGCAAGTTCTTCTGCCTGCTCGGGCCGCCCGGCCGCTAAGGCCGCCCTCTCCTTTCAGTGTGCAGGAACCGCACGCGCTGCCTCATTCCATGTCTTTTCCGACTCACGCGTTGTTTAGCGAGCTGTAGGAGTTGTGCCTCCTTTTGCTTTTACGATTTATGTCTAAAAAAGAGGATTATCCTTTTGTCTCACGTTTCTATCTAGCCTTGTTTATAGGAGCCTTCCATGCTGGCCCACGTCATGTCTCCGTGCTGGTCGGAACGAGCTTGCTTGACGACTTGGGATAAGTTCACGTTTCGTGTAAATAAGTTCATCACATTATCTTTGGCTCCGGGTTCCCAAGCCTTGCCTTACGACCGCTGTCACCCTTCGGCGTGAGCCCCCTATTGTGCTGACTGACAAAACATGAATGCCGTGGGGGGAAATCAAGTGTTGCACAAGGCAGTGGCTGGGCGGGAAAACGATGAGTCTCTAAGAAAATGTCCTAAGAATGGCCTCGCCCGACTACTCTACACTCTGCACCATCGCGCCGCAGCCCAAGCCAAAGTGATGCGCTTCGGGAGTCTCCAAGGTCCATCCAAAACCTTCGCATGAGCCTTCGCCGGCACCACCGCCCCTTCAAAAGAACCCGCCGCCCGTCAAGCCCATCTCGCGCGACCTCCGGACCTGCTGCTTCAGCTTCCTCATTTCTGACTGCCGCCTCTTGGTCCGCTGCTCGTCATCTTCGCCCGGCCGCGGCCCGCCAAACGCCTCGAGCGCCATCAAGTCGGCCAGGAACCGACGAATCCGCAGCCCCGTCCGGCCTCGCACAAAGGCGTCCACCTCCTCGTCGCAGGCAGCAGACGCCGCCACGTGCAGCCCCCGCAGCACGTCGCGGTCGGCAATGCCGCCGTCGTCCGAGTCTGCCTCGTCCGAGTCGACGCTCCCGCGGATCGACGACGTTCTTCTGGGTATGTTGGGCGGAGCAACCGCCCGGGAGGGGATGCCCCTGCTGCTCCGACAACATATCCCAATGTGATTGGGGTCGTAGCGAGAGACGGACTGCTTCTTTCCGCGATCCGAGGGAGCTGGCTCTTGGCTGGCGGGCGGATGCTTGGTCTCGGCAACTAGTCGAGCCGTCTTCTCCCATTCCTCCTTCAAGTTAGGAATCGGGCCGTCCTGTCGCCCCCACGTACAGGGCAGAGCTGATGTGGCACGACCGTCGTCCGCTTCCAATGCAGCCCCCAATGCTGTCTTGGGCGCGACCCTGCATGTCTCGCCGCCTGCTAAGCGCTGCTAGGGCCTCGCAGACGGAATCTCTCGTTCGTGCTTCTTCTTGGCGCCACGGGTAGACTGAACCTTGGCTGACTGCGACCGTGGCGGAAGAGCATCGGTGCCACGGTCTTGTCTGCTGCTGACCTTTCTGCCCTTGCTTGGCGGGAATCCGCTGCGACGGGCTTTCACAGGGGCGCGAGCTCGCGGCAGCGTCTCCGAATAGCCGTGCGCCGTGACAGTCGCCCGCGACTTTTGAACGGGCTCAAGTGCCGCATTTGTCTCCATCTCCCTGTGCCTCATCCGTGTGCCCGGCTCGCCCGATGTGTGTCTTGGGCTCATGGTGTTGGAGTCATAACGCAAGGGTTTCGTCTCCGCAGGCCGTGGAGGTGGCGATCTTGTCGGTGGCTGCACTCGGGAGCTCGGTCCAGCTGCATCTCCCTGCCACTGAGCTGTGTTTGCAGGGGCTGGTCTGAAATGCGCCCAGTCGGCATCTGCAACATGCTCATCGTCTTCTCCAGGGAAACACGGGAGACAATGGTTCTTTGGCTTCTTTGGCTTCGGAGGCCGCTTCTGCTTGCGCACGGGTGCCTCGTCGATGAGCGCATATCTCCATTCGTCCATGTCCTGGGCGGGACCGAACGAGATTTCTGTATTTATACTTGTGCTTGGGGGCCCTTCGTTGTATCCATCCATCTGCGAGGGATGCAAATACTTGTGTCCAAATAGGTTGGATGACTGGTGACGCCGTACAAAGCGTGATGCGCCAGCCTTCAAGGCGTGGCCAGGAGTGCGCTGGGCCTGCTCCCTGGAAGTTACTGCGAGCCCTGCTGCCCGGAACTCTGGGTGAAAAGGCATAAGGGCTGACACCGTGCGAAGGCTTTCGCCAGATTTTACGGGACCAGGGGAGGAGTGCGCTGCTCTGCCCCTTGCCCCCGTGTTGTCTGCATATCGATGGAGGCCTCTGGTGAAGCGATCCAACGCCTCCCGCTGACTTGAAGTTCTAGATTGTGTTTCATGGACAGGTGCAGACGGTGAATTGGATTTTGATGAGCTGCTAAATCTTCTGTCCCCATGCTTGATGGCTGAAAAGAGGCGGATCTGCTGGACGATGGTTCTCGAGATGGCTTCCACGAGAGTAGAGTCTATGGATGTGTGCTTTGATACCCTGGCGATATCTGCAGCGGCGTCGCCGAAACATCGTCGAACGCTGGACTTGCTTCCGTCTTTGGCGGTAGAAATGGCGTTGCCTCGGACAGACGCTGGAGGGGCTGGCGGGGGTTTGCTCGAGATGGGGTTTCCAGGGCCAGGATGATTGGCATATCTGGGATGATGCAAATGTATGTTGCTGGAGGGAGGAAGAGGGAACGAGTCCAAGTCGACAGAAGAAACGGAAGTTTCCAGGACATGATCAATCGCCGACGGCACGTCAACACGAGGAGGCCGAGGCGCGCGTTGCATGGATTGTGCGTTCTGAGCTCTTTTCGACGAGGGAAAGCTCTCTTCTGAACGCGAGGTTGGGTTGCAGTGACCCCGTGTGGGAGGAGGGCGTTGGGCACTCGCTTGGTGCAGTCCACTTGGGCCCTGCAGATGACGCGACGGGTTGCGGACACGGGTTGGACGTCGAGAGACGACGAGGACACGGGAGCGAGGCCGGAGCCTCTCAAAGGAAGCGGCCCGCTGATGAACTGGGCGGACGTCGTGAGTACTCGGTAGCGAAGTATTTGCCTCGGGAATCGATGCCAACGTAGCCATCTCGAGTTGGAAGAGCGACAGTAAAGACGAGAAAAGAGCCGTTTCCAAGTGAGGCTATTCAAGAAATGACGGATTTATGCAGCGATGCTGGACAATGGGTTGTTTGGCGGTGGCGTAAACACGAGAGTCAAGCAACGTCTCGTGTGGCACGAGGCTGCTGGTTCTGGGGGAGCCTGAGAAAGCCGAGGCCTCGAGGAGCCGTCGGTGTCGGCAAGGCAGGCGTTGACTGAGGGGTTTGATGGACGTTGATGGACGTCAGCTTGGTAGGGGAGGAAGGAAAGCGGCAGGAGTCACGAGCCGCGGCAACCGCCCCCCCCTGAGGCCTGGGCTGAGGAGGCTTCATCGGATTCACCTGACGTCCTTGATGCCGGGCGACGAATAAACATCGAGCTGCCGCCGGCCTTTGCGCAGCAGGAACTCGATGGCAGCAAATTCGCGCTTGTCAATAGCCAAGCTCCGCGCGAACTCGGCCCTGAGAGAATCGGAGAGCGCTTTTAGCCATGGTTCGCCGCGGCCCGTCGTTGCCAATCAAGATTTTCCGTGGAGCGCTCACCTTGCAAAGGACTCGAAGTGAGGGCGTGTGCTCTGGCAGGACACTTCAGTTGCAATTCAAACGCAAAGGTCACGCAACAGTCGCGGTCGCAGCTGGGAATTGGGAGGCGGAGAATGAAGCCGCACCTCTGGCTTCTTGCGAGCCTCTCGGAGGCATTGGCGATAGAGAGCCAGGACCTCCTTTTGGAGCCCCGAGAGACGCATGACGGTGGTTTGTATTGCTGATGCTGCTGCTGCTCTGTGTTTTCGGCAGGAATTGGAGAATAGAGTGGCAAGCCGTGAGGGAGGCAAAGGAACAAGTTGGATTCTCAAGGCTGTTACGATGTCGAATCGCGGAGTCGAGTCGGCTCGAGGTTGAAGCTCAAGTAGGCTGCTTGCGTAGGGAGTACAAGTACTTGAAGGTTTATCAGTGACCGCGCCCAGATGCCCCAGTCAATGCGAAGCGGCCCGTACCGATACTTGGGAGAGTGTACATACAGTTCTTACCTAAGTATGTAGGTACCTCGGCAGCTCCCTCCTGGGTCCCGGGCGGGACATTCGGAAAAATTAGTACAGTACCCGTTGGCAGGGCCCTCTAGGCGCCAACAGTGGTATTAGTGCGAGAGCACTACCTAGTTAGGTAAGTTGGCGCCCAGAAGGCCCTTTTAGTACCTACTACCAACGGGTAGTACAGCGGGGGGTCAAAGGTTTGCGAACACACCACGGCTTAAATTAACGCGTCGCGCCACCACGCGTGCAGGGACATGCCTTCCTTCTTCACCGGTTTTTTTTCTGAGTAATACTATTTATATAAAGACATATCGCTATTCGTATAAAGGCCCTATTTTTAAGATATATACTAAGTCAGCTCACCCACTTAGGGGCACACCCACTTAAGGGCACGTCTCATATAACTAAGATAGCATATTCTAATAGCAATTAAAGCCGCGTTTTTATATCGCGATACTTAATTATAGTGTTTTCCTACTATTCTAGCTGCTAGCTTCTATATAGAGCTTTAAAATCCGCCTTCTAATTAGCTATTGCGATGGTAGACGGCTTAAGGGCGCGTTAAAGCTATTTCCTCGTCTTAATAACTTATTTAATCTATATAAACCGGCTATTTAGATCTTAGGCGATTTTTCGTTGCTTTTAAGGCCATAGATAATATAATTAATACTTAAGCTATTATATACGTAGCTATACCGTTATAAGCTATATATTCTAACGATTAAGGCTATAGCTAACTTTACTAAAAAGCACACGGATCGTACGGTTAACTTAACCGCGATTTTCGAGCCCCTTAATAAGCCTATAGACTTCCTACGATCGTCTCGGTGTTTTAAGGGCATCGCTATTATTTATTAAGCTTAAATTCTTCTTCTTCTTTAGTAGTAATAGCGTTAACGGCGCGGGTAAGATAAAGCGGCTTATTAATAGCTTTGCTATATTAACTAGCTAAAGTCCTATCCCTCGCTACCCCCCTTTAATATTTTTCTCGGTTAGGCCGGCCTACTAGGCCTAATAATAGTAGCGAAGGAAAAGTGCCTTGCTAATTAGTGCTATATTGTCGAGAGAAGCGATTTTTTAGAGTTAACGTTAATAGGTAGCTTTAATTAGTAAAAAAATCGAGATATCGAGAGGTTAAAGGACGTGCGAGGCATATAGAGGTAGGAAAAGGAGATATATACTATATAGGAAGCATTCGTATATAAAATCGTTAGTCTAATAGCTTCTATAGCTATCTATAATTAAGAGGACGTTGCCTTATAGCTAGCTTCTTATTTATAGGATAAAGACCTACTTAAGCTATTAAATCGCGATAAAGTCGCTTATCTAGCCCTTTAAAGAGGCTATAAAGTCCTAATCCTTTAGAAATTCGAGTTCTTTAGGGAACTATTAGTATTAAAGGTCCTAACCTTTAAAGATTATAAGAGGAGTTAAGGCCCGGCTAGTAATAGAGACGTATTCTACTATTATAGTTTAATAACGCGACCTAAGCCGCTTCTTAAGCGTCTCCTTCTTCTCTAAGCTCCCTAGTACGAGGCCGTTATAGCTAAGGCCTTCGAGGATACCTATCTTATCTATATTAAAGCGTAATTCTAAGGGAATAGCCTATAAAGCCGGGAGCTTAAGTAACTAGAACTACTCCTTAATCCGGGCTATAGAAGCGCCGTTAATGCGAGCAGAATTAAGAGCTTTACTTTTAATCGTGCTAACCTTTAGATTTCGGGCTAAAAAGCTTACTTACTACCTAGTATTTTCTAAGTAGGCGGGTATCGCCTATAGCCGTAATAATACGGCCGGCGAATTCCCTTAGCTAGAGATACGTTAGGGGGAGCCTAAGGGCGGCTTAGGTAAGAACCTAATCTCGGAGGTATTTCTCTTACTCTCGGCTAAGCCTTTAATAGTATTCGTATGCCTCTCTCTTTAGTTAGGCACCTTTAAGGCGTTTCTAAAGTATCGTCCTTAGAATACCTTACTTCTAACTAGCCTATACCTAACCTATGCCGAATTTAATATTAGCTAGAGCGTTCTAAAGCTAATCTTCGGTATATTTAGAAAGCTAAGATATTGCTAATTCAAATTTTTTTTTTTAATAATAATTAAGTATAAGATATATAAGAATTCGCGGTTATAATATACGAGTTAGTCGGCGCGTTAGTATTATAGAGACGTACCCTTAAGTAGGTATGCCCCTAAGTAGGTAAGCTAACTTAATACTAGCCCTCCCTGCTTATTTATACCGCGCTTATATAGTAGGTAGCGGTACCGCTTAAACGCCCGCGCCCGCGCCCGCTTATATATATATTAATTTAAAGCTATTACTAGCGCTATAAATTTTTTTTCTTTTTCTTTAATACCTTTATATTATAAAGTAACTTAAATAAAGACTATAATACTTATAACCTTATACTTATATAATCCTTTTATAGTAAAGCATAGGTTAATTTATATTCTTAGAGATATCCTATAGTAAGAGGGACCTAAGAAGCTAAAAAAATACCTAGTATAAAAGAAGGAAGAAGGAGCTAAAAGGAGGTATAGAGAAGAGGGTAAGGGTATAAAGGGAAGTAGAAGTAGTAATAGCTTCCTATAAAGGTAGTAAGAGATAAAACGGATATACCGGTAACGGCTAGAATAGAGGGGAAAAACCGGTAGAAAGCTTAGTAGTTAAGAGGATATTAGTAGCTTCTTTAAGTAGGATCTTCTTTATTAATTAAGATACTAAATAGGTATAAAGAGGGGCGTTAGATAAAGGAAAGAAGGATAATAAAGGTAATATAATAATTACTCCCCTACTATAATTACTGCCCCTATAAGAATTAAATATCTCTACCCTACCTATCCGACCCCTTACTTTTAATTTTACCTTTATATATTTTATATATACTTCTTATATCTCTCTTTACGAGAGTTATAAGCCTAGGAGGAATAGAATTCTTATACCTTCTAGCTACTATAAAAGGCACCTTTCTTATATCCCTTATAGCTTCCTTTTACCCTTCTTACTAGAAAAGCTAATTTTTAACTAACTTTTCTACCCTTCCCCTATAATAATATTAAAAAATAATTCCTTTACCGCCCCTATAGTCTATAAGACGATTCTTATAAAGCCTTAAGATTAAGATAAGTAGGTAAAGGAGCTATAGGCTTATATAGATAAAACTATCTATAATTTAGTCTTCTTTAATAAATAGGACCCTCTTAAGCCCCCTCTTTTTCCTAAGGTAATAGAATTTATAGAGGGAGCTTCCCTCTTCTCTAAGCTAACTTTTATATAGTAGAGAGCTTTTTCTACTACTTTAGGTAACTATAAGAGTTATTGTAAGGAATACCTTTATAAAATAAAGCTACTAACTACTATACGTATAGCAATAATAGAATCTATTAGTACTATAAAGCTAATCTCTCTTTAAGAGGAAGAGACCCTTAAGTAGTAGCTTTTAAAGCTCGAGACCTTAATAGCTCCCTTAAAGGGTTATATAACTAACTATATTAAGAGGACCTATACGGTATACTTAAGAGCCTTTTTTACTAAGAACCTACTAGCTTCTTTATAGCTAGCTAAGTAAGAAGAAATCCTTAAGGAAGCTAACTAATACTTCTTAATAGAAACTCTTTCTAGCTAGTAGCTATAGGATATATCTCTATTAATAAAGCCTATTAGTAATAGTTATTTAACTATCTTTTAAGAAGCTAGCTAAGAACTAAATAAAGAGGCTATTAAAGTATAATAATAAGTAGTCTTATTCCTTTATAGCTAGTACTCGACCTAGACGGCTCGACCTACTACCCTTATAGCTGCTATAGCCCCTCCTACTATAGCCCCCTCTACTACTACTATAGCTACTGCCCCTCTAGCTCCTCCTCCCTTAAGAGCCTTAACCCTATCTTTAATAGCTGCCTTAGTCCTAGCCCTAGCTCCGCCTACTACTCTAGGCCCGGTCTTATTAGTCCGACCGGCCTAACTAGTCCCTTAATAGACTTTTTAGTCTATTAGTTAAAAAATTAAGGAACTAGTTAAAATTAAAACTCTTTATTAAAATTAATAATAAGGTATAAAAAAGGGGGGTTTTTAAGTAGACCTTTTAAAAAGAGATAATAACTCCTTAAAGAGATAATAAATAAAGAGAAATCGACCTACCTAATAAGTATATAAAAGGCCTTATAGGCTAGAAGACTACTAATAGGTCTTTAAGGAAAGTTAGACTTTTAAAATTATATATTTTAAGGGACTAAAAAACATTATTAAAAAGTCTCTTAGAGAGGACCCTTTATTATAGAAGAAGATAGATAAGATTTAGGTTACTAAGAAATAGTAACTAATACCGCTACCTTTATTTAAGCCGTAAATTTAAGAAAAAATTATTAGTATAGTAAATCCGGTATTTATATTTCCTATAAATTAATAAGACTGCCTATTAAGACCCTTTAATTATCCCCTATAAAAATTAGCTATTCTTAACTTTAATACTTCCCTTAATATCTATAATACCTTCTTATAATTCCGGTCCTTTAAGAAGGTATAAAGGGAATACCTAATTACTAGGGAATTAACCGTTTAGATAGAGGGGTATAAGAGGGTAAATTTTACGATATAATTACTTAACGGCTCGATTAAAGTAGCTAATATAAAGCTATTCGTAATATTAAGAGTCTTAAAGGACCTAGCTAAGAGGCCTTAACCCTTAAGGCCTAGCCCCCTTAACCTTCTTATAGAG